AAAAGTTCTAATGAATTTCCAGATGTTTTTTCCTCATCACTCAATTCTTAAAAAGATTTAGCATTAGGATTCAATTTGATTTTTGATAATATTAATACATCATCTTTTTCTGCAAATTAAAAACCATATTATTCTAATAATTATTCTTATTAAGTTAAAGGTTCAATAGTTAACTTATTAAGATAACAAAACTATTCATATTGTTCTTTAATCTCTTCTTCATCAATACGTAAAAATGATTTATCCAAAGTTCGCTAATAATATTATTCTGTTTGTTTTTTATTACTCTTTTTGAAAAGTATTTTACAAAACATTTTTGGAGCACTCTTAAATTATTATTAGGAGAAAACATAAAAAATGTAAGATAATACTCCTAATAATATTGGAGGATCCTTTTTAGAAGAGAGTTAATCTAATTTCCTTATCATTTTTTTAGCTATTTCTGATAACTAATCTTTTTTAGTTTAATTTGTAGTAGTACTATAATTTTAAAATTATGATGAAGTTTCTAAAACATAAGTTTCTAATCCTTATAATGATACTATAAGTATAAATAAACAAACTAATGCAAAAATTAATGAGGATAATAAAGACAAACCAATAGCTGCTAAAAAAAACATATTATATTCCAATGGTTAATAAACAACATTGTTAGCAAAATTTTCAAGGGTTGACCAATTTTCAAATTTTCCTCTTTCTTTTTTATATAAAGGTTCAAAACCAGGATAAGTCAGATTTTCATTTAAAGTTTCATTTTATTTAATAAAATTATCTTTTTCTATAAATATAGCTTATCCATAAGTTGTATTAAATGTTCTTTAAATTAATTCTTAAATTTTTAATGTTTATCTAGCATTTAAAGCTGGATTCCATGGACAAAATCCTATTTCTAAACTAACTTATAAATGTTAAAATTAAGGATTTAAGAAAGTTCCTGAAAATGCTGACAACCACCATGGTTAAAAAGCTGCATATGATGGATTACTGAAAAAGGTCCAATATGTGCTGTAAGTGTGTTAAAGCAAATAATGACCACCTACATCAAGTCTTACTGCAATGTCAGCAGATCCACTTTTATTCATAAATTTTTATATTTTTAGTAAAGATTCTTAATTAAAATTTATGTCTACACTATCAAAAGATATCCATTCAAAATAATTAATCGTTTCAATTAATGGTTTTCCAATATCTTATAATATATTTGCATAAATTGTGCTTGAATTACCAATTATACTTATATTTTATTCTAAATCACAGGATTCTTCTTCACATATTCCAATTAAACCTTCACAAGTATACTTATCTGAATCCTTCTCATTTGGTCCTTAATAACAGAATTTTTCATCACTATTTAGAACTGTATATCCTGCTGCACAAACAGCTTATGATTGTGTTGAATAATTTAAATAGTATGATTTTGTTGATTAGACAATTATATCACCACTAAGTAATTTAATATGAGCTTGAGGAATTAAGAAATGATTCAAAAACAAATTACCTGATGATTCTGATTCAAATATAAAATTATTTGTTTAAATATTTCTAATATTAATCTGCATTCTTGCTTTAGGTTCTGATGTAGCATTAAACTAAGTATTAACTACTAATTCCTCTAATCCAAATGCCATAACACATTCTGATTCAAATTTACAAAGAATATTTAAATTTTCAATATTTTTTGGTAGTTTCAAATCTATTATGCATGTTGTTAACTAATTCATATGAAAATATTGATACATCAGTAAAAGGATCATAAAATGTTAAATTAGCCACACCTGTGTCTAAGATTTCTCCCTTAATTCTAAATTCATCCGATTTATTCACTTAATTCATAAGGCTTCCTTTAGCTTTAAATGAAAACTAATATTTAATTTTGTAATTTTACTTATAAATAGTCATCAGATTGACTCACATTCACAAAACAATTACCAACAAATATATCAATATTTGGTGTTTCTATATCAGCACTCCAAGATGAATTTTTCACAGTTACAAAATATCCCAAAGCAAATAGTCCTACTACAATTGCAATAAACAAAAATTAAAGTATTATTCTAGTCAATCTCCTAAGTAAAATCATTCCAGAATATAAACTAAAATATTAATCATTTCATACCTTTCTAAGCGTCTCTCATTCTTATATTTTTCTGAGCTTGTATTTTAACTTGATTTTTATTGTTGGAATTAAACCATCCATTAGTTGATTTTTTCTTTCCTTCCTTACAATTTTTCTTTAATTTTTTAATCATCACTCTTTTATTATCAATAAATATCTTACCTTATTATCATAACTATCTATTATAGTTTATTCATTTCCCATCTCTTCTTCACGTCTAATTGATTATTCTTGAGAATGTAAATTTTATTATTCCTCTCCTTCAAACCCTGGATAGATTTTACTTGAATATATCGGAGTCCACTTTTATTCTTTAGTAATCATATAAAATTTTTTATTGTTTAAAATATATCTGGAAGTGTAATTACTTTTAAAATCAAAATTATAAAGAGTTACAAAATAATGAAATATTTAAATTTTTTTTATAATTAAACTTTATTAATGTAACTTTTTTAATAAATAGGTTTAATAAAATTTTATAATTAATCTATTTTATAATATTAATAAACTACAATTTATTACTTAGCATGTTGTGCTTATATTCTAAAACAGGCCAAAGTTCAAAATGAGAAATTCTCTTAAATAATTGATGCAAAAAAAGAATATATTACATATTTTTTCCTTTTCCATATATCATAAAAAATTCATCTAAAAAATTATAATTGGTTCAATAACAATTTTCAATTGTAATTCCCTCAATTAAGTTATCTTTTTGAAAAACTAAAAACAGTTATTTTACAAATCAATAGAGTTTAACAAATGATCAAAAAGCTGCCATCTAAAATCTACAAGGCACTTCTGTTCATACAACCAAACTTTGTTGATAAAAATTAATATCTTTGTTATTTATTTAATAACTTTGCAATTTCAAATAGTAGTATTTTAATATGTTCTTCAAATATAACAACATTTTTTTCTATTTTTTTAAATGAAAATGATTGAATTATTCATTTACACAAAAACCTTAATTTTTATAATACCTATTTTGAAGTTATTCAAATCTCTCCTTCCTAAATTTATTGTTTAAAGGCCAAAAACAGAATTATATAAACATTTAGTAAAACTAAATCTTTTATTATTAATAAATCAAAAAAATTCAATTTTAGTATTTTTTTATACTAGTTAACTATTGATTATATTAAGATAATCCAAGTCCTATTATATGTCATCTATAATTTTTTACCTTTTTTGATTATGGCCCAACCAGGAATTTCATTTAATAGAATCATTTAATAAAATCTAAAATGGCAAAGTCCTTTTCAAAAAAAGTAAATATATCAATTACAAATAAATATTTTTAAAAGATTTACCTATTTTATATTTAAATTTTCGACTACATCATTAACTTTAACTTCAAATTATTATTTATATTAAGAGTAAAGGCACATATCATAATTATATATTTTGCAAACTTAATCTCTATATAAATACATAGATGCTCTATTTTTTATAATAACTTTTATATACCTTTATTAAATATACTTTAATAAATTACATAATTAGTCAATAATTATTAGTTTAAATAAAATTTAAAATGCTACAATTTGATTAAGAGAAGCCTATTGGAAATTTATATAAAATTACAACTAAGCTTGGAAGTGGTTCATTTGGTGAAGTTTTCAAAGGAATAAACATAGAAACTAATGAGATTGTAGCAATTAAATGGGTAAAATTTGAATTTGATTAACCTTATTTAGGAAAGTTAAGAAGCCCAAATGCCTCAAATTAAACATGAATTTTCAATATTATCTGCAATTTAAGGAAATGGTATACGTATTTACTTTTTTTAGGTATTCCAAAAGTATATTGGTTTGGATAATGGGAAGATAAAACTGTGATGGTTATGGAATTGTTGGGTTACAATTTAGAATAACTCTTTAATTTAGTTAATCGAAAATTCGAATTAAAGACCATGTTAATGCTTATTGATTAAATGGTATTCTAATGAAAAGATCTATTAGTTTTTAGTTAGATATTATATCTCTTCTGCATTCAAAAGGATATTTATATCGTGATATCAAGCCTGAAAATTTCTTAATGGGAATGAATAAAACATATAACACAATTTACATAATTGATTTTGGTTTATCAAAAAAATATAAAGACAAAAAGACAGGGGAACACATTCCCTACAAAGAAAATAAAGGATTGATTGGAACAGCTAGGTATGTCAGTGTGAATACACACCTTGGAATAGGTATTTTATTTAATTAAAAGCAAGAATAAAGCAGAAGAGATGATATGGAATCTTTGGGATATTTATGGTTGTATTTTCTAAAGGGATCTTTACCTTGGCAAGGATTAGATGTAAACAATAGGGAGGAAAAGTATGAATTGATAAAAACAATCAAATAAACCATTTCAATTGAAGATTTATGTAATGGACTGCCAAATGAATTTTTAAAGTACTTTCAACATTGTAGATCACTTAAATTTGATGAAGAACCGGATTATAAGAGGTTTAAAATGTTATTTAGGGATTTATTCTTTAAATTAGATTTTATCTGGGATTATTTATTCAATTGGATTGAATAACTTTAATAAGAATAAATTTAATCTATTATTCATAAAAAAAATAGCAAGAACTCTTTATCAAGTCTTAAAGGAGGAAGTATTAAATTCTCAAATATTCAGGTTTAAATCTGAAGACAGATGAAGAAGATGAGATCTAAGAAAAAATTGAATTCAAAATTGGAGGTGATTCTTCGACTAATTTAAAAAATGTTAAACCAATTATAAATATAGATAAGTTCATTAGCAAACCAAATTTATTTGAAAGTATTTTCAAATGATTATAATATATCAATGAAAATTACATGTTATAAATAACTAATTAATAAATTAAGAATAAAATTCTTTAATTTTTTTATTAAAATTAATACTCTCAAATAAATGAGGTTTATTATATTGATACATAGTTTGTATTATTAAATCCATTATTAATTTTTTATTCAGTCTCTTAATTACTTTTTTTGTTATTCTATTGACTTAGCTATTCATAAATTAAAAAAATATACATTTAATTCTTATTGTAATTTATTCAAATCAAATTTTAATTATTTCACTTCATCTTTTAGCTTAGTATTTTCATTTTCTAGCTTCACCATTTTATATTCTTTTTGATTTAAATAGTTATTATAGGCTGTTTATATTTAATTATGAGCTTAATTTTATATCAATTCAATTTTATTATTCAATATCCCTATTTCTTTATGAAGATTCTAAATTTCTTAATCTTTCCATTTAATAAGTTCTTAATATGCTTATTTATTTTACATAATATTTATTATAAAAATTAATAAATCAAGAATCTATTAAAATCAGATTTGCTAATTTAAATAAAATTCTATAAAGCTTTTTAGTAAAATTTTCTGTCATCAATTACTAAAATGTTACTCAAAATGATATTTTAATGCTAATTATAAAGTTAATTTAAATTTAGTATTCATAACAATATGGATACTTCCAATTAATATTTTAATAATTATAATATTTAAAATATAAACTTAAATTTTTTTCGATTGTTTAAGAAAATAAAAAATTATGATGCCAATTTTAGAGTAAATATTTTACAAGATTTAAGAGTTTATAAATTTGAAATTTTATATTAATAAACTTCATTATTTTTTTAAAATCTGTTAAATATTATTTTTATTATTTAATTATTTCTTTTGTTAATATTTATTATTTTAATAATTTTATGTCTGAGGTCTATTATAATTGGAAGTTTGATAAAATCCAGGATTATTCAATGATTATTATTATTATTATTATTATTATTATTATTATTATTATTATTATTATTATTATTATTATTATTATTATTATTATTATTATTATTATTATTATTATTATTATTATTATTATTATTATTATTATTATTATTATTATTATTATTATTATTATTATTATTATTATTATTATTATTATTATTATTATTATTATTATTATTATTATTATTATTATTATTATTATTATTATTATTATTATTATTATTATTATTATTATTATTATTATTATTATTATTATTATTATTATTATTATTATTATTATTATTATTATTATTATTATTATTATTATTATTATTATTATTATTATTATTATTATTATTATTATTATTATTATTATTATTATTATTATTATTATTATTATTATTATTATTATTATTATTATTATTATTATTATTATTATTATTATTATTATTATTATTATTATTATTATTATTATTATTATTATTATTATTATTATTATTATTATTATTATTATTATTATTATTATTATTATTATTATTATTATTATTATTATTATTATTATTATTATTATTATTATTATTATTATTATTATTATTATTATTATTATTATTATTATTATTATTATTATTATTATTATTATTATTATTATTATTATTATTATTATTATTATTACTATTATTATTCTAATTGAAATGGTTATTATTATAGTTGTTGCTAATTCCAAAATGTAGGTTAGGCTATAATTATAGTAAAATATACCAACTCCATACCAAGGACTTTAGTAATAATATGCACATTATTAATAATATTGATTTTGAAACTATTACTATTTTCTTCTTTAATAAGAAGCTACAGAGAAAGTAAATGGCATAGATTCAAAGACACTAATATATTCTTAAAACAAAATAGCAAAATTTGGATTGGAATCTCTTTCATTCCTCTTCCTTTTCTATGAAATTAGTAATTAATAAATACTTCTGAATTATCTAATTCCTTAAAAGTCTTCAACATACAGCTATTTTAGGGTTATTTTGAGAAAGCAGAATAGATTAAATCACCATTTTCAATTTAAGTACAATCAATTAATTCATGAATACATTTTCCACTTGATTATTAAATTGAACTTAATTCATTATATGGTAAATCTCTTACAAAAACCTTTTGTTTATAAGATTATTACCCATTCAATTTGAAAAGACCCAAACCATTTATTTTCCTCAGCCCAATACATAAAATGCATATTTTCTCTAAAATTGCTGACAATTTTAGCCAATCCAATAAAATGTGATGTTTGAGTAACATTAAATAATAGATAAACTGGGCGAGATGCATCATTTAATTTCTAATTATTACGACTCGAACTAACAAATTTATTGCATATCTACCTAGTCCAAATGCCGTATTTAATAGCACGGTGAACATTATCTTTAGTTGGAGCACGTATCAAAAAGTAAGTTGCTCCTTGTTCAAGTGGTTGATAAATTTTTTGAAGACATTTAAATGTTTTAGTTATTTCTTCAAAATTTTCATAATTATCTAAATATTATGCTTCTGGCTATGGACATATAGGATTTGTTTGCATATTAATATTTATTTATTTAATTATTAATTAATGGATGTATATTTATCATATATTTACTTTAGACTGTTTCAGATATCAATCCAAGACCATTCCTTGAAGAAATCACAAGAAAACAAATCATAGTCAGATTAAAATGGGGATGGGAATTAAGAGGTAATAATAATTATTTAATCTAGGGGTTTTAAAAAGCTCAGACTAATACATGAACTTGCATGTAATTTTATTTCTATAATTCTATAGATGCTGAATACAGAAGAGTACGTTGATGGAAAAAGTAGAGGAATTTTAGGAGAAGTATTGGTAAGATGTAATAATGTTTTGTACATCAGACAATGTCCTGACGAAAAATGATCTTAAATTCATATATAAATGCATTAAATTTTAGACATCTAACCAAATAAAGTATTATAAGATTTAGAGGAAGCACTTGATAAATAAGTTTACTTAATACTTAGAAATTTTACAAATATTTGAAAAAAATTTGATATTAAGTAGTATTTACTGATGATTGTTATTAAAATTAATGAGAAATAATTTATCAGTATCGAAAAAGGAAATTGATATGTTTCTTTGGGCAAAAATCGTAAAAATCAGATATTTATTTATACAAGTGATCTATTGGCAAATTATGGCTTAATGTGGATTTATACTAATTAAAGTTTATTATCATCTAAATCTTAAGGAAAAATTATTTCTTGAGCCTATATGTGAAGATTCAGATTATGATGAGATCAAATTCTTTCATTTTCTTTTCAGCTCTTTTAATGAACTTTTCTCAAATTTTTTAATATAAAGAAATATTTCCGAACCTAGATCATCTTATTATGTTTTAATCTTGTGCTAATCTTTTAAATTAAATAAAGTTGATTCTTAACTAATATTTGAATGCTCTGGATTTTAAAAGCATCGAATAAATAATATCAATCGCTTATCTATTTAAGTTTTAATAGATATTATCTCATATAAATATTGGATCATTTTCAGAAGATTAATAGAATATATAAAAATACCCAGGAGATTGATAATTATATTTATAATAAAATATTTAATAAATAATATTAAATGAATTAACCAATCACAATCTTATATTAGGTATTGACAACCAATTCAGGAAAAGTATTTTTAATAGAAGAGAAAAGCTATAATACTTCAATCAAATATTATGCATTTTCATTTTAGTAAAAAGAAATTACTGTAAAATCATTAATTCAATAAACAAATATTCTTTAAAAATCAACCCTTAAAGATTTATTTAGAAAATATAAAAAAATGAATCTAGAAGGGGAATTATATTTATTTGATTATTATGAAGGAAGTTAATTTTTAGATTTAAAAGTGTTGGATTATGGAAAAAATAAAAAATCTTTTGAATATCCAGAAATTAAATAATATCTTAAATAATTGCTATTAGCCTTATATGAATTACATAAAAATTAGATGCCTGGAAGAATTTTTTCAGTTTATAATATATTAGTTATTTAACCAACTGAAAAGCTTGTTTTAATGGATTTTGGATTCGGACCAGATANTAATGTATAATAAAGCCAAAGCATTAAATATAACTTTGTTTACAGTATCACACAGATAATCATTATTTAAATTTCATGAATATATTCTTAAGTTTGATGGTGAAGGAAGATATTGGTTCAATAAATAAAATATTTGAGAATAATTATATACATAATAAATTAGTAAATATGTTGAATATAACAATATTTTTAATTTTTTTATTTAATTCATTTTCTTTCTTATTATTTATTTAACATATAAATTATCCTTTTATAACTCAGATATCATATTCCTTGATATATTTCCTATTTTTCAAACTAATAAATATATAATGTTATTCTCAAATATCTTCTATTAATTTAAACCTTTAAATAATCCTACCTATTTTATTTTATTTATAATGACTCATAGATAGGTATACATATAAAATTAATATACAAATCTTCTTACAAATTACAACAGATTCAAATATTAATCATTAAGCGATTTATCTTCTCGTAAATAATATTAAATTATATTAAATACTAATCAAGCTTACTGATAAATGGAAATTACCTAATAAAAGAAACATTTTCGAAGATATAAATTAATAGAATATATAAAAATACCCAGGAGATTGATAATTATATTAATAATAAAATACTTAATAAATAATATTAAATGAATTATTCAATCACAATCCTATATTAAGTATTGACAACCAGTTCAGGAAAAGTATTTTTAATTGAAGAGAAAAGCTATAATACTTCAATCAAATATTATGCATTTTAATTTTAGTAAAAAGAAACTATTGAAAAATAATTTTTGGAATAAACAAAAACTCTTGCAAAATCAAAATATTAGCATTTATTTAGAAAATATTAAAAGATGCTTTTAAATAGTTAATATACTAAATAAGAATTATATTTATTTGATTATTATGAAGAAAGTTAATTTTTAGATTTAAAAGTGTTGGATTATGGAAAAAATAAAAAATCTTTTGAATATTCAGAAATTAAATAATATCTTAAATAATTGCTATTAGCCTTATATGAATTACATAAAAGTGATATGCCTGGAAGAATTTTTTCAGTTTATAATATATTAGTTATTTAACCAACTGAAAAGCTTGTTTTAATGGATTTTGGATTCGGACCAGATATTTAATAAGATTAATTAGATATATTGGCACCACCTGAATATTTAGAAGAAATAATTAATCAAAGTATTATTTTTATATATTTAAGAATAAAAAAAAAATTATTTTGACTTAAAATTTGATTCTTGGTTGGTTGGAGCATTTTTGTATCATTTAATAAAATTCAAATCAATAAATTAGATTGAAGTAAGTAAAAATAATTATGAACGACTTAAATATGATAAAAAAGAAAAATTTTATGAATATTTATCAAAGATTTAGTTTATTCCTTGTTAGACTTAAAGATACAAAGAATCTCTACTCTCTTTTGTCTAAGCTTTACTTACTTGTGATCCAAACAAAAGATTATCATTTTATGAAATTTATCAACATAAATACATTTAAGAACTTAATATTGAAGGAGTATAATAATGTATTGAATTTTATAAGAAATGTGAATAGATTAAAGATCCATTAAATGATGTATTTTTTACTTCAGATTTTAAAAATGATGTATTTGACACTAATGATTTTGGTCGGGTTTCTTCAAATTTACACCCACCAGAAGCAAAATCTTTGGAGTTTCCAAAAAACCTTGAAATGATATATACTGAAGAAGCAAAACCAAAATAACAAATACAAATAATACCAAAAATTATTAATTAGATAAGTAGCTTAAATTGTCTTGATTATTTGAATATTATTATGAACAAACCTTAATTTTCAAACCAGAAATTTTAAGACTATTGGCTCTAAATTTAATTAGATTGTTTGAGATGCTATATATTAGCAAATACAGCTGATAGAATTTAAACCATTTTTTAAAAATACAAACATCCCTTTGAAAAGTTATTTGTATATATCATTAAAAAAATGCATTTGCTTATTTTAAGGGAATTTAATAATTATTTGAAATCAGATTTTTTTAAAAATAAATCAGATCAAAATTGGTCAACCTTTAAGGAGCAACATTAAAAAGATTTATTCAAATCTAATGAACTAAACTAATATTTGGAAAAATTAACATCCGAATTAATAAACAATTTTTAATAGATAAAATTAGATTAAGATCCTACACTTCCTGAAATAATAAAGAAATCATTAAAAGATGATAAAGATCAAAATTATAATATGATTTTGAATTCATTGGAATTCTATTTGAATGGTTATTCAGAGGCTCTTTAAACACTACTCTAATTTATAAATTCATAAACTATTTAAAATCAAGAATAATCAGATGAATTAAATTAATTTAAGAAATTAGTTTATTTTTGTGTAGATATCAATATTTCTTTTCAACCTCAACATTTTTAAGAATAATTTAAAGGGCTTGCGTCATAAAATCAAAAAGTATAACCAAAAGATATCATTAATTTTCTTGAAATTAAGTATATAATTAGATGACATGATATCAATAAATTTATAAAAATATAAATATTTATTGTATTTTAATAAAATATAATCTAATTATACACAATACTTTTTAATTTTATAATCATAATCAAGAAAATAAAAATTATTATGAATTTATTGTTGACTGATCATATAATTTCATAAAAAGTATAAATATAAAAAGAAATATGCAATTGAAAATGTTATAAAATCAATCAGAATGAACCAAAAATAATAAAAAATTGATAAATTTATCATTAGATAAGATTTTAATAGATCTCATTACAAAATTTTCCTCAAATAAATTAAGGAATCTGTTTATTCAAAAATGATAAAAAAATTACAATTCTTATTTAAATATTGAAAATTAATCTCAATTATCATTTTTTTTTAATAGACAAAAAGTGACATTAAAATAGATTATTTTTTCTTTTTTTACATTTTTCACTTCACAAAAAAACAATGTCTTAATCAAAATGATTAAAATTCTCTTCAATATTTTATTTTTGAATTTACAATAATTTTTTCAGATTTTTTTGAATGATCTTCATTTCTCAGTAAAGATATTTTATATATAATTTTTAATGATTTTCATATATAATTAAGTTAATCTTAATTTTTTAAATTAATAAAAAGATTCCAATTTTTTCTGGTATTAATAGTAGTTTTAAAAACTTGATATAATCAGAAAGAATGTATCTATAACAGTTTTTTAACATGTCTTACAGGAAACAAAGTGAAAAAATTATTCTTAAATTTACGTGTTACTCTGATTTATTAAATAATTAATATTAATTGATTTTGTTAGATTATATTTGCATTAAATAAAATCTTTATTATAAAATTTGATTAAGTTTAAAATAGATAAATAATATATTGAGGATTTAGCAAAACAAATCTATTATCATATAAATTTTCATTAATGTACCTCAGGAAGAGTTGTAATTCTATTTTAGTTTATAAAGAATTTTGATTTTTGAGGCTATAAATAAACATTAATTTAATTCTTTTTTTTCACAGGAGATTAAGACGGAAATCCTGTAATGATTGATGAAGCTGGAGATCTTGGAGTTAATACCATTGGTGTATGCATTTAAGTATTTTTATTAGAAAAATTGCTTTTTTTATGTAGAGATTCAAATATTCCTGTCTATCTAAAGAACTTTTATCTTTCGTAAGACATTATTTTCTATTGTTTCATTAAAAAGGATTCAAAATAGCTAAGCTTAATTCTACTCTATGAATTAATAGGAGATTGTTTATTCACAGATACTTACTCCTCAAAGACTAAACTACTTAAGGTTGGTCTGTGAACAAACGATTTTATCATTATATCATCTCTAAGAATTTATATTTCTTCTATTATATTTTCGTTGCTAGTACTATTTTTTGGGGAATTGAGATATTAAGGGAATAATAAAGTTTATTGTTTTCGTATTGATCTTTTAAATTTGTTAATAGCAGACTCTTGCTCTCTCTTTAATTAATTAATTTAAACACCATAATTCATTGTTTCCTTTTAGAATACGGATTACTTACCACATTCAGAACAATCACAACTTTTTCTTTTCTATACTTCTTTTACTTAATCTTCATCTTTTTAATTATTAAAAATCACTGATGGGCTTGGTTCATTAGAAACATGTTCTGATAATTTTAGTGTATTTCTCCCAGTTCTTATTTTCGATAATCTTGTTGGTGATTAAGATTCTTTTATACTATGCTATTATTATTGACTTCTGAACATTTGTGGAGGTATAAATATCTTCCCAAAAAATTTCATATTATGAGGAGCACTTAGGCTTCTTTCTAATTTAGCTACAATAATATTCTTTAGTTTAATGTTATTTTTTTTTATTACTAATCTAGCCTTTCTTGTTAATCCAGATGTTTATGAGATGTTATGCACAGAAAAATAAGGCCTTCTAAAATTATTATTTTACATTTATTTCCTTGTTTTTATATATTAAAATATGATTTATTTCCAAATAGAAATTATTCTAATGAGGCAAGGGATTTGCAGATGATATTCTAAAAATAAGCAATGAAATATAAGTTTTTTTGGAGAAAATCGATACATTCATATCTTTATCAATGATGCAATGATATTAATTTAGAATTTTATTCTTAATTACAAATAAATTTAATTACTGATTTAGAGAATTTTATAATAAAAAAAGAATGATCTTTCTAATGACCATCATTCAAAGTATTTCATATAACTAATTCTTAGAATACTAATTCATTCATCTAATAAAATTAATGCATCCTTTAAAATTTAAAAAATTAATAAGATACTTCTAATTTCTCTAAGCTAAAATCAAAAATATGGAATTATCTGTTAAAAGAATTGAAAACAAACTATCGTAACTTGATGTATAAAATTAAAATTAAAAAAAAAAATAAGTCTAATGAATTAGGCTCTTTCTGAAACAACTTTCTCAGTTAAAGTCAATTGATGGTTGTGACAATATCAAATGAGTAAGGAGTTTTTGGCTCTTAAAGGATAACTAATAATTTAAAAATTTTGATTTTTACAGGAATAAAAAGTTTAATATAAAAAGACCCTTCATTAAATAGCATTTAATCATAATTTAGGATCTTAAGATTAATACAATTAATTATTTTAAACTAAATTAGATATCAATAATCAGATTTTAAAGTCATCCTCATCTCCTGTTGAACCTCTTGGAATAGCTATATTTTAAGGAGTTTTTGGAATTCCATATAAATAAACAGGTGAATATTAATCTAAATCATCATCTTAGCCACTAATCTAATTGACTTAAGGATTTTGTAACAATTATTAAAACATAAGTTGTTATTGCTAATGTTATTACAAAAGTTTTGAGAAGAGTTAAGGGTCTAATTTTTAGGCAATTGGTTGCTAAAACTATGGAGTTTAACTTATTTTTTTTGGTTTTACAATTTTTTTTGATAGTTCCTTTGGCTTAGGGGCTGGTTTAACTTTAGATTATTCTTTTTTTGCTTCTTGTTATTGCTGTCTATAATTTTTAACGATTATAAATGGCTCATTCAAATTGGAAGTCATTTTATTTAATTGTTATTATAATTATTTTATTCTAATTTGATTTAATAACCTTTATATAATATTAATATCAACTATTTGAATCTAAGAGAGGAATTTATACATTTTAGAATCTATATAGAACTCTTAGTCTAATGTGAAAGATTAGAATGACTATAATTACTATTATAAATATTCTAAAAGGATTAGTTGGAGGTATTTTTTAAAATACTCTAATCTTTTTAGACTTTATCAAACAAGTTTAAAATTTTATTATAGTTTATGAAACTGGTATTTGAAAATATTATAAGAACTTTACTATTTTGTAGATTGCATTCATCCTTCTAATTTTTAATCTTCCATCATAGGATATCTGAAATCTATGTGACAAAAAGTTATTTTATACAATAAATTAACTTATTGTATCGCACATTTTTTACACAATCTTTCTAATATCCTTTTCATTTGATTCAATATTCTTAATTTAAGCTACTTATGTTTCTAACTTTTTTTGTTTATTCACTTATTTCATATCAATTCATCTTTTTATATTAGGATTAAAAACACATCTTTTAATCCTTATATTACTATATATAGTTTTGACTGCTATAATCTGTACTCCTTCTAAAAACATGATTTCATTGAAACTTGTACAATTTTAATGGTTTGAAAAAATAAGTTTATCATTTTTCCATTATTTTTTTTTTCATTTTAAGCTTTCCTGAATTTTCTAATATAAAACATAAGCTTTAATATTATTATTGTAATCATAATTATTATTATTATTATTTTTATTATTATTATTATTATTATTATTATTATTAATTAAATAATTCAAAATAAGTATATACTATTTAATGGTACTGTAATCACCAAAAAAGAGCTATTTATAAAGCCGATAAGAATGGAAAGCTTGGAGAAAGAATTGCTCTGAAGAGAAGGTCAAGCATAAGTGTATACCCCTAAATAGGTCATAATTATGCCAATAATACATATAAAAATGAGAAAATAAATTAAAATAGTTAACTATTAGAACAGATGTCAGTATCGTAGCTAATAGGGATGATGTAACTCATTAATAGTAGACTAGTATAGGAAATTTCGGGTACTTCTAAACCTTCTCAAATAATTAAACCATTTAAGCTTAATTAAAAGGATAATTGAGAAAAAAGAATAAATATGGGATAGGTAAACTCCTTTGCTAATAAGCAGGAAGAAAAGAAGTTAAACTAGAGATTTGTATAAATATAGAAACAAGAATCTGTATATTCAGATAAAGTCATTCTTTCAAATAAGCCCTCGCTTAATTAGTTTTAAACTATTTCAATAAGAATATCTATTCTCCTTAAAATTTCAAAAATTCAAACAAAAATTTAGATATGAAATAGTCAGAAGCTCAAAACTTATTTGAAAATTAAATAATCCATAATAATTGAAAAATGACTAAATATTCTGATACCTTCAAGAACTAGTGAAAGACTTGAAAAATAAGTAGACAGTTCTAATAAGTAAAATTATTAGATAATGAATAATAATCTACTGAAGTAGAGTAAACAATTTAATTGTGAGTGCAGCTTTACTTAAAATAACATACAGAGTTACAGAACCCATGTATATCATAATCATTAAAATAACACCAGAAAGTTCTAATTTAGTAAGAATGGTGAGCTGAAAGGGAGCTGTGGTTTAGTAGGTAAATAATTAAGCTACAATTAAGCCTGAGAAGAAGAATATAATTAATAATTATGACATCCTTTCATGATAAAAATTAATGAGTGACTATTATTAAAAGCGCTAATATAGTAATAATGTAAGTACTAAAATTTAACAAATAAGGAGAAAAATCATCTAATAATATAAGCCTTCCTTAATCAATAAGTTGAATATTGTTAGTTGAAATATCTCCTCTTTAAAACCAACTACACTTAGTAAAAAANTTATTATTATTATTATTATTATTATTATTAATTAAATAATTCAAAATAAGTATATACTATTTAATGGTACTGTAATCACCAAAAAAGAGCTATTTATAAAGCCGATAAGAATGGAAAGCTTGGAGAAAGAATTGCTCTGAAGAGAAGGTCAAGCATAAGTGTATACCCCTAAATAGGTCATAATTATGCCAATAATACATATAAAAATGAGAAAATAAATTAAAATAGTTAACTATTAGAACAGATGTCAGTATCGTAGCTAATAGGGATGATGTAACTCATTAATAGTAGACTAGTATAGGAAATTTCGGGTACTTCTAAACCTTCTCAAATAATTAAACCATTTAAGCTTAATTAAAAGGATAATTGAGAAAAAAGAATAAATATGGGATAGGTAAACTCCTTTGCTAATAAGCAGGAAGAAAAGAAGTTAAACTAGAGATTTGTATAAATATAGAAACAAGAATCTGTATATTCAGATAAAGTCATTCTTTCAAATAAGCCCTCGCTTAATTAGTTTTAAACTATTTCAATAAGAATATCTATTCTCCTTAAAATTTCAAAAATTCAAACAAAAATTTAGATATGAAATAGTCAGAAGCTCAAAACTTATTTGAAAATTAAATAATCCATAATAATTGAAAAATGACTAAATATTCTGATACCTTCAAGAACTAGTGAAAGACTTGAAAAATAAGTAGACAGTTCTAATAAGTAAAATTATTAGATAATGAATAATAATCTACTGAAGTAGAGTAAACAATTTAATTGTGAGTGCAGCTTTACTTAAAATAACATACAGAGTTACAGAACCCATGTATATCATAATCATTAAAATAACACCAGAAAGTTCTAATTTAGTAAGAATGGTGAGCTGAAAGGGAGCTGTGGTTTAGTAGGTAAATAATTAAGCTACAATTAAGCCTGAGAAGAAGAATATAATTAATAATTATGACATCCTTTCATGATAAAAATTAATGAGTGACTATTATTAAAAGCGCTAATATAGTAATAATGTAAGTACTAAAATTTAACAAATAAGGAGAAAAATCATCTAATAATATAAGCCTTCCTTAATCAATAAGTTGAATATTGTTAGTTGAAATATCTCCTCTTTAAAACCAACTACACTTAGTAAAAAATGGAGTTCCCATTTAATTTGTCTTCAAGAACAGGATAAAAATATCCTCAAGTCCTTTATATAATTTCTTTAATAAACCCAGATCAACAAATACATAAGGAGGCAGAGTTTGTGTAGTCGTTCATAAGCAGTTCACAAGCAGAGATATTTTTCATTGTATCGATTTATTGAATCTCGAATTTATCTTATTGTAACATGTAAATCATTCCCCAAAAACTGTTTGAGCCCAATAAGAATAAATAAAAAATCCAAAACTTTATATTAAATTGTAAATATGGAAACCAAACTAATTGTTTTTTTAGTAGATGATTTTAACTTACCTAATTTCTAAATTCATGGATTAACAAAAATTATCTGAAAAGAGCAATGGACTTATATGACAACTGTCAGAGGTTAATTAAGACCATCTCAAAATGATACTTTTTCTTATAAATCAAAATTAAGAAAACTCTTTTAGTTAATACTTTAACGAAGTATTATCTGATCATATATTAATTAAGTGTTAACTAAATCTCTTGACAAATTAAAATAAAATAGCCCATTTATTGCTTCAAAAAAAAAATTACAATAAGTTACCCAATAAAATGACGAGGTGGATCTATGAACTGTTATATCAATAATTTAAATGAATTGATAACTGATGAAAATTAAGTAAAGGTAAATTTTATAAAACTCTAGGCAAATTAAACAGTAAATGGAATACTTGCCTTTGCCAAAGCTAGAACCAATAACTTTTAATAAATTTAAGCACATGAAAGCAAAAATGAGCAATAACAAAGCAATAACTGAAGTGCTTATCAGATTCTTGAATATTGAATTATGGCACCTATCAAATTAAAAAAATATATTTGAAACACTAGTATTAGTCAGATTATTCCAAACTTCTGTGAATTTAGATTGTAATTTCGAATAAAAATTTCCCTATATACTCAAGCACTAAGAATTTAGGCCTATTAATAAGTGGATTGTACTGAGATATGAATTTGCACTTAGTTAATACTGTCAATAGAGGCTATTAAAGCAAAAGATAGGATTTATAGAAGGTTTAAAAATCATTTTTAAATCCTGAATCTCATAAGGGATATTAAAGCTTAGAATTCTTCTGACATAAGTAAATATTTTTTGTAGGTTTTAAATCTGCTTATAATAAAATTAACCTTGATCTACCTTATGACCATCTCTATTAATAATATATACTAAGAGATGAAGAAATATAATTCATCAAAGCATTAATTTCCCATCAGTACATCATCAGTAATGGTAAGAAACACAGTGTTAAAAATGGAGTACCTTAAGGTAGTATTGTTTCTCCTTATCTATTCCCAATTTATACAGAAATCTTCGTTTAAGAATGCAAAAATGTTGATATATTGAAATATTTTGATAAGCAGTACTTCTATGCAGATGTCTTAGTGATTCTATATTCAGATATATATGCAAGAAAAATTATTAAAGGATTTGAAAAAGTATCAGACAAATTATCTCTCAAGTTAAACAAGACCGTTATCTGACAAAAAATTCAGAAGAAAACCTTTGCGTAAGGTCAAATAATTGAAGAAATTCCATTAGAATATCACTACAAATACTTTGGAGTTGATATTAATTCCAAGGGCAAAATAGAATCTCAAATCAAAAGTCTGTAATAAAGGTTGATTAATTTAAAATATTAATTCTCATGTATCTTCACTAAGATAAACTATAAGACTAGGCTTTTATTATGGACAACTTAAGTGAGAACTCATTTTCAATACTTGATCCCTATAACGAAACTGTAAACTAAATAAACATAGAATATATTCCATTCTTGGTGAAAAGGAGTAAACCTAAGATTAATCCAAATAAGCTCTTGGGGGCATTTATAGGACATATAACTCCTTTATATGATGACAATTATGAGAGAATTAAACAATATATGGGAATTAAAATAAGACAACTGATTTGATTTTTTACTATCAGAGTGGTTAGTCTAAAGGAAGCAGAAGATAACTTGAGTTTCAAATTTGTCGGAAAATCTAAAATAATTTTTATTAATACCTATACGAATATGTATGACGCATCAAACAAAAATGACTTTTCAATACATGTAAATAAGCATTAGTCTTAGAATTTAAGGAAAAAAAATTAGAGTAGGATTGAATAGGAATTAGAAAAATAGATTAATTAACTTTTAATGAAGCTGGAGAATTTTGAAAAAGAAAAATGCAAAACCAGAAAAGAAGGGTAAATGATCAACGAATTGTATTATTATTTATTATTATAAATAAAGCTAAAAATTTGATTATGCATATGTAAACAACTGGAATATAAAGGAAGAGGTGCTATAAAGAAAACAAGAAAAATTGCATTGAATTTGCTCAAACATTTAAACTATGAGTTCACTGTGTTTAGCCTAAAAAGAGAAAATTTGGAAATCAAATTGGATAAGCAGATTTAGATTTGAATTAAATTTTTACTTTATTTAGGTCGAAAAAATCAGTTCAGAAAACTAGAATTTATAAAATAAAATTAAACTAGATAAGTTGCAATTTTTCAACATCCCTGAATGTAACTAAATTTAGTTAATTATAAAATATGGATACATGACCTAAGATGGAGACTTAAGCTAAGTAACCTACAGGCAGCTTACTGAAATAACTCCGCCCCTAGTAAATAGGGAATAATAATAAAGGGAAATAAAAAGAGTAGTGACTCTAGCAAGACTCCCCCTGCATAGCCCTTAGTTCGTCGTCAATGTTTAAAATAATACAAAAATATAAGATCATCTAGTATTCACATGTAAAAGGTCCCTAATGAGTAAGTTCGAGTAGGTTCTCCCCCTACTATATTAGGAAGATCTTTTGCAATAACTGTGCCTCTTACAGTAAACCTTTCTAATAAGTTTGGCCAATTTAAATAGCCTATACAGATAAAGAAAAAGTAATCTCATTAGACCAATTCAAATAGATTCAAAGATGATTGAAGAAATACCTTAGGGCAATATAGTCAGTGGCCGAAAGGCTCACATTACTAGTTAAGCTAGTGATCTTAATCCGGATCCACCGAACGGGAAAAAGAGAAGAGGTAAAAGGTTTCGTTTTCATTTTAAATAAATATTATTATTTTTTTATTACTTATCTAAAAAAAAAACGAAACTATCAACATAATAATAATATGTCAAATAATAACTTAACCTTGATTTTATAAAGGCAATAATCAATGTATTTTAAGTAATATTTAATAATTTATTTCATGGAATACATCAAATTAAAGCAGTTGAAAAATGAGTTGATGTAATAGAGATAAGTAAAACAAGTATATTATGAAATTTTTAAACAGCTCAAGCAAAATGTATTTTGGAGAGCTATCTCTTTGCAATTCCCCTAAACCTTTTGATTTAGTTAAGCTAAGGGTTATATGGAGAAGGATTAAATGCTTAAATAATGATATTTGACTCAGAATTTATTATTTCTGGTGGATTGAGGCATGATCCAGCACTAAGCAATAATTATATTGCAAAAGCAACCTTAAGAGTTCATTAAAAAATTCTCCTTACATCTATTGATTTATTTTTTGATAAAACATTTAAAAGCAATAAAAAACCATCACAATCGATAACTCCAAATACACATTTACTTTTGATGAATTCGATTTTATTAAACAATAGATAGCTATTGTTTTTTTGCCAGTTCCAGCTTCTAAGCTCTCCAAAAGCTAAATTCATTAATCAAGACTAATTATTAATTTGAACTTAGAAGAGGAGTTAATTATTTTAAAATTCAAATCTTGTATCTAAAGAGCATTTTGCATAAGATTTAAAATTAATGCAACTAAATAAGCGGTAACTATATAACAACACTTCTTAAACCATTTTAAAATCTAATAATATCGCTGTTGTTATTGATTGATATGTAAATTTACAATGAATTCTTAATATATTTGTTTTGCACTTCTCCATTTTGCAAAAATCACTATTCATCAAATGAAAAAGCAAATTTTGACTCAGAAAATCAGCATGATCTAGAAGTTTGCTTTTATAAATATTTAGCACTTCCAATTGAAATTCCTCATTATCCAGTAAAATTGCAAGTTTTATGGAATTTCGAATTCTGAAGCAGTATTCTTTAACTTGAAAGTTTGTTAAAATTAAAATACTTAGTTCTCATAGTTTTGGTTAATATTTTTCCCTTTTTGTTTATAATTGTTGCTGTAAAATTATGTGTATCATCTAAAGTAATCAACTCTTGCATTGGTTGTTGTATTGTTATGAAAAGTTTGTTATCATACATATTGGTTTAAATAAAATTATTGACAATCATCATTGCATGTATGTAGACATAATGAATTTTAAGTGTAAGCCTTCTATTACAAATAATATTATTACATAGAAGAAGAAGCTAGAGTTTCTAATATAAACTAAGATTTCATATTTTTAAATAAATAGCAATATCCAATACTAATTTATGTAAAAAATCTTTAATTTGAAAATAATCCTCTAAAAATTAGNATAACTTAACCTTGATTTTATAAAGGCAATAATCAATGTATTTTAAGTAATATTTAATAATTTATTTCATGGAATACATCAAATTAAAGCAGTTGAAAAATGAGTTGATGTAATAGAGATAAGTAAAACAAGTATATTATGAAATTTTTAAACAGCTCAAGCAAAATGTATTTTGGAGAGCTATCTCTTTGCAATTCCCCTAAACCTTTTGATTTAGTTAAGCTAAGGGTTATATGGAGAAGGATTAAATGCTTAAATAATGATATTTGACTCAGAATTTATTATTTCTGGTGGATTGAGGCATGATCCAGCACTAAGCAATAATTATATTGCAAAAGCAACCTTAAGAGTTCATTAAAAAATTCTCCTTACATCTATTGATTTATTTTTTGATAAAACATTTAAAAGCAATAAAAAACCATCACAATCGATAACTCCAAATACACATTTACTTTTGATGAATTCGATTTTATTAAACAATAGATAGCTATTGTTTTTTTGCCAGTTCCAGCTTCTAAGCTCTCCAAAAGCTAAATTCATTAATCAAGACTAATTATTAATTTGAACTTAGAAGAGGAGTTAATTATTTTAAAATTCAAATCTTGTATCTAAAGAGCATTTTGCATAAGATTTAAAATTAATGCAACTAAATAAGCGGTAACTATATAACAACACTTCTTAAACCATTTTAAAATCTAATAATATCGCTGTTGTTATTGATTGATATGTAAATTTACAATGAATTCTTAATATATTTGTTTTGCACTTCTCCATTTTGCAAAAATCACTATTCATCAAATGAAAAAGCAAATTTTGACTCAGAAAATCAGCATGATCTAGAAGTTTGCTTTTATAAATATTTAGCACTTCCAATTGAAATTCCTCATTATCCAGTAAAATTGCAAGTTTTATGGAATTTCGAATTCTGAAGCAGTATTCTTTAACTTGAAAGTTTGTTAAAATTAAAATACTTAGTTCTCATAGTTTTGGTTAATATTTTTCCCTTTTTGTTTATAATTGTTGCTGTAAAATTATGTGTATCATCTAAAGTAATCAACTCTTGCATTGGTTGTTGTATTGTTATGAAAAGTTTGTTATCATACATATTGGTTTAAATAAAATTATTGACAATCATCATTGCATGTATGTAGACATAATGAATTTTAAGTGTAAGCCTTCTATTACAAATAATATTATTACATAGAAGAAGAAGCTAGAGTTTCTAATATAAACTAAGATTTCATATTTTTAAATAAATAGCAATATCCAATACTAATTTATGTAAAAAATCTTTAATTTGAAAATAATCCTCTAAAAATTAGTTACACCAAATAAATAATCAACATATAAATAAAATTTGAGTTTTATTAATCTTACTTCATAATATTTATTCTTTTAACTTAATTTAAATAATAAATAATATATATTATATGAAACAAGAGAAAAATATTATAGTTTTCACTCAACAAGACTTTTAGTCTAATTTCTTAGTGAATCCGAATCCTCCTTTAGGTTCAGGTCACGATGCTAAAGTTTACTTGGCAATGCATAAACGTACTGGTGAAATGTTTGCCCTCAAAGTGCTTACTTCTATAACACCAGATCATCTCAACAATCTCTAGGTTTTTTTTTGTATTTATTTAGTGAACGAAATCAAAATACTTAAATTAATAGATCATCCCGGTATTGTTCAAATAAAAGGTCATGCTCAAGATTATACATGTGTTTTGTTGGAGTATATGCCTCATGACACATTTCTTAGAATATTGAAAAAAGGACCATTCCATATATCTCTTTCAAAAACACTTGCTAGCCATTTAATTCATATTTTAGCAACTCTACATAATCATTAGATTGCTCATTGTGATATTAAGCCAGAGAATATATTGATTGCTGCAGATTATAAAGTGAAATTATGTGATTTTGGCTTTGCTCGAATTACCTAATAATTATCAAGACCTCCTGGAGGAACACCTGGATATACAGCACCAGAAATTTATAAAGGAAATAATTTAGATTTATTTAAATGTGACATTTTTGCCCTAGGAATAGTAATATTCATTATAGTAATGGGATTTCCTCCATTTTAGAGTAATGATCCAACTTTGAGAGACTAATGGTGGAATATGATACTGAATAAATAATATGACATTTTTTGGAAGAAATGCGAGTAATATCGATAGCAAAAGTATCCCTTAGAATTTAAAGATATGATTATGCAAATGTTAGAGCCTGATCCTGATAAAAGAATTAATATTACTTAATTAAGTCAGCATTCCTTTTTATAAAATGGTGCATCAATTGAATAAATAGTTTAGGAACTTCAAAAGAGAGTCAAAAAGTGATTAATATTTATCTAAATCATTATACATAATATATTTAAAAATGAATAAATCCTTTATTCATGTAATTCTTATAGACAGTATATCTCGAATTTAGTAATAGTTTAATTAATTATTATAAATAATAATTTTTAAGGTATGCACAGATTAAAATAAATATATCATGTGTTTTAAAAAATTAACTAAATCATCATATTGGGTTGAAGAGATTTTGGGCTTTTTTGATTTTAAACTAACAGAATCATAAGCCCTATGCATTTAGATTAAATTAATTCTGCAATTAAAGTTGAAAAAAACTTTGATCATTTCTTAAATTTTCTTGTTTAAAAATTCAATAATGAGATATATTAAAATCTTATCTAATGATAAATTTATCAATTTTTAATTATTTTTGGTTCATTCTGGTTGTTTTTATAACATCTTCAATTGCATATTTCTTTTTATATTTATCCTTTTTTATGAAATTATATGATCATTCAACAATAAATTCATAATAATTTTCATTTTCTTGATTATGATTATAAAATTAAAAAGTATTGTGGATAATTAGATTATATTTTATTAAAATACAATAAATATTTATATTTTTATAAATTTATTGATATCATTTCATTTAGGTAGATGCTTAATTTCTATTAATTTAATGATATCTTTTGGTTATACTTTTTGATTTTATGATGCAAGCCCTTTAAATTATTCTTAAAAATGTTAAGGTTGAAAAGAAATATTGATATCTACACAAAAATAAACTAATTTCTTCAATTAGTTTAATTCATCTGATTATTCTCGATTATTAATTATTTATTAATTTATAAATTAGAGTAGTGTTTAGAGAGCCTCTAAATAAACATTCGAATAGAATTTCAATGAATTCAAAATCATATTATAATTTTGATCTTTATCATCTTTTAATGATTTCTTTATTATTTCAGGAAGTGTAGGATCTTAATCTAAATTTATTTATTAAAATATCGTTACTAACTCGTTTTTTAATTCTTCCAAATATGAGTTTAGTTCATCAGATTTGAATAAATCTTTTTAATGTTGATTCTAAAAGGTTTACCAATCTAGATCTGGTTTATTTTAATAATAATCTGATTTCAAATAATTACTAATTTCCCATAAAATAAGATAATGCATTTTTTTAATGATATATACAAATAACTTGTCAAAGGGATGTTTGTATTTTTTAAAAATGGTTTAAATTTTATCAGCTGTATTTGCTAATATATAGCATCTCAAACAATCTAATTAAATTTAGAGCCAATAGTCTTAAAATTTCTGGTTTGAAAATTAAGGTGTTTTCATAATAATATTCAAATAATCAAGACAATTTAAGTTAATTTAATCAATAGTTGTTTCTGTTATTTGTATTTTTTTTTTAGCATCTGGTGGGTTTAAATTTGTAGAGCCTGGTTTAAATTCTTTTGTTATAAATACATCATTTAATGGATCTTTAATCTATTCACATTTCTTATAAAATTCAATACATTATTATACTCCTTCAATATTAAGTTCTTAAATGTATTTATGTTGATAAATTTCATAAAATGATAATCTTTTGTTTGGATCACAAGTAAGTAAAGCTTAGACAAAAGAGAGTAGAGATTCTTTGTATCTTTAAGTCTAACAAGGAATAAACTAAATCTTTGATAAATATTCATAAAATTTTTCTTTTTTATCATATTTAAGTCGTTCATAATTATTTTTACTTACTTCAATCTAATTTATTGATTTGAATTTTATTAAATGATACAAAAATGCTCCAACCAACCAAGAATCAAATTTTAAGTCAAAATAATTTTTTTTTTATTCTTAAATATATAAAAATAATACTTTGATTAATTATTTCTTCTAAATATTCAGGTGGTGCCAATATATCTAATTAATCTTATTAAATTTCTGGTTCAAATCCAAAATCCATTAAAACAAGCTTTTCAGTTGGTTAAATAACTAATATATTATAAACTGAAAAAACTCTTCCAGGCATATCACTTTTATGTAATTCATATAAGGCTAATAGCAATTATTTAAGATATTATTTAATTTCTGAATATTCAAAAGATTTTTTATTTTTTCCATAATCCAACACTTTTAAATCTAAAAATTAACTTTCTTCATAATAATCAAATAAATATAATTCTTATTTAGTATATTAACTATTTAAAAGCATCTTTTAATATTTTCTAAATAAATGCTAATATTTTGATTTTGCAAGAGTTTTTGTTTATTCCAAAAATTATTTTTCAATAGTTTCTTTTTACTAAAATTAAAATGCATAATATTTGATTGAAGTATTATAGCTTTTCTCTTCAATTAAAAATACTTTTCCTGAACTGGTTGTCAATACTTAATATAGGATTGTGATTGAATAATTCATTTAATATTATTTATTAAGTATTTTATTATTAATATAATTATCAATCTCCTGGGTATTTTTATATATTCTNAAAAATGGTTTAAATTTTATCAGCTGTATTTGCTAATATATAGCATCTCAAACAATCTAATTAAATTTAGAGCCAATAGTCTTAAAATTTCTGGTTTGAAAATTAAGGTGTTTTCATAATAATATTCAAATAATCAAGACAATTTAAGTTAATTTAATCAATAGTTGTTTCTGTTATTTGTATTTTTTTTTTAGCATCTGGTGGGTTTAAATTTGTAGAGCCTGGTTTAAATTCTTTTGTTATAAATACATCATTTAATGGATCTTTAATCTATTCACATTTCTTATAAAATTCAATACATTATTATACTCCTTCAATATTAAGTTCTTAAATGTATTTATGTTGATAAATTTCATAAAATGATAATCTTTTGTTTGGATCACAAGTAAGTAAAGCTTAGACAAAAGAGAGTAGAGATTCTTTGTATCTTTAAGTCTAACAAGGAATAAACTAAATCTTTGATAAATATTCATAAAATTTTTCTTTTTTATCATATTTAAGTCGTTCATAATTATTTTTACTTACTTCAATCTAATTTATTGATTTGAATTTTATTAAATGATACAAAAATGCTCCAACCAACCAAGAATCAAATTTTAAGTCAAAATAATTTTTTTTTTATTCTTAAATATATAAAAATAATACTTTGATTAATTATTTCTTCTAAATATTCAGGTGGTGCCAATATATCTAATTAATCTTATTAAATTTCTGGTTCAAATCCAAAATCCATTAAAACAAGCTTTTCAGTTGGTTAAATAACTAATATATTATAAACTGAAAAAACTCTTCCAGGCATATCACTTTTATGTAATTCATATAAGGCTAATAGCAATTATTTAAGATATTATTTAATTTCTGAATATTCAAAAGATTTTTTATTTTTTCCATAATCCAACACTTTTAAATCTAAAAATTAACTTTCTTCATAATAATCAAATAAATATAATTCTTATTTAGTATATTAACTATTTAAAAGCATCTTTTAATATTTTCTAAATAAATGCTAATATTTTGATTTTGCAAGAGTTTTTGTTTATTCCAAAAATTATTTTTCAATAGTTTCTTTTTACTAAAATTAAAATGCATAATATTTGATTGAAGTATTATAGCTTTTCTCTTCAATTAAAAATACTTTTCCTGAACTGGTTGTCAATACTTAATATAGGATTGTGATTGAATAATTCATTTAATATTATTTATTAAGTATTTTATTATTAATATAATTATCAATCTCCTGGGTATTTTTATATATTCTATTAATTTATATCTTCGAAAATGTTTCTTTTATTAGGTAATTTCCATTTATCAGTAAGCTTGATTAGTATTTAATATAATTTAATATTATTTACGAGAAGATAAATCGCTTAATGATTAATATTTGAATCTGTTGTAATTTGTAAGAAGATTTGTATATTAATTTTATATGTATACCTATCTATGAGTCATTATAAATAAAATAAAATAGGTAGGATTATTTAAAGGTTTAAATTAATAGAAGATATTTGAGAATAACATTATATATTTATTAGTTTGAAAAATAGGAAATATATCAAGGAATATGATATCTGAGTTATAAAAGGATAATTTATATGTTAAATAAATAATAAGAAAGAAAATGAATTAAATAAAAAAATTAAAAATATTGTTATATTCAACATATTTACTAATTTATTATGTATATAATTATTCTCAAATATTTTATTTATTGAACCAATATCTTCCTTCACCATCAAACTTAAGAATATATTCATGAAATTTAAATAATGATTATCTGTGTGATACTGTAAACAAAGTTATATTTAATGCTTTGGCTTTATTATACATTATTGCTTCAATGTCCATGCTAACAGAAGATGTGCATTCATCTATTAAATGATATTAGAAATGATACCTAAAATAGCATATTATGGTTTATGATAGAATAATCTAGCCATGGCAATTCGTTGTTTTTCTCCTCCACTTAAGACATCATTCCAATCATTTGCTGCATCTAATCCTCTCTCTCTATAGACTAAGTATTCTAACTAAACATCCTCTAATAATTTGATTAGATCTTAATCATTTATCTTTCTTCTTAACATCTATAATTTAGTATGAGGATAAATGATCTAATCTCTCAAAGTTCCAGGAGGTAAATAGGGTCTTTGAGGAATATAAAATAACTTATCAATTGCAGGTCTATACAATGTACCACCTTAAACTGGCCATAGAGCTCCCAAAATTCTAAAAAGAGATGATTTCCCACAACCATTAGGTCCACTAATAATAACATTCATTCCAGGTGTGATTTTAAAAGACATACCCTTAATTAGAGTATCTCCATTTGGAGAAATAATAGGTACATTATCGAATTCAATAATATCTTAGGTTTGAACTATCTAAAATAAACAAAAATTTATTTACCTAACCTTTATCTAATTAAATTGTTTAATGCTTTCCTTAATCAATAACTACTTATCCTGTTTCATTTTCTTATTATACTTAAGTTCTTTTATAATATCCAGAAGATAAATCAGATAAAACTTCTTTTATTTCATATACAACTCTAGTATATCCTGCCAATTATTATATTTCTTTATAACTGACAACTAATCTTCCAATTGCTTTAGCCAAATTAATTAAAAGTGAACTATTACTAACATAATCTCTTGTAATTGCACTTTTATCATTTCCAATTTTTTTTAAATATTCTTCTCTATTTGGTCCAAAAACTGGTAATCCCATAATTCCATATCCTGCCATAACTGCACCATATTTAACAAGTAGTCCATCAAAAATACCCATAAATAATCTAAGTTTATTTACAACTATTTAATGTTTATTAAGTTATTAATATGATTAATTAATCTTTAACTTTTCCCAATTTTATCCTTATAAAAATGCTACCTCTTCAGCATGATATAACAATTGACTATGAACACTTCTATATTCACCTTCTAATTTTTAATCAATTGCAGTTAATTTACCAAATGCAGGAGAGACTAATTTTAATAGTACTCCTGAAAAGAAATACCATAAGAACACATACATGGGTCCTTAGTAGCCAATTGATACTGCTAATTTTTTTGAGAATAAAAATATATCTAAAATTGGTTTAGAAAAATTTGAGTAAATTTGAGACAATGAATTTGCCCACTTCTCTATATCTGTAGTTAATCTCTAATCAGGATTAGTAACACGACTATCTAAATTTGATACTTAATAAAAGATCATATTCTTGATGTATTAATCATGAAAGTATTCTGTTAATCTTCTTCTAAATCTAAGGGAAAGTGATTTATTTAGATATTCTAAATAACTATTCACAAAACTTGCAGGCACAGCAACTAAACCTAATTATACGATCTACATTATATTATTTTCATACTTTTTTTATAAACTTTTCCAAATCACCATTAATAATTGTTTTAACTATTCTACCATTCAAAGATGAAATATATATACTCATCATAGTACGAATAACTAAAAACACTGTTAGAACACTCAAATCAAATACTTCCATGCTTTTAATTGAAGGAATAACAATTTTCAATAGATCTAAGATTCTGTTTATAAAAACTTTGTCAACATTTCCTTGGCCTTGTTTTCTAGGGATCTTTCTAGGAGAAGATGCTTCCTTTTTAGATTTCAAAATCATTAATATTAGCACCAAAAGTGCTCCTGAAAGTGCCTTATTTTGAAATGATTAAGGCAGAGGAATCTTTGATAACACACTAGGCATTAAAAATTATTTTAATTTATGATAATAATATTATTTAATTGGTCATCATATGACAAGCCAAATAAATAAAAATATTTATTAAGAAATTATTAATTTTATACATATAGATAAAAAATGAATATTGTTTTGAATGATTGTAATATTATTTCAATTTTTCTATATAAATTTATAATTATATTATATATAATTAAAAAGAACCTGATCAAAGATGATTCTTGTTTAATATAATATTAAATTATTAGATGTTTATTTTTTATTTATTTATACTATCTTAGTAAATTGATTTTCAATTTTAGTTTTATTATATAGAATATTATTAGTTTCAATAGTCTCTAAGTGAATTACAATCTAAATTTCTAATTTTTATTGAAGTAAACTTTTCTTTTATCAACTTTAATTGAATATACGTAAAGAAATTGGTAGTCAAATAGATTTGGCTGTTTGTTTTGATCTTTGAAATTCAGATTAGTTTCTGTGTTTGGATTGAATTGTATTTTATTTAAGCTAATGCTTTCGGTTTGGGCTTATTTATATACAATACATGTCTTTTTTACAATTATTTCTTTAATCTTTATATGTAGCCAAAGAGCCTACTTGATACTTTTATTTAAATTAGTTATAATTAAAAACATTTTTCAGAAATTGCTAAATGATTATTCTTTTTTCAACTAGATTTAATGAGCAATATATTTTATAGGATAATGTAATGAAGATTGTAGAAAGCATTAATTCTGATTTTTAAATTAAGGATTGCAAATTAATTTCCGATAGATTCTAATGGATTGAAATTAGGAAGCAATAGTTGAAAAATAAATTAGATTCGTATAAATGGTGCTTATTCAATAATATTCAAAAACTATAATTGAATATTAAACTGTTTGATTTTAATTGAAGATAATTGCTTTTTCATTACAAAATCCATTTTTATCCAAAAAAGATAGACATTAAATAACTCCCTTTGTATTTATTAAAAATTATCTTTTATCAGTATGACACTAAAGAAATTAATACATTTAGAATATCGAATCTACTAAATACAATGGAGTAGTGAACTAGTTTGCAAAAAATTTTAATAATATTTATGCCAGAAATGGGTGAAGTAATTGAATAAAAATTATTTATTATATTATAATTTTAGCCTAAAACTTCTAATATTTAACTTAGCATATTTATCACATAATTGACCTAAATTTACAAAACAGAAAATAATCAAAAATAGAGTAAATTATTATTGCTTTTGAGAAATTACATAATAGTATTTCATTTTTGTATATTTATATATATAATTTTTCTAAATCAGAAACTCACTAAGCTCTTCATTTCTGCAGTTCTATCTATTTTGTTTTGTACATATTTTCCTTCTATGTAACATTTTAAAATGTACAAAGCATGTTCATCATGATTCTTAAAACCTTTAATATCTCTATCTTTCCTATACTAAATCTTCTAGTCTATTAAAGGAGCACCTTTATTGTCAAGTAGTTATAAATTTTTTAAGCTTTAATTCAAGAATAATGCTTCAAATAAGCTTTTATCATTTTATACTGGTTCACTATTTTTTATTGTATTTTAAAAGTTGATGGATTCTTATTAAGGAACAGCATTCTATTCATTAATATTTTTTTAATTTTAAAACACCTAATTAGCCTATTACTAAGGGACAGGAGGAGGGGGAGGTGGAGGTGGTGGTGGTGGAGGGACCATTTATGAAGTTCCTTAAACTTAATTGGAAGGATTTTAATATTCTAGTTAATTATTATTAGGGATTGGGGGAGAATATACAGACTAAGCTTATTTTAGATCCTACATTGGTAATTTGAAATTTTAATTGTCTTAATTTAACCCTGTTTGGTTATTTTAATTGCTTAAATTTACATTAAATTAATTGTATTCATTAGATTGAGCTGTAGATTGAGCTGGAGTTTGAGAAACATTGTATGAAGTTTAGGATGTAGCCAATTATTTTTATTCATAAGATTCATTTTACACTTAAGAATATGGAGGAGGCTATTAATTTTGGGAGTTGTATTGTTAATTTGAACTTATGTTATAATTATTTTATTATTCAATTTTTTGGTTTTTTGGTTCATTATTATAATTCTATTATTAATAAGGGTTTGAAATTAAATTTGGATAGGCTTAAGTTTATTAACTTTGATAATCTTGAGGTACTTTATTTTCATAGTTGTTTTGAAGATTATACTAATATCCTTAAGTAGGAGGAAATGAAGCAATTTAATTTGGAAGAGGAGGTTAAGATGAACTTTAATATCCTGGAAGTTATGGTTAAGGTTAATAATTTAATTATGTTTAATTGGCATTTGACTAAGGTTAGACTACTGAATATGGTGGTTAAGTTGTTGGTTGATTGGTGGTATAATTATACGTTGATGTTGATGTGGCTTAATATCCGACTATTTATGGTTAAGGAGGAGAGGAATAGGGGTTATTATTTTAATATTAATTATTAGAAAAACCTTAAATTTGTGGTTAAGGAACAGTCTAATAAGGATTTTGTGGTTGAACATAGATATTTTAATTGTTATAATTATTGTAGGTTATCTATTATGGTTATTATTATGGATATGAATTCTATTAGGATTAAAATTATTAATATTATGAATCAGTCATATTTAATTATTGATTTGTGTATGATTAATATGGATTTGTAGATGGTTATTAAAAACCATATTATGAATTTACAACAGCATTAATTTGAGGTTGAACCTAAGTATAAACATCATCATCATATAGATAAAATGTGAATGCTGTATAATTAGGTGTATAATGATGTCCATAAGTTATAAGTTAAATTTAATGGACTTGATTGAATTATGTCAAATAGATATCTTTAATAAATTACTCATTAAATAGATCAAGAAAATATTAGTTAATGATAAAAGGAGGAGTTTGGAAAGTTGTTTAAAAATATCCTATTATTATATCTCTTAATTAAATAAGTTAAGGGAAATTATTAATGGTATTAGCTGCATACTCTAGAGTAGCGATTTGGCTAGCAAGGTGAGGTTTCAAAGCCATGATATTTCTATTTGAATATTATATAATATCAACTTTAGAGATTAACTTTTAAATCAACCTAAACTTTCAATTAATTATTTACTCTATTAAAAATCTATACATTTTTTAGTCTCTGAAGTGATAAATTAACTCTTTAATTAGATGTTATGCTGTATTAAAATTATTATGATAATGCGAATGATGATGAGTAGCATATCTATATAACTAGGCCAGCTGGATTTCTTTTTGTTAGACCTATACAATCTCATAGTTTTCTTTTAAAGCAGCCTATTCTAGAACAATGTGGCATTATGGCACAAAAAATTACATAGATTAATTAATTCATCAAAAAATCATATATTTTCGACATAAATACTTAGAAATGCTAATAAAATTTGTAAATTATATTTTCTATAAAATTTAAACAAATAAAAATAGGTCTTTAATAGCAAAATTCTTGCATATCTTTTATGTGACTAAATGTTTTAGCTAATTAAAATATGTTTGTAGAGTAGTATGAAATATATTTAAGGTTTTTATTGGTAATATGGAATAATAAAAAATTTAAAGTAATATATACATTTTAGTATGTATCTATCTTATCTAAAATCATTTAATTTTTATTATTTTCATTTTTAATGGAATGAAACAAAATTATACAATAATAAATAATAATTTTCTCTTAATAATATTTTATAAAATATTAAAGAAAATATTCTAAACTTAAGATTTATATTAATAAATACTAAAAAATTCATTAATCAAGAGAAAGAAGTTGATTATCCATTAATTAAATAATTTTAATTTTATACTACTCACATCATTGTTGTTGTTGTTGTTCCATTTTAATTATATATTTATGATAATAAAGAGTCATTCTTCGATATTGGTTATTTAGAGTATAAATATTTGTATCCTTTTGTTGTTTTAAAACCTTCTAAAAATATATCTTAACCTCCACATTAGGCTGCTTACTCATAATTCAATGCAAATCGTCTAAACATATTTTAAATAAAAATTACCTATAATAAGTTTATTGTAATAAATCTTGTAAATCTTTTCCACAATGTAATACACATTTAATTTGGACATTCAATTAACCAAATCTTTATTCTGCAAAACATTATTCTATATCTTCACTTTCTATATCAATAGTGAGTCCATGAAGATATGCACATAATGGATGGAATGCATGTCTACAAGGTATTGTTTAATTGCCAAAACAAGTAAATCGAAATCCTATAATGAAAAAATGTTTACCCTTGACATCACCACAAATAGCACATTAAGGAGTACTTGTTTCATTATCTTTACAGAATTATTTAATATCACTCTTATTTCTCAATTTATAAACACCTTTTTTTATAATAACTAAATTTGTTAGTAATAAACAAGAAACATGATAAAATTAATTATCAATTTATTTTTATGGAAGTCCTAATTTTTTACAAATTCTACATTTTGCTTGATCTAAAATAATATAATAGATTACTTCTTTTTGTAATACTTAATTTATTTTATTCAAATTAACATGCATCACAAAGAACATCTTATTCATCTAAATTTCCTATAAAACAATAACAAATTTTATGAAATGAAGTTGAGCATCTTCCACAATAAATAACTGGATTAAAATCTGTATAATGATAATCAAAGCATATTTTGCAATCAGTATCAAGTGGTTTTGAATTTTCTTTTGAGTGTATTTTTTTCTTTTTTAATTCAGCTTTTTAAGAGGATTGAGAATCTAAATTTAAACAAGGATAAAATGTATTTAGAACATCTTTTTATTTGTCCTTATATCCATTAATAAATGCTTTAACAATCTATGACCATTTTAATAAATCCATAATTTTTTGTTATTATTTTTTCATAGTTTCCAAAGTTGCATAATCTTTAGTATTTATAATTTAATTATTTATATTTTGTCTCATTTTATTATTTTCCTAAACAATTTCATTTAAATCCTCTTTTAATGCATGATATATAATATCTAATTATTCTACTGTCTCATTTTCTATATCTAATTATAATTCTAAAAGTTAGTATTAAGATTTTATTTTTTCTTCCAATTTTACACATTAATCAAAATCCTCTTAACTTAATTCACAGGATTCTTGAAAAACAAGACTTTTTCCTACTGGCTCCTTTTTAGCAAATTTATAATTGTACTTCATTTTCAGAAATTTATAAATTTCTTAATAAAGGGACACTTTCTAATGGATATCTATAAAGTCTTAGATTTGTTAGGATCTATCCTTTGGTATTCGTTCGACCAATATAATCAGTAAAATTATATCGTATGAATCTAAAAGATTGTTTTACAATTTGTGTACTAATAGGAAGATTGTGAAGTTCGAAATACAACATTCATGGAGTCTCTATAAAGATATCTTAACTAAATTATTGGTTCTATTCATAATTCAAAGATTTACCAAAATTACTCTAATCTGAGAAATCTAAAAGATCTTAATCTAAAGTTTATTCATGCCATTTAAATAAATTATCAAATTCTTCTAATTTTGTTTAAGGCATTTTTTCTTCTCCATTAAAAAAAACATCATCTATTTTATCCCACCATTTTGCAATAGATTAATCTCTTTTTGTTTCTCTCTCTTACCTTGGGAATTCTGGATCTTCTAATGAAATTTTAGTTATTTAAGGAAATATTTATTATCTAATAATTGTATTCTTCTAATTTTCAATTAAAATCTATTATTATTATTATTATTATTATTATTATTATTATTATTATTACTATTAATATTAAGGTAATAACTAAGGCTTTATTTGTTAGTATTATTAATGATTTTATTATTAGATTTAATAATTTAATTTCAATGGTACTTGAGATTCTATTTCTATTTGAGGTTTACTCTATTCGTTTTTAGAAAGAGCTTAAACGATCAAATCATTAGTTATTATACTCTACTAAATTATTAAAAGACTTTTATTAGGTTATGGAGGTTAGATAATATAAGAAATTGATTTTTTTGATTCTGACTCTTCTCCATCGCTAAATTTCCAATTTTTACTTGAATGCCTTGATTTTTTTCTATAGGAACGAGATCTTTTATGGTTATGCTTCTTTTTATGCTTCTTTTTATGTTTAGATCTATGATGTGAATGTGGTTCTTCTTATTATTCCTTCTAAACTATGTAAGAGTTATATAGAGAATTCACTGCTTCATCTAAATCTGTAACAACATTTTCGATTGAATCATGGTATGAACAAAATATCAATAACTAAGGAGGGCGGTGGCCATTCTCTTCAGTCTTAGATATTATAGGGTTGTCTACACAATCAAAGTGAAAGCTCTTTTTACATAAACTTTTACGAATTACACATTCTAATTATACCTCTGTGAACAACGAACAACTTATTTATAGTTTCTTTTCCCACATATTGAACAATGTTACAAGTATTCCTTGTAAAATAATTTTTTATTGACTGCCAACCGATGATTCCAATCAGATTTGTAAAATAATAGGCACTTTTTATGGATATACTCGTATTCCCTTGAGGATTCGAAATGAGGAAGCAATTTCACTAATCCTTCTGATTTCTTTCCACAGGCAACACAATTTTAAAATACCATTAATTATAATTATTATTATATCTCATCTTTTTGTCGATTCTAAATAATTAAATGTATAAGCATTAATATCTCATATAACATCAATAAAAATTATATATTAACAGCAAACTTTATTATATTTTCATCAATACTTTAATTACTTTCTATATAAAATGATAAATCATTTAAAATTGTTATATAAATCCAATAAATTATTTGAAAGAATTTTCATAAAAAGTATAACAAAAGTATTTAATTTCTAAGATAATAATTAACTTATGTTTATAATATTAAATTATTGCAGTTCTTAATTTTTTAATCATTATTTCAATTACTTTAAATAAATAAATCTATTAATTTATTTTTAATTGATTATAAATATAACTAATAATTTATCTAACTTTAATTGCTTTTCAAATTAGATTTTTTAATAAATTGCATCTAATACAGTAAAACTATTTTACTAAATTCTAATAATAAATTTATTTATATATTCATAACAAATAAATGAGATAATGATCTTATCATCTCTTCTAAATATTTAAAGTAATTCCTTAATTTGAAATATATATTATGTCGAAAAAATCGAATAATTTATATTTCTACATTTATTCAGGATAANCTAAACTATGTAAGAGTTATATAGAGAATTCACTGCTTCATCTAAATCTGTAACAACATTTTCGATTGAATCATGGTATGAACAAAATATCAATAACTAAGGAGGGCGGTGGCCATTCTCTTCAGTCTTAGATATTATAGGGTTGTCTACACAATCAAAGTGAAAGCTCTTTTTACATAAACTTTTACGAATTACACATTCTAATTATACCTCTGTGAACAACGAACAACTTATTTATAGTTTCTTTTCCCACATATTGAACAATGTTACAAGTATTCCTTGTAAAATAATTTTTTATTGACTGCCAACCGATGATTCCAATCAGATTTGTAAAATAATAGGCACTTTTTATGGATATACTCGTATTCCCTTGAGGATTCGAAATGAGGAAGCAATTTCACTAATCCTTCTGATTTCTTTCCACAGGCAACACAATTTTAAAATACCATTAATTATAATTATTATTATATCTCATCTTTTTGTCGATTCTAAATAATTAAATGTATAAGCATTAATATCTCATATAACATCAATAAAAATTATATATTAACAGCAAACTTTATTATATTTTCATCAATACTTTAATTACTTTCTATATAAAATGATAAATCATTTAAAATTGTTATATAAATCCAATAAATTATTTGAAAGAATTTTCATAAAAAGTATAACAAAAGTATTTAATTTCTAAGATAATAATTAACTTATGTTTATAATATTAAATTATTGCAGTTCTTAATTTTTTAATCATTATTTCAATTACTTTAAATAAATAAATCTATTAATTTATTTTTAATTGATTATAAATATAACTAATAATTTATCTAACTTTAATTGCTTTTCAAATTAGATTTTTTAATAAATTGCATCTAATACAGTAAAACTATTTTACTAAATTCTAATAATAAATTTATTTATATATTCATAACAAATAAATGAGATAATGATCTTATCATCTCTTCTAAATATTTAAAGTAATTCCTTAATTTGAAATATATATTATGTCGAAAAAATCGAATAATTTATATTTCTACATTTATTCAGGATAATAAGTCTACTTAATATTATATTTAATTGTTCAAAATATGCTAAATAAAATATGAAAACAATTAGCTTTAGAAATTTCTTATTATTTTACTTTACAATGATATATATTGAACTTACATTTATAAATTAATTTTATCTATAATCAAATTAAGATTATAACTATTTAAATTGAGATTAAAAGTAAAATAATGATACAAATTATATTCAATATTTCTAATAAAATAGTCTATTTTATTTTAATACTGAAATCATAGGTTATATATTCAAAATTAAAGTATTTTGACTTATATTTTTAAAACCTTACTAATTTGATATTGTTATTAGATGTAAACTAATAAAATATTTGTTTAGCTCAGAATTCAAATATAAAATAAATGAATATTATAGATTTATCATAAATAGAAGTAAATTTTCATAATCTTTTAATCCTTCAATCAATTAATTTATCTTCAAAATGTTTGTATTTTTAATTAATATTGACTATTCAAAAGATTTGAAAATACTCTAAATTTAAATTTATTATCTAAAGTACTAGAGATATTTATAATTAATCAAACAATACTCTTAAATATTGAGATTAATTTAAAATGTGATTATTCCCAAAATTAACTTTACTAAAATTAAATTTGACTATTAGATCTGCATGAGAATAGGATAAAAATAAATGAAAGAGTATAATCTTAATACAGCCTTGACTTTATAATGAACTTTTAAATTTAATGTGTCTCTAGATCACGATTCTTTTAATTATTAAAGTTATAATCTCAATAATAAAAAACAATAAAAATTGTAGAATAAAAATTAATCATTTGTTATAAAGTCACAATTTCAAAGACCACAAGTATCTATCCATTTTTCTTAGAAATAACAATATATATATAATCATTTTTTTATAATATTTAGATTTTTCTAGTACAATTTTTTTCTAGATCTATGAATATTGAAAATATTTTCATTCACTATATTTGTAAACTCTAATCCATGAAATTAAATTAAATATTCATAGTTAGAATAATTGTCTATGATAACTAGATAATCATTCCTATTAATTGATATTCTAAAATATTAAATGTAAATATACTTCAATTGCATTCTATTATCATTACATTACTTTTGTTTTTCTATCTGATTTCTAATTCTTTTTTGTATTAATTAAAGTAAGAGAGAGAGAAATATAATCAATATTCCTTTTACATCTTCAAATAGAGACAATTCTAATCATCCTACAATTTTTATATAATACTTTATTCTTATTAATTATAAATTAATAATTGCTTATTATACATGTTTAAATAATAAAAACATATTAGAAAATATTGAACAAACACGTTAAATTTATGAATAACTTCTAGAAGTTTTTAGATTTAATTAAAATTATATTGAATGTATTTTATATTAATCCTATTTTTTTTTGATTAGATTAAATCATAAAAAATTGCTTTTGGTTCTTGTTATAATTATGAAGATCCAGAATCATTAATATTTTTTGAAATAGCCAAGCATAAACCAGTATATGAAATAATTATACATATTAGGATACTTTTGTATGGTTGGGAGATGCTGCTTATGTTACTTCTAAAACTAGCTAAAATAGAAGAATGTCTGAATTGAATGAAACAATTATCGAATACAAATTTAATCTTACAAAATATAATCCTGGTTACTAAAAATTGTTAAATACCACATAAATCAATGGAGTTTGGGATGATCATGATTACAATGAAAGAGATGGAATTTATTCAAATCCAGTAAAAGAAATGACTAGACAATTATTCTTAAATTTTTTAGATGTTAGAATTGATGATGAGAGAAGATTCAAAAAAGATGGAATTTACTATTCATTTAAATTAAAAAATACTAAGATAATACTTTTAGATGTAAGATGGAATAGAAATCCAGAACAATAAGATGTTTTAGGATAAAATTAATGGATTTGGTTAGAAAATGAACTTCAAGATAATGAAGTTGATTTATTTATAATAGGAAGCGGATCTCAAATTTTACCCAATGATGTATAAATTATACAATATTTAGAGATTATTTATTGATGTATGGTACTTATCAAGCAGAAACAAACTACTATCAATTTTAAAAGGGAAAAATGTTTTATTAATGACAGGAGACGTTCACTTTGCTGAAATTTTATAAGATCCTTGTACTAATATAATTGAAGTTTGTTCATCTGGATTATCTTATGGATCTCACTATAGAAATATATTAAGAGGCCTTTTTGAATTTTTTGCAGAAATATTTTAGCCAGACACATATTCATAATATTATGAAAGATTTGCTGATAAAAATTATGCTATTATTGACATTGATGAAAAGAAAATTTCAATTTATAATGAAAGTTCATTATTATATTAAGTTGACTTTAATAAAACAACTTCTATAAAATGTGAGGATCTTGAATCAACTCCATTAATTTTTAAATACTTCTGGAATTTTAAAGATAAATTTAATGCTTTTTTTTCAATGTTATTATTTTATTAAATAGTGAAAGCATTGAAATTATGTATTATTTTATTGGTCTTAATTATTTTGTGTGTTTTTGGAATCCTGAAATTTTTTGGATTATCAATAATAATTAAAAGAAAGACAAATGAAAAAATAAAATAAAAAAATGAATGATTATTTTTATGTTTGATTGCCCAAAATAAATCAATTTTCACCATTAGTTTTTTACTATTATTAATTTTGATTTTATAGCTTTTTTTGATTATTAAGTTCTAAGATTTCTGCTCTTAATTTATCTTTTTCTTTTTCAATATTTTCTATTTATAATTTTAAATCTGCATTCTTTTATATATAATTATAAATAATACTTTTTATGCTATTTCTACTGCTAATAAATTAGCTTTATCAGCTCTTTATTAATTTAAGTTACTTTTCTCTTCATCCTCTTTTGCTTTAAAGGCTAATTTTAAGAATTCTACTGTTAAATTTTAAAATGTGCTTGTTGATTTCTCAAAAGTTTCTATAAATTCATTTTATTTTCCTTTGTATACTGATAATTTCATTTTTTTATCATTCAATTATTTTTATGCATCTTAAATTAATTATTTTTCTTGCATTGCTTTTTAAGCATCACCCTACATTTTTTCGAATTATTCCATATATTTTTTAGTATCATTTTTTTATTCTTCTTCATTTTCTTTTACTTTTTCCCAAAATTCCTTTTCTTTTTATTCATATTATGCAATTAAGGCTTGCATATCTTCACGAATTCTATAATATATTAAAATACATATATACTTTAAATTTTCTTCTGCAAATTTTTAAGCATCTTACTCTTCTTATTGAATCTTATCTTTTACATCCTTTACATCTTCATAAAATTTATCTTTCATTTATTTTCTATTAGCTTCCTCTATTTCTGGTAATTTTTTAAGTGTCTCATTTATTTTTCTTGCACTTGTATCTATTTCTTAGCAATTTTATTTCAATTTTTATAATTTATCTTATAATTGTGGATATTCCTTATGTAATAATTAATCTTTATCTTATGTTTCTTCCTTTGCTCTTTTTTTTTAAATAAATTCATCCTATTATAATACTTATAGAAATTCCAGCTAAATTTATTATTCTACTATTTACAAATTGTTATCCCAATTATTTTATTTCTTCAATCGACAAATCTTCATTCAAATTTTTTAATATTTCTTTATACAATTCCTCTAAAGAATATATATAAAGATACCTGTTTTAGTAAAGTCGACACTATCTAATACATTTGATGATAATTCAGCATATTTTTCAGCCAATAGTTTTTACATTATTCAAATTTTAAATTTAATATTAATAATTAATCATTTCTTACTTTGAGGTTTTGGTTAATTGACTTTTATATTCTATACCTCATCAGAATTTTGTATAAAAATATCAAAATCTTCAGAATGATCCAACTGTTACTTAGACACTTAAGGTGGCTTTTTAATTTCTGGTTCCTTTGTAATTGTTATAGGCTTATCAGTTTTAATATAAATAATTCCACTACAATGATCACTTGTAGATTTGGTAACTCCTTTAAAAACATTTAATAATTGTTTATTTTTTCTCAAAGCCATAAATCCAACAATAATTGAATCGATCTATTAATAATCTTAGGATTTTAAAAACTCTAATTATTTTATTTCCTATTATAAATATTTAAATAATTCCTCAGAGAAATTACCACCTACAAAAATCTTGCCTTATTATTTATTTTTCTCTAAATAAGATTAAATTTCTTAATAGATATATTATTTTAATGTTGAAACTTTAACAACTGGATTTAATTATTGTTTATCAATTAATTCCATTAATTTACCCAAAGATAGAGTAGTATATTTAAATTTATCTGAATTTCGTAATTGTTTAAGAAATTCTTCATTAATTGTTTTATCCTAAAATCCTTATATTAAAATATCTTTATTCCAATTAGATGCATAATTTAGTGCAAACATAGCAGGACAAATAAAATCTCCAGAATAGGTTTCTTTATCATCTTTATTTTTATATTGAGTAAAAGATGCAAAACCTGATAAATTCAATAAGGAATCTTATTATTATTCAAATAATTTTGCTTAACCAATAATTTGAAAAGGTCCTCCATTTCCTTTTAAATAAAAATCATATGCAAGGAAGTTACAAATTACTCTTTAATTATATTGATTAGCAATTTATTGACAAAATTTACTTAAAAATACTGCTGATTTTGGCTTTTATATATCATTTTCTACTAAATGTATAAGAATTGTATTAAAAGCAAATAAAGTAACAGAATTACTTTGAATTTATTATTATACTTATTCAAATATTGTATTAATAAATTCACCAAACTCTGTCTCTAATTCATTATATAATTTGTCATTAAACTTTTCATGTGACTTTTTAGAATATTCTTATATTGTTAAAATTATTCTTCTTCTTAATTATTCAGGATATTGAAATTATTAAAAATGAAGTTATTTCTAGGACCATTAGTCAGATTCCTTATCTTGATAAATAAATTCAGTTATAGATAATTCAATGCCATCTAATTGAATATCTGAATTAACTGCACAAACAATTATTTTTTCTTTATCCTCTTAATTCATAAATTATATTTAAAATATAAATATTCAAAATCTTGTTTTAGTTTTAGGTTGTACTTTATCAAATTCTTTCAATTTGAATTAATGTTATTGAGTTTAGTTTAAGGATTTGATAAGACTTTGATAAGCAAGTTTACTTGCCTTAGTATGTTTAGTTGCTGTTGATGGTCTTTTACTTTATTTTAGTTTATGTTTTGAAATTGCATCATATTTCTTATCCATTAATTATTCTGCTTCATTCATATAACTGCCACTTAACACATTTTTCATAGGTGATTAAGGTAAATAGGGTTTACCATACCTAAAATTTTCATCAGGTAAATTCATTTCAATTTAACTGCAACCTCTTTTTCTAAAAACTCTTGCATCATTACTTTTTCTGAATAGATAAAATTGTTTCTGATCATGTAATTTATTTGAAATACACATTTTATTCAATTTCGTAAAGTCTCTATCAGGAGGATTTAATTCACTATGATTATGATAATACCATGTAGAAGTTACTAAATGTAAAATTAAGGAATTACCTTACTATGCTCCTTCAGTATCATGAACAATTGCTTTACCAAAATAAATATCATTTGGAATTGTATAAATAGATTATTTTGCTGCTCCAACAGAATCTTTTAACAATAAAGAATTTGCTCTATTTTTATTCCAAGGTTTCATTTGATTAGTAATAAATTTTATAAATAATTATAAGTATGTTATTATATTATGATTAAATGTCTTTAGAATTTAAAACACTTATAATTAAAAATATATAAATTCTTAATTTAAATAATTTAGGAGATTTAATTAACATAAACAATATTATTAAGATCATATTTATCAACATGATTTCTATTCAGGAATTATTTCAATTCCTTAACTTATATTAAACGAAGATCCATTTACTTATTATGAAAACTAACTTACTCTTTCTGTTAAATTTTATTTAATGGATTTGCCTTCTAATTTGATTCTTGTTATAAAATAAATTAAAGGTTCACTTTCCACAAATTCTTAAATACTAAATATCTAATTTAAATATCTTTATAATTATTATTGTCTTTCTTAAATTTGTTATGGATTATCTATTGTTTATCCTATCAATCTTCTTTTAGGAAAATGAGGAAGACTATTTTTAAATTATTATTTTTCTAATAAATGATGACAATCTCGAAGATTACTGTACCTTGTTTTGAAACTATATTTTGTAGTTTTTTTAGTGTCTGTTAAAGTAATCAAATAAAGAACAAAATCATTTTTAATAGTAAAATCATTTATTGCAAAATGATATCTCTAATAATATCCTTAGATTTCTTTCCCTTTCTATTTATTTTTTTTAGTTAATTAAAACTATTCTTGTCTTTGAAGAAATGATTTTTTCAGTTCATCCATTTATAACCAACATAAATCTTTTGAATATTCAGTTTTAATTTATTCTAATCTACATGTTTCATCTAATAATTGTGATTCAGGTAAAAATTCTCTCAAAAACTAAAATGACCATAAAGTAGGAATATTAAGTATGATTTCTAAATATTACTATAGTTCTTAACCCTAAGAATTTAAGAATTTAATTACTCTCGTTTTAATGTCACTTTAAGAATTTTTTGTTCTTCCAAATATTTTCTTACTAGGAAATCTTGGAAATGTTAATTTTAACTTGAATTCATTATTTTTCTTATATAATTATTAGTTTAAGGCTTTCAAATCCGAATATCGTTTATAAAGTGATTTGATAGCATTTTCACCATTAACATGAATTGTATAATAAATAACATCATTTCTAAATTCGTAATCATTTATTGTTACTCCATATCTGATCATGATATCTTTATTGTTGATTAATTATAATAATTATCAATATGGTTTTTTCGATGATTTTAATTACACAAATTATGTTAATTTTAACTTATTAATATATATATATATTTAATAAATATAATCAATAAAATTTATCTATAGTATATTTATCTTATTACTATTAAAATAAGGAAGACATAAACCTATAATTCATTATCTATTATTTCATTTTTTATTAATTTTATGAATAAAATATTTATTTAGTTGTTGTTCAGTAAATTATATAAGTTACTTGTAAAATTAAAGAGACTTAATTTCTGATGATATTATTGTTCTACTCTCTAAAAATTAATATCTATAAATTCTCTATTGTTATTAAACTATAAATAATTTATGATTAATATATTTCATTTATTATAGAAATGTTTTAGAACTTTTTTAATTAATAAATTGAATAGTATTTGTTGATTATAAGTTGTTTCTTATTTTTAAACCTAAAATATCATATTATTTAATAATATTTTTAGGATAATTATAGATTAATTTTTTAGTCATTTAAGATTTTAACATTTATTTATGATTTATCAGATGATTAAATTATATTAAGTCTACTCACATTTTCCAATTATAAATTAACTAAAATTTAAGTCAAATAGAATTTCATAATTAATTATATTTTTAATAAAGAATTACTATAAAAAAAATAAGGAATTTAATAGATACATAATTGAATAGGGTAATATTATAAATATTAATATTCAATGCTCAACAATTTAATCCTCTATCAAATTTAGACTCAATCTATCTGAATGAGAATGTTAATTAGAAGGTGAATTATCTATGATAATGAGACCTCTTGTATTAATATCATGATCACTAATTCTAAGTTGAGTAAGAGGTATTTTAGGCAACTCACCTTAATGAGAATTAGAATTATCTATTTCATTCTTATGTGTCATTTAACTCAAACATAAATATTTTTATATATCTGCCTCTCCTAATTCTTAACGACATACAGGACATGTTGTATTCTTTTTAGTCCAATCTCTTAAACAATTTGTATGGAAGAAATGTTTACAAGGAGTCTCTCTTGTTTAATCTCTCTTTAAAAATTAGACTAAACAGACACAACACGTTTCAGTAAGTTAATGTTTTGGCACTTATTTTATAGGCATATATTTATCTAAAATTTCAATTGAAATTTTAGGCTATTCCTCATACACTTTAGCTTATTTTCTAATTTGACATATGATGAAAATAGAAATTAGAATTCCTAATATAAATACTCCAATTATAGTTAAGATAGCCCATAAAGGGAATGAATCTTCATTATCTTCAGAATTTTAATGTAATGTTAATGTAATAGCTGCATCATCATCAAGGTTGTAAATTCCTACAGCAAATACATATGATTAAATATCTGTTTATCTTTGTAATTTAACTTCTTAGCTATCCCCGTTTGAGTTGAGTAAGAATAAATTAGATTAAAATGAAGGTAATACAGTTATATTTGCTTTATCTATTGGCAATAGAGCTATAATAAATGATGCCCAATCACTTTCTGCTTGGATCTAGATTATTTATTTTATTTTACTTTATAATCATAGTTATCCAATATATAATATACATAGTTCCAAGAATATTTAGGCACAATTAAAGTAGTTGAAGTATCTGTTTCAATTTCTTCCATATTTTACTAGCAATCTAAGCCATATGTAGGAAAATTACAAACTAACTTTTCAGGAGGCTATTTTATATTTTTGAGAATTTAATACTGAATCGAAAATTGTGATTGTGAATAATATTACTTTACTAAGATTAGATTCAGGTATGAAAGTTAACTTTTTATTAGAAACTGCTATTTGAATCTAATCACTCTAAACATATATTTATTAGACTTTTGATTTTGTAGCATATCCTTATTCATCATAAAGAGTTTGAGTAACATCACTTAAGGTTGAATTAATCTCTAAGTAAGGAAGACAAGACTAGTCATCTGGGAATTTTTTTATTGTCAACTAATTATTAATCCTTTTCAATTACTTATATCAAGTGTTGTTTAGATGAGTCTAAATTGTAACTAAAATCCATATATACAGTTTCAAATGTTTTTTGGTAAATTTAAGTAGCACAACACAGACTCAAAAAGATGAATTATATTTGTAAAAACATAAATTTTTAAATTGATATTTACTGATTACCAACAAATATATTTTAAATCAACATCCCTTCTATTATTATGTTATCTAATTTTATATCCCCTTACTATTTCTCATTTGGTTTTTATCATAAGAACCAGAATTTATCATTAATTAATCATTAATAGTTCTTTCATGAACTTCCAAATCATATTTACAATTAAAAATATATAACTATATTGTGTATTAACAAATCTCAAACAACTTGTTAAAAAATGAGTTAATTTTGAATTATTTTCTAATTATGAATTTATATAAAATATTTTTTTATTATTAATATTTATTAGTTTATGATTCTCCCTTAAAAACAATGTCCATTTAAATATAGATTAAAATATATATTGAACTTATAAATTTAGACTTTTTATTTAAATCATCCATAATTACTAAATAAATCAAATGAATAATATTTCATTTAAATTTTCTATTGAAAATACATTGAAATATCTAAGTAATAATTTAATATGTTCTAAGCTGAGAAATATTCTGAAATGCTTAGGAAGAATGAATTTTAATTTTTAAATTATCAAATAATTAAATCAAGCTTTATTTAATTATATAAGTTCCTGAATTTTATTTGTAAAAGAAACATAATTGAATCGACAAATATAAATGCAATTCTTAATTAATTTTAATCTTAAATATTATACTTATTCTCTATTATAAACTTCAACAATTTAAATTCAAGTAAATAATTTTGAATAGTATTTACATATTTATTATATTAAAATATATATTAAATAATAAGAATGATCATTTCATCCATGGTTTACTTGGATTACCACTATTGGAGAATCCTGGAAGATCATTCAAATAGTTAATAGATGGGACTGGAGTTGATTATTGTTATTATTAAGTCTATTATTCTTAATTAGAAGGATTTTCTTCAATATGATTCCAGAAATCATTCTATTGTATTGGTAATTGAGTTGAGTCTGCTTGAATATCTATCTATTACTATTCTTCTGCCTCTTCATTATTTGTATCTTCATTATCTGATTAATTTTATGCTTCAGTTTCTTATTTTTCTTTGATTTTTCTCTTCATATATGCCAACAACGCACCAATCAATAGAATGACTGCATATTTAATTTAAGAATACCAATTAACAAAAGCAATCGTATAGCAATTATCCATTACTTACCAATCTAAGTACTAGTATTTACTACTGATTTACCTATCTATGTCATAGTCAATTCCCCTTTAAGTAATTATTTAATTCTAAGCAAAGTTAAAAATTTATTAATTGATGTGACAGCTCCAGATTTAATGAATTCTAACAATTTTTTTGTTTTTTCCATCAACATTTAACCAAATATGCATAATTAAACTGTTGAAAATGAGATTCCCATTAAAGATTATATACCCTTTAAAGAATAATTACACAATATATACTTAAACTACACTTTAATAATCATTTCTAAGTCCATTTGGCTATTGAGGTTGTTGTCCTCTATTGTTGAGCATCATTCGAGGATTCATATAATTATTTTACATAATAATTTTATTATATTTCTAATCATATATTTTATCTTATTATCCATTTTCAAAGTATGATAAATATGAATTTAATTTAATCACTTAAATTAATCAATGTAGTAGTATTAAAGTAGATCTAATGTATATAATATAAATTTATTTGCTTATTAAGATTTTGGATATTAATATAAGTCTCTATATATATATATATTTAATATACCACTAGAATTTTATATAAAATGATTACCATATAATAAAAATCTATATTCTAAATAGTTTATTTATATAAGTTATTATGAAATAATATAAAATTTTTTTATTGAAATAGAAGGATGGACAGAGAAAGTCGTTCTAGAGATGATAGTAAAGGTAGATAGGCCCCTTTGTATAGGGAATCTCTATATCGAAGTTCATCTTCAGTAAGCAGCTAATTTAAAGTCTCATCAGGCCCTATGCTATTCAAAGGTACAGAGAATTCAAGTGTGTTGAAAAATGCTCAACCTTAATTTGAAGAAGATGCAGATGGATTTAAAAAGCCACCAGCTCGTTCAGAGAAGTTAGAAGAAGAAAGGAAACGCAATAAATTACTTAATGAATACACAGCATTTGAATGGGAAAATATAGAATAAGAATCAGATAGAAAATGGTATGATTATGATGAAGATGATATTGGTAATGCTTCTTAATAAGATTGGGGAGGTGAAGTATTCAAAGGATAAAAAGAAGAATTTAAATTTGAAGAATATAGTAAACGTAAGGGTTAGACAGTAAGATAATCAGAGAAAAATTAAGAATAAAATAGATGGGAACTTAATCGTATGATTGCATCAGATGTATTCAAAAGAAAAGCAGATGCTTGGGATTTTTATGAAGAAGAAAATGAAAAAAGAGTTGTAATACATGTACATGATATCAAACCACCTTTTTTGGATGGAAAAGTTGTTTATACTACTTAATTGACATAAGTATAAATTGTCAAAGATCCTAATTCAGATATGGCTAAGTTAGCAAAGTAAGGTTCAGAAGTTTTAATGTTAATGAGAGAGAAATAAGATAAAACTAAAATGAGGGAGAGATTTTGGGAATTAAGTGGATCCAAAATGGGAAAGGTTATGAATCTAGATAGAAAAAAAGAATAGGATCCAGATAGACATTTATTAAATGAAGATGGAGATTATGATTTCAAAGCTTCTTCTAGATATTAAACAGCTCTTTAAAGAGTTACTTAAGGTTAAAGTGATTTTGCTAGAAATAAAACAATCAAAGAACAAAGAGAATACTTACCAGTATTTCATTGTAGATCTGAATTAGTTTAATTATTACATGATAATAGAGTTTCTATTATTGTAGGAGAAACTGGATCAGGTAAGACTACTTAATTGACATAATATTTATATGAAGAAGGTTATACTAATACTGGTGTAATTGGATGTACTTAACCAAGAAGAGTTGCAGCAGTATCAGTAGCAAAAAGAGTAGCTGAAGAAATGGGAGTAGAATTAGGTAGTAAAGTAGGTTATGCCATTCGTTTTGAAGATTATACTAGTAAAGATACAGTCATTAAATATATGACAGATGGTGTTTTATTAAGAGAATCTCTTTAAGATCCTGATCTTGAAAAATATTCTGCTGTCATTATGGATGAAGCACATGAAAGATCTTTAAATACAGATGTTTTATTTGGTATTCTTAAAAAAGTAGCATAAAGAAGAAGAGATATTAGAATTATTATTACATCTGCAACTATGAATGCTAAAAAATTCAGTGATTTCTTTGGTGGAGTACCTATCTATAAAATACCAGGTAGAACTTTCCCAGTTGATGTCAGATTCGAAAAAGCACCTGCCTAAGATTATGTTAGAAGTGCAATTAAGAAAACTATTGAAGTTCATATTCAATAACCTCCTGGAGATGTTTTAATATTTATGACAGGATAAGAAGATATTGAAACTACTTGTTATTTGTTAGCTGAAGAACTCAATAAATTAAGTGAAGNAAAAATTAAGAATAAAATAGATGGGAACTTAATCGTATGATTGCATCAGATGTATTCAAAAGAAAAGCAGATGCTTGGGATTTTTATGAAGAAGAAAATGAAAAAAGAGTTGTAATACATGTACATGATATCAAACCACCTTTTTTGGATGGAAAAGTTGTTTATACTACTTAATTGACATAAGTATAAATTGTCAAAGATCCTAATTCAGATATGGCTAAGTTAGCAAAGTAAGGTTCAGAAGTTTTAATGTTAATGAGAGAGAAATAAGATAAAACTAAAATGAGAGAGAGATTTTGGGAATTAAGTGGATCCAAAATGGGAAAGGTTATGAATCTAGATAGAAAAAAAGAATAAGATCCAGATAGACATTTATTAAATGAAGATGGAGATTATGATTTCAAAGCTTCTTCTAGATATTAAACAGCTCTTTAAAGAGTTACATAAGGTTAAAGTGATTTTGCTAGAAATAAAACAATCAAAGAACAAAGAGAATACTTACCAGTATTTCATTGTAGATCTGAATTAGTTTAATTATTACATGATAATAGAGTTTCGATTATTGTAGGAGAAACTGGATCAGGTAAGACTACTTAATTGACATAATATTTATATGAAGAAGGTTATACTAATACTGGTGTAATTGGATGTACTTAACCAAGAAGAGTTGCAGCAGTATCAGTAGCAAAAAGAGTAGCTGAAGAAATGGGAGTAGAATTAGGTAGTAAAGTAGGTTATGCCATTCGTTTTGAAGATTATACTAGTAAAGATACAGTCATTAAATATATGACAGATGGTGTTTTATTAAGAGAATCTCTTTAAGATCCTGATCTTGAAAAATATTCTGCTGTCATTATGGATGAAGCACATGAAAGATCTTTAAATACAGATGTTTTATTTGGTATTCTTAAAAAAGTAGCATAAAGAAGAAGAGATATTAGAATTATTATTACATCTGCAACTATGAATGCTAAAAAATTCAGTGATTTCTTTGGTGGAGTACCTATCTATAAAATACCAGGTAGAACTTTCCCAGTTGATGTCAGATTCGAAAAAGCACCTGCCTAAGATTATGTTAGAAGTGCAATTAAGAAAACTATTGAAGTTCATATTCAATAACCTCCTGGAGATGTTTTAATATTTATGACAGGATAAGAAGATATTGAAACTACTTGTTATTTGTTAGCTGAAGAACTCAATAAATTAAGTGAAGCAACTCCTCCTCTTTTAATTTTACCAATTTATTCTTAATTAAGATCAGAAGAATAAGCAAGGATCTTTGAAAAAAGTGAATTTAGAAAATGTATAGTGGCAACAAATATAGCAGAAACATCTCTAACTTTGGATGGTGTAAAATATGTGATTGATACTGGATATTGTAAAATGAAAGTGTATAATCCTAGAATTGGTATGGATGCATTATAAGTTACTCCAATATCATAAGCTAATGCAGATTAAAGAAAGGGTAGAGCTGGTCGTACTGGACCTGGTATTTGTTTTAGATTGTATTCTTCATTAAATTATAGATAAGATATGTTAGAAAATAATATTCCTGAAATATAAAGAACTAATTTAGCTAATGTAGTGTTATTATTGAAATCATTAAATATTAATAATCTTTTAGATTTTGATTTTATGGATCCTCCTCCTTAAGATACAATTTTAAATGCTATGTATTAATTGTGGGTCTTAGGAGCATTGGATAATGTANAAGGTTAAAGTGATTTTGCTAGAAATAAAACAATCAAAGAACAAAGAGAATACTTACCAGTATTTCATTGTAGATCTGAATTAGTTTAATTATTACATGATAATAGAGTTTCGATTATTGTAGGAGAAACTGGATCAGGTAAGACTACTTAATTGACATAATATTTATATGAAGAAGGTTATACTAATACTGGTGTAATTGGATGTACTTAACCAAGAAGAGTTGCAGCAGTATCAGTAGCAAAAAGAGTAGCTGAAGAAATGGGAGTAGAATTAGGTAGTAAAGTAGGTTATGCCATTCGTTTTGAAGATTATACTAGTAAAGATACAGTCATTAAATATATGACAGATGGTGTTTTATTAAGAGAATCTCTTTAAGATCCTGATCTTGAAAAATATTCTGCTGTCATTATGGATGAAGCACATGAAAGATCTTTAAATACAGATGTTTTATTTGGTATTCTTAAAAAAGTAGCATAAAGAAGAAGAGATATTAGAATTATTATTACATCTGCAACTATGAATGCTAAAAAATTCAGTGATTTCTTTGGTGGAGTACCTATCTATAAAATACCAGGTAGAACTTTCCCAGTTGATGTCAGATTCGAAAAAGCACCTGCCTAAGATTATGTTAGAAGTGCAATTAAGAAAACTATTGAAGTTCATATTCAATAACCTCCTGGAGATGTTTTAATATTTATGACAGGATAAGAAGATATTGAAACTACTTGTTATTTGTTAGCTGAAGAACTCAATAAATTAAGTGAAGCAACTCCTCCTCTTTTAATTTTACCAATTTATTCTTAATTAAGATCAGAAGAATAAGCAAGGATCTTTGAAAAAAGTGAATTTAGAAAATGTATAGTGGCAACAAATATAGCAGAAACATCTCTAACTTTGGATGGTGTAAAATATGTGATTGATACTGGATATTGTAAAATGAAAGTGTATAATCCTAGAATTGGTATGGATGCATTATAAGTTACTCCAATATCATAAGCTAATGCAGATTAAAGAAAGGGTAGAGCTGGTCGTACTGGACCTGGTATTTGTTTTAGATTGTATTCTTCATTAAATTATAGATAAGATATGTTAGAAAATAATATTCCTGAAATATAAAGAACTAATTTAGCTAATGTAGTGTTATTATTGAAATCATTAAATATTAATAATCTTTTAGATTTTGATTTTATGGATCCTCCTCCTTAAGATACAATTTTAAATGCTATGTATTAATTGTGGGTCTTAGGAGCATTGGATAATGTAGGTGAATTAACAGAACTTGGTAGAAAAATGAGTGAGTTTCCATTAGATCCACCATTATCAAAAATGTTAATAAAAGGAGATTAATTAGGATGCACTGAAGAAATACTAACAGTTGTTAGTATGTTAAGTGTACCAGGAATATTTTATAGACCAAAAGATAGAGAAGCAGAAAGTGATGCTGCTAGAGAGAAGTTATTTGTTGGAGAAAGTGATCATTTAACAATGTTAAATGTATTTGAATAATGGAAAAGACATGAATTTTCACCTGAATGGTGTAATGATCATTTTGTTTAAGCAAAAAGTATGAGAAAAGTAAGAGAAGTAAGAGCTTAATTAAAAGATATTGCTGGTAAATTAGGATTAAAAATGAGTACTTGTAATTTCTCATATGATGTTGTTAGAAAGGCTATTTGTTCAGCATATTTTTAGAATGCAGCTAAAATTAAAGGAGTTGGAGATTATATAAATTTACGTACAGGTATGCCATGTAAATTACATCCTTCAAGTGCTTTATATTCTTTAGGTTATGCTCCAGATTATGTTGTTTATCATGAATTGGTAATGACATCTAAAGAATATATGCATTGTGTTAGTGCTGTTGATCCTCAATGGTTAGCTGAAATGGGTCCTATGTTTTTTAGTATTAAAGAAGATGGTGAAACTAGAGCATCTCGTATTGAAAGTGAAAAAAAGAGTAAAAGAGAAATTGAATTATCTATTGAAAAAGCTAAAAGAGAACATGAAATGAAAAGTGAAGAATGTTAAAGAAGAATAGAGAAAGAAGATAGAGAGAGAAGATTAATTAGTGAACGTACAGCTACATTAGGATGTAGACCAAGTAGAATATAAACACCATTAAGATAATAAATATCATCAATTGCTGCCACTCCTATAAGAAGTGAATGTGAATCTGTTATTTCAGGAATGACAAGTATCTAAGCTAAATAAATGAGAATGGCATATTATGACGATGAAGAAGAATAAGATGTTGGTAGAAACAAAATACCTAAATTAGAATGATTATTTAAATGAGTTTCTATGTATAAAAGATATTAGTTATAATTGAATTCATATTCAATATATATTTTAAAACTTGTGATTATTTAATTATAAAATATTTACATCATTTTGTAAAATTTTATTAATAAATAATGCAAGATAATCTTGATTAGACAGCTTCCTTTTTCTATAACCCTAAAATCAAAATCCCAAAATTAAAATGTACTTATGAAGTTATTTGTTCTCCTGATTTCGAAATTCCTACTTTTAGTAGAAAAGAAGACTCTTGTTAATAAAAATCATTATTCAAGTAATGTCAAAGAAGAAATAGTCAAACAAACATTGTTCACAATAATTTAAGCAATATATTCAATTAAATCTCACTAAAAAAGGCAAATTCAGACTCTAAAACCAATCCAAAGGTTCCACCACTTAAGATACAGTAAAAATCTCTGCTTTCTAAAGTTTCAGACTAGAAATCAATAAGTTAACATTCCACAACTATATTAAGAGGAAGAGGTAGTATTAAAATACTTCAAAATCCATTTATCACAGACTCTCGCAATTCTTAAAAATCAACTTGTACATCAGGAAGCCAACCTCCATAACCCAAAGGAAAACCATTTTTATAAAGAAAAGCTTAAATATAAATGGTGAATAGAGTATTCTCTTCGATGTCTTAACATAGATGAAATTTAATTAAATTTATGTCTCAAAACTTTCGTAGAATGTTCATTTCTCATATTTAATTCAATTATATGAGATTTATCATATAAACTCTATACTTATTTACTATTATTTTAATCTAAAATTTGTATTATTAAAAAAGTCTATCTTGATAATATTTGTTATATTATATATAAAGTTCCATTCTTTTGACAATAAAATAATAGCTTAATATCAATATTATATGCAATCATTTCAAAAATAGAAAGAATGTATTGAAAAAGTTTATATTTTTGAACCTAAAAATATGTCTTATTATCATAATAAATAATGAAATATGTTAATTGAGTATTTGAAGTAATTCTTTACCAAAATCAATTAAATTAATAGTATTATGAAAATTAAACTAAAAAAAATAAGATGATTATATATTTAATAATTTATCTAACGAATTATGGATCATTTTGAGAGAATTCGAAAAATTGGTAAAGGTAATTTTGGGGATGTTCTTTTGGTATAAAGAAAAAGTGATGGAAAAGTAAATTTACTCTTTCTAATTACAGGAATTTGCACTAAAAAGAGTAGATTTAAGTATGAGGGAGAGTTTTGTGGTTGACCCTCTTAATGAAGTTAAGGTTCTCAAATCATTAGACCATACGAACATAATTAAACACTATGATTCATTTATCCATAATAATAAACTATGTATTCTAATGGAATATGCCGAGAATGGTAAATTTTGAAAAAATAATCTAAGCTGATCTCAGTTTAAAAATAAAGGAAGCTAAATAAAATAAATAATTCATTCAAGAATCTACAGTTCTGTATTTCATTTATGCATTATTATAGATTCTTGCCTGGTTGACCTAATTGGCAGTAGCACTCGATTATCTTCATTCTTAAAAGATACTTCATAGAGATATAAAAGTATAAAACATATTCCTTTGCAATGATGGAATAGTAATATTAATATCAAAAATATAATAGGTGAAATTGGGTGATTTTGGTATATCTAGAACATTAGAAAACACATCTGAATTGGCATAAACATCAATAGGTATTAAATTAAATGAATATATTAAGGAACACCATTTTATCTATCACCTGAATTATGTTAGAACTAGTCATATAATCATAAGATTGATATATGGATGTTAGGATGTGCCATTTATGAATTATGTACATTATAAAAACCATTTACTGCTGAATCAATTAATGTATTATAATTAATATTAAATATAGGCTTTAGCTACTAAAATTATTAATGAGTAACATACAAAAATCTCTGATCACTATTCAGAATTTTTATCAAATCTTATTGATGAAATGTTATAAAAACAACCAGAAAAAAGACCAGAAATTTCAAAAATTTTATCATTCCCTTAAATTCAAATAGAAATACAAAAGCTATCTAAAATCTATAAATCTACTAAAATTTCATATTTAAATAAAGGATTCTCATCCAGTAAAAAGAATAACAGAATGCAACAAAATTCTATACATTTTTTAGTTGAAAAATCAAAATAATAACAAGGATAATCACCAATTTCCTCTAGAAGAAGCCAGTCTAAAGTTAACACTCCTTATTAAGGTTATAAAACAGATATTATTGATTAAAATAGTCCAAATTTTAAATTAAATGGAAAACTATTAGCATCTAATTTACATACTCTTCCAGATTATATAGATGATTAATAAAAAACCTAAACTCCTATATCTACTCAAAGAACAGAATCAAATGAAATTAATTCTAAACATCTAAAATATTAAAAATCTATTTCAATTAATACTTAAATTGATGATAATAATAACAAAAGAAATTAAGAAATTGAAAGTTAACCTACTCTTATAAAAAACTAAAAATCATTTACATTTGTTGATTTATTTTTTAATCCAAATACTCCTACATCTCCTAATAGATCATTATTATTAACAGACTTTCTTAAAAGAAAATTAGGAAATGAAAAATTTTATTAAATGAAAATAGTATATATATTATATCATTTAGTTACTTGAATAAAATAATGATCCAATTAAGTTATTAGATTAAGAAAAAGGTTTAGTCTAAGATATAATAGGAGAATAAAACATGGATTGTGTTAGAGTAATATTTCAATAAATCATTAGATTTTTAAACTATTAATCAGTTGTTCTATAACTCCTTAAGCAAGTCATGGTAGAGCTAAAAGTGCTTAAGTATTCACTTAAGAAAAGCAAGAAACATTAATTGATATAATAAAAGAATCTGACTTTTAGCCTTCAAATTCAATAGGCTCAAATCCAGGATTAGAAATTTCATTCAAAAATCTCTAAAATTTTACTGAGAACTAATAATCAGAACAATATTAATTAAAGGAATGAGTTTATTAACAACTAAAATTTCTTTTATTTTATAATTAATGCTCTATTTACTTATAATTTCAAAGATATTTATTTTTTATTTAAATAATAATATAAATTATATATTAGACCAAAACAATATACAATATTTTCTAAAAGAATAAACATACTTTGAAGAAATAATGATTTTAATGTTCATTTTAAGGTATCAACCAAAAAATAAAAATATATTACTTCGAATTTTTGTATATTTGGTTAGGATAATTAAATTCTAAAGAACTTTAAGTTTATTTAAATTCAAAATACTATTATTTTCTATTTGAGTCATATAATAATATTATATAACAAAGTAATATTAAAGGTTGATATATATCTAATATACCTAATTAATATAATAAATTTGCCTGTAAAATTAGTACTATTTTAGAATTAATTACTAATCATTGTTAATTAGATAACTATTCCTAAATTAAATTTTATTACATGTGAATAATTATTTCAATTTTAAGATATGTTTGTATAAATCTTAAATCAATCAGTAATCTAAGTATGAATTTGAAAATTTATAATATATTTTGAGATCCATTTTTATTATTTAGCTTGGATAATTAAATATAATATTTATTCTTTTAATTATTAAATATCATTGAATAGGTAATAATCCATTTATTTTACAAGTATGTAAATGCTTAAACCAAGTTAATTATTTTAATCAATAGAAAAGTTGTTATAATTTATTTCAAAAAATACAAATTAATTTATATTACGTAATCAAATCGTTATCCTACTTAACGATATCCAATCATGCAACAAAAAAGATAAAAAAAGTATGTTTATATATAAAAATTAGATTATCAAGAAGTCCTTAAAGAAATCCTTAAACAACCAATACTACTCATATAAGTAATACAACTCATAACTCTCCATATAAGTTTTCTAAGAAGAGAGGTACTTCAGTAACAATTCCAACGGATTCATATAGAATTGGGAGAGGAGAAAAAGTTGAGAAACGTAAGGTTTCTAAAATATAGAAATTAACTAATAATGAAAACAATAATTTTGTAAAGAAAGAGTCAAAGTTAAAGATTATACAAAGAAGATAGTAAATAGGTTTGGATTTCTTAAACAAAATTCCAAAAAAAAGTATTTAATTGCTCCTTCAAAGTATGGCTTCACTCTTAGTATATAGGATAAAAAACTTAAGGGCTTTCGCTATTTAAGCACAGCATCCCTAAAAATGCTTAAAATTCATTAAATTGTAGATTAAATATAAAGTAGAAAAATTAATTACATCAGTAGTATAAATAAAATGAATAAATGAATAGAAAAAAGGATACAAAAAAATAATTGCAAAATAGTCAAAATATTTTAAAAAGTAAATGTATATTAAATTATAGAAAGTAAATCATAATAAAGATGCAAAAAAAGGAGTATAACTTCAATAACTTAAAAGAAATAACTTACTCAAAGAAATTCTAGTTCCAAGACTAAAAATGAGATTACAACTTAACTAACTGGTTATGAAGGAGATTTGTTGGAAAAATATAAATAATTATAAGCTCGATATTCAAAAATATATTAAACTTTTTTTGATGAGAGTAGTTGTGTACAATATTTGACAGATACAGATCCAAATTTAATGCCTTCTTAACCAACTTCGAATAAACAGTAACAGGTTTTAATTGAAGAATTTATATTAAATAGAGATGAAATTAATTATCTAAAAGAATTTGGCATTCTCGAAAATGAATTAAATAGAATGCATTCTGCAGCAACTAAAATTTAAAAGGTTTGGAGAGGATTTATTACAAGAAAATAAATATTGGATTAATAATTCGAATAATATTATTATAAGAAATCAGAAATTTTTAATGAAGAAACATTCAGAAGCTAATTTCGTTTTGAAAAAGATAATCAATCTATTTAATAAGGCAAGGAATAAACTTTAAATTAAATTACATATTAAAATAACCATAATTTTAATTAAGATTTGGAATCATACAAAAAGGAAATATAGGAATAAAAAAATAGTCCAAAGATTTCTGATAAATTTGTTAAGTATTAAAAAATGAAATGGCAAGAACTTCTTAATTATATATCTTAATTACAAAGTCAATCTTAGGAAAAAACTATTGATGAGATTCTTAAAGATTTAAAATTATTTACTTAATAATGCTTTTAAGATTGTTCTCTTAGCAGATTTTAAATTAAGAAATTAGAGATATAAGTTCCATAATTTTCATAAGAATCTATAGTAATGAGTGAAATTCGATAAGCTATGTGTTCTGAAAGATTAATTAGATAATTACTTACTTCTTCAATAAAAATAGAGAATGAATAAATTTTTGAAGAATAACCATTTTATAAGTTTGCTTCAAAAAAGATGGATGAAATTATGAATAGATCTTAAATAGATGATTTAATAAAAATGAGATAGTTAATTGTGTAAGAAAAATAGAAATCCTAATAATAGGCTTTAACCTAATAATTTGAATAAAAATTAATTTCTCCTAAGACTTTCAAAGAGAAATATTAAACTTTAGAAAAATGGGTTAATAAATAAAATGAAGATATTGAAAATAATAAAATTAGTTTTGAAAAAGGATGGTAAGGATTATATAATACTTTTATTTAAACTGAAAAAGAACTTAAATTTTTACAGTAATAAAAGTATTTGTAATATTCTCAACTTTCAAATTCTTAGTAGTTTATTAATTATTCAATTTCTGCTTTCTCAGATTCTGGCTATAAAAAATCTATATAGGAATTATCAAATTAAAATGAAACTATTTTTGTTAATAATTAAACTGAAGAATTTGAGAATAATCGTTTAAAAACTCATACTTCTACTTCTTAAACTCCTGATGAAAAGATTAGATATCAACATTCAGAAAATTATCATGAAACTATAGAATGGAATGATGAATAATTATTGACTAGTCTATAAAACAATTAAGAAAAAGATTCAAAAATAAATAATGTTGTTAAACATACTCCTTAAAAAAGTTTAGAATAAGCTGAGATAGATTATCTTCACTAAGAAGTATCATTTATTAATATGATAGGTTTAAAATGAGGAATTAATTTGGCTGAATTATGATGAATTTAAATTTTATATACTTATGGATATCTCTAATTTGGTTTTTAATGAATTAATAGAGGAATTTGAATATGAATGTATATAAAAATAATTTTGAAAACTTATTATAATCTAATATTTAAATTAAATAATATAAAATGTTGTTTTTTATTAATTTTTGAATATTTAGAAATAATTTTGTAAACAAATTATGTGTAGTTTTATTTTTATATATCTTAACATTTTTATATGAATAACTTAAAAATGATATAATTGAATTATAAAATCTTAAAGTATTTGTCTAATAATATTTAATGAATTCAGGAGATTCATTTATTTGTAGATAATTTATATTAATTATTTATATTACTTTAAAAATAAATAACAAGTGTCATAATTGAATAGATATTATTTCAATAAAACTATTTTTTAACTATCATTTCTGAATCATAATCATAAAATGAATACTATAATGAATAATGTTAATATAGTTTATAAAGTTATGAAAAATTAATATATAATTTTTAATAAATGAACGAATCTCTTAAGCAATATCTGCCTAAAGATTACAAAAGAAGAGCATATTATACACCTTATGATGTTTCAGTTCATAATACAGCTAATGATTTGTGGGTGAGTTTTTTTGGGAAAGTTTGGGATCTTACATAACTTGTCTAAGAAAATATTTCATCGAAACTATGTGAACCATTAATTAAAATAGCTGGAAGTGATATATCATATTGGTTTGATAAATAAACAGGAGAACCAAGAAAGTAACGAATTTTATGATTATTTTGAATAGATAAGTAGATATCAATACAGGGTTGATTACTTATTATTGTCCTTAAGGTAGATATTTACATATTCCATCATCTGACCCTTGTGGAGATGATGAGCTTGGTAATCATTCAAAACCGTAATAAATTATAATTGATTATTTTAAGATGGTGGAGCAACGAATAATAATATTGTATTGGAAATTTAAGTCACAAAACAAGAAAGATCAAAATTATCAATATGCTTACAGATCATGAAGACATTATTGAAGTATTTTTAATATTAATATATACTAAAGGTGCCTTCTGAAGAAACTATAAATGAGATTCTTGATAGGTATAAAAAAATAAATGCACATGCTGCCAGTTATACATGGAAGAGATTGGGTAAACCTTTGGATATGGAATTAACTTTAAGTGCAAATGGAATACCTGATGAAACTGATGAATTCGAACAATTAGGAGTCCCTGAGAGTTAATGGTATATACCAGCAATTCATCTATATTTTAATGATGATTTAACAGTGGCATGATATGAATCAATATTATATATAATTATATATGATTAAGCGTAATCTTAAATGGAGAATTAATTCATAAAGAGAAAATAGTACAGGCAAACCAAAATCAATTAGTATTGAATCTTCTCCTAGACAACCAATATATTTAATACGAAGAGAGGTCAAACCTAAAAATTCTTAATTAAAGAGTCCTTTATCAACTTACACAAAATATGTCTTTCGTTCTAATCAGATTAGCCCAGTAAGTTCACCAAACACATCAAAAATTATTAAATTGGAAGAATAGCAAATCAATTTTAACAACAACAATTGTAATTAAGAAAGAAAACATTCAATTAGTACTCTTTCAACAGAAAATCGTAGTTTTAAACATAAAATATCTGCAAATAATAGACATTTATAAACAGAATCAATAAAACTCATAACCCAGCAGTTCACAGAATAAAATGTTGATATCATAATAGATAATGAAATAAAATAATAACAAATTGATATTGAATGTTCAAATATTGATATGTAACATAAAAAAATTTCATCTAATTATTTATTTAATGATAAGAAAAAAAAATAATTAAGATAAAGAATGCAATAATTTTAATCTAAGGAACAAAGAAGATCTAGTTAATTGACAGATTAAGTAATGAAATTAATCAGAACTATAAAATAACCATCATATCGATATGAGGCTAATTAAAGATCCTCTAGAATTTGGTTGGAGAATGCGTGTTTTGAACCAGTGAAACTATAAGAAAACTATACATATTCTTAAAGTTAATTTAAGTTTTATTTTAGTTAATATTTTGATAAGCATTTAAAATTCTATAGGATACTTGAAATTAATAATGAACTTTTATAATTAATGAATAATCATCAATAAATTACAAAAGATATTTAAGATTAACGTAAAGCTGTTTTTCTAGATAAAATTTATAGCAATACACAAATATAACTTTATAAAACAGAAACATTGTTTAGATTTCAAAATGAAATATAAACTTATGGAATGTATATATTATATTTGATATTAGTTAGGATAGACTTTTTAAATGAAAATTCTTAATTAAGTATTTCAGTAGATCATAATACTTCTGAATTAAATGATAAAAATAATAAAGAGTAATTATAAATTGATGAAGACGAAGATTCAGAATTATTTAAATAAGCTAAAACTCATTCTTTATCAAATTTAATACCTATTAAGCCAGAATAAAATACAAGTCTAAATAATTATTAATTTTAACTTACATCTATTATTTCAGAATTAGATAAAAATTCTAAAAATATATTATTATCAGTTGATTATACAAATATAGATTAATAAATATATAAGGATAATATCAATTAGATTGTACCAACTTTTCAGGAAGAATTTTCAAATCCTATATTTTATAAAGTTTACACCTAACATTACAATAAAAATTATAAAGATATCCTAAATGGTAATTTTTGCAATTTAAATCCTATTGATGATCTAGAATATGAAGCTCCAGATCTATATGTAATTGAAAAAGGAACTCTTTAAAAGGAAGATGGAATAGATAAAAAAAAGATGCTCAATTCTTTAAGATAAAAAAAGAATTGGCATAGTGGTGTTTTATAAAAATAAACTTAACCAATTGATACAATTTCTTCACATAGAGCTACGATATAAGTATTTTCTAATAAATAGAGTTCAGATATTGGAGTAGACTCACCTTAACTACCACAAATAAATATTTTATAATAATCTTCAAATGAATAAACAATAAATAAAAGTATAAGAAAATCCATTCATTGTAGGAATGCCTTATCACCTACATCTCCAGGTAATCGAGATAATAAATTTTAATAAGTAGATAATCAAATAAAAAATTAAATTGATACTTCTTAGGATTCAGTAGGTGAAATAAAAAAAATAACTATGTCTAAATCATAATAATAGCTACCAAAACTTATGTTTGAGTCTAATTTAACTTAATCAAAAATCTTGAAAAAAGAAGATTCAAATAAAAATTTTAAGGATTTTAAAATGGTATCATCTATTAAATCAGATTTTGTATACAATGATTCTATGTCAGATTCAGTTAATTCAAATATGTAATAAATAAATTTATAAAATGTATGGTATTATCTAATTATAAGAAAGGTGCAAATCCTTAAAAGATTAAATTGGAAACAATGTTACTCTATGATAAAATGATGAAAAGAAATAGATCTAAAAAAAAGATTGCTATAATTATGATTGAACATGGATTATTAAATTAATTCTAAGAGTTTATGGATGTTCATAGAAACTTCAATTTGAATGGGATTACTTAGGATGGAATTCCTTTAATTTCTCTTGCAGCTGCAAATGGTCATGAAGGTATTATTAGACATATGTTAAATTTCAATGTTAATTTAAATTAAATAGATGTAAAATAAATTTAATATTTAAATAGAAAAATGGAAATACACCTCTTCATTATGCTATGCTTCATAATAATTATGAAATTGCTGATCTTCTCTTATAAAATGGTGCAAATCCTTATATAAAAAATTAAGGAAGATGAGATGTTAAATTTGTGATCAATTTTTGTATACTATTATTATTTATAAAATTTTAAATAAAAAAAAATTACAAATAGCATTAATCAGCAATAAGGACAATACTTTTTTGTGAGAGGTTTAAGTTATCGTCCATATTTTCTTGATTTTTAAGAATTGGTAATCCAAAAAAAATTACATAATGGATTTAAACAATTCTATATCTGTACTTAATAAGTAATACATTTTAGTTATTATTCATACAATTAATTAACTAATTGTTCTATACCCCTTATGTTTAGTTCTTTTACAAATTCTGGACATAATTTCATCCCACAGGAACATGAAAAATGTGGTTGAATATCTTAAAGTTATTCTTTAAATAGATCCAGAAGACATTTTTCATGAAACATATGCTGACCAGTATCACACTGAATTATTATTTTATTCTGAAAATTGAATTTTCGACATCTTAAACAATCCTAATCCTTATTATAACTTCTACTCACACTTCTTTCAAATTTAATCCTTTAGGGACTTTGATCAAGTGTTTTAATGCGACGATTACAACTTTTTTTAGGTGATAATGAATTTTTATTTTTATTTGCAAAAGCTTTGATCTAGAAATCCAATTCTTTCATTAATCTATTTTGTATATAAATAGGCACAACATTTTTATTTACAAGAACATCTTTAATTAGTTGCATTTTTTCATATCTCCAATTAGAGTGAAAATTCATTTCAATTAATAAAAATTAAATAATAATTTGTTTAGAATAATGGCATTTTAATAGGTTAAAACTATAAGTTCATGATTTTTATCATAATTAAATATCTTATTCTAAGATTTAATTGGAGACTCATGTTATTAGACATATTGTTTTTAACAATTTATAATAATAATTACATTAAATTATCATTATTTAATTTCTCCACAATCAACTACAACAATACTAACTTTTGGTTTATCTTATTCTGTTTCTATTTTCTCAATTACATCAAGTAATTCAATACCCTTAGTTACCTTACCAAATACAACATGTTTGCCTATAAATTATTAATTATTTATTTACCATCAAGCCAAGGTGTATCTTTAAAAAGAATGAAAAATTGACTTCCATTTGTATTTGGACCAGCATTAGCCATACTCAAATATCCTCTTCCTGTATGTTTATGACTAAAGTTCTCATCTGCAAATTTCTCACCATAAATACTTTCACCACCAGTACCATCTTAAACATTATATAAATTTTATACTTCCTTAAGTAAAATCTCCTCCTTAAATCATAAAATCCTTTATTAATCTATGAAATTCACAACCCTTATAATGTAAAGGCTTTCCTGCTTTACCAATACCTTTCTCACCTGTACAAAGTGCTCTAAAATTCTCTACTGTTTTAGGACAAGATTTCTTAAATAAACTAAATTCAATTCTTTATGGTTCATCATCTCCAATTTTAATATCAAAGTATGTAGTTATATTACTGGGATCATTTTCTACTAAAGACACAGGTGTTGCCTCTTCTTCATAGTATGATTATTAAAATAATTTTCCATAAATATCCTTCTCTTTTTTTTTGGATATATTTATCTTGTTTTGTACCTCATGCATTTCCTCAATAACTGCTTAATTATTTGGATCTATAGCATAAGCAGCCTTTAAGTCACTCTTAGCTTCGGTGTAATCACCTAATGAACTATGTGCTACTGCTCTTCTATAATATGCCTTAACTAATTAAATATTGTTTGGTTTATCTTAAATAACCTTTGTTGCATGATCCAGAGATTCTTTATAGTCTTTTGTATAATAATAGCAAAGACTAAGGTTTAAATGAGAAGCCAATTTTTGTTCATGAGCAAATTCTGTTTCAGCTTCGAAATAGCTGACAGCCTCAAGATACTATTTAATGGCTTCAGAATAGTTCTTTGCCTTAAAAGCATTTGTTCCTAATTCTTTAAATTGTTTAGCTTCAATAGTTTTTTCTTCATCACTCATTTCCCTAATAATATATTAATTATTTATACCATTTCTATTTCTTTTTTTCTTTGAAATCTACTAATTAGACATCAAAAATAAGAGTAGCTCCACCTGGTATTTTAGGAGGACTTCCTTACTATCCATATCCATAATCAGATTTAATTTTTAATTGCGCCTTTTCTCCCTTCTTCATTGATGCAACACCAACATCCCATCCTTTAATGACCTCACCTTCACCTAAAGTGAAACTAAAAGGATCCCTTCCTTCATTTGAATCAAATACTGTTCCATCTTCCAATTTTCCAGTGTAGAACATCTTAGATTTATAAATTTTTAGTACCTCGCATACATTACCTTATTAAGGTTAATCTCCTTGCCCTTCCTCAAGAATTAACTTTTAGATTCCTCCATCCTCATTCAAACTTATGTATTCTGCCATTTCTATTAGAAATTTCTAGAAAAAATAAAATAATTATTAATATATACACAGAATTCTACAATTTAATATATTTATGAATAAAAATTAAATACTCTAATTTTAATTATTTCATCAAATAAAATCTACTAAGGATTCAATTGTAAAAGCCATATCAAGTCATTTTAAATCAGTTGAAAATTAATCAATATATTTATTTTAAAAAGAATATTCTAACATGAATATACAAATAATCTTTATATACTTTAAATATATCATTAATTAAGATTAAAAACTAGTTAGGTTTATTTATGCAAATATTATTTATTTCTTTTGATTAATTTATTTAACATAATTTATTTCTGCATTCCTAAATACTTAAATACTTTGTCATAAGAATATTAAACCTTATTACTTTGGATTCGGATTGTCTTATTTATTAATAAATTTGATCATGTAGACTCTCAGTCTTTGAAAAAAACCTCAACAAAATTGAATTCCAATTTATTTTTAGTTGATTTATATATTTTTCATAAAATTTGAATAGTTTTAGAAACAAATGAATAATGTAATTATATTTTGCCCTTGTATTATTATTATCAAGTTCTATATCTAATTTAATTTCTATAGTATTATTTATTTGTTTTGGTTGTTCAATTCAAATATAGCAATAATATAAATTAAATATAAAGCAATTAAATCATGAGCAAGCCTGGAATTGGACTGAACTCACTTCATATAGTTTTTATTTAGAAATCATTTGGAGATATTGATGAAGGAGATTATACAAGAGAAACAAAAGAATTTTCTGAGAAAACTATTATAAAAAATAAAGTGAGATTTGCTGATGACATTTTGATCTGTTTTTTTCATCAATAGGATAAGGTAACTTAAATTAATGAAGGAAAGAAAAAAACTATCAAAGAATTTTTAAAATGAAAGATCCTCACATAAATGACTTTATAATATTCTCTATATTCTATTCTCATTGCTCATTAATTATCATTATTGAAAAAAAAATGAAATTTAATATTTTAAACTTAAATATTTCACATTAACAAAACCTTTCTTCTCTGATCATCATTCATCTGATTCATTTCATTTTCATTAATTCGAATTTCCTTTAATTTATATTTTTTAGCAGCCCCTTCATGAATGCATTTATTAAAATAATGAAAACCAGTGTAATGTTTCTTGATAAAGACAATTATGTACCATATCATAAGTTACATATAATAAATTATCTACCAATATTATATGATTTCTCATTTAAATATAGAAATCAACATATTGATTGTCAAGAAAATAATTTACTTTATACTCAATCTAAGATTTATCAAGAAACTAAGTTGTTGAATTACAAAGTTAATTTTTAATTTGGAATAAATTTTTGTATCAAATAGTTTTTTTACCATTTTCTATATTTTATATTCCTAATCACTATTACTTTTAATTTAATTGTTATAAATACATTAATTATAATTACATAAATGTAAACTAAATTCTAAGACATTGTAGATATTCATAAATTATCGAAAAATAAAAGGCCTTTTATAATTCAAAGGAAAATTTGGAAATTTTTAATTAAAGGTATGTATAGTTTTTCAAATTCTAATCAATTTATTTCTTTATTTAATTGCTAAATGATTTATTTGACAATTAAAAAAATAATTAAATAATCGTAACATATTTTTCTGAACTCAATTTATAGAAATTAGGAATTATTTTATCTTAAATAAATACATCTAATTAAGAATCTTGATAAATTTATTTGTTTATAACTATATTCATCAATTTAAACGCAGCAAAATTCAATATATTCAAATGATGAATCATTTTCATTAAAAGCCTTAATGACTTCCTCAGTTGTTTAGGCATTTACAAATTTTAATAAACTTAAAATTAACTAAGAAAAGTTTTAGACTCAGAGTCAGATTCTCCATCAGAGAAATACTCCTATTCTTTAGAATCAGACTGTTATTAGAATTCTATTAAATAATCTTAATAAGAGTTTAAATGTGATTAGAAATTTAAGCATAAATAATTTTAAATAAAATTATTATTAAAGGTATTTGTTATTTTCATAGGGATTAGTTTGTCTATAATCTATAAAGTTAATATATTTCTAATATGTAAAATATACTTTACCAACAAGATTTTATTTAATTATTCTAAATATAAAAAGTTGTTTAAATAAATAGTATTTAAATTCTTAAAGCAACTATGAATTAAGCATCAAAATCTTATTGAACTAACAATAAGTAAAAAAAGTCTGAATATATATCGAAAAAAATGTTATTTTTTAGATTTAATGAATTATTAATATTCTAATCACTATCTAATGATTTATTAATATTATGTATAATTATTTTCATTTTAAAAAAGCTCACTTAATTAAATGATATTACCAATATCAAGATTTCTTATAAATAATTTTATATTGATAATGTGTCATACAGGGAATGATTGCATTTAGTTTAATAATCAATCGAGAATTCTTATAATAGTAATATGATATAAATTATTTTTTGGAATGGAGAAATTCAAATTATAAATTACTTATAATTTGAATTTAATACTTATTATTAGTCTAGTATACATAATAGTTATTATGATATTCTTTATAGAGAATAAAAGTATTAAGATTATTATAATAAAAAAATAATAAAATAATTTGTAATATGATAAAAAACCCTAATCCTTTGAATGTGAATGAACCAAAATTAGGAATTCAAATTACTTAACGTAAAATGTTAGCGGAAGTAGTGAATAACAAGACTGTTGAGAATGCAAAGATTACAGATATTTGTTTTAACAACCAGAAATATAAAACTCAATTAGCAAGCATAGATATTTCTGGAGTCTTAAAAATTTGGGATGTTGCATAAAATAGATTGATTCAATAATTTCATGCTTCCAATATGTGGCTAACAACAGTAGATGTTGAAAAGTAAGAAGGGAAAAAGGTAGCTTGTGGAACGTTAGATGGGAAAGTCTTAGTTTATGAGTAAATATTCTAAAGTAATAAAAAGAATAAATCAAAGTAATAAAAAAGGGAAGAGTTTCAGTAAAGATAAGCCTAACATTGAATTATTTGGGCATTCAGGTTCAATTCAATGTGTTTAATTTCTTAGCCCATAATATATAATTGTATAGAATAATAATTTATATAGGCAGGATCAACAGACTCATTAGTATCATTGTGGGATTTGGAGAATCCTTAGAGATACTTAGCCATTCATCAACAGCATACTGGAGATGTTTTATCTTTACATGCTTATGAAAATGATAGCAATATTTTTATTTCAGGTTCAAGTGATTTAACATGTAAAATATGGGATATTAGAGTTAAAAAACCTGTATAGGCTGAATACAAAGGTAACAAGTATAATTAAAGATAGGTCATGAATCAGCTGTTAATACAGTGAAGTTCATTCAAATGCCTTAACCAACCACATTTGTTACTGGGAGTGATGATGCTTCAATAAATTTGTGGGATTTGAGAATGAAAGATCCCATAGTATCATTTCAGGATAGTTGTTATTATGATTCAATTTATTCAATTGCAATTTCATTAAGTGGAAGATACATATTTGCAGCAAGTGAAAATTCGACATTGAAGGTTTTTGATGTTTTGGGTGATACTGATATTTATACAAATTTGGATGTTGGACTTTAATAAAATGATGGGTTAATAAAATCCATTGATATTTCAGCTGATGGTTATGCTTTGGGAATGGCTTTAGGAACTAAAAGTAATCATAAAGACTTATTAGTGATTATGTGATTATATGAAATATATCAATTAGTTATAATATTGGTATTAATGAATTATTATAATATTCTAATGATATTATATTATGATGATAATAAAAATAGATATAAATTGTAGTATAAGATAAGGAACATAATAATTGAAAATTTACTTTTAAATTCATTAATATGTTTATTGTATTTTACTTAACGGTAGTGGCCTTTGCAACAGTGTATAGATTATCCTTTAATATATAGAAATCCAACATTATTTGGGTATGATGCATAAGGCAATATATGTCCTATGGGAATTGCGGATTGTTTGCCTACTCAATATATTCTTTGTGAATTTGGATACTTTCTATATGTAGATGTTTTGAATTAAAAAAACTGTTTACCATGGTATATAGAGTTATATAATTAGTCCTTATTTTTTGTTTTAAGACGAGTTGAATATTTTATGTGGAGATTGTTTAGAAGATCCTTATAATTGGTAATATTCTAGAGCTTGTACATATAATTACAGAATTTAAACTGGATCTCCAGGTGATGTGTATTTGAGAGAGAATATTTAGAAGACTATATTTTATATATAAGAGAAGCCAACATCTATTGTAAATCCAAAAAGACCTGTATAATTCAAATATGAACTTTAAATTTGTGAAGGTTGTAGTGTCTTCTGTATATTTGATACAAATTAAAATTAAGATGATGAAAATAATGATGAGAATATTGATGAAAATATTGATGAGAATAATGATGAAAATAATGATGAAAATATTGATGAAAATAATGATGAAGGTTTATCATGTTATGATAATAACTAATAAGATAATTTATTTAATGGAATCTTATGTTTAGATCATTATTATTATATTGAGTTTGAATGTAGAGAATGTCAACCTAATTGTAAAACTTGTAATTCTTCTACATGTTAGGTTTGTAATGATGGATATTATTTAAATAGTGAATCATTATGTTAAATTTGTTAACCTGGTTGTATAAAATGTGAATATTCTGATTCTATGTTGTTATGTCTATAATGTTCAAAATCAAATTCAGAATATTTAGTTGAAAGCATTGATTTTCAATATTGTGAGTCTTGTTATTATCAATGTGCAAGATGCGAATATATATCATATGATTATTATAAAGATTATGGTTACTTAGAATATGGAACAAGAGATCAGTACTTTGATTATTCAATAAATTATTTATTAAGATGCAGACAATGTGTTTCATCTTCATAATTCATTTCTTATGATGGTTAAACTTGTGAAGATTGTTAAATAGAAAATTGTCAATTATGTTATTATTAATTAGATGAAATTGGTCATACTACTTTAGAATATGATTTCATACCAACATCATATCCAAAATCATAAATGTTATGTCATATATGCAAAACAGGATTTTATAGAAAAGATGATAAAACTAAATGTTTACCTATTCCTGATCCATCTGCTACTTCTTGTAGTTCTTTTAATAAGGCTCCTAATGGTTCAAATGATTTAGATGATAAATGCACATTTTGTGAAGATAAGGTTTTAGATTTATAATAACCAATTAATCCTTAATGTTTAACAAGCAAATTATGTTCTAAAGTTATTAAGAATTGTGAAAGATGTTTTATTTAAAAAAGACCTGAAAAAGAAGATTCAACTATTTCTTTTTGTACTTAATGTGGATATGGTTATTATCCTGATATATTTTCAGGTAAATGTTTTGCATGTCCAATTAATTGTAAAAAATGTTGGTAATACACACCAAGTTATAATTTTACATCTTATTTATAAACATACTAAACTATCACATAAGATGATTTTTTCTTATTTTCACTAGAATCATAATAAGATGCTAAATGTACTCAATGTTAAGAAGGATTCTCATTATATGGTAATTAATGTATGGGATGTACAAGCAATTGTAAAAATTGTTATGAAGATGATGAAAAAGCATTCTGTTATTATTGTGGTACACCTGATTAATAATCTATACTTTCTGATATGAGTGAATGTTAAGAATGTCCAAATTATTGTGCAGCTTGTAGAGATAGAATAGATACTGATCCAATTGTTAATAGATACTTTAATCCAGTTAGTGATATACTCTATAAATATAGTAGAATGTGTTATAAATTAAATAAATAAGCTGAAATTGATTGTGTATTTATTGATAATAAAATTGGTCTACCTGTTAAATGTGGGAATCCTGATTGTCCAACAATCAAATAATATAAATGTTTTAATAAAGATGAAGTAAATATAGAATTTGATTGTGATACAGATTTAGAAAAATATAATTCTGCTAAAACTAAGATTTCTATAATTACCTTTTAAGATATTGATTCTTTTAGAGCATATCAAAGTTACAATGATAATACAATTAAAGAATTAACTATAAATTTGAAATTAATTGGTGATTATTGTGAATTCAAAAAAGAATCTTAATTTTAATTTTCTTTTCGTTAAAATGTATATTCATTATAAAAAGTTATATTAAATATAAATCAAAATCTAGGAGCATAATAAAAGTGGTATGTTGCTGGATTAATGTCATTTATAGGTGTATCTTAAGTTAATATAAATAATGTTTAAATAGAATACTTTAAAGAGGGTAAAAATGCTCCAAAAGAATTTGGATTTTATTTAAAAAGTTAAGATGAATCTTAATTTATTCTTAATAATATTGAATTTATGAAAGAAAAATAAAAAAATTAGAAACTTCTTATTATTGTTGAAAATCCTGTCAATTTTACAATGTCAAATGTTAAAATAACAAATATTGAAACCAAAGATTAAGTTGTTTATTTTAATTATAGTTTACCTACTCTTAGCTATTAAGATATTAAATTAAATAATGTTGAATTAATAAATTGCTATTACAATTTTTCAAGTATAATCACTTATTCTAATATTGCTCCATCATTATTTGTTAAAATTAGTAATTTGAAGATTACATAAGGTAATTTTATAAGTTCATCAATTATAAAATCTAACTTTCAATCAAATAGTTTATATTATCAAATTGATAAATTAACTTTGATGTTTAATTACTTTTCTAATAGTACTCTATTTCAATTGGCTAATCTATAAACATCATAATAATTTTCAAATGTAGATATCTTATATAATAGATTTATTAATAGTAAAGTATTTTTAATGAATTCATTTTAATTTTCTTAATTTTATTTTGATAATAATATACTCCTAAATAATTCAATAATATTTTAGACTGTTAAAGAACTTAAAACTAATAATTAATTATAAAGTTCATTATTGGAATATAAATTTGATAAAATAAAGATTATCAATTCTAATTGTTATTCAATAAATTGTTTAATGATTATGAGTACTCCAATAAATACATATTCTATAATTACTATGATGACAATAAGCAATTTATAAATATCTAATATTGGTTTATATGATATCAGTCAAAGAAATACTTTTCTGACAACATCAGCATTAATAAGTTGGGATAAGTTTTCAGATCTAAAATTATCGAATTTTCAATTTGATAATATATAAGGATTAACAATATTTTACATTTCAACAATAAAATCTTTAACACTTACTACATTAAAATATGATTGGAGTTAATCTAATTTTTAATAATAATAAATAAGTCCAAAAAATAATTTAATTCCTACAACAACAGATTGTTCAGATCGTAAAATTGCAGCATCATCATTTTCTTATATTTTATTCTTTATTTATTAATTTTCAAATTCAATTACTATTTCTGATGTTTTAATATAAAGACAATTATTAATAGATGCATCAATATTTTACATATAATCATATGATGTAGCATATTAAAATACTACAAATGGTAACAATATTGAAAGTATCACATTATAAGGATTTTAAATATTAAATAACTCTTTAGTATCTACTAAAAAAGGATTATTCTCTGGTTGTATAAATATAGATTCAAATTAAATTTAAATGATTATAATGGATAATTTAAACTTTTAAAGTAATCATCTTTAATAAATTATATCAAAATAAACTATAGTAATTGTAACACTATTTCAAATATCATCACCAAGATCAACAATTTAATTGATAAACTTTTTATCAGAATACAATAGAGCTATTAAAAGTGATTATGGTTTAATTAAAATTGATTGTCAAAAATTAATCATGAATAATGCAACATTTAAATACACTAATATTATAGATAAATTATGGGTTAAAAGACTTGAACCTAATTAAATTAGTACAGATGATGATATAAAATCATTCTTTGAAATTAAATCATATGGAACAATAATGGATTTAACTACTACTTTATCTAACATTTCTTAAGTTTTTGTATATTATACATATGGAATATAAGCAGGTATAAAATTAACAACAATTGGAACATCATCTATTTAAATCAAGAATTCTTAATTATAAAATATCTTTAGTAGTTTAGAATTGAAACATTCTTCTATAGGAGGTAGTTTCTTTATTGATTCTACTTTATCAAATTTAAATTGTTTAATTTCAAATTTAAGTATAATAAATAGTAGAGTTAGATAAACAGGTGGTTGCATTTATGTATTTGCTTCTAATAAAAATTAAAATATTACAATACAAAAATCTTATTTTGAAAAATGTTAAGCATTAGATACATCATTTATGAGAGTTGATTTCTTTACAGATGCAACATTCTAATAAGTAACATTAGATGATGTGAGTGTAATTGATAATAGTATTGATAAATTAATTAGTGTAATTCCATAAATTTAAGTATTTGAATTCTTATACTTTTTACAAACTAGTAGTGTTTATACTTAAACAAATGGAAGATTAATAATAGGAGATTCATTATTTTAATAAATCAATTATACATCTGCTTTGTCTTTAAATCAATTAGAATTATTATATATCAATAAATTATCTATTTTGAAAGGATTCCTATTTTACAATCCATTACTTTCTCTAAGTTTATTATAATCAGGAGGGTAAGCATATGTAGGTAATTTGGACATTATTGAATTTTAGGAAACTGATTATACATTTATTACTTAATATAATTGTTCTTCTTTAATTCCTTAATCATTTACATATATAATCCCAGAATAAAATTGTGATTAAATATTATTATTTTAAGAGTAATTAGATGAAATGGATATTGATGATGAGATCTATGAATATTATGATGAAAATTTAGAAATCATGTATAATCGATTAACTTCAAATACTAAATATATTCCTATATATATTTAAAGAGTTAAATTGGATTCATTATCTAATATAATAGATATAGTAATTACTCTGAATTAACAATTAGTGAATTGTTTAATGAACAACATTTTGTATTTAAGTAAACAATTAAACTTGGATAACTTTTCATCTCTTTTTTATATATCAGAAGTTAATGATAATCATTTGGTTCAAATTAAGAAAATTTAATTAGTCTAAAATAAATGTTTATAATGTAGAGGAGGTTTACTTTAGATAAGAAGTATATCTGACACAAATACAAAAGAATTGGTATCCATTTCTGAATTTTTCTGTTAATATAATACAATTGGATATTATGGTTGTGCATCACTTGTATTTGAAGATGTCATTAAAGATGTTACATTATTATCTGAAATTATTGATGAAAGCATTCAAAATTAAAGAATTCTATAAGGATCTGATTTTTCATCATTAAATCATACAATAATTATTTAAAGTTATTAATGTAATAATAATTTGGCTAGAGCTGGAACTTGTTTGAATTTAAGAGGTGTAACTGCTATAGTTCAAGATAGTTTATTTAGTAGTAATAATGCATCTCTAGTTGGTGGATCTATATATTTTGAAAATCTAGGTACTAATAATATGTATTTATAAAATAATTAATTTATTAATAATTAAGCTTAAATAGGAGGAGCCATCTATTTATTAAATTATTAATTAAGTAATACTGATAAATTGAGTTTAAGTTTTGATAAAAATTCAGCAGATGATGGTGGTACTGATATATAAGAACTCACTATATAATAAACATTGTAATTAATTAATATTCCATTTGAATCATAAACTTATTTAAATAATGATGGAGATGAAACTGATGATGGAGCTATTGATAATACTACTGTTGTAATTAAAGACAATATAACTTTGGAATATCATAAAATTGGTAATTATCCACAATTAACTAATCTATTAATTTTACCATCAGGTCAAAGAATATCAAAATATTTGTATTTTTATGAAGTTACATAAGAATAAGTTCCATATGAATGGGTGTTTAGAATTATTAATCTTAATAGATTTGGAGATGTTGTAAGGAATAGTAAACCAGATGAAAATTGTGTTATAGATGGGAGAATTCAAAATTAATCAATTTATAATGATTTCTTATCATTTACTAACAATTTCACTATTCCATCAAAAGTTTACTATAATCCAGAGAAAGGAGGATATGATATGGATGATTTGATTCTCATTTTTGATCCTTAAGCATCACTTGATTTATATTTGGAACTTCGATTTACATGTAATTCTGTTGAATTACCTATTTATAATACTAAACCACCATATTAAATTCTTGGATTCAATAAGAATTATGAATTATATGCTAGAATTCGTACATTCCCATGTTAAATTGGTGAAGCATATGATTCTTAATAATGTAAGGCATGTCAGAAATCTGATCTTGCATATTCTGTTGAGAAAGATTCTGTATTATGTAAATAAATGAATAGATTAACAATGAGATCAGTCTCACCAACTGGTATCAATTTAATATAAGGATATTGGAGACCAATTTATTAAAATGATGAAGTTGAATATTGTGTAAATCTACCTAATAATTGTAATGGAGGTTGGATTCCTGGCAATCCATCTTGTTATACAGGACATGTTGGAGCATTATGTGAATCATGTGATATATATATGATTTAAAATGAAGAAAGATGGGCTCCTTCTGATCCTTATAAATGTGGATTATGTAAGGATTCAGAATAATATAATTTGATCATCATTATTGCAATCTCTATTTTAACTATGATCTCAACTATTATGTCTGTCAAAGGTACTTTTGAAGCTCTCCAACTTTAAATTGTAGAGGATATAATTAAATTATTTGGAAGAAGACTTAAATCAGATTCTTCTAATTTAGCTACTATGGTTTAAACACTCACTAATTATTTCCAAATTGTATAAATTGTTATGACTTTTCAATTATAAATACCAAGTGGTGTACAAACTGCTACTCAAACAGCTGGCAATCCAACTGGATCTATGGCATATTCACTTGATTGTTTACTTATCAAAATATCTGACATTGAATTACTATATTTTAAGATGATATGGGCATTAGTTATGCCTTTGTGTTATTTAGGAGCAATCATTTTAGGATACCTTATTATATGTATCATTGGAATCACCAAATTCTCTTAGTCAATCATCTATACTGCCTTAATTTATATGTTTTTATACATGCACCCAACTCTTGTACAAGGTTTTATCTCTTAGGCTTCTATAAGAACTATAAGTGGTCTACCATGGGTCAAAGCAGATGTTGGATATAGATATGATAGTGATCTCCATAATTATTGGATGGCTCGTTTTATTGGACCTATGCTCATCATTTGGGTCATTGCATTACCTGGATTATTTATGTTTCTAGTTTGGCTTAAAAGAAATAAACTTGATTTAAAGTAAACCAAAATGACTCTTGGTTATTTTTATAGAGAATATTCTAAAGATAGTTATCTTTGGGAATTTGTTAAGATATTTTAAAAGGAATTCTTTGTTATCATATTAGTCTACTATGAAGAATATGTTATAATAAAAGGATTACTTATTGTTTTAGTTCTTTTTATCTATGGATGGTACCAAGTATCAGTTAGTCCTTATGGTAGTAAAAAATTAAATGAAATTGATCGCTATTCTACTATGGTTTGTGCAGCTACACTTTGTTTAGGTGTTTTAATGTACGGAGCCTAACTTAAAGATTATTACTATATTTAAGTCATTATTCTAATCATCTTAGCATTTCTAAATCTATGGTTTATTATCATGTGTATTCTTTAGATATTTTAAGGCTACCTCATTAAATTCTAAGTAATTTTATATTATTACTCATTATATAGGACTAATTGGATATAATAAGAGAAAAGCTTCTTAAATCAAAACCAGAATTGAAAGAGAAAAGAGGATTTATAGGAAAATTACTGATTCATAAAGGAAATATGAATAAAAGAGTTAAATTTTTATGGGAATTACTTAAAACTAGAACTATTACAGCTGTCAAGATTACTAAATTATCCCAAGAAATATAATTTGAGGATGCTTTTGATTATGTAATTTAAAATAATATTGATTAAATTCAAATAGTAGGAGTTTCATCAAAATAATAATTTGAAAAACTGAATAGCTAAGAAAATTAATGATATAATTTTAAATATAAATATATGAAATCAATACAATAATTTTATTTTATAGTTTGAAGATTTAAATTAAATATTTTATGTTTAGGATTATATCTTTATATTTAAAGATAATAAAAAATTGAATTTAATTGTTAATTAATTTACTTGTTTTCATAAATTATTATAATAATTTAATAAGAAAATAATATATTTATTTAAATCTTCATCCCTTTATATAATCATTAATAACGGATTTAATTAGTCCTTTAATTATACATTTATTATTCTTGTTTATGATTACATATTTATTCATCTATGATTATTTGAATAGTTATTTTTGAATTTTGATCTTAAACCTTTTGTTAAATGGTTTCTCAAAATTTGATTAAAAAAACAAATATTTTACAATTATCCTTTGATTATTTTTAATTAAACAGTATATTTGCCACAATATTAAAATGTATAATAGTATATAAGTTTTAGGAAGTTCTTGAGTGACAAAGAAAAGTAAATATTGCTTAAATATGTAGCGGAAAAAAGAAGACAAAGAAAAATCAGAACTAAAAGATGGAGTAGGAGGGGAATCGAGAAGAAATTATTTATCATGTATTTATTTGATTTATATATTAGAATCTATATTTTCCATATAACAAAGTACATTGTGATAATTGTGAAAAAGATATCACAAAATAAGCACGAATTCTATGCAACGACTGTCCAAATGCGATAGATATTTGCATGAATTGCTTTTTAAATCTATAAGAATTTGGTATAGATACTTCTTATATTGCAGAATCTCACTTAATTAGTCATTCTTACTCTATAATAAATAAATTAAATTTTCCCATATTTGTAGAGGATTGGACAGCTGAAGAAGAATTATTATTGCTAGAAGGATTAGAAAAGAAGGGATTTGGTAATTGGTAAGATATAGCTGAGATGCTTGGTGGAGAAAAAGTATAAGAAGAAATTGCACAACATTATGATGATATAATTTTAAGTGGGAAATTTAGAAATGTTTGTTTTTATATAATTTATATATTTTTAGATGCCATTATTATCAAAAAGAAATCAAGATACCCTTGAATTAATTAAACCAAAAAGAGCATAAACAGCTCCTAAAAGATTGAAGGAAGAGTAGAATATAACAAAAACTGGTCGTTTAACACCTAATATGACTTCATAGAGTGGTTAAGAAATAGTAGGATTTATGCCTAAAAGAGGAGATTTTGATATTGAATTTGATAATGATGCAGAACTATTATTAGCAGAAATGGAATTTAATGATGATGACAAACCATATGAAATTGAAATGAAGTTAAAAGTTCTTGATATTTACAATATAAGATTGGATGAAAGAATAAAAAGAAAGAAGTTTGTTATTGAAAGAGACTTACTTAATTTAAAGAAATAGAATATCTAAGATAAATCTAGATCAAAAGAGGAGAAAGAATTACATAATTTAATGAAACCATTTGCAAGATTTAATAAACCAGAAGATCATGAAAGATTAGTTCAGAATCTTATAAAAGAAAAATAACTTAGAGCAAAAATAGAGGAGTTAAGATATTATAGGAAATTAGGGATGAAAACTTTTGAAGAAGTAGAAGAATATTTGGCAGAAAAGAGAAAGAGAGATGAATAATATTAAAGAAGATAAAAGTAAAATGATTCATTTGTTTATGATTCATAAAAATAAAGGTTTATGTAAAGAAGAACTAGATTTATTCCATTAATGGAAGGACGTGATAAACATAAATCTGGTCCATCATTTTGTGAAGAAGAATACTAATTATGTCAAAAATTAGGATTAACAGAATAAGAATATTTGATACTTAAAGAAGTACTTGTAAGAGAATCAGTCAAAAATGGAATTATTAAGAAAGATTAGGCACTACAAAACTTCAAATTAGACAAAGAACGTGTCACAGGAGTTTTTGATTACTTAGTTGTTAAGGGTTTAATACATGAGAAAGAATGAATTATATAAATTAAATCAATAATATTACATTCAAAAAAAAAAAAAGTTATGGATTAATAATATTTAGGCTTTTGTATGTAAATTTTATAAATATTATATACAATTAATGCATAGTCTTAATAGCGTACATCTAGATAATATTAATACAGTTGGCTAATAAGATACATCTATCTGTAAGAATATTCCTGTAAATAATGAATGCGACTCATCATCAATTATATTACTTAAGAAAATTGAGGCTCCAAGTCCTGACATTCCTGGTTTCAATTAGGCTGTTTTCAAACCCTTTCAAAAATTAATCATATACTATCATATTGGATTTTTTGTTCGAAAATTATTGAAATATATTAAACCAGATCAAACATTCAAACCTAAACATTATTAACTCATTAATGATAAAAGTTCAGGCAATATAAAAGATTTTATCACTTATGCTGGTAAATCTAAATCAACAGTAATGCAATATCCAAGTCTAGAGGAAGTAAATTTCTTTGTAAGAATGAGATATCGATATAGACAAGGTCTGGTAAATTTTTAATAAAAAATCTTGTACTTATTTGAATAGATTCCCTTAATAGATCCATCATATAAAATTAAAATCATTTGGGATCTTCTGTTAAATATATTCAGAATTTATCTTATGTATATTATACCTATCATAATTACATTCGAATAATTGATTGAAGATTACGATTATATAATTATCATATCATAGATTGTATTTGCAATTGATTTACTATTACGAAATATCACAATCTATTATGATTAAGGTCTACCTGTTGTAGATCGTTATCAAATAGTAAAAAATTAATATCATATTACAAATCTAATTGAATTGATGGAAATTTGTTTACTCTTTGCTTTGGCTTATTTTAAATTCGATTTTAATCATTAATTCATATTATTTGAGGGTTGGCCTAAATTATGGATGCTATTATATTTTATTTAGTTAAAAAATCTATTAAATTTTATAGGATCATGGTAATAATCTTTTTTAATGGGTTAATTAGCATCATCATTAATTGAGTTATTTAAATTGATAGGTTTGTTACTTATAATATAACATATATTTAGTTGTATATGGTTGATTATTGGAAAATATCATCTTCTTTTGGGAAATTCTAATTGGATTACCTTTTTCAATTTAGATCATATCTCATGGACAGATTTATATATTGAATCAATGTATTATACTAGTGTAACTATGTATACAGTTGGATATGGTGATTTACATCCAATAAGTAAATATATATTAATCTATTTTTAGATATATCTGAAAAAATGTTTGCTTTTTTATTTGTATTTGTTTGTACATTTTAACTGTCTTTTAGTTTAAATACAATTGGTGAGATTTTGACTAGAATGAAAAATAATAATGATATAATTAATAAAAAACTAATCTTTATTAATTAATACATGCATAATAAAAAAATAAGTCATTAATTACAATTTTAAGTAAGAGAATATTTAAATTATTATTGGTATTAAGAATAAACACAATAAACTAAAGAATAGACAGAAATTCTAAGTTAATTATCAGATGATCTTAGAAAATAAATAGCAGTTGAATCAAATAGTATTGTACTTAAAAATTGTGACTTCTTTTATAAGAATTTTTCAACTGAATTTTTAAATGAATTACTAAAAAACCTTTAATTTCAAGCATATTAACCATCATCTACTATTAATATATTTAATGAGGATGATCATTTCATACATATCATAGAATCTGGATAGGTTGATATTTATGATAAATCTTTTGATAAAAAAGTATTAATTGGTAGTTTTAAATCAAATGAACTTTTTGGATTGAATGAATTCTTAAATAATTAAAAAAATTATAAATATGAATATAAAAGTTCAGGATTTGTTAGCACATTAGTAATACCTAGATCTAAATTTCATATGATACTATCAAAATATAAATAGGATTTTGAAACCTTTTGGAATCTCAAAATTAATAATTATTCAGAATTAAAATGTGCAGTTTGTGAATCCAAAAGACATCCACCTGATCTTTGTAAATAAGTACATTATATACCTGATAAAGAGAAGGTTATTAAATAATTCAATTTCTATTAAAATTAAGATAGATAAAAATTTAAAAGAAATTAAATTAGAATTAAACAATTATATCATGCATCAACTGATTAAGAAATTATAAAGGAGGCTGCATAAATGGTCAAAGTTAAAAATGATAGTATTTTCTTTTAGAAATATCAAATTATTGATGATGAAACAACACAATATGAAAGTTAAGGTATACAATAATATTAAATTTAGAATATATAAATAAAAAAGATATGGATTCAGTTGGAATTTTAATAAAAGATCTTGAAAGTAGATCTTATCTCGATTTATATCAAAAGTCTCAACAAAAGTCTGAAAAAGAAATTTTAGACATTAGAATACACTTTTCATTGGAATTGTAAACTTTTAAATCTTTGAAGGATAAATTGCATCATAAGGATTTATATACAGATAAGGATATCTAATAAATAGAGTATTTGATTAAAATTTTAGAACTCAAACTCAATTTGGAAGATAAAATTGAACTTGATTAATAATAAGAATATTAGACTTTTAATTAAAAAGCGAATATTAACACAGTAATAAAGAAATTGATACATCCAGTCAGATATATAATAACATCAACATCAAAAAGTTTAGATTAATTCTAGTTGATAAGTGGGAATGGGTGGTTAAAATATATGTTCTATCCTTATGATTTCATAAACCAATATAGATTTAATGTTAATAGATTAGGATTACCAAGAAAGTCTATGGTTGTAAGATAATAAGAACGTAGATTATCTTCTGCATTAATGAGAAAAAAATAATAAAATATACGATCCATGAAAAGATCAATATAAGTTCATCCAATAAAATGAATAAATATTATAATTATAAAAGTACTAAAAATAATTAAGTATGTATCTAATCAACTTAAAAGTACTATAAAATATAATTATTGTAAATTCTTTTTATTATTCATCATTTATTTTGAAAATTAAGAATTTAGGAATTTCTAAATAAAAAATTGATAAAGAGAAATGTAGAAATCGAAATCTAATCTTATTAAACTTAATTTAATAAAGAGAAAGATTATTGATTAAATTAAAGAGATTAGAAATAACTGTATTTGTAATCTATAAATATTATTTAAGAAAAATATGAAAAATCTGGAATTAATTTTAAATATACATTAAAAGTTTTTCTTCAATTTCTATGATTTCATCAAATTTTGTTTATAATGATTAATTGCAATTCAAAACCATTATTTTAGGATCCTCATCAATTTAAATAATTCAATTGATGATAGAAAATTTGTTGATTAAAAGCTTTTCAATATAAACCTATTATTCAAGAAGTTTTAAATGTCTCCTTTAAAAATTTATCAAATGAAAATGACAGATTCATTATAAAAATCTAATAATAATCATTTGTTTTAATAGTTTTTCAATTAATAAAGATTATTTAATCTAATTTTCTTAAGATAGAATACTTTAAATTTATAAATATCTTAATATTGCATAAGACTAAACATTTATATGAATGATCTAAATTTCAAAAGATAATGAATATTTAAATGACAACTTAAAAATAACAAAATTAGATTGTAAAATAGTTAATGAATATTTCTTTATCCATTTATTATTAAAGTATTATAATTTTGAATTGACTCAACATAATTTTGATCAAAATAGTTCCAAATGATTAATAAATTCAAAAATCTAAAAGATATAATAATGAATTTTTAAGAATTATAACTACCTAAAGTCAAACTTATATGAATTCTCAATTATGATATATATAATAACAAGTCAAATAAAATCTATAGTATTTAAATCTAAATTAGAATTTTAAGTAAAACAAGCATTTTATTTATATATTGTTTGCTATATCAGAAAAATATTATAAAAACAAAATTATTAATGTTATAATTAAATAATAAATTCAGATGAGATAGCTAAGTAGTCCACTCACTACACTTTAAGATAATTTATAGAGTAGAAGCATGCCAAGAATTCATTCTAAATAAGAATAAAGATTTTAACTCCCAACATTGAAATCAAAAATTAATAATTTAATTGATTCTGAAGATTAAAAAGCACCAGTGGGTTAGTTTTTTTAAGGTTTAGTAAAAGGAAAAACAATCATGGAATCAAAAAATAAAATTGAGTTTCCTAAAACATAATAAAATTTTTATCGTCTAATTTACAAAGCATAATATTCATTTAGACCAACAAAATTGAATCCAAGATAAGTTAGTATGGATTAACCAGCAATTTAAAAGAAATTGGGGGGTCCTACATTTGCCTTTAGAACAATACAAAGTTCTGAAGAGTAACTAAGGAAACCAAATTTAGAAGTTATTGCTAGATAATAAATAAACTATCTTAATGATTCTTAATCAATAAATGAAAGCTTAAACACAGAAATTAATTAAATATTATATGGTAAAGGTTAGAAAAAATAGATTATAAAGTAGAGATTAAATCAAACAAAAAATAATAATAACGATACTAGTAATATTATTAAAGAGGAAAGTGAAAATTCATTTATTTGATTAATAAATTATAACGGTAGTTTTATTTTGTTTATTGTTCTTAAGTTAACATAATTCATAAATTTGAATGTTGATTAACATTAAAATATCATTCTAAATTTAGGAATCTATTATATAAGCAATTATTTGAATTAATAATAAGAATATTTTTAGGTTTAATTTTATTAAATGTAATTAGAGTTAGAAATAGTATTTTCTTGATAAATAGTTACTTTTTATAAATGACATATATTGATATGTAAATAATACATAAATCAAAATGTCTGAATAGTGCTAAGATTAGCAGAAATTGACTCAATCTGAAGAGTCTGTTTAAATAGTTAACGATTAGGATCTTTTTCTTTTTTCTTAATTGAAATCTATTAAATCTCTGAAACTACAATCTGATATTGTGTCACCAATTATAATATTAACTATTCCTTTAAGTCCTTCAACTTGATATTCTTCTTATAATTGGTTAACGAAATCTTCGTCATCCATCAATAATTTTTTTAATTCTGACTTCTAATCTTCTGTGATTTTATTTTCATATCGTAAGTTAGAAATCAACTTTAAGACTTCCTTAAAGAATTCAGCTTATTCATCTGCCATAATTTTAATTTAATTATAAAAATATTGATCCAAACAACTATCAATTAAATTAAAAGAAAGAATAATTATTCTTAACATAAATATGTGTAAATGTATTGATAATGATGTGAGAAATTAAATTTCAAATAAAATTTATTTTCTAATTGATATTAAATATATTATTTATTGAATATAACAGAATGCCTATCTATCCAACAGCACCTCTTACAAGTTCTATTCCAGCTCCATTGAGTGTTGTTTAACCAGTAAGCTATGCTCAACCTGTGACTTATGCTTAACCAGTCTAATATGTTCCATAACAAGTTTAATATGTACCTTAACCTGTTGTTCAATAACCAGTTGTTGCTTAACCAATTCTCACCTAATCAGTTGTAGCTGCTCCATAATAAGCTCCAATTAAAGGAGAATCTAGAGTTGAATACAGAGAATTTCAAAGACCTGTTGTTGAAATGGAAACAGAAACTATTTAAGTTCAAGTACCAAAAACTAAATATGTGACTGATTATTATCCAGTTGAATATTAAACTGAGTATATACCTAGAACAGTTTATGAATAATAAACTGAATATGTACCAGTCACTAAAACAGTACCTAGAGTTGAATATGATGCTGTTGAGAGAGAAGTATAAAGAGTGGTAATTTAAATAAATTTATTTATATTTAGTAATATCAACCAGTCTAGACTGTACCTGTTTAACCTGTAGTTTAATCCTTTGTTCAACCAGTTCAACCACTCACATATTCTGTTGCTAGACCTATAGCCTAAGCTCCAGTCTATGCATAACCAGTAGTTGCTCCAGCACTCACTTTTTCAGGTGTTAGACCAGCTTATGCACCAGTATCATTTATTTATTATATATATCTTAGGTTTATCCAAGTTATCCTTAAGTTGGTGCTAGACCATAATAACCATAATAGGTAGTTCCATCAAACAAACCATAATGAGATATTATTTCATAAGCATTAACACAGAATATTAATTTTCATTTTTCAAAATTTTGATTTTATTATATCCAATGATTTTTTGATATGATGAAAATTTATAGAAAATCAATTCTTATTTTAATTCCTCATTTCTTTTTTATAGTTTGATAACATATATATAATTAATAATCACTACTAATTATGAGTTAAAATAGTTCTAAAATTTATGCAAATAGATTCATAATGAAGAAGAAATTATCATAAGGATCCTTTGGAATGGTATATCAAGTTTATGATCGAGCTACAAATTCTGAATGTGCATTAAAAGTTGAGTTAGAAGAGAATTAGGAGAAGAAAACTTTGGAAAGAGAAATTACAATGCTCATTTAATTAGAAAATGTTGAAGGGATTCCACAACTGATTTGGTATGGTTTTGAAGGTTAAACTTAATTAATGGCAATGCAGCTATTAGGTAAAGATCTAGCTTATTATTTAAAACTTTATAAAAAGTTCTCATTTAAATGTTGTTTGTAAGTTGCTTATGATTGCATAGATATTTTAAAAAATATACATAAGAGATTTATCATACATAGAGATTTGAAACCTGATAATATTATGATGTCAATCGATTTAAATTAAATATACATTGTAGATTTTGGTGTAAGCAAGATTTATTTTGAAGCAGATCACATGTAAATATTATTTGTAAAAAAGTCTTACAAAGACCCTTTCGTTAAGACAAAGATTTTATTGGTACTCTAAGATATGCTTCAATAGCTGCACATAAAGGTTAAGAATTAGGAAGAAAAGATGATTTAGAATCTTTATTTTATGTTGTCTTTTATTTTCTAAGAGGTAATCTACCTTGGTAAAATATCCCAGTTGAATCTAGTGAAAGAAATAGAGTTGTAGGAGAAATGAAATAAACTATTTCTATTAAGGAATTAACATCTATTAAATGTCCAGAACTCATTAAAATTTTTCAATATATTAGAAAATTAAAATTTGATGAATAGCCAGATTATGAATTTATTAAAGACCTTCTTGTAGAGGCAGCTAAAAACAATAATATTAAATTAGATGGATATTATGATTGGACAGAAGGAATGAAACTTAGTAAAAAACTTTCAGAATCTAAAGTTTCTATGGATAAAAAAGAATTCTAATCTCCTAAATAGTAAATGAAAAGTACAACCAAAATTTCAAATTAAGTTATTTGGTCTGTCTGTGATAATTCCAAGTATTTAATATACTATAATTCACAATAGACCTTAATCATAAAAAAATCTTTTAATGCCTCCAGAAATAAAAAAAAGAAGTGATATTCATCATTTTTCTAGTGGTTCAAATATTTCTGTTGTTATGGGCACTTACAGTTCAATGAGATTAAGGTATTTGCCATCAACGGTTAATAAAAAGAGTCCTGGATTAAAAAGAATGGTTTCAATAGAATTCGTAGCTCATGATGAATCTGTATATCAAGAACAAATTGATGAAAATTATGAAGAGAGCCCTTTAAATGAGAAGTATAAGGAGTATCCAAATGGAATGTATGCATATTATAAATATTGTAGATGTTTTAAAGATAACAATAAATTTAATTAGATTTAAAAATGATATAATTGATTATATTTGTGTAGTAAAAGGTTTTTGTATGTATATTTATAAAATAAATGGAAGTTAATTATAATGTTTATTTAATTTTTGCTTTAGTGATTTGAGCACTATATAAATTATATCATAATAATGTGAAGTGAATTAAAAATAAATTATTGGTATTAAAAAATATAGAATTCCATTTGAATACCTAAATTTATATTATGAGTTTAATTTGAAAGAATTGTTATTGATATAAGTCCATTAATTTGTCTTCTTTCTGGGATTCCAAATAATTATTTGATTTTTACAATTATTGAATCCATGAAGAATGCAACATTCTTAGAAAAGTGATTATTTAATTGATTTATACAAGAGAATAGATTAGCATTTTTGGAGCAATCTTCTCAGAAGCTTAGATGTTACAAATTATTATTTTTGTATAGATACTCTTATATTTTATGTCTTTCTTTGTTCAATACTGGTTAGAAGATGAATAGATTTATGTGATAAATAATATATGTTCAATAGTAATAGAGAAAAGTTATTTACATTACTATTTAAATATGGATTCAATCCAACCATTAAAAAATAAAGACAATTAGAAAGTTGTATCAATATAGATAAAATGTAGAAATGATATAATGATAAAAAGTTTAACTTAAATTCATCTTTTTTGATGGTTAGAGGGATCTGTATCTATCTTTTTCTATGGTACTTACAGTGAGAGAGAATAAGGATGTATTGAATAAATATAATAAATTATAAATCATGATTCCTATGGATACATGCACTTCAAAATAAATGAATTTAAAGTAATTAGGAGATGTGATGTTTCCCCTTGGATTTATTACTTATGGTGGACCCTTAGCTCATATAAATGTACTAAGAGAAAGATTTAAAAATTATACCACTGAAGAGGAATTTTAAGAATTATTTGCATTGTGTTAAACATTACCTGGTCCAACTTCTACTCAAATGGTAATTGCAGTGGGAGCTAATCTTACACATAGTTGTTTTGGAGGATTAGTAGCATTTCTATATTTTAGTATGCCATCTGCTTTTGTAATGATGATACTAGGTCTAACAGTTCCCAATTTATCAATACCATGGATTTAATTATTGATAGATGGTTTTAAATATGCTTCAATTGGTGTAATAATAGAGGCTGCTTATAAATTATCCAATGGAGCCATTAAAAATCAATTTCATTTTTTTTTGTGGATTGCAAGTGCAATAGTAACAACATTTTTTCCTACACCTTCAATTGCAATTATAATGATTGTTATTGGAGCCATTTCTAACTATGTATCTGATCGCCATATTGGATAATAACAGTTAATTCCATAAGATGAATAAGTGTAACACACTTTTGATAGTTGGTTGCTGGGATATAGATCTTTAATTGGATACGGAATTTCATTTGTTTTGTTTTTCTTTTTATCTTACATAGATTGGACACCTATTGCTGTATGTAGTAATTTATTCAAAACTGGAAGTCTAGTTATTGGAGGAGGTCATGTAGTTTTACCTATGATTTAATTTTCTTTATCAAATTATTTGACTACTGAACAATTTTGGAATGCTTTTGCTTTGGTATCTTGTATGCCTGGCCCTATGTTCAATATTGCCATATATATAGGAGCCTTAATAGGAGGTATTCCAATGGCTATTTTGGCAGAAATATTTATGTTTCTTCCTGGATTCTTTACAATATTTGGAATATTGCCTTATTGGAAGAAATACAGAGGATTAAGAACTATAAGAGCAGTATTATAAGGAATAGCAGCAGTTGCAGTTGGATTTATATTAAGTGCAATAGTGCATTTGATAATAAATTCATGTAGTAAGGGTCTTGTAGTTCCCATAGCCATAGGAATCCTCAGTTGTTTATGCCTATATAAAGGTATTCCAATACCATTTGTTATAATTGGAGGTGGATTTATTAATTTATTAACACAATATAAATGATTTATTTTTTTTTATATATATAAAATACTCATTATCCACATTATCTCATTATATTTAAACAAACTTCATCTTCTAATGGTTTAGAAATAACTTAAATGCCCACAGGTAAACCAGTACTGTGTTCCATAGTTTCTTCTAAAACCTTATATTCAATATCCTTTTTGCCAAATAATGATTGTTCATTGTAATATTGTTCATCCTCTTAAACTGTTGTAATAGGAACTGATCCACAACTAAAATCAATCATATTCCAAATAAATGTATAACTTATTCCACTAAAACAATTTTATGCAGTATTATGTTTAACAGCAACTCCAGCAGTCACAGGACTAATGACTGCATCTAATTATAAATCATGCCAAATTTGAATCATTTAAATTTGATATGCTGTTAATCTAGTTGTAATATGAAGATTTTCATAATATGATAATCCATGATCTCCTGCATTCCAAATCATTAATTCTCTTTTGCGATCCTAACATTTCAACCATTTTTAATAGATCTTTTTCCAAAGCCAGCATGAATGAGTAGCCTTCTTAAAATTATCAAAATGAGAAATCCATGGTTCTCCTTTATATAATTCATAAGTTCCTTTCATTCCTCCATCTCCCAACATTACATCATAAACATGTTAGAAAACATTCTCAAAAATACTTTAATCAATCTCAAATTCTATAACTGTGTGTCCTTATGCTTTTAACTTCTCTACTGCTATATCTAAAGCTCTTTAATTTGCTTTACAAGGTAAAAGTAGATTTATCTTTCTTAAAACTCCTATTTTATATTTTTTATTATTATTGTAACACTCTTTTTCATCAAATTATTTCATCACAAAATTGATATCTTTTATATTAATAGGAGCTTATTCATAATTGGTTGTTAATGCTGACATCATATTGACTAAATTAGGAAAATGCTTAGCTTTAATATATAAATCAATTCTTACACATAGGACCATAACAAGATGCAATATTCCTGATTCCATCCCATGTTGGAACTCCTTTTGCCTAACCTCTCATTATTAATCTTTTAGAACTTGGCTTATATCCATACAAACCACAAAAATGAGAAGGAATTCTAATACTTCCTCCACTATCACTTCCTAAACCCAATGGAGAACCATTTATTGCTATCAATCCACCTTCTCCTCCTGTTGAACCACCAGATGTTCTAGTTGGATCTTAAGGATGTATAGATCTTCCAAATAAATAATTCCAACTTTCATATGAAAATCCAAATTATGGTAAATTTGTTTTTGCAAATATTATTCCTCCTGATTTATTTATTAAATATCCTTATATTCCATCTATTTCTGATCTCTTTTAAGCATATGCTCCACATCCAAATGCTTAATATGTTCCTTTTATAATAAATGTGTCTTTCACACTTATAGGAATTCCAAATAAAGGTTTATTCTCTATCTTATAATCTTTACTCTTTAATTCTTAATCTAATTATCTAGCTTTTTATATAGCATCTTCTAAATTTACATCATTCAAATAACCCATTTTGAATCCTTTTTCCAATGCCACTTCCAAAAATGTTAATAACACATCCAAACATGTAAACTTTTTAGATTCATAAAATTAATGAATTTAAGGAATAGAACTATTTAATATAAGGGTTTTATTTTCATTAGATAATTTTAACTCTGTTTATATGACATACCTAGCTTAAAGAACTTTTTATTGAATCTCTTATGACACTCTTTTATATGTTGATTCAAATGGATTTAAGTTTTTCTTTCTAAAAGTTAACATCAATAAACCAACACTTGCAACAATTGATAATGCTGTATATTTGTTCTTTAATAACCAATCCTAATTAATTTTAAACATTATTAAAATAATAAACTAATTTTCTAAACTTTGCTTTATAATTTTACTACTTTTGATCAAAAAGTCAATCCAAAATTACTAAATATAATAGATTATACAAAAGATAACTACTAATTTTTATAATTATGAGAAAAATTATTTATTAAAAACAATAATAATCACAACAAGGAATATCAAACAAAGAAACAAGATCTATTTCATCTGTGCATTCTCGAGGAATCAGCCAATCTAATTACATTTTAACTTCTAGGCAAACTCCATCAAAATATGTTATTAAAAAACTTCAACCAAAACCTGATGTTCCAAGTCTAAAAATCATTAAAAATTAAACACATAGCTAGTTAAAGCATGATAATATAAGCATTCAAGATGGATATAGTCCTGGAATTTACTCTTAAAGAACCTCAAGTCAATATTAACAAAATCTTAATAGTTATATGTCCTCAAAAAGATCAATATATAAATCATGTATTTATTCATTTATACAATCATTAGAATTAAAATAAAACTATGAATCTTAAGTTTCAATTTATAATAAAGCATTAAATTAGATGATTTATAGAAATGATCAAAAAGAACTTATGGATTTTGATAATAGATATTATAGATGTGCAAGATAGAGAAGATTGAGGGAAATCATTTAGTTTTTATTAAAAAAATCTAAAGAATTGTAAATTTCCTTACAAGATCTTATTGATAATAAAATTACATAAAATAAACCTTATTAATAATAAGGATCTTTTGCATTTTTATTTTATGTAAAAAAGGGAGTAACAGATAAAGTAGAAGAGATGCTAGGTGTAAATCCATTGTATGTACATGATTTTGATGAAAAAAACATGACAGCATTACATATAGCAACTAAGAAATAATCATATATTATGATTAAAATATTACTATCATATGGTGCCAATATTTTAAGCAAAGATTTAAATGGAGAGTCTGCTCTATCAAATGCAATTAAATCAAATCTCTAAGATATTGTTAAAGTAAACATTCACTTTTATAATAATTTTAGCTTTTTTTATCTATTTAATGTCCAAATGACATTGAGTATCTAAATTACTCAAAAATGGCCAAAAATAAATAAATTAAATATTTACTAAAAAATGCAAAGCTTTAAGAATTAGGAAATAGATGCACAAAATTAAATTAATTTAGTTTAATTAATAATAATTATATATCAAATCATTGATTTCAAAATAAACTATTTATTTTTTCTAATATTAATTCTTCTATCATTATTAATTTATCTATTAAATAATTCAACTTTATTTCATTTTTTGCAATTGATTATTTCATCATTTCCAATTCTTAAGTAAGATTGAAATCACCTATCAATATTTATTTTTCCTTTAAAATTTAATATTTTTATATACTTTTTTTGGTATTAATAATTCAAAATATTTTAACAAACTGTGCTATTCTTCATTAATTGATTAATTGCTCTAATTATTTTTGAATTGAATATTAGTTTAAAACTAAAACATATCAAGTTTGATCTATTTATTAGAATTAATGAGAATAACGTCATTTTATGAAAAACTTTAATCAAAATTCAATTCAATTTTTAATAAATATACACAGAATATTTATATAAGAATTTGTATTCTAATTTCAAATGTATCTAATTAATGTTTAAATCCATTAAAATAGTTTGGAAGGCTTTAATACTCTTAAAATATAAAACTTCTTTAGTTTTTACTGTCATAATATTGTTGTAAAAATAAATTAAATAATATTTTTTGAATTTTGCTATTAAATGAATTAAGTTAAGCATTTAACTTTTATTCTAAATTATTTACGATTCCATTATTAATTAAAGACAATTATTAATTATTTAATTTAAAAGAACTTTTATATTTCACTTCTAAAAGATTGTTTTCACCATAAATTTACATAAGAATAGTTTTTGTATTTTCTTTTTGATCTAAAACAGATATTAATTATAAAAGTTTTACCTTTACTTTATTTAATTATAAGTAATTATTTATGAATATATCGGATTATTATTCAAAATTCTTAATTTTTCTTACAATAGCATCCAAATTTGTAAAATTGACTTTGTTTAAATGAGAAGCAATTAGATTTTCAAAATTTAATATCAAATTAATTATGATCTCTTTCTATAATTTAATAAAGTCTTTAAGACATTAAAATTAGCAGGTTTTATCTAGAAAAACTTAAACTACAAATATCAAATAGCCTTTATTCATATATTATTTTATGTAATGATTAGTTGATTATTATTATTTATAAACAAATTTGCGAAAAATCCATATTTCTCTCTCATTGAATTTTCTTCTAAAATATTTGAAAGTTATTAATATATTACTTTATGATTTTTATATTAAATTGAATTGAAGAAAGTTTTAGTCTTTTTTTAGAGAATATTATTCATTATGTTTGAATGTTAGCACACTTTTATGATTTTCGTTATTAATATCTGTTTAAAAAAAATCAAAAATATTTGAATCTATAAATGCTGTTGATTATTTCATTTGTTATTCAGTAGGGTCATTTGCGTGATTAAATAAACTTTTAATGCTATTTATCATTTATTAATAAAAAATAAAAATAAAAAAAGCTATTTTGAGATTTTGTTTTTTTAAATTCATCAGATATAATCATAGAAAAAAAATATCAATATATGATGGTTTTACATAATCATATTTTGAGTTATCTTTTTTTTAAATTCTATTCTGTGTTTCGAATATATCATTAATAATATGGTAATGAAACTATAATTTACAATCAATTATAAAGTATTTAAATCATTTCTTATTTTTTGATTAATTAATCTAAAATCAGTAATTGATTTTGCAATTCAAATAGGATCATTATTATTAATAATAATTATCCCTTATAATATATTATATAATATTAAAATTAATGATTTTTTTGCTATTATCTATATCTATATCTACAGTGATAGCTAGATCTATTTAAGCTAATAAAGCATATTAAATCGAAAGTTACTCTAATCTTAAACATGAAGATCATCATCATAAATTCAAAATCAAAGTACCTGGAACTGGGATAGTCTAATTAGAACCTTCAATAGGAACTGTAATTTTTGCAATCGAAATCTAAGATAAAAATGCAAATGTGGCTCTAGAGAATGCAAATACCTTAGTTACTAAGGCTGTGGATGAAATTAAATATAGTCTTTTTAGAGATGACTATACAATTTAGACTGGAATCTTTTAGCTTTCTTTGAGATATGATTATACATCAGGAACACAACAATTAATAGGATATTCAGTTACAAATTAATTATATGTAACCACAAAAGATTTATAATTGATTGGTAAAATTATTACTGTGGGAGTTAATGCAGGTTTAAATAGAATAGATGGAGTTAATTATTCAAATAACCAAGATGAAATGGTTAAAGCTAATAATGAGGCAATCAAATTAGCTATTTAAGATGCTGAACGAAAAGCAAAATAAATTGCTGAGTCATTAAAACTTGAATTTAGTGAGATTCTTCACTTTAAATATTTGGATAATTATAATAATCCTGTAACAGATGTATATGGTCCTAAAGCAGCAGGAATGGCAACTAAATCATCAGGTACTCCAACTCCTATTTTTGCAGCTAAAAATAATGTTAGAGTAGATATTGAATTGAAAGTATTATTGAAATGAGTAATAAAATATATATAATTTTATGATTTTTATTCTGTTCTTTGGAATCTTAATAGTTTCTAATAGTTAAGAATGTACAACCACTATCAAAGGAATATTTTCTAAATAGATTTATGAATTTGAAAGATCCATTAATCAATTAAGAAATGAAGTAGCATAGGCAAGATAACAAAATCATATGGGATTATTTGAATATGCTGCTAATATGTAAATAACTACATGGTCAATTGGATTATCTAGAGGAGCTTAAAATTGTGCTGAAAGATGTCCTGATTCTCTAAATACTTGTAAAAACGTACTTTTTAAATCATACTAAGTTAAAAGGTGATTTTGGTATTTTGTTTCATTAGAGAATGGTAGATTCATCAGGAGTTGAATGGAATCCTTAAGATATTGTGAAAAAATGGATGTTAAATTAACAAAATGCTGAATAATTAGTGATAGCAACAATTTCATAATTTGGATGTGGAAGAGCAATTAAGAAATCAGTAGACAAATATATGGAATATGTTGTTTGTTTTTTTGATTAAGTTTTAATTATATATTATTTTAAAGGCTCCAGTAGATGGTAAGGCTGCTTATATAGTAGCTAATGAAAAATCAATAGCAAAGGCTTGTAGATTTGGTAGATCAAATTAATATAGTGGATTATGTGCAAGTTCATACAATAAAATGCTTATTATGAATCCAGAACATTCAAGTAGAATATTTGAAAGTTAGGATAAATAATAAAAATAATGATGATAATATTAATATTATTCAGTATAAGTTCATAAATAAGTACATAACAACAAGAATTAAACTGCAATATCATTTCTAAAAGTGTTAATTCAAAATAGGCATCTTAATTTGAATAGAATTTGAATAGAATTCGTAATGAAGTAGCAATGGGAAGAAGAGCTAATCATAAAGGTTAAATATAACCAGCATCTGATATGCATATTACAACATGGTCATAAGAACTAGCAAAAGAAGCTTAAAAATGTTCTGAAAGTTGTCCAGAACATCCAATATATTGTAGACATGTATATTTTAATTTTAGTTAGTACAAAGCTTAATAAGCATTTTTGATTTATAAATAACGTGTTCATACAGATAAATGGAATATAGACCCTGAGTTTATTTTAAATGAATGGATGTAATCAAAACAATCTGCTCAATAATTACTTTAATCTATGTTATTTTAGATTGGATGTGGTAGATCAATGAACTCTAATTTAGGTGAGTATGTCGAATATATTGTATGTTATTTCGATTATGTATTGATTACAATCATATAATCTTATAGCCTAATCAATTGGAACCATATAGACCTAGTTCTTCCTTAAATGTTGCAAATTCATGTAGATTAGGAAGATCTTCAAGTTATATAGCTTTATGTGCTTCACCTTATCAAAAAGTATAAGGAATAATGCAAATAAGATAGAGGCATAGAGAAAGTCAATCGAAATGATAATATTATGGATAAAGTTAATTATGTTTATTTTCGTTATTTAAATTTGAATGAAGCAACCTCTACAGAGTAGATTAATTATTTAGGATGCAAGACGCAAGAATTTAAGTGCTGTTGCTCTTCTTGATCCTTCACCTAAGTAAATCACTATAAGGAAAGCTTCAATTGGTGGATTAAAGAATAAAGAAAATATGAATAGCAATGACACTTAAAGGAAACAAAAATCCTCTTAAAATACTAATACAGAAGATATTAGAAAATAAATTAGTCAATTAATTAAAAAAACAGCATAATCTTAAAGAACCAAATTGAAAAAAATAGATATTGGATGTCAAGAATAAATAGAAATTAATGATTAAAAAGAAGGAATTTTTGATGAAATTACATTAAGACTATTGTATTAAAAAGAATTAGAATATAAAATACATCCATAATTCTTTGAACATTAATGTCATATATCTCCATTAATGAGATCTATATTATATGATTGGATTAGTGAAGTTTGTAAAGAATTTACATTAAAGAGAGAGACTTTTCATTTATGTATTCATAATCTTGATAGATATATGTCTAAAATCTCTATTACTAAATCTGAACTTTAATTATGTGGTTTAGCAAGTCTATTAATTGCATGTAAAATTGAAGTATAATTATAATTTATTCTAGGAAATCTATCCACCAAAAGTTAATGATTTTTCATCAGCTAGCAATTATGGATTTACAGAACAATAAATATTAGATAAAGAATAAGATATATTAAATGAATTAAAATGGATGATTAATCCACCTACTCTCTATCTTTGGAGTTCATGGTATCTATCTTAATGGGATATTTATTATCCTTAAACTAATCTATAAATGAAATAACCAACATAATCATCATATACATTATTTAGACATTTTATGACTTTTTTAGATTGTGCAATTTTAGATATTAAATTATATCAATTTACTAATCGAGAAATAGTTTCATCCTTACTTTATTTGGTTTTACTAAAACAATATTGTGGATGTACTTATCAAAAAATAGTAGAAAATAAAATTTAAGAAAAAGATATACTTGATTTCTAACGTATATATAAGCCATTCATTGAAATTGTGTTTGGTTTTCAATTTACTTAATTAAACAAATGCATTAGATATCTTACAAAATATTTAATATTAGATATTGTTGTTGATTAACCTGGGACAACTAAAGTTGTTGCAGAAAAAGAATTAGTAGAAGTTTATGAGTATTTCTTATCAATTCAAACACATAATCCTGCTGGTCTTTAATTCATTAGAAAATGATTGATATCATATACTTTAATTATTTTTTATTGTTATTTTTTTAAATGGCTTTAACCGATCAACTATGTCTTGGTTTCACTATTTTAGCATTTCTATCCTACATAGCCATCGATGTATTCCTTCAATTACAAATTCCCTTTACTAGTATTGGACTACCACAAAAAGGTTAGATATGTCCTAATCAATATATCAAATATACTGATTCCTTTGAAATGTAATGTGTATCTGATTGCAATTAAAATGCAAATACTAAAAAATAAGCCTTTCATAATCATTTGGTCAGAAGAAATCAACCCAATTTCATCACATGTAGATTTTATTATAATTTAGATGAAAATTAAATATGTTTGCCTACTCTAGACAAAAATTTCTATTAATTAGAACCATATGTTGAAAAACCTATTTAAATTTATATAAGTTAATCCTTAAAGGATGATTCTTTTGTGATAATATGCATAATTTTTATTTCATTAGCTATCATTTATGGGACTTTGGCATTTTATAGAGATTATGCAGAATTCATAGTCAAGATGTCATCTATAGTCTCTATAATACTTAGCTTTGCTATTATTTTAATACTTATGAGGAAATATAGATCAGTTCAAGAGGCTAATGATATGTATCATTTTATTTCTATTCCTTTTAGTTTGATTTCAAATGATTCTTAATATGATTTATCACAAATGGCTGCTATTATGATGCTTAATAAAATGGATATAGTATATCTAGTGTTAATTGCATTTATGAATCTTTTATTGTGTTACTTAATCTTTAAATATATATTGGATAGACTTCAATTTTCAGTTTTTCCACTTACTCATTGGTTCACAATCCTCTATTATAAAGATTATTTAAATAATACATAAATGGATCCAAATCAAAAACCAAAAAAATATACATGGCATTTGATCCTATTTTAAATTATCAACTTTATCCTATTTTATACTATTAACATGTATCTAAATTAACATTAAATATTCTAGGTCTTCTTTGTCCATAAGTTAAGAGTCCTCTCAATATGCATTTGGAGAAACCTCTTTAATTTTTAATATTGTTTTGCCATTAATTTCATTTATACTATATTTATACTTTGCAATATAGATTTGCCTACTTTCAGAATATAATCTATATTAAAAATAAAATACAGTATTTTCTTAAATAGGGAAAGCAGGAATTCAAGCTTTTAATTTAATTTTCTTGTTCCCTTTGAATTTTTTAAGGAGTATACTATAATTTTTTGGAATGAACAAATTTTAATATTTAGTATTTACAACCCTCAGATAAGGTTAAGAATTAATTAATTAGGAAAATCAAAATATGAATTAATAATAAGATTAAGCAGTTGAATTAGAGACAAGACTTAATTTATGTAATAATGATTTAATAATTATTTTAGATGATTAATTGAATAAAGTTGCTCATATCATCTCTATATTTTTAGCTTTGGCTTGCAATTTTATTATGCTCATTTTATAATAAAATATTCCAAGTCCATTTTTAATTTCTTTGTTGACATATGCAATTACCTACACATATTATATTCCAATCGTAGCTAGTCCACTTAAATATAGTTTCTTTTTAGGCAATGGATAAATAGATGACCATAAATAGTAAAATATGAAATGTCTTTTAAGACTTTTAAAATAAAATTAATAATGATAATTTTACATATAAATTGTTTATCAAAAAATAATATAATTAGTTGTTAATGGAATAAAAGATTGAAGAATTGAATTAGAGATACAGTAAATTGATTAATGAAGAGGATAATTAGAATATTAAATTTACTAAAAACTTTTAAAATTTCTACTTATATGCAATATCTGCTGGAGATGAGGATTTTTCAAAAGGTATTCAGGCAACTAAAAAACTTAAAAAGTTAATTGATACATTATTTGAATCATCAAAATTAGCCAATTAAATCATAGTTAATGAAGCTTTCTCTAGGTATATTGATATTTTATTTTAGTATTTAAATGCTGATTGCTAATCTTTTATAAAGTACAAGATGGCAAGATAATAATGCAGGAATATGGATTATAATTGTATTAATTCATTTTTAATATAATAGTTTTACTTAGAATCCAATTATAATTTCTTAGATATCAAAAATTTAAGTTAAATTTTTAAACTTCATTTAACATAATATTTGGAAGTATCAGAAGAAATGTTTTAAGAAAATACATCAAAATTATTAACATTATTAATGAATAAGAATGATATATTTCTAAAATCAGAATATTTGATAATTCAAGAAAAGCTTATACAAAGTATGAATTCATCATTATAATATTGTGATCAATATTAAGATTATTATTAAGTTATCATAAATTATTAAAGTATAATAATTACTTATAACAAGATTAAGACAATAATCAATTAATTGGAATGCATAATTAAAAGATAAATTTTTAAGAAAAATATATTTCAAAGATTTAATTAAGTCCATTGTTATAAATACTTAAAGAACTTTAAAATAAGACAAATATTAATAATTTTACAGATTTATTATTGAAGTGTTGTTTAATCAATTAAAAGTAAACTTAATTATCTGCTTTTAATTAATTGCTTAATGTAGAAGATACAGATTAAAATGATTTTATTGAAGTCTTAAGATATTCTTTATTGCATAATAATATTGAAATCACAAAATTAGGAACCTAATTAGCAAAATAAGTTATTAAGAATTATGAATGTAATTCCCTTTAAGATATTAAATTGCTAATATTTTTAAATTAATATTTAGTACCTGTTAGAGATAATTCAAGTGATTTGATCTTCGATAAATTTAAAGTCTAGAAAAATGATGTTTCTATTTTAACAGTTAATTTCAAGTTAATATTAAACATCTGTTCAATATTAGCTTTAAATGAAGATTATGAATATAGAGATTAGGCATGGAGAATTTTATTTTCTGCAATAAAACCATATAGCTATAAAGAAATTTCATAATATATAAATTAATTAATATCGTTATGTTAAACTGCAAAAAATGAAACTTAAGAAAGCTCAATATATTATTTTTTATATTTTTTTTATTAATTCATTAAGAAAATACAAGATTCAGATAAAAATTAAAATTTATTGTTTGCTAAAATTATTTGTAATTTTGTAGGTCAATTTAGAAATCAGACAATTACAACTAAAATTTATGATATTTTAAATTGTTTTGATTTTAATGATGCATAACTCTAATAATTGTAAATTCAAAGTAATGTTTAAGATTCAAGTGAAATTTAATAAGCATGGAAAGAATTAAGACAAAAACTTCTATTACCTAAACCTAAAGTTTGAAAAAATATTTACAATTCAAATTGAGTTATATAATTAAAGATATTTTTTTAATTAAAATTTTAAATAAGTCAATAAATTTTTCTATTTTTGAGAAAGGTTTCCTCTTCTTCATTTAATTGTTATACTAATATTGTTAATAAAACAAAATTTTACTTAATTCTTATTAGTACGAATTTGCAGGAGGACTATTAGAATCTAATATTGCTTAAACTACTTCTATTGTATCTACTGCATCATTCCAATGAGGTAATTAAACCATGTTAAATTTATTCAATTGTTTTTAATTATCTAAATGAATTTCTTTAAATTCTTGATCTTTGTGTCTTTTCATTTAGTTTATTTATAGAAATTATTTAATATCTGACATCTCTGTCTCAGCAACATCAGTAAACCAATCAGATATACATGGTATACTTTTAGTTATCTTACTCTTTGCTCCACTATAAGATGGATCTTAGTATACAACAACTGATGCCTTCTCTGGAATATAGATACTTTTGGCTAATCTCATAATTGAATTAAAATCAGATACATCTTTACATAAGTATACTTTTGATCCTTAATAATTACACATTGAATAAACAATAGGACATTTTTTATATTCTTTCTCTTCAAAATAATACAATCCTAAAACTGCTTAATTTCCTTTATCTAAAGTTATTCTAAGATTAACATTCAAAGCAGTTGGATCAATTTAATCTCCTTACCACATAAAAGCAACTGGTAATGATGTAAATCTTAGACCATTAATTCCATTTATTTAAATAAGTTTTGGTTTGCTTCTTAATTATAAGAATTCTTTATTTTCTTCTACTTTTTCTGATAATTTAGATTCTTCTTGATGATCTGCAGGTTCAATATGTGCTTACTTTTAACCAGTATGTGTAACTTATTATGCTAATTCTTTGCTAGACTATGTAGCAACATATGCTAATTAAACTTTCTAAACACTTGTGTCTCCAAACTTTTTGAAATTTAATTAAACCCCATGTAATGAAACTGTTAATGGAGAGACTTCAAATTCTATGAGCTTTGATTATGATTCTACTCCAACTAAGAATACTTAAACAATTGGGTCTTCAGTAAATGTTCTTTTGAATGTTAATAAAGATGGTATTACTCTATCTCCAGCTTCTGCTTTTTTCAAGATTGAAAGTGCATCAACATTAAAATACCCAAATTCAACTTCATCTTAATTAATTGCAATATATTCATATGCTAAAACCTTTAATGTGGCATGGAGAATTGTCAATTAAAATGTAAAATCTACATAAATTCTATGTAGTTACCTTATTCAGTCACATCTTAAATCTAACAGAAAAATCCAACAGGGCCAGCATCATATTCTATGGCTCTAATCGTTACTAAAATTTAAGGGATATCATTAAATTTATCTGGAAAAGTTATCTTTCTAATTATAGGATCACAACAACTAGGAGCTGTAAATTCAATAACTCCTTTCATTACTGATTTAGTCTAAACTAACATAAGAGTTAAGAATGCTATAAAGAATCGTTTTTGCATAATAAATTTTAATAATATATATCAAACAATTATATAAATACTAATCAAGCTAATGAAGAAAATAATAAGAATCAGATATACAGGCTATTAATTTTATTATATAATTTTAGCTTGCTGAACTTCAATCTATGGCTTTTTCAGAAGAGATAGAAATGTTTTTACATCTGTGTGTGGTTTACTTGGTCTACTATCTATTATTTTCTTTATTAACATTTCTTATTCTTTGATTTTATTTTAACCTAAGAATTAAATATAATATATTTTACATAACTATCCAAATTAACTTAATTCTCTTTACTTTTTAAATAAGTCTAAAAATTCTTCATTGAATTTTAATTGATCTAAACTATTCTATGACTGAAAATGTGCTGATTCTTTTACATCACTCTATTGATTCTGAATTCTTGAAATGTCCAATTTAAGATGTTTATTCTAATAATGAAGATTATTTTATGGTAATTCTGGATCATCTATTTCCTCAGAAATCTGATCTTGTTCTAATTAAGAATCAGTTTCAATTTAAGGTTATTAAGATAAATATCTCACATGCTTATTCAATTTGTTTATAAATATTTAACTATTTTATTCTGATTATGATTATTTCATTTATTGATCTTCATTTTTTAAAATTTCTAATGGCATTTTACATCTTAAAGTAAATATTTTTTAAAGTTTATTTATTGCTAAGCTCCAGTGATAAGTTAGAACCATTTTTTTAAAATGAATTGATGGTTTAGAATGTTATTTAACATGTATATGACAATTATTGATCTTTTCTAATAATTAATTAGGTTATGATTTCATTCTTACTTTAATATAATAAAAAATGGATTAAGTAAATTAAGCATTTAAAGAATTGTATTTTTAAGGAGAGTCTTATGAAAATGTAAAAGATAAAATTGATCAATGTCCTTATGATGAAGTTGCCTCTCTTATGGAAATATATGTAAAAAATTATCTTGATGTAATATATTATTAACAAATAGACAGTACAAAACAACTTATTCTCCTATAGTTACAATGATCAAGATTCAGCAAAGTTCTATATTGAATAGTTGAATAGTCATTGGATAAGAATATAGAATATTGGATAAGAATTAGGAAAATACTAATAACTAAATAATGGTTTTAGAGTAATTTTCAAAATAATTTAGATTTAAGAATATCATCGCATTAAGTTTTAAGATAGGATATTTTTAGATAATAAGATTAATTTTGCATTAAGAGAGATTTGCAGAATATATAAATTCAATTCACTAATAGAATCTCATTTTGGCTCAATTGTATTTTAATTTTTCAGACCAAAAATAACAACACATTAAGATCTTATGACTAATTGGCTTACCTATAGTTAATGTGAATAAGGTATAGATGAAATAAAGGATTTTGAAAGAAGACTTGAATGTGCAATGACCTATTTACCAGATAATGAAAAATAATAACCTAAATTACCTCCAAATTGGGAAAAGAATATGGTAAATTTAATGAAAAAGAAAAAGAAGAAGATATGATAAACAATAATATGTTAAATAAATAATGGGATTCTCTAAAATTATTATAATAAATTTTATAAAAATTTACTAATATACTATGACTTAAATAAATTATTATTTTTGAATCATAATAGATATATAATGTTTAAATTTAATTCATCTTTTCATTTTTATTTCAATCCCACCTAATTGAGAAAGTTTTGAGGACAGATTATGACATGAATCATCCTCTAAAAATAAATTGGCATCATCATCATCACTCTCAGATGATTCTCCATTCATGCTCTCACTAGAATCACTTTCTTATAATTATTCATTATTTTATCCATTCTTTGTCTCAGTATAAAAAGACCCTGCAATCTAAATTAAATTAATTATTTATACATTTTTTACTGTTTCTTATACAATTAGATTTTCTTAATCTTCTTCATCTCCTTATTATTATTCAGCTATTTATTACATAAATTATGTCTTCTATTTTTCAGTAATAATTGCTTATTTTAATAAAATATATTATCTCATAGATCTTCTTTTTGCTTTAGATAGGTTAATCTATTCAGGTAAAACAGATGAACCTAAGTAACTTAATCTAACCTATTCAATTATGATACAATTTACTTCTTTTTTTTATAATAATGGAGTTCCTATTTCATTATTAAGTGTTTAGAGTTATAAAAATGGAGAATCTAAACAATCTACTGCAGATGGTCTTTAATTTTCTTCTAGACATAAGACTCTTTTTAAAAATGATTATGCATCTTTACTAAGACTTACAAATTTCGAATTATTAAAATCAATTCTTCCTGCTGTATTTTAATTTAAAATAGCACTAATTGTATTTCCTGAAAACAAAGGTTATTAAGTCATTAGAATATAAGCTACAACACCTGCACTAAATATATCAATTTTTTCATTATAAATTTTCAAATTTAATACTTCTGGAGCAATATACCCTGGAGTTCCATATTTTTTATATTCGAATTTGGGTATTTTTTTTGCTGCTAATCCAAAATCAGCAATTACTATAGTTTAAGAATCTTTTACAAGAATATTTTCTAATTTAATGTCTCTATGCATAATATTGAGAGAATGTATATGTTTAAGACCTTCGAAAATTTATTTCATAAAATTGCTAATCTATTATTCACTAAATTGAGATTTCTCAGTTTTTTTCTTTTAAAATTCTTAAAACAATTCCCCTTTTGCATATTCATATATCAAATATATTTATTTATTATCTTCATGAATTTCTAATAATTTAATCACATTTTGATGATCAATAGGTCTTAATAATAATATTTCACCAATTACAGAATCTCTAAGTTTAGTAACTTTGATCAAATCAGTCTTTTGGAAAGTCTTGCACACAAATTGTCTCTACTTATTGTCCTCGATTAGATAACCCTTTTTTTAAAATACAGTACTTTTGAATAATTGCCATTATTGATTTGACTTAAGAATCTAAATCTAGTTTAGATCTGGCCTCTTGTTACACAAAACCTTATTAAATTTTCAATCCAATTTTTTAATTATTTTTGGTCAGTGCAATGATACTCTTTTACTCTATCATATGAAGTCAACAAAAAACTCTTATCAGTATAAGATAGTATATATAGACTATTGAAAAGATTGCAATATTTAGTTTTTTGATGTCCAAATTTGATCAATGAGCCATCTTTAGTTAATGCATATTCATAATTTTGACTTTTAGTTAGATTTACTAATTAAGACTTAATAAGATAAGCTGATTGAACATTTCCAATAGTCCAAAAAGTTTAGGTTTTAAGGAGTGATTATAAATTCTTACTAGTAGGTATATACAAGTAATCAATATTTTGAGATTATTAGAGCATATTTATTTATTTAATAATTTTTTAATAAACAATGGGATCATGTGCGTCAATGAAATAAAAAAAAATAGATGGAAATGTATAAATTGTGTCATATAAGTAAATATAATTAATATTTTCAGAGTTTGTATAACAGCTTTCATCTGGAATAAAGAAAGTCATAACTTATTCGATTTCGAGAGTCACCAAGCATGCAAAAAAGAGTTAGAACTAGATTTTTCAGGTAACCTTGTTCACTATTATTTAGCTACACTTTCAATGGTTGATAATTAAATTATAGCATTAAGTGAGAATGTAAATTTATTAACACTATTATAAAGGAGTATGTAAAAAAACAAGTTCAGCTGCTTAGAGTCGATTGTGAATAAGATTATGTGACTCTATCAGGAATGAGCTAGAAATCAGATCAGAGGGTGTGGGCAATACTATGCCGAAGACCAGAATTTGAGTCATTGAATGTATAATAAATATAAAAGAAAATATAAAGGAATGGGAACTCTAGAGGGGAGATATCATCAAATTGGGAAGGATGAAATTACAATTACTGGATTTTAATTATGATTTAGATGCATTACAATAATAAAGAGACTAAACTGATATTAATGATGAAGAAATATAGTCTTAAGATTTAGACCCAGATGGTTGTTAATGTAGGATTTGTTTCTAAAAAAATGCTACAGTTTCAAACCCTCTTTTTAGTCCATGCAAATGTAAGTTTATTAAAATAAAATTACAGGTATTGGTTCCATGAAATATGTTCATCTTCATTGCTTATAAGTTTGGATTCAATAATCAATAAAAGTTAAAAATCAATAATCCTCAACTTAATACATCTGGAAGAAAATGGAATGTGAAATCTGCAAAATGCCATTAAAGAGCACCTACACATATCAAAGATAGATCTTTTGTATTATGTAAATATAGAAACCAATTGTGCCTTATATGATTTGGAAAATTACTTCAGATGATAAATCTAAAGAAGGCATCATCTAAGTTATGGAACTTTAAGATAGAGCAGAAATTAAAATTGGGAGAATACCTGATTGTGATATTAAACTAAAAGATATATCAGTATCTAGAAGTCATGCTTTAATAAAAGTTATCAAATAAGAAGATAATTAATACAAACTTATTCTACAAGACAATAATTCTAAATTTGGAACCCTTTTATATGCCTAGTCTGATAAATTACTTAAGTACAATTTACCATCATTACAAAAAGTACTTTACTAAATTGGAAGAGTCTTAGTATATATTCAATTTAAGGATAAAGGAAAGTCTTATAATAAATAGTAATTTCAATTTCATAAATTAGATTCACTTGTTACAAACATCCTGATAAAATAGTTGTTTAGACAAAAATTAACTAAAATGAATAAGCTACAATTATTCCGAATGTTGAAAAGGATAAAGATAATTAGATGTCCTTTTAGACTTATAATGAATTACATTAAGAGGATATCGTAATTAATGTAAAATAAATATGAATACCTATAAACTAATTTTATTATTTATTAATTAAAATATTTGTCTGTTAAATGATATAAAAATTAAACAAGTGGGATTGCATAATTGACCCAATTATCAAAAACAATTAATAGATGTAAGTTTCATATTAATCATTTAAGTGGTGGTTTATATCTGGCTGATATAGATTGTGCATTAAGCAAAGAATTACTATAATAATTATAAATTGGAGCTTTGCTTAGTGTTATAGATGAACCAAAAGTAATTACTTCTTCCAGTATTATTCATTAAGTAATTAACATTCCAGATTGCACTGAATAAAACATTTAAGAATTTTTCCCTAAAACTAATGAATTTATAGAAAGACATAGATAACATACTAATGTTATGGTCCATTGTTTTGCTGGAATCTCTAGAAGTGCATCAGTTGTTATTGCATATATTATGCAAAAGTTCAATTGGGGGTTTTAGAGAACTCTTAATTCTGTTATTGCAAGGAGACCATAAGTCAAACCAAATTCAGGCTTTGTTAAATAACTTATTTAATATGAAACTCAAAACAGAAATAGATCATCCTCTTAATAACATAGAATTCTCAATACTATTAATACTGTAATTGATAAAATGCCTTATTAATCAGATAGCAAAAATAATAAATACTTTTAACCATCAAAATTAGATTTAAATTAATTGGAAATGGAAATTACTAAAAGACAATAAGATTTATAAATATTAAGAATGAAATACTAACAATTAAATGACAAAATTGTTAATAGAAACAATGTTTACGTTTCTGCTTTTGAATGAGATGATTTTTAACACTTATATATTATAACCAATTCTTTAAATCATGCTTAATTTACTATATTAAATCCATTTTTAAATCATCTTTTCTTCCATCTATTTTCTAATCCATTTCTATCAACATTTTTTAAAGATTATACTAATTATTTAAGAATTAATATATACCTTATAGATAGTATTATACGAAATAATTACTCTCTTTTAATAATTTAAAAGCTCTATCAAAACTTTTATTGGATAAATCCAATAATAGAATTACATCCCAATCTGTACATTAAGGATATATTTACTACAGTTCTTCAAACAGCAATTAAACTTAATAAAATCTTTTTTATACATAATTCTTCATTTCTTTAATAAACTTTAACATATCTAGGACGAAGACTTGAACTTGGAAAATGTAACTATTAACATTGAATTCCCAAATGAACATTTTTCTCTTACTTTTGTACTTATTCAACTTTTTTCTTCATTTTATTTTATTTTTACTCAGATTTAGATATTTTACTTTTATTCTTTTGATTTCTTGTTTAAACTTAAGAAATTATTGATTAACAAGAATTATCTTCATATACTCTTCCTGATTAAAGTAAATCATCTAAATCTAAAAGTCTTGAATTTTAAAATTGAAATGTATTGCTAAATCCAATAGTATTTAATTTATCATTTTCAACTATTATTGAATTTTGAGATGCAATATACTATTAATTTGATAGTTCTCTGTTTTAAGTAGCTGTATTATCATATGTATAAGGATGTGCCTAAGAGTCCCCTTTTGAATAAAGTGATGCAAGCAACTCCTAGTAGTTTAGCTTGCTCATTTGATAATTTATTTATTATTAATCATAATATGATACTTTAGATATTAATTGTATAATTAATTTGTAAATATATAAATTTCATAATCAAATTTTTTTGTGCATTTTTATTAATGAATGTATGTCTTCCAAAACTCTCAACTTATTTTGTGTTGTAGTTTAATCCTATTTAACTTACAAAACTTATCTTGATTAAATCTCTCTTTCACTTTCATAAATTCTAACTTTCTCTTCAATCTATTAATTAGTTTTAGACTATATACTTGTTTTAATGAATACTGACTCTATTCAATCTATTATTTATATTTAGCAGATTTTTAAGCATGTTTAAGGATTTCTTCTTCTTAAGATTTTATTTTTTATTTCAATTCATTTTCTCTATTTTTGTATTCCTTAATTTCTTCTTTACTTTAAGCTAACTATTTTACCAGATGGTCAATTTTAATCTCAATTTCATCCATGGTTTTATCATTCTCATGTTTTGTCATTTAAATATCATTTTCTAAATCCCTACAATACTATTATGATTTAGTTAATTGTTCCTATAAATGAAGAACTTAATTTTTTAACTAAAAATTTAATATTCTATAATACTTATTCTATTGTACGAAAATCTTGTCGAGATTATAATTCAAATTCTTCAAATTTTTGTTTTTTAATTTATAATGCAGATTTTTAATCTTATATTTCAAGAACGAGACTTTAGATTCTATTTTCTGCTGTTAATAATTTATTTTACTAATTATCAATAACAGATTTAAGTTCAGAATTGATTTATTATAATTTCTAATAATCTTAAATTTAAATTGAATGATTTTTCTCTTCATTATCAAGTAATCTCTAAAAATCAGTTATTTTTTAATTTAAATTATCAATAGATAATTTTTATTCATTAATTTTTTATTTCTTTTTTTCAAGTAAATCTTTATAATTTGATACTCTCTTTTCAATTTCTTATTCTTAAGACTACAAAAATTATTGCTATTGCTTTTCAACTTTAGCTAATTAATTATATGCCTCATCTTATTTATATGTAGCTTAATCTAACTATTACTTATAATAATTGATTTATTAATTTAGATATTCTATTTAAGATTATTAATCAGCATCTCTGTATCTAATATCCTAATACATTTATTCAAAATATCGAATTTGTTCATCTCTATTAATTAATTCATCTCTTTATTTTAATAACTCTCCCTCTAATTCCTTATTTTATTCTTCTTAATTTTTTCTATTTAAATAATATATGATTACATTTCATTAGAAAAATCCTCACATAATTTTTAAACTCTTTCAAGTTCTCTACCAAAATTTTATCCTTGTTCTTCATAAACTGTCTCTGCTTATTTTAACTAATCTCTTAAAGCAGTTAATTTTTATTTTTTATCTCCTAATTTTTATTTTAATATATGATTTTGCTATTGTAATTCTTCAATTAATTTTTCTGAAGTCTCTGCTTTTATTTTAACCTCTTTGGTATTTAAATCTCCTTTGTTTAATTAATCTAATAATTATTTATTTTCTTATTCAAATGCTCTAATTTATTTATCCTTTGATGATAACTTTCCTTCCAATTCTTTATTAACTGTCATATATTCCTTAAGTGTAATCTAAAGGATGTTATAAAGAAAAGTACTTTTAATTCCTTATTTAAGATTCTTATTCTTTCATATTTTTCTCTTTCTTGCATATCCCTAGCATTCAAGGTTTCCCTTAATCTACTAATTTACTCTAATGATCCACTTTATCTACGTCTTTCTCTTGAAGAATCATCACTGAAATTATAGATAAATATGAATTACTCATCATCATTGATTTTACTTGGTCTTGATCTACCTATAAAATATGTGACAGGTTATTGAGGAGTTGGTTCATATTACATGATCTAATCGATCTACTGACTAGTTTTTTTATAACGATCCATGAGTTTATTGACATTTCTCTCTAATCGGTTATCCATTATTTAAATTCAAAATTATTATAATTCAGGTTAACTTTATTTTCTTAATTCTTACGAATCAATCATTTTCATATCTGATTCTTCATGCTATACGTCTTAGAATGGATTCTTTTCTTCTTCTGACAATTCCAAATTCAATTATTGTGATTACTTGATTTCATCTTCATTTTATTCATCCAATTTCTCTATATTGATTTCTATCTTCTTCTAATTTGATCTCTAATTATGATCTATATCATCCTCAATTAAATTAACAAATTCAGATTCCTTACGATTATTTATAATTATTATTTCACTATTTGACATTTTTACACTTTCAGGTTAACCATCTCCTAAATTTATATTCTATTATTAATCATCTAAATCATCTTCCTCTTAATTTACATCAAAAGGTGAAAATATTTATTACAAAAATATTCTTGGTGATCTATTTGATCTTTAGATTAAAGCATAAAAATGATCAATTTCTATTTTGCTTAATTAAATTTCCACTTAAAAAAGTACTTCCAAATAAGACTAATTTTATTTAATAGATTTACATCAATTATAATATATCCACTTGTATAAGTATCTGGATATTTTCTAATTAAAATGTCTGAGATTTCATTCTTCTTTTTCATTATCTATTAATTGATATTATTCAATTAATCTATATTTAAAATTTAATAGTTTTCCATCAAAGTTCTAAAAATACTTCTTACTCTAGCACTAGTAGTTGTTTCAGTTTCATTTTCAACATCTGCTAAATAAATAGCAGCCATTTCAACTTATTCATTTGTTTATAAACCAAATATTCTATTTGATAGATTTTATTTCAATTATTATTAAGTTAATATTTCATCTGTTAATAAATAAGATTCTACTTATTACAATGTTATTTTCAACCCAATCAAATTTAATTTGACTTATCTAGCTATGGCTAAAATATCATTTTTATCAACATTTATAAATTTCTTTTTTTAAAGTTCAATATCTTCTTATAATTATCCTTATTCTTCAGGTGGTTAAGGACCATTATTTTTTATAAGAATAGTTCTTTTAGATTAATATTTTTATTATTTTTCTAATTCATATTCTCTTTATAATGTTTCAAATTATCTCTTTTATTCAGCAATCTTTTTTTCTAAATTATCTATTTATTCTTAATGATCTCCTTAGAGTTTTTGCATTTGATTTTCTAAATATTTATTTTTTTATCTTTCATTTCTTAAATCAACCATTGCTTAATCATAACCCAATTATAATTGTTCTTCAATCTTTTTATTATCTTTCTATTGAGGTCTTTCAAGAAATAAAGTATCTTTTTTTTTTAATTCTGCAATCTCTAATAACAATTATGCATTTAGATTCTTGATTTACTTATATTTATTTAAGATTGCATTATATTTAATGTTCATTTTATTACAATTATTCTAAATTTATATTAATTTTCAGTACTTATTATTATATAACTGACTATTCTAATTGTTAAATTAATTAGCTCATTCTCATATTATCTTCACTTAGAGACATACACAATCCTTCGACATTATTTTTATTCAATGGATTCTATAATTGATTAATATATGATATTTATTCTTATAACTATTATTGCAATTTAATGTTATTTTCCTATATTTATACAATTGTATACCTCCAGCTTTGTGATTTTCTCTAAAAACCCTTATTTTATTCTAGTATAATTCTTAGAAGGACCACTTTCTTCTTTTAAAATTGATTGCACTTCTCTCTTGAAATATTAATTTTAAGATTAAAACTATCGTAATGCTAATTTTAATTAATTGTTTTCTTATTTCAGATTTTAAATTTCCTCATATAGACTTTCTTTGTCATGAATTATATATTTAGCTCTCATTTTACTGGCTTCCGTATTGTCAAGTGTTCTATTTCTTGAAAATAAATTAAATCTATTCAATTGCTTTGAAGATTGCACTTGAGGTGATTTCTATATTTATGATATTGACAACATCCTTATATTATATAATTAATTATCAAATTACAACATTTAAACAAGCTATGGAAAATAAATGCATCCCATATCTGAAACAAAGAAAACATTCTAAATAATCACAAAAGTTTCTATTCTACTTATATATATACCCTCAAAACCTATAATCCAAACAAAATGATAAGAATTATATTTTAATCATTCTAACCCAAAAATATTGTATGATAAAAATCAATACAAATCAATATAGATATTAATGTTGTCATTAATAAACTCATGGATTTTTAATCAATTGAAAGTCTATAGTTAAATATTATTTGTAAAATTTAAGGATAAATATGTAAATGATATTTAAATTATTGATTAGTCAATGGAAAAATAATTACAATTATAAAAATTACTCGATTATAAGTATTGTTAATTAATATAGTAGTTGTTCTCTCTGTTTCATTCCTTAGCTATTTCTCTTCATTTAATAGCTAATTTAAACTAATACTTATTTCTTTAATCATACTATTCATTTGATTTTATAAGTCTTTTCTATGTCATAACCCCAAATTATTGTTAATATTAATTAGCTAATATATTCATCTTTATTATATATAATATTTTAACAATTTATTTTAAATTAAATTCTTAAGTTTTTGTCCTATTTCTTCTTCAATTTTCTCTTATCTAATCTAAAAATGATTCTATTAATTTTGCCTCAGTTTTCTATATATATTTCTGTCTTTCTAAATTTCTTTTTATATACTATTTATTCATCCATTTATTTTAATAATAATATATTTCTTATAATTCACTAATCTTATTCATCTGAGTTTATTATAATGTCAGAATTATATTATCAAAAGAATAAACTTATAAGAACTTTTTATTCTATATTCCTTAAAATTAATATTATATTAGATATATTTTATGTATATAAACTCTACGATTTATACAATAGTAATATAATCAAAGAAGAATGTTTAACTTTTTTATACTGAGGATTCATATTACATAATTTAAATGAATTTTTAATTAACATTATTGACATTTATTTTTAACTTATTATATTAACATCTTTATTACAACAGAATGGCTGAAATTACAGACAAAATTTAATAATCTTAATATTTATAAGTTCTTTATGGACTCTATTATTGATATTTTAGTATATTTATTTAGTTTCATTAATAATTGAATAAATATAAAATAATATTTAATTATTTCTAGAATTAGCCAAAATATTGATTTAGTTGGATTCTTCAAATGTAGATTGTACTTCACTTATGATATTATTATTGAATTTCTCTTTATTTAATTAATTAATTATTAATAAGAAGATTAATTATTAAATTTTAGAAATTGTATTTAGATAATTTAAAAATTATTATTAATAAATGAAAATACAAATAGATACGATGACTTAAATTATAAATATACATATCATTTTCCTAAACTTTTAATTACTTCATTTGTAAATTAATCTGTTGTAGCATTTCCACCAATATCTTTAGTTTTAATCTAAAACATTAAAATTTGATTACATTTTTAACTTAAATAGTATTTTAAACAGCTCTACAAATTTAATCAGCAAAGTTTGGTAAACCTAGATGTCTTAATAAAAGAGTGGAAGAAACAAGCATAGCAGAAGGATTCACAACATTTTTACCTAGAATATTTAATTTAATACCTGCTATATCTGTTCCTGTATGTCTACAACCTTAAGAAAAGAGAGCATGATCTTTACCAATAGAGGCTCCTGCAGCCATACCAACTCCTCCAGTAATACCAGCTACAACATTTTATACAATTGATCCATAAAGATTTGGCATAACCATTACATCAAATTGTGTTGGATTTTTAACCAATTACATGCAACAATTATCAATAATCATTTCTTCATATTTAATAAATGAGTATCTTTATGAAACTTCTCTACATGCTTATAAAAATAATCCATCAACAAGCTTCATTATATTAGCTTTATGAACAGCAGTAACCTTTTTTCTACCACTAAGATGAGCAAATTCAAATGCATATTCAGCAATTCTTAATGATGCTTATTTTGTGGTTACTTTGATTGATTCAACCACTCCTGGATAGACTTCATGTTCCACACCTGAGTATTCACCTGCAATATATATTATTTTAATAATTACCTTCAGTATTTTCTCTAATCACAACTATGTCTGTATTATTATGTCTTTATATTATTCCATCAAAAGAAAAAGCAAATGTAATATTAGAATACAAGTCTAAGTATTTATAGAATTTGTAATTATCAGTGTACTTTTAATTCTTCTCAGTCATCACACCTAAAAGAATGCATTCATTTTTTCTTAGTTATTTCTTTGATTCATCATTCTCAAAATTGAAATTGTCTAACACATCAAATTTTATTGGAACATGTAATGCTTCAAAGATGGTTCTTACACTATCTAAAAATACTTATATTTTAATACTTGTTATTTCAGGTCCAATACCTACTCCAGGAATTAAAGTAACATTCTTTAAAGCACCTTCTCCAGGTTTTTATAAATAGTTTTAAGACCAAGCACCTCTGAGTTAAGGATTTTAACGAAAAGCTGATCTAATACAATTTCTCATAAATAAATTTTTATAAAAATATTTGATATTATGATTTTATATATAAGAACCCCCATATCCTAGAATAATTCATATTATTATTATAAATTATTATTATATAATTTTATTATATATGTCATAACATAATATATATATATATATTTTATAACTCTATTAAGTTAGTCATCTTATTTCATTTGTCTCTAGCCATACAAGTAAACAAACTAGCAATCCTCTAGAACACATTTCTATTTTTATTATTACTTTATTCTTAAGAGACAATTTATTATGGATGAAAACTCGTTTGTGTTTCATCAGAATACGAATTTGAAGACTCTTCTACCTTCATCTTATTTACTTCTTCTCTTTTAATAAATGGATGTAATATTATCTATTTCAAAGATATCCTTTCATTAGGATTAGGATTCAACATTTTTTTAATTAAGTCTTTTGCAAATGGGTCTATAATTGTAAATATTGGTTCTTTAAACATCAAAATTTACTCTATCATTTCTGCTTCATTACCTAACTTATTATATATTCCATACCTGTTATTATTGGTTTTTTCTCAAGCATCCAATAAAGCAAGCATCCCAAACTCCATATATCAACAGAATAAGATTAAGGATAGTTCCTTAAGATTTCTGGAGCCATAAATTCATATGTTCCACTAAAATTGCTAATGATATCTATATGAGTAGCCAAACCAAAATCACATAATTTTACATTATTCTTGTGATCTATTAACACATTACTTGGTTTGATGTCTCTATGAATTATACCTTATGAATGTAAGTATTATAAAGAATTACACATCTATATTACTATCTATTTAGGATCTATTTACATATCTGTTGTCAAATGTCCATATTCTAAACTTTTTATTAAATTAAATACTTGCGTATTCTAATATTAAAAATAAATCATCATCTTTCTCTAAGAATTAAAATAATTAAATTATATTTTTATGTTTAAGTAACTTATGAATTTTGAGTTCTCTATTCCCAATATATTTGTTTATTTTTTTTATTGCAAAATTATATCCATTCAGTTATTTTAGATAAACTTACCCAAAACTTCCTGAACCTATCAAATTCATCTCTTCATTCAATTAACTTAAAGACACTTTAGGAACTAATTCAAATTAACCATTACACATTAAGTAATGGTATGCTTCCCTACCAAATTAGAAATCATTATTTACCAATCAAAATCTCGACATTTCAATGAACAGTAAATTGCATTTGAACAATTATCACATGTTATTTGATTTCCATTTAATATTGAATTGTAAGGTATATTCTTGCTGCATTTAGAATTTTAGCAATTCATTTGAAGTTTCACAAAGAAAATTTATTAAACTAAAATAACAAATACATTTTAAATCTATTATCTTTCATACACTTATAATCACAAATATAATATATTCTAACTCTCTGTTTATTTTACTCAAGGCATCTCTACTTTATTGAGTTAAAACCTAATTTTCTCTTCATAATTTTCATCCATAGATCATTATTATTTTTCTATTACTTTTAATTACAATTACATTTCTTAAAATAAAAAAAAATAAATAAACTTTGATATTTCTTACAATGAAATACAATAATTTCAATATGTCTTCTAATACAATAAGAATTTAATTTATCCTTCATTCACAAACTTTTACAGAAATATAAATTTTCTCTTAACACTAATAACAATTAATAGTATTATAATTAATAATGTTGATAAATCAATTAAACTATTAATGAATAAAGTAGATAATTTTTTAATATTGATTCAATTAAAAAATTAATAAACTTACAATATTATTTTATATTTCAGTTTTTAATCAAATTACTCTAGGCTGATTAGAATAAAATGTTAATTATTCTAATATTATGTGTAATAAAAAAAAACTTTGTAAATTAATATTGTTTTCATAGAATATTTTTTCTTTTTAAATGAAAAATAAATGCAATTATTTATAATTCCTGATTTAAAACTTTCTAAATGTTGCCTGAGATAAATTTGAAGGAATAAATTACTATCTAATCAACATTATTCCAATAAAGATGAAAATATTTCTATTTTTTTAATAAACAACAATATGAAAAGATTAGTAATAACAAAAATCATATAGATATATAATACCTATAAAATTATGCTTATTTAATAAAATATCAAGTTATTCTCGTAGTCAATTAAATAGTTATTATGATAATGAAATTTTATAAAAGAGATATATTTTATATTAAGTAAGTCATATATATGTAGATTTGAGTTTTTATTATTGTATAAGTATTTGATAACAAGTCAATTTAATTAAGTATAATTATCATAGTTTTACAATCTTATGAATGCTATTTTTTAGTAATTTTACAACTTAGTTAAGATAATCATTGAAATAACAGTAAACAATATTATTTCTTATTAAAAAGAAAGATTTATTGAGTAAATTTATTATTGATTTAGCTATAAATTTATATTTATTATTTTAATTCAGATAAGTCTGAATACACATATGAACTCAACACCTGTTGGAACAAGAGTCAGAAATAATAGAGAATCAATGTCAAATATAACTATCAATAAATTACTGCTTCCAAATAATTTAAAGTTAAAGAAATCTCATTAGAATACTTAAAGCCAGCAAATTTTGGATTAACAATTAGATGAAAATGTTTTTTATATACCAAAATAAACTTTGAGGAGAGTCAAATATTCAGAATAAAATAGTAAACTGCATTCTATTATTCTTAGTAATGACTAACTCAACAGCAGGAAAATCATTATAATCCTAACTAATTGGTAAGTTTTTGAATGAAAATATCATAAAATTCCATCAAATAAAGTCTCGAAAGTAAATTGCCATAAAAGAATTAGTATCATCTTCAAAAACTTATCATGCAATAAAAAAAGAAGGGAATATAAACACAGAACCAAATTAGGATAAATAAACTCTCCCTTTTATGCCTTAATTGAAATCATCCTAAGTTATTGATGATTTATATAAGTTCACTTTTTATAGTCCTAAGACTTAGGAGAATAAACTTAGATTACCTAAAGAATTCTAAATTCAACCTTGTAGTAAGAAAAAATATTTTATATGAGTAAAGCAATGAATCTAATAATTATATATATAATATAATTTTAATTGCAAAATCTTAAAAAAAATATAATGTCTGCAAAGAAAATAACATCTCCTCAAACTAATAAATGTCATCCTACTAGTAGAGGTCATGATATTAAAACTATATAAAAATTAGAAATTTTTACAAGTACAAATAATGGCAAAATAAATAAGGTATTCAATTATAAGGGTTATTAGTTATTAGAGTAGTAAACATCAGTTAACTTATGCTACAGATTAAATATAAGTAAATTGCTTAACAAATAAAGTTTCATTAAAAAATGGACAAAATCATGACAGAGAAAAAATAATTAATTAATTACTATAAGAGAACATAAAATTGAAAGAATAGAATGATAAGAAAAATAAATTAATAGAAATGTTAATTGATGAAAGAACAGATATCAAAAGAGTTACAAGTCTTCATATTCCACATGAAAGAGATATTTAACAGTCAAAAACAAATTTTAGACTTTAAAGTCCAAATCATATGGAATTTACATTTTATAAAAGTCCTAGTAGAGGGTTACCTAAAGAATTCTAAATAACTCCGTCTCGTAAAATGTTTTTTTGAGAAATAATAATTACTGATATTTTCATAAATGTTTGCTCTATAATTATGCAAATTCAATAAAATATCATCATCAACCATTATTTAAATATGGTAATAAGAACTTAATGAATTTTAAACACTAGTAAAATTAGTAATTAATTAAATTAGTTATAAATAATAAAAATTGATTCATATTACAAATGCTTTATTTTTTATTATATATTTAATTATAAAACATACAAACTCTAAATATTTTAACTAAAAACTAAATTCTCTAAATATTAGACAAAATATTAAAATTTTCAAACTAATTTTTTGAATGGACAAGGATTAGGAAACTAAAAAGTTGCACCAATAATGCTAATTATAAAATTTATAATGTTATACTTAAACTGATGCAAAATTGGAAGAAATTGATTCATTTTGGAACTATAATCTAAAGTAGAGTAGCTCTGTTAATATAGAGGATTTATTCTAAATCTAAATAGAGGACAATAGTACTCTAGAATAAATAGCTTCAAAGATGAAATAATTCTTAAAACCACAAATTGAAAATGTAAAATTTAACTTTATGATTAGTTTTTAAAAGTTAATCGTAGAAATGTTAAACTAATTAAATATCCTAAAGTTTAATGGAATTCTGATTTGAGTATTTAAAAAAAAGGAGTCAATTTATTATCCTTTTCTGATTTATAGGCTGGATATCGAACAAATGAAAATTAAGTTATTATTCACAATATTGCGCCATAATTAATACATTAATATACAAATTATTTAAAAATAGATCAAAATATAAAAGTATAAATGTGTATCTAAAATAGAGATAAGAAACACAAGATCTAAATTTTAAATATAATTTTACTTCAGAATTAAGAGAAAAATATAAACTTGACATTCTTAAAGTGAATAAAGAATTATGGAGATCTTAAGATGGTATTAATGAAATGATAATGCTTAATAAGAAATATGCACTTAATCAAATGGACTTTAGTAAGATTATTTTAATTAAATTCTAGTTTAAATATATTCTTAATATTTATATATAATTGAAAAAGAAAATATATCAAAATTATCTTTTGATGAAATATCTAAATACTTATAAAAATAAATAATTAAAAAGAATGTAAATATAGAAATAAATTTAAATTCATTAATACAAATCTATTTACAATTATAAAACAAATAGTTTTCAATAGTAAAATAAACTATATTTTAAAAAATAAATCTTATTTAACAATTTGATTTAACTGCAATTTAGAATCTATCATTTAAATCATATAGAACAAATTAATATCTATTAGAAGATTTAGCATTTATTTGTAATTCATGTTCATAATACAGAAATAAATGTAAATGCACATTTATTAATAAATTGGCATAAATAAGAAACCTCTTAGAATTTTGTAGTATTTTAAATTATAAAAGAGATAAAAAGAAATTATCTTGGTATTATTATATTTTAAAAGCTAATCACTAAAATAATTGTGGTGAAAAATGTTATAAAAATAATAATAATTTTGAATAATTAAAAAAGAAACCTGATAATAGTTCATTTAGTGAAGAATATTAATCTATAATAATTGATAGAGATCCATGTTTATTAGCTTAAATTTATAATAAAGATTGTTTGTCAATATTTTTATAAGCAAGATAACGTTGCGATGAAATTAAAAGATAATATTTATAATCAATAAAATAAATACAAGAAAATCAAGATAAAGCAGCTTTAATTAATTATCCATTTAATAATGCAAATTTATATATTCCATGTTGTCATAAATAGGATTACAAATGTGAAAATTGTAATTGTGATTAATTTTGTTCAAAATATTGTGATTGTTAGTAGGATTGGTGTTCAAAAAAATTAAAAGGATGTACTTGCAAAGATAGATGTTCTATTGATAGTAAATGTTCTTGTAGAATTGACAATGTTGAATGTGATCCTTTATTATGCAATTGTTGTAGTTTTTCTTCAAATTTTATTTGTTCGAACATCCAGATTTTAATTAACAATGTATAACCTACTTTATTAGGAAGATCAGGAGTTTGTAATGGACTTGGAGTATTCGCAAGAAATTATATAATGAAGGATGAATTAATAATTTTATATATAGGAGAAGTACTTATTGATGATGAAGATGAAATTCGAGATTAATTTGATGATACATTTACATTTTATAATTATTAACTAAATGAAGATAAATATACATTAGAAAGTAGATTCTGTGGAAATGAAAGTAGATTTATTAATCATAATAGTAAAGATTTAATGAATTGTAAAACTAGACAGATATTTTCTTCAGGTATTTTAATAATTTCATTTTAGGAAAATTTCAATTAGCAATTTATGCTCTTAAAGATATTTAACCAGAATAAGAGATACTATTGAATTATAATGAAGGGGATCAAATTAATAAAGATTTAAATAATTGGGTTGATATCAACTCTTAGTATTGGGAATATAAGTAAACTACTTTAATCGGTTTAAAATGATTTATAATTTTTGTGATTATTTAAAGTAATATCATTAAAATTAATTTTATTTTTTTTTTCATTTTTATGAACCAAAAGAGAGCTTCTCATAAACAGATAGGTATTTTCTTAAATGAGTGAGAGAGTTATTGCATATATAGAGTAACTAGAAATTATAATATATTTAATTAATTACTTAATATTTTTGAATTAATACTTGAATCAGTTAGAGTAACCTCTTTGCGAAGTTTTCCTATTTGAAATGATAGAGATTCACAATTAAATGTACTATATCTTCTTATTTTGTTTGCTGTTCAAGTAGACTCTATTCTTTTGTATTACAAAATTCAATTATTGTTTTTAAGTTAGCTTTTTTTAAAGCTTAATAATCTTCATTTTCTAAAGGAACATAACCATAACAGATATTTTTATTTAGCTAAAATATCATCTACTTTAGTTTTGTAAGTCCATCTGAGAATATGAGTAGAGCATCTTTATAATATTATTCTAAAATTAGATATTACTACTGTTTACATTGACAATTTAAGTACACTTTATAAACTGGACTAGAAAACTCACTTTTGGTTACAATATGATATTAATATTGAATTTAACAGTCATCAATATTGATAACAAATTTTAATTACGATATCCCATCCTTATTTTTCATTCGGACTCTTCTCTAAAATTGACCCATTGAAATTGACGATCCAGAAATATAAATATCGAAATTCTATGGGTTTACACATTGAAAACATAATTTTCTGTGGTTCCACACATCTATTGAATGTTTATTAGTAACTCTGTTAGGCCCTGATTCCCAACATATTTTTTAAACTTTATCATACTGAGAAATAAAATATTTATATTCCATTATATGATAAGCTACCTCAGCTATCCAAATATCGTTCTAAATATGAAGTTAAATATATACCTATGTCCAAATCATTCGAATTGCTTATTCAGGATTCCATTGTCCCAAATATTTTGATTTCCCTGAAATATACAATGCCTAACCAAATTCAGTCTTATAATGGATTTATAATCGGATCATATTTACTATTTATTAATAATTACAATGGATTTATTTAAGTTGGTTATGATGATAAAAATAATACGCAAATTTTATACAAGTAATTTTTTATAAAAATGATATAATATGAATTATTAAAAAATAATATAAAAATTGTATTATATCCTAATTCAAAATATAAAATCAGATTAGATATTTCATATGATTGATTTTAGATTTTTAGAATAATCTAATCAAGCATTTTTAATTTATATATCTTTAAAATCAATTTATATATTCATAATAGCTGATATACTTTTAACTTATTAAAATTATTTTTTATTTATAATATATAACTTCTATTAAACATATTTCCATTAATTTATGGTAAATATATAAATATCTAGAATATTGTTTTTTTATCAAATCTTTAATTTCTTTCTATAATTAATTCATTTAAGAAAGTCGAACACTTACAAAACATCTATAGCCAGGTATAATAAATCGTCATTAGTCTTATTTTTTATTTTAATTAATCCATATAAACTAGAATGAAATATTGTTTTAATTCTTATAGTAAATATGCTGTTTCTGCCTGAGGTGTAAATCTATACTATACACTTATCTATTGATATTAATATGACACACTGCATCCATAGCTGCAACATAATTTTGAATATAGCTGCCTTTTATTTATATTTAGGGTCTGAATTAAAATATCTTAAGTTTAGACAAAATATAATATATTTTTAGTTCATTTTTTACAAGTAATATGTTTCATCATTTTATTAGAAAACTCACCTATTATGCGTAATATTCACCTTTACTTTTTAAATTATCAATATGGTGAATTTATTCAAGAGATTTATTGAGTGTAAGTTTGCAATAATTCGATCTATAAGGATTCATTTAGCATTAATCTAAACACTATTAACATTTTTCTCTAAATTTTTAATGTTGCTATTCACCAAACCCATTAAATTCAGTAAAATGATCGTTTTAATGTAGCATTCTGCTTATTCAAAATGAGAATTTCGAATGAACACCTTTTCAAAAAAGAATAAAAGTTTGCCTAGAATGATTATTATTACTAGTCTCATCTTATTATTCGATCAAAAAGTGATCAATTTTTTAAATCATAATATTTACTATTATTTATCTTAAATATATTTTATTATCTATATTTTATTTCATAAACTATACCATATGTGTTTATTATAATATTAACATGTTAAAGCAACACAATTGATAAATTCAAAGATTATTATACATGAATAATAATGTTATATTTTATAACATTAAAAAAAAATTAATAATTTATATTTATATATTCAAAATTTCTTTCAAAATAATCCAATACTGTCTTTATGATGAATTGAATAAACTGAAGGAATACTCAAATTAAAATCTTTTTTTATATACCCTTATTGTGATTATTTAATTTAAGGCCATAATATAAAATTTAGTCATGTTAGTTTAAATGGGCATTTTATATTGAAATAACAAATATTTAAGGAGGATCAATAAAATTGAATATATTTTCTAATCGTTTAACTGATTTTATATTTATACCTTACCTAGAACTTATAATTGATTAATTATTCTTTTAATGTTTAGAGATTAGAATGACTGTTCAAGACAAATAAATTGAATATAAACATTTGAATCTGATTATGAATACATCCTTTATTATAATAATAGTACTGCAGATTGAGAATTTATAATAGTGTTCATTATAAAAAGTTCATAATTATTTATATAAAATCGAAATATGGATATTAGATTAAGGCAACAATCAGCCATGACCTATTAAGAATACATAAATTATTTTAATAAAGAGCCAGATTCCCCTAGAATTCAGTAATAATGTATTTAAAAAGGATAGCCCCAAGGATAGTCCAGTAGAACCTTTATCAGATTTAGAATTGAGTCCTGTCTAAGAGAAGCATCAAAATAAGCTAAAAGTATAGAGCTGTAAAGTTATCAAAATTAATTCAAAACTATGATTATCAAATTTATATAGTTAAGTATATTCGACTAAAAAAAAAAAAATTATTTTAAGATATATAAATAATATTTGTGCTAAATGTTAATAAATTACTATTATTTTTTTCAAACTTAAATATTCACTGATTTAAAGAATACTAGTGAATTCATTCTTTAAATTAGTGTAGATATCGCTTTTGCATATGTGTTTATTTCTAACTTATGTAATAATAGCTTTGATCTAAATTAAATGTTTTATTCAATATTTTCAATGAATTTAAAAATGCAATGATTTAGAGAAAGAATTTATTTTAATCAAATAAGCTAAATATAAGAATCAACAACAACTATGGCATTATTTTAATTATACATCTTAAAATTCAAAACTCTCAATTTATTATTCTTTATAAGTATTTCTTCATCCTATATTTTCTATTAGCCTCTTAGTATTCTTAAATTTATTCTTTATTCTTTTCTTGGGAACAATAAGTTATCTAAAGTTATTTTATAATCTTACTAATTATGGGATACTAAATATCTTTTTCAAAATTAATAATTAATGGAATAAGTTCAAAATTTTGATTAGAAGTTAAATTATATCTCACGTAATTCTTCTTCAAGTTCTTATTAGAAGTTCTTTAATAAAATCCGCCAATTATTGTACTGGTCCTACAACAAATGACTTAAATTCAACTATATGAAGTAATACGCTTCCACACGCACTATTTTTAAATTAATTGGGCTTTTTTTCAATTCTTTTACTTACACTTCTGAAGTGAAGGCATCATCAATTACTACTTTAAACATCAATGTTTTTATTATAATTATAATACAAAAATTCAGAATTGATAATTTTGAAAAGCTGATTCAATTAATTAAATAATTTGGATGAATTTTTCGCTTAAAAAGACAGGACAAATATTTAAAAGATATAATTCTTAGGTTTTCAAGTTCTATTGATTTTTGATATTAAAAGTAATAAATAAATTTATATGATTATTAACATAGACTTTTTATATATAAACTTATCATAATAATATAAATTTTGAAAATCCAGTTCATTTTTAAAAAGTAATAATTTTATAAAAGTCTTCGAAATTCACCACATCATCCTTATCAAAGTCAGCTCGCTTTAACATCTCATTCAATTCATTTTCCTCTATATTTTCACCAACTTCTCGACAAATTTGCTTTAAAGATTCTAATTATAAGCAACCTTTTTCATTCGGTTTTAAAAGATCAAAAACTTCTTTTAAATTTTCTTTAGATTTGATATCTGATAATCTAACAGTCATAAGATCTAAAAATTCATCAAAATCTATTTTTCCATCTTATTTATTAGTTTAAGCTATATCAATTAAATTATTAAGCAAATGTTCATCAGTTGCAAATCCCAAAGATGCCATTACTGTCTTTAATTCTCTTGGATCAATTTCTCCACCACTTAAAATTAATGATATAATTTACCCATCTTCATCGAAAATATCAAATGCTTCCTTGATTTCTTTAATTTCATCTTCAGTAAATCCTGGCCTTTCATACGACTTTATATTGAATTATTTAGATCCTGGTGCACTAGCAAGAAACGATTTCTTTGGTTACATTAATTAATAAAATGAAATAAAGACCTTTATTTCTTAATATTGACTTTTCATTTCACCCAAATTGAACATCAAATATATCACCTATACAAAATAACAAACAGAATTAAAAAGAAACTTGAGAATCTTATACAAAATTATATTCTCCAAATGATCCTTAGCCTACATGTTAAACATCATCTATAATGTCTGCATAAATGCAACCTTAATTTTTGGTAATAGGAAATTATGTCAAACAAAAATAGGGCAACAAGCAAATCATAAATATAGACAGTGGGTTATTAAAAATTTCAAATAAATAAACTTCTAATATCAATATTAAAATTTTTTTTAATCTTTTAATTTTTCTTAAGATGAGGTTTAAAACCCTATTCTTTATTTTGATTTCCCGAAGTCTAGCTTTCTAAATTCTAAGCACCATTAAAATGAGAAGATTCTAGGACATGATATTTCTAACACGATATCCTTATAGATGTCACACTAGGATATTCATGGAACTCAAAGTGTCAAGTATAATATCCGTTATAAACTCCTTAGTTAGATTTAACCCAAGAAAACAGACTTGCTTTTCCTGACTTAAAGTATCTTTTGTAAGAGTGAATATGGGTCAGAGCATTACTCTTTTCATTCAGATTTTATTAAAATCTGGCACTCATAAATCTTATGAGTTAATTTATTTGCATATATTTCAAATATTTAGTTGTTTTAATTTCATTTAGAGGAATTATCCATGAGCATAAACAAAATACTAAATAAAAATATCATTTATGTTCCTAATTATCTAATCTGAATAGGATTTTTCCTTTGAGACATATAAGTTAGCTATGGAATTCCTTAATCAAATCGTATCAATTAAGTAGTTCCTTCAACTTAAAAATTTAAGTTGAAAGAAGATTGTTCTAAAAACTTGGTTTTCTTACTTAAACTAATTATAAAATAAGTATTTACCCAATTAGGTAATCTTGTTAGATATAAATATGCTTGGAAGAAGTGTTTCTAATGCAACACACAATCGAATTTTAGATATGTTGGAAAATATGATTCTTATTAATTATTATTTATTCCTTAGAATATTGAGAAGTCCTTACATATTAATTCTAATATTGTTAATATATAGAAGGAAATGTTGAAATTTACTTAAGAAGAAGCCAAAGTTCGAAATGAAAAGTAGGGTTTTTACATCTGAGGTCTTTATTGGAAATTCTTAAGTTAACAAAATTTTCATAATTTTATGCCAAAATGTAAGTTTAAGATAAGCTTATCTGTTAAAAGTTACTTTTATTGATTAAGCAGGTAATCAAAAGGAAAAGAAATTAATTATCTAAAGGTTTAAGACCTGATGAAGCAGCCGCCTATAAAAATGAATTTTTTTCGGTTGTATGAAATTTTATTGTTGCTTTAGGATATCCTAATTAATTACTTGTTCCATATAGATAATAAAAATTAACTTGGATTTTTTAGGAATATTTAAATGGAGAATCTTAAATTCCACTAATAGCATATTAATAAATAATTCTAAGAGCGCTAATTAACCCTTTAAAGACTAATGTTTGCTTAAAGATTAAGATTTGAGACAATAAAAAATGATTAGGAATTAAGACAAAGAAATTTTTAGAGGAGATTTGTTAAAATATACAGATGAGTTTATAGAAACTATCAAAGCTCTATAAGATTAATAAATAAAGCAACCATCATAATTAAATTAATGATAGAAATAATAAGATAAAAACTTCCTTTCCTATCATATCATACTTAAATTAAAATAATATACATTTCAATAATTTTATAAAGTTGTTAGCTTAAAGAGACTTAGCTGAGTAGACTTAATAATATAGCACTATAATTAAAAAATATATTCCTTCGAGAAATTTAAGTGATGATGATTCAATCCATATAATCTTAAGAGATTGATTAATAAAAAGCTAATATCTTGAAATTAGTAAAATAATAAAATAAAGAACTTGTTTAGACTTCAACATAATATTTGTCTAAGTCTACATATATAATAATGATATTCATAATTATATTATTGAATAAAAAACTTGGTTAGTATTGATTATTAGAAATTTAAGTTTAGGCTAAATGTCTTACTTATCTAATGATAATAATAAAATAACTATAAAAATAATTGATAGAGTTCAAGTAATTTGTTTTTTCCTCAGAAATCTTTTTGGAAGGAATTAAATAAATGATAAGGGAATTATGTATTAAAACCAATAAAAATTTGAGATTTAATAGAAAAAATTTATTGCTCAGAAACTGATTTTAGTTTTAATCAAATGAAAACAAGTTTCTAATATCTAAATATCATTCATATAAACGATATCTAAATGTAATTAGTATATACAAAAAATTGATTTTCACCTAAAGATAAAGAATAAAAGTGGTAAAAACAACGAAACCCCTTAAGATAGATCATTTCTCATCTTTTAATGTTTCCATATTAATTCAAAATAAAATTTAAATAAAATCCCTTCAATTATTTATCAGCTTTGAGAGATTAATATACTTTTTTAAATTGTTAAGGAATCAAGTTTTAGTTAAATAGTTAATATAATACTTTATAAAGAAAGTATGCTTTACCATAAATGAGAATCAAAGATGATGAATTACTAATAATTTATTCAATAAATCAAATAGCTGTAAGAAAAAATTGTTAAAAATAAATTAATACAATTAAAAGTTAATTGCATTCAATTATTAAATCATAAATTACATCTATCATTCCTCTTGAAAAAAATAAAAACTTGAAATCGTAGAATTCCATAATAAAATTTGTAAATTTTCACTTTTAACTAATACTAATTAGACATAAAATTCTAATTTATTAATATTTCCAAAACCTTAAATAAGTAGATTAGACATTCTCTATATGAGTATTTTAGATTAAAATGAAATCTTAATTCAATAATAATGTAGTTCTTAAATTAACTAAAATACTACACTGCTATCTAACTTAAGATCTTTCCTAACAAATGATATTGATCAAATTTCCACTTTATATTGGAACTTCTTTATCATAAAAAAGAATATGAGGTTTTTTCACAATAGGTATTAAGTAACTATTTTAATTATAAATAAAAACGGATTATAATATTTATTATGAATAAATTTTCATTAGTCTTGCTACTTATTGTCTTTGCAAACTCTTCTGATTTGGAAAATTAGATTTCTTTAGGAAGAGGTATTCTTTTAACTAACAAAAATTAGAGTTAAAATTCTAAGAAGCAATACATCTAAGTCCTAATCGGTTTACATGTGAAATGGATCCGAAATTTTACGACTTTATTATATTGGAACTATCAAAATGGTCAGATATTATAGATCGAAAACCACAATTAATGAAGGATTTAACAATTATTGAATAAATAATTAAATTAGTAGATAAAGCTAAATATATAGATGGTGCATAATAAGGTACTTTAATTAAACTTAAGTAGATATGTTTATCTAAATAACTCAGAGTCTTTCAGCTTCAATAAGAGAAATTTCTATGGTTGAAATAAAAAATTAATGGGCTTAATTTAACATTGATGAGGTCTTATAATAGATGAAAAAACTATCAGCAATAACCAATGTTTAGGAAAAAGGGTTGATGGCAGATAAAATAGTAAGTCAATTGTCAATTATGGAAAAATAAATAACCATCTACTTAAATGAGTGTTAAGGGATTTAAAGTAGTGCTGAACTATAAGAAAAAGTAACAGAACTTAAAAACAAAAAAAACAAGTGTGGTTGGTCTTACGATAATGAATATTAAGGTTCAACTAGATTACCACCTGGAAGATCAGATTAACCAGAATCCTTTGATCCAAAACATGATGCATAATCAGTTCATTAATAAGCTGCTAATCAAGATAAACCATTCTAATCAAATCCAAATTATTAAGAAGGTCAAAAAGAAAATAAATAACAATCAACTAGATTACCACCAGGAAGATCAGATTAGCCAGAATCATCTGATCCAAAACATGATACATAATCAGTTCATTAATAAGCTGCTAATCAAGATAAACCCTTCTAATCAAATCCAAATTATTAAGAAGGTCAAAAAGAAAATAAATAACAATCAACTAGATTACCACCAGGAAGATCAGATTAGCCAGAATCATCTGATCCAAAACATGATACATAATCAGTTCATTAATAAGCTGCTAATCAAGATAAACCCTTCTAATCAAATCCAAATTATTAAGAAGGTCAAAAAGAAAATAAATAACAATCAACTAGATTACCACCAGGAAGATCAGATTAGCCAGAATCATCTGATCCAAAACATGATACATAATCAGTTCATTAATAAGCTGCTAATCAAGATAAACCCTTCTAATCAAATCCAAATTATTAAGAAGGTCAAAAAGAAAATAAATAACAATCAACTAGATTACCACCAGGAAGATCAGATTAGCCAGAATCATCTGATCCAAAACATGATACATAATCAGTTCATTAATAAGCTGCTAATCAAGATAAACCCTTCTAATCAAATCCAAATTATTAAGAAGGTCAAAAAGAAAATAAATAACAATCAACTAGATTACCACCAGGAAGATCAGATTAGCCAGAATCATCTGATCCAAAACATGATACATAATCAGTTCATTAATAAGCTGCTAATCAAGATAAACCCTTCTAATCAAATCCAAATTATTAAGAAGGTCAAAAAGAAAATAAATAACAATCAACTAGATTACCACCAGGAAGATCAGATTAGCCAGAATCATCTGATCCAAAACATGATACATAATCAGTTCATTAATAAGCTGCTAATCAAGATAAACCCTTCTAATCTAATCCAAATTATTAAGAAGGTCAAAAAGAAAATAAATAACAATCAACTAGATTACCACCAGGAAGATCAGATTAACCAGAATCCTTTGATCCAAAACATGATACATAATCAGTTCATTAATAAGCTGCTAATCAAGATAAACCCTTCTAATCTAATCCAAATTATTAAGAAGGTCAAAAAGAAAATAAATAACAATCAACTAGATTACCACCTGGAAGATCAGATTAACCAGAATCTTCTGATCCTCTTTATGATCATTAAACAGCCCATTAGTAAACAATTAATCAAGAAAAATCATTATAAGGAAATCTTATACATGATGAAAATAAATCAACTTCCACTAGATTGCCTCCTGGAAAATATGATCAACCTGAATCATCTAATCCAATTCATGATAAATAAACTTCTCATCAACAAGCAGCAAACTAGGATAAACCATTTTAATCTAATCCTAACTATAAAGATGTTCCAGCAGTTGACGGTTCTTCAGCTAAAATAACTCATAATTTGAATAATTAACCTGTTACTGTTAATTCAATAGGAAGTTCAAATTCACATGCTGGAAATTATGAAGAAACATTCCAAGGTAATCCAAATTATAAGGAAGATTTACCAAAAAAAATAATTGAAAATGAAGGTTTTGGATCAGGTTCAACAAATATTTATGATGAAGATGGATGTCCATAAGGAGAGGAAGATGATACTCCAATCAATTATGAAGAAGAAGAAGTACCAGAATAACCATAACCTGAAGATTAAGAAGCTCCTGAAGAAAATGAAAAAGAAGATATAAAACCATAAGAAGAATAAAAAGGTGAAGAGGAGGAGCCAAAAGTTGAGGAGCCTAAAGTCGAGGAGCCTAAAGTTGAAGAGCCTAAAGTCGAGGAGCCAAAAGTTGAGGAGCCTAAAGTCGAAGAGCCTAAAGTTGAAGAGCCTAAAGTAGAAGAAAAACCATCTATTCCAGAAATACCTCCTGATGATGAGGAACCTGCTGTGGAAGGAGAAGTAGTAAAAACAGAAGGAGTTGGCTCATCAGTTGATGGTAGAGTAGGTTAGTAAGTCTAAAATCCTTAAGAATAAGAATAGGAAGAATCTGAAGAAATTGATCTAGAAGTAGATGAAGAAGTTGATGACGGCAAGGGGGGTAAAAAGATAGTTAAGAAAATTATTAAAAAGACTCTTAGAAAAAGTAAATAGAGGTAAGCAAAATTAACAAAAGGTTAGAAAAAACCATAAAAAAAAGTAATTTCTTCAACTAAATCTGCAACAAAGTCAGGAACAAAATAAAAGACCTTAAATAAAAAATCTGGAGATGCAAAAAAAAAAGTAAAAACTAAATCTGGAGGAGATGGGGATGGAGAAGAATATTGGGAAGAAACTGAGGAAACATTTGAAGTATCAGAAGATGGCAAGGAAACTTTAGTCTCTTCAACAACTAAATCATCTGCCCAAAAGAAATTACTATTTAATGCTATTGGTGATACTTCTATTGATTTGACGATTTCGGATAACAATAATGAAGATGATAACTTAATAGAAGATTATTATCAATAGGATATCTTTTATGAAGAATTTGATGATAAATTTGTATATTATGAATATGATCCAGTTGATAAGGTGTTTAGATAATCTGGTATCATATTAAAACCTTAATAACAACGATCTTTAATGATATCGAATTGGAATGATCTTTTGGATTATGTAACTGATGTATCAGAAAGTGAATAAGATAACAATAAACCAATTTCTGGTGACTAAAAAGAAACCGATACAATTCCTGAAGAAAAATAATAAAACAAAGATTAATAATAATCTCAATAGTAATCACAATAATAATAAGACTAGCAATAATAATCATAATAATAATAAGACTAGAAATAATAATAATAGTAGTAATAATAATAATAATAATAATAATAATAATAATAATAATAATAATAATAATAATAGTAGTAGTAGTAGTAATAGTAATAATAATAATAAAGCTAGCAATAATAATAAGACTAGCAATAATAGTAATAATAAGATCAGCAATAATAATAATAATAAGACTAGCAATAATAACAATAAAATTAACAACAGAAATAATAAGAATAAGAGTAGTAAAAGCAATAATAGTAAGAATAATTGGTTAAAGGAGAAAAATAATAGTAGAATACTTAAACATCATAATAACAAGAATAATAACAATAATAAAACTAATAACCTTCTGAAGAGAAAAAATAAGAAGATAAAAGTTAAGACTCTAAGAAATTAGCCTAAGATTAATAGACTAAGGAAAGTTCAATTGGTAGTGTTGTTTAAGATCTCTTAAAGGATGAAAAATAAGCATTAGGGATTGGCTAAAATGAAAAACCAAAATAGAAAATAGAAGGGCATGATCTTGAAAAATCAATAAAGATTACCTCTATTAAGGAAGAATATAACCCAAATGAACCAACATAGTATGTACCTCCAAAACATAAAGTTAATACAAGACCAGCAAAAGAAAAAGTAGTCGTACCTGTATCAACTAAATATGTTTAAAGTTCTTTTGATGGGGAACCAGCAGAACAATATGAATTTGCTGATAGAGAAATGCTTTAAGATTCTGATGAGTATGGATATGGGTTTTGGTTAAGATACACTGATAACTTCCCAAAGAAACACTCAAGATAACCTCAAAAATATTATTTTATATCAAGATTAACTTCAAATTAGGATTATAAAGATTATACATTTTATGGAGATAGAACCCTATCAGTGTTTTTATTAGAAAATACTTTTGTCTTTTCCACATATGATCATGGTGATAAAAAGAAAATAAAGGATTAAGTAGTAGCCTTGAATGAAGAATTAGAAAGCATGTGGTATTTCATTACATTTTCCTACAGTTTGGCAAAAAGGGCAGCTGTTGGGTATGTAGTAGGATATGGTGATAATGGCAAAGTTTTAAAGACTGAAATCAATTGTTAACATGTGCCTCCTAACTACTTTAAATTAATAATAGGAGGAAAACATTTTGCATATGAGGGATTTAATGGATAATTTGCAAATATCTTTTATGATATTGATGCTCCAGCTTTTATTGATAGTGAAGAAAAAATAAATCAGATCATAAAAACAATTAGTAATGCTCCTCAAGCAGTTAGCAGTTTAACTGATTTAGAGATCTTAACAACTCCAAAGACCTTTGTAGCAAATAATAAAGATGATGCTCTTGTATTAGATCCATAAGAATCAAATCTAATAATTGAGGAGTATGCTTTTGCAGGATGGTTTAGATGGGTAGACGATTTAAAAGTTGATGAATCAAATACATTCTAAATATTTAATTTGAGATCAACTGACAAAAAGTAGCCAAATAAAGGAGTATTAGGAGATCGTTCATTAGAAGTTCATTATACATATGGGGGAGGAGCTAAAAGCACAGTTTACTTTAATACTTATACAATTCAAGGAAATAAAGCAAAAGGAACACCATATATATCTAAAACAGTAGAAGCACCAAATTATACTTGGACTTATGTTTATTTTGGATATGATAACGATAAAATAAAAGCATATGGAGCATTAATCAGACCAGGAAAAGCTGATGAAGTTATTTTTGATCCTGTTCAACATAAACTTGTAACTAAATTGCATTTTACTATTGGAGGTGATGATTAAATTTCATCATTTAATGGTAAAATAGGATACGTTGGTGTATATTTGGGACCAGGAGCATTTAAGTAGAGCCTTAATTTTGGTTAATAATTTTTCTATGGAGATGGTGCTATTGGTGTCTATCAATTAGTCAAACCAATTTAATTTTAGGATGATGCATAGGATCCAAATGTCATTAGAGATGCTGAATATGATTCTGATAAACCTTTAGTTGATAAGATATTAATTCATGATGATAATAAATTGAGACTTAATGGCTAGAGTGAATATTCATTTGGTTTATGGACTAGATGGCTGTAGACTTTACCTAAATTCTTAGTCCAAAGAGGTGCTGTTCATAATATAGCTAGATTTGGAACAGCACCATATTTAATTGAATAAGTTGATGGAAAGCTCTAGAGAGCTAATAAAAGACCTCTTTAAGAGAAGGATCAAACTTTGGCAGTTACATTAAGTAAAGAAGCTTATGAATTTTATACCTACAAAGCAAAAGATGAAATTAAATTTGATGACATAGAAGGTTCATGGAATTATGTTTATTTTGGTTATAAAAGAGTTGCAAATAAGGGTATAGCTAAAGGTTATGTTTAATTTGGAGTTGAAGGAGAAATTAAGGAAGTAGTTTTTGATATTTTGCATGATTTCTTATTAGAGTATGTAGAATTTGTAGTTGGAAAAAGCTAAGCACCTTTCTTTAATGGTTAAATGTGCAAAATACAAAGCTAAATTGGACCAGGAGCTTTCTTTAATTCAGCAGAATAACTCAAATTATTTACATAAAATACTTTACCTGATAAAGCATAAATACGTCCTATAAGCAGATAAACCTAATAATTAATTGGACTCCCAGTTGAACAACCAAGCCAAAAATTCTAATTTGATAAATTCTAAGGAATTAAAGAATATAGTATTTCAGGATGGGTGAAATGGAGTGGTATATAGAAAATGGGTAAAGTGTTTCCTATTGCTTCCTTTGCTCAAAAAAGGCTTGCTGATTTGAATGGAAAATTTGAATAAACTCTTTAAATATTACGATCAGATTTGGCCTATAATTTTAATACATATTCTTGTAAAGGAGATGATTGTTCTGGAATTGTTACTAAAGAGTAGTCACTTGGAGAATATTGGGATTAATGGACATATATTTACTATGGTTATTCTTAATTATTGAAAAAAACATTTGGTTATGTGAAGTTTACATTCACAGATAGCAAATTTAGTTAAGATTAAATTACTCATTTTTATGTTGCAGTATTTTCAGTAATTATTTCATCAGAGGAGTAAAAATTCATAGGATCGATGAAAACATGGGTAATTAATGTTGGAGAAGGTTCATACAGGGAAGGTAATTTTGATTCTGACGAAAATATCAAAGTACACTTTGGATTTGTGAGTGGAACTGATCATGTTAAATTATAATAAGCAGGATAAGAAGCTCAACATGTAGAGTAAGTTATAGAATGTGCTGCTAATGAAAAGGATGTACCTTTACATGTTTAATTTGAGTAAAGTGAAAAATTACATCTTCATGGAGTTAGTGAATATGGTTTTGGATTTTGGGCCAGATTCTAGCATTTTGCATAAAAGGGTATTTTGTATTCATAACCATAATGGATGGGATTGGCCAGATTGACAAATTAAAAGGATTATAAAGATTTTGAGTAACCTGGAGATAGAGTTCTTTTGATTTTATAAGGAAAAGGAATCCACCATTTTTCAACCTATAATGTATAACCTCCTTCAAATAATGTGAATGGAAATATTCCTTATTTATTAGAATCTGAAAGTGAATGGACCTACCTTTATTTCAGTTATAAGAGAATTTCATAGACTCTAGGTCATGCTGTAGCATTTACATCATATAATGATATAACTGCAGGAATTTAGATGGATGTTATCCATACATTATTGTAAAACTATTTATAATTAACAATTGGTCATGCTGGAAAGTTTTATCCAAATTTTAATGGGTAAATTACAACTGTTAGATTTAATCTTGGTCCTGGAGCATTTATTGAAAATAAATAAGGAATTTTGGCTAGAATTAAGAATAAAGATCCAAAACCAGAGATTAATATTATTACAAAATAATATGAAGTAGTTGCTGGTAAATAAGATGCTTAAAATCTTAAAATTGCAAATCCATTGACAATTGAATAAGAAGCAAGAGAATATTCAGTGTCTTTATGGTTTAGATGGTTTAAAACTCAAGTTAGACCAAATCAAGTAATATATAGATTGACATCAAATAAAGGAGAAGATGATGCTAAAAATATAGGTGATAAAGTATTGATGTTATCACATATTGGAACTGCATTGTTTAGTACTTATTCATTATAGGATTCAACTTTGAATGTGCCATATGAATGCAATATACCAAAATAATAATTAGAAATATGGACTTTTGCTTATTTTGCTTATTCAAAGAAGGAGAGAAAGGTTTAGTATTTCTTAAGAGCAGATTCTCATGAAAATAAAGGACTTGAACCAATATTACATGCAGTGGCATCCAAATATCTTCTTTTTGTAGGAAAAGATGGTCATTTAGAAAATTATAATAGTAGATTGGCTTAATTAACTATAAATTTTGGAGAAGGAGCCTTTAGAAATGATAATTTCTTACAATTGCCAGTTTATGTTTTGGGTCCTAAATTATTTTCTCAAGAAAAAATGTATAAATGGGAAAAGAGTGAAAAATTGATACTTGGTTAATCATAAACAATCAGATTTAATGATGAACCAGATAAACCTATTGAATCTATGCAAGAATATAGTATTGGACTTTGGTGCAGATTTTTATAATCTTGGCCTGAAAGATAGTATAGATTACCTTTAGAAATGTAATTAATAAGATTGACAAATAATGAAAAGAATGAAGTAGGAAAGGTTGTTATAGGAGATAGAATTTTGGCATCTTATATTATTTAAAATGGATTTTAATTTGCAACTTACGATTTAAATGATGATGCTCCTAATGAATTACATACAATTCCAAATTAAAGATTAGAAGGATAATGGCATTATGTTTATATGGGATATTTAAGATCAAAATAAATAGCATCTTTCTTTGTATTTGATGGAGCAGAAATGTTATCAGCAAAGAATTCAGATTTATTACATAAACCTTTAGGAGACTTTGTAATTTTACATATAGGAGGGGAACCAGATGTACCTTCATTTTAAGGAATTATTAGTAAATTAGCTGTTAGTTTTGGTCCTGGATCATTTTTAAGTTTAGCATAAGAAGTTATGAAGACTATTGAAAATTCTTATGCATTAGAATAATCTTTATCTGTTGCATATATTCATAAATAGAAACATGGATAATAAGAATTAATTGGAAAATTAGAAACTGTTACAGATGAGATAGGTGGTACTGAATTAAGAGGTGAGCCTTGGTCAAGTGTTGGAGAATATTCAATAAGTGGATGGTTCAAAGCAGCTAATGTTAATGGAATGAGTGCTAATGATTGTTAAATCTTATTTAGAGTTACTAATAATGATAAAGAGCATTTAAATGATAAGAGATCTTAGGGTGATAGAACATTATTTGCATCCATTTGTGTTGATTCAATAAAATTGTCTACTTATACACTTGTAGGATTGAAGGATTGGAATGAAGCTAAATTTTTAGAAGAGAATGTTCCATTAGGTCATAATAAAAGAGCATGGATTTATATTTATATGGGTTATAATGAAGATGTACAAGAACTTCATGCTTTATTACATTTATTTGATGAGGATAAACCATTAATATTCAAAGGAGTATAACATTTTGTTCCTCATTACACTGGTATTTATGTAGCTAAAGATCCATATACAAAGAGATTTTAAGGAGAAATCTAAAAATGGGTAGCTTGTTATGGATTTGGTGCATTTGTTAGTGTATAGAAAAGAGGATATGAAGATTTATTACCAAATTATAATGCAATAGCTATTAATTAAAAATACATGTGGTTTAGAAAAGAAGATACAGTGATAGAAACAGAATAAGCAATCACTTAAGAATTTAATTAAGAAGTTGAATCAGTTGATGAATACTCAATTGGAGTATGGACTAGATGGCTTATTTCATTCCCTACCACTTTAACTGAAAGATAACCATAACATAATATCTTTAGATTATCAGCAAATAAATTAGATTAAGATAAGAGTGAATTAGGAGATAGAGTTTTGTCTGCCTTCTTAATTTTGGGTAATTATGAATTTAGTACTTATGATATAAGTAAACCATCAAATGCAGTGGATGCAAAATTACCATATGGAGAATTAGAAGGTTCATGGACATACATTTATACTGCATATAAGGGTGGACAATTTTATGGTATGGTGTTGTTTAGAGAATAATAGAAGGCATAACATGTTGAATTGTAAGTGTAACATAGAGCTTTGACTGGTTATGCTAAGTTTGTATTAGGAGCTAAAGAATTTGGTAGAAAAGGATTCCATGGATGGTTATTTGATCCTAGAATATTCTTAGGAGCTGGAGCTTTTATTAATGAAGGATAAAAAGTAGTAGATATGGTTTTAAAGTTACATCGTAAATTGCCTGTACCTGCTCTTGATGCAGAAGATTTTAAATGGCCTGTTCCTATTGTTGACACTACTTTGCCTGATGATATCAATGAGAAAAAAGACAAGTTCCAATTCTCTTTTACAAATAAAGTAGGTTTATTAGAGTATTCATTTGGATTTTGGATGTAGAATGCAGTATTATAACCAGAAATGCCTGATGATCTAAGAGGATTAGTTCGATTAACTACTAATAATGAAGGTTCTGATGAAAGATTCATTGGAGATAGAACATTAGCTGTTTTCACAAGAGTTTAAAAATTGGTGGCTTGTACTTACACCTTGAAAGATCCTACTTTCGAGCCAGTAACTCATGAGTTTGATTTGTTACCATATCAATGGACATTTGTTTATTTCGGTTATACATAAGGAAAAGCCAGGGCTTATATTCTTAGTACTAAGGGTCCTTCTGAATAGGTGTTAGCTGTTAAACATGCTGTTCCTAATGCTTTTTACTTAAATGTAATCAAAGATCAATCCCATCCATTGTTTTATGTATATTATAATTTGATTGTTAGGGTAAATTCTATGGATTGAAAGTCAATTTTGGATAAGGCAGTTATTTAGAAAATCCACAAGAAATGATAGAGAAATGGCCTTATGATCCTAAGGTTCTTCCAGTACCCGAACCAAAAGAAGAGAAAGTGTTGGCTCTCAATTCTGCAAAAGTTGACAGAGCCCCTAATACTTAACATGAATAATTCAGAGAATGATAATGATAACAAAATATATTAATTACATTCATTGTCTCTGATAAAATAATACATAGGAATTCTACGATTTTTGTAATTCATCATCTACTACTTTATTTGAGTACTCCGAAACTCTTTAATCATTGAAATAATACCAACAGTTTATCCCCTTAATCAAACTATGATATTTGAATAAATATACCACGTATAATGTCCACTATAGATACTGTATCCTTAATGATTAATTACGGCATACAATTTATACGAAGGACTCTAATCACAAAACCCTTTTAAAATAAGACTTTGTTCTATCTCAATAGCATTATTAGATCTAGTTTACCTTGAATCATATCTTTTTAACTAAATTATTAAAACCATAGGAGCTGCACTCAAATTTGTTCGTCTTATTAATGGACTAGTCTTTTGACATTTTTTACATTTCTCCTAAGAGTTTAATTATTCTGGTTTGAAATAGTCAGATAGTAATTAACTCAATCTACATGTTTACTCAATGTAGATAGATAAATTGATAAATTATTCAGTTTATTTGCTAGAGTTATTACAATTTTAGCAATTTATTTAATATGTCAATTAACCAAGGAAAGGTTATGTAAGAAAGGCTGTATTTACAAAGTCCAAAAAAACATGAAAGAATTCAATGCAATCTTATTGATTAAAATTATCAAACTCTCTATGCTAGTTCATTAATTTTTTAAATTGAATTATTTCATTATGTTCAGGTTCTATTCCTGCTTAAATGCTAAACCATATTTTATAAAATTGTTTAAACAACTCGGTGCTATTTTTATTGTCTTTATACGACTTCATAGCTGTACTAATGGCAGGAGTATTGAATAAACATTGTAACATTGAGTTTCTAGGATGCTTATTGTTCTTGCATACATGTAACAAGTATTTCCTATATTTTCAATTCCAATCCGTATTGGATCTACATCCTATGCTTTTTAACTCATTTGCTCTTTATTTCTTGTAACAACGCCACTTCCATAACATGAATTACTTGTTCTATACATGTTTAAATTTAAATAAATTAATTAAAAGTTGTCTTTCTTCACAATAGGGAGTTTTATTAAAATATTATTTTCATTTTCATTCTGAAAAAGTAACACAAATTTTTATTATTCAAATAATGGTATACTTAAGAGTGAATTTAATTAAAAATTCTATTTTATTTAACTCAAAGAGTATATATAATACAAAAAACATTTTATAAGAAATTAAATAATAATAATATTATGAATCAAAGTTAACGCATTCTGATATTAGTTCTTCTCTTTTCTATAGGTGAATTACTAGAATTAAGTGGGCTAATATCCTTATAAAATATAAAAATACGGTAATTTATTTAATGATCCTCTTTTAGCCATTTGAGCAAGCTACATAGAATTAGAATGTTGTAGCTATCTAGTTTGTGATTATCTTTATTGAATTATTCGAAATGGAGATTATTTCTTTAATGGACTAGCAACATTTGTCTCAAAAAAGAGTTAACTAGTAGATCTAGCTTACTTTATTCTAGATGTAGATTTTCTTTGAGTGGCATCTTAATTCTATTATCTTACAGTAATTTCTTATTAAGAAACTTATTCATTTAAAGGTATAATTAATCTAATAGCTTTAACAAAGGAAGTGCAATATTTAATGAATGATAAAGCATTTATCAAACAAATTAATTTTTATTTATTTTAGAAAATAGCCATTCTATCATGTATAGTGATAGGTTATCCCAGATCTCCCTCTCCAGTAATCCAGGGATGCATAAGTGCTTGTTAAGCTGACATTCTAGCTTCAGGATTGACAGCAGCACATTTTTTGAAAAAGTTCTATGCTGACTTATCCATGATATTGAAATTGACATTATATGATTATATGCTCTCTATAAGATTTTCATAATTAAAAGGATGTTTTCTCTCATACAAAAGATATTGTATAATTCCAATACTCCACATGTCTACACTTTTAAGATATGGCATTTTTAATATCATTTCTGGAGCCATAAAAAGAAGGGTTCCACATTTATCATATGAGATTTTAGATTCTGATTGTTAAGATAAGCCAAAATCTATTAATCTTACTCTACCATCAAGTCCAACCAAGATATTATCTATTTTTATAATCCATATTACCAGGCTTGATATCTCTATGAGTAATGTCTTTATTATGTAAATATGTTAAAACAATAAGTAATTATTTGATTATACTTTTGATCTTCTACTCAGTTAAATTAGATTTGCTGAATTCAGTCAAATTTGAACCCTCAACATAATCCATTATGATGTACAATTTGTCAAATGTTTCATAACTCTTAGAAAATGATTAAACAATATACCGCAATATACTTCACTAAATTAGGATGTTACAGTTACTCTAGTATTTCTACTTCACGATTAAACAATTCACAATAACTTGGAACTGATTTATCCAACACCTAACTTACTTCTCCAAGCTTACCTTTATTGCAACTTACCTACTCTTGTAAGTACCTAAGTAGACTTAACTAAATGCCCCATTTCCAATCTTTTGTTATATATTTAGCTCATTCATTATTTATATTTTAGGAAAATCTCTTATTTATTAATATTAATCATAAACACAATAAGAAAATGTCAAAGTAGCAAATAGATTTTAATAGTCCCTAATACTGAAATCCATTATTAACATAAAATTATATTGACAGATCCTGTCTAATTATTCTTATTAATAAATAAAATTTATTAATATTAAATTAAATATCAAGTCAATCTGGTAAACAAAAAATAAAAATTAGTGTATGTAAAATTTCCTCTGCTTAAGTTTAATAGGATGAATAAGGTATTATTTGAAATAATACTGAAAAATTTGGAAATAAAATTATTTTCAGTAAAAATTCTATTTATGGACTACTTAATGTAAATACTAATCCATATTCAGTGGTTACCATTTCCCCTTCTAGTATTATTTAAAATATTAATTACATTCATTCAAAAAGTTTTGTTCATCATTCAAAACTAAAATGTTGTTTTCTCCAAAATGTTTTATAAAACCTTATTTTGAATTAATTATTTTAGAATTCAAAGGTACTTACTCTGTTTTTAAGATACTTTTGGATTTATACTCCCATCTTGCTTTAAAGGAATCTATAGTAGTATCTCTGAAACTCATGAATTATGTTAATAAACAAGGAACAATAAAATGAGATATTCTTCCTTCTTCTATATCTGCTATTTCATAACTAAATCTTCCTGAAAGTATTTGATAAGGTACACGATTATAATTTATACAAATAGGAATATACATCTATTATTTTGGATTCAATATCAATCTACCTAATTAATCTTTTTATGGTATTTAGCTTTTTTAATGAATTGGTTCTTATGTCCATACACCCATACAAGTATCACCTTCAAATTAATATTAGAAATTCTATAATATATATTATGTTTTATTTCCAATACACAAACGAACTCTTAAGTAATAACGATTTGTTATTTCATGATAAACCAAATTTGAATCAAATCCAATTTGAATTTCTGGAGATTCTAATATTGAACATCTTTTCTTCAAATTAGCTCTTTTTAATCTATTTATCCCACTATTATTATAAATTTCTTCAAAAATAGTGAAATTTCTCTCATCATAAGGAATAAATTATCCTTCATAAATCTTTTACACTAATCCAGGTTGTCCTTTCAGATAAAAATCTTTTCCTGAATACTATGAACTCTAACTTCTATTATCATAATTATCTTCAAATTATTCTTTATTTGGACTTTAATGATGATCATACGATCTAGTAATAGGTAATTTTTTAAAAGGAGGTGGTTTTTGTATATTTTTTTCTGGTTATTAATAAGGTTAAATTGGTTATTAATATGGTTAAATTGGTTGATAATAAGGTTGATTCTATTATTTATTTTATTATTATATTGGCTATGGATTTCTAAATTATGTTTAGGGTTAATAATTTGGTTAATTTTAAGAATTATAAGGAATAGATTACTGCATTTATTTTTAAATTTCAGGATCTCTTCCTATTGGATTTTATTAAGATTATATTGGTTTTTGTGCTTATCTTTTTTCAGTTTAAATTGGTTGCTTTTAAATCTATTATGGTTAAATTTTTTATTCTTGTTAAGGATTAGTATATTATTAAACAGGTTTTCCATAATTTGCTGGTGGTTTTGGTTTTTCAGATCCTGTAATATCTCTTGTTGCTTATAAGACTTCATAACGAAAAACTTAATAGCTTTCATTAGTAAATCCTTCTGCACGCATAGCTTTATGAGCTTCAATTAAAGTTATAATTATTTTAAATCTATAACCAATCTATTTTCTTTAACCTTCAGCTAATTCATTTTAACGTGCATGCAATAATTCTAAAGTTGGCTTTAATTTCTCTGCATCATTATATGCATTTTCCATCACTATAAATTAAAATAACAATTTACATTAATCCATAATCTCTGTTGCTTAATCTTCTCCTTTTAAATTTTATTCTAAACTCTCAACCAAGTCATTAGTTTGACTATACATTTCTTGATACATCTTTTTCAATTCATCTAAACTAATATCATTCATATTGTTTTTTTATTTTTATTATTCAGTTGGCTTACTAAAACTATTTAATTTCTCTATTTGCTCTTCTGTTAACTCAAATAGTTATAAATCAACTTTTGGTTTGAATCCCTAATCCTTTAACTTTTCAAGAAGTTTACCAAATATCGTAGCATTACCCTTCTAATCTGTAGCATACTTTGTTCCCCAATAAGAAATGCATTCCATCATTATATCATAAAAACCTTAACTAAAGTTTGGATCTATTATTCGAATCAATATATAATACCCTCTTTGGCCCCAAATATTTTTAATCCTCTCTAATCATAAGGTTTTTATTAATCACATAATGCAAGTTTTCCTAATATATCAAAGAAATTCTTGGCCTTTTTGAAACTGTTGATGAATAGTTATTTCTTACTCAATAACATTATTAGCTTAATTCTTTGATTAAAGATTTTACTTTCATTGCAAAATATTTTTATTTTGATTGTCCTTCCTATGTGAATAATTCTTAAATCTTTTCCACTACTTATTAGTAATTTCCTGCATCATTTTCACTCTTTAATTTGTCTGCCAAATTTTAAAGACCTTACTCATCTAAAAAACCTTCCCAAATTTCTTCATTTGTAACAACCATTATAAAATCAAATTATTGATAGAATATTTATTATCCATAAATTTAGTAATTCCTCACAATAATCATTATTCTCATATATATTTTATTAATAATTATTGACAAATCATACTCAAATCTATATGAAAAAGTATAATAAGATATTACATTATATTTAGTATTTCATATATTTAATGAAAATGTAGTTATATGATTTGTTTAGATATTAAGATATAATTTTAGATTAATAAATGATAAGTTAAATTATGATATAAAATACTTTTAGGTTAAATTAATGAAAAGGGGATAACTTTTATTAATAGATTGATTTAATTAATGATATCTAATTATAATTAGAATTAGAGTAATTATTATGTAATGCTGTAAAATATAAATAGATATTTACAAAGATAAAATTCTAAGAATATCATATAATTATTTATTTAATTATTTATGCCTGTCGTATAAGGAAAAGCAAAATTGTGGCATCCAACATAAGAGGAATAAGTAATATTTTGATTTATATTAAAAGGATGCTTATGATGATAAAATGATTGCTAATATTGAATTGAAATCATTGGACTTTGATGATGAAAACTTTTCACCAGTGTTTAATAGAAGCAAAAAAGAATTCTTTTTATAAGCAAGTGAAAGATATAAGAAAGATTTATCAAAAGTAATAAAAACATTAGAATAATTTAGTTAGCAAGACCATTCTAATCATATACATGTGAAGAATTTATTAACAAATATATTTACATAAAACCAAATCATACTTATTGGAGAGAATGGACAGTTACTAAATGGTTGTCTGGATTTGGATTAGGATATTTGGTTTTGAGAGAAGTATATAATTATCATAACAAATAAATTAGTTACCATTACGTAATTTTTATGCAAGAGTATTTGTTATGTGGATCTTCTTAGCCAAATTGAGTGATCATTTTTCATCTATTTTACCTTATCATGGTAAAATTGTAATTTCTACACAATCGGATAGATTTACAAAGTAAATAAGAATTAATATAATAATAGTAAAGATATTAATCAATATCACAATGTTTGCAGTGCATTAAATTTCTTAGAAATGCCTACTTTCTAAAATAGAATATCAGAATCTCTTGCTTGGAGAGCAAAACAACCAGCTCATTTATTATATAATGATACAAATTGGTGTTTACATATTCTTAAGAAATGGCATGGTCGTTCAACTCATATTGCACATTGGGTATTTTTAATATATATATTAAAGGATGGAACATTTAATCAACCATTAGAAAGACTAGCTGACCCATATCATAAAGATGCACACTTCATCCATTGGATTTGAGTAATTTCACATACAAATATATATATATATATAAACAATAATACAAAATATTTATCAAATTTACAATGCATCATTTTTGCAGAATATCATATTAGATAAATATATAATATGTGTAAAATACTCATCACAATTCAATTGAACGTCCTCTTTATGAATATTGTTATTAATCATATCCTTAAGCAGCAGCAAAACGAGGATATTGTTAACTTTCTTTTATTCTTTAATCTCTATTCATTTTCCAAAATAATAATCCTATTGCAATCAAAAGATAAAGCTTAAATCAATAGTAGAACTATTACACTAGAAGCTACAATACAAGAAGTCGCACTCGCTTTTTGATCAATTGTATACCCATCATCAGTTTTTTTAGAAGCAAAGGCATAGGGATAATATGGTTTATTAGCATCAACAACTAAGAACAATATGAACTATATTTTAAGATTGAAAACTTACGAATGCTGCACTTGCTAAAAAACAGTTTACAACCCAAAATTCCATACAACCCATTAATTATTTATTATTATTATTATTTATTATTATTAATTATTCATATAATCTTAAAAATGAGTGCTAGTGTTGGAGACAATGTTTCAGAAAGAGAAGTGATTGAATTTTCAGAAGATGATCATTTAAGTTTCTTTTATAATATTGATCAAGTAAAATGATTATAAATATATTATAGATATATACTGAATTACCAGGAGTTATATCTAATTATGGAACCTTTATATAATCCTTATTAATTTGTAGACAATTGAGTAATTAGATTATTAAGAATTCAATTTCAGAAGCATAAGAGAGAGTATATATAGAATATTTACATAAATCAGTTCATTTAAAGAAATATTCCAATTAACACAATTAATGAGTTGTAGGCTCAAACTAATTTAATATTGAATAGCAATTTAAATGATGGAGGTATTGAAGTTGAAACTTGTCAATTAGAAGAAGATTAGGAACCAGTAATAAACAACGTTTAATTTAGGAACCAATCTTTAGTGATAGATGGAGAAGAAATAGAGTGTTAATGATGGCAGGTTTATTAATATAACTTATTTTTATAGAAGTAGAAACTTAAGATAAAATTGATATTGAAGACTAATTAAATAATGATAAGAACAAATCTATTTCTAAATCAAAATTATTTGATACTAGAAAAAATACAGTTAGACTTCCTACTACACCACCTCCTCCAAATTAATTTGAGGCTAAATTAATCTATGTATATTAAGAAGAGTTTGAGGATGAGTATGAAGATAAACTTAGAAATGCTAAATTATATGAAATGAAAAAAAAGAATGAAATTGAATAAAAAAAGAAAGAAGATAAATTATAAAGTTAAGTAAGAGAATTAATAATACAAGTAGATAGAAAAAAAGGATGGAGCCATTTAGAAATATACTTATGATTTTGATGGGAAGATTATATTGGCTAGAGCAATCAAAATGGATAAATTATAACCAACTAATTAAAAATTGAAAGTTGAGTTAAAAGAGTAAACTAAATAAGAACAATAACGAAATGTTAAGAAAATTGGAAGAAGAGATTCTACTAAAGTTAATAAACCGTAATGTCCAGAATAGGATATACCAAATAGAGTACTTTATTAACATATAAGGTTATATAAGAAAGGAGGGATGCTGCAAAAGAAGTAATTGGAGATAAAGCATTAAGAGTGGATAAGACTTCTTAATTTCCTTATGAAGTATTTACAATGAATAATGGAGTAAAATTATATTTTGAACAAAAAATGAAAGAAGGGGTAAGACATTAAATTAGTGATTCAGCTGAAAATTTATAAATTAAATTATCTGGTTCTAATTTACTATCTGGAGAAGATGCATCATAATTTGCATCATAAATTAGATTAACTAAGGCTGAATACTAATTAATAACAGATAATTAAATTTTACAATAAGCTAGATAATAATTCATGCCTTCTGAAAATATTAATATTCCTGATCATGACTAATAAGTTACTCAATAATCCATTTTATTAAAAAAAAATAAAGCAATTCTAAATAATACTAATCATCCTACAGAATCTAAATAAGTCTAATTTAATGCTGGGATATCTTAATTAAATCCATATAAAAGAGATAGTCCTATTTAATAATATGCCTAGACAGAAAGAATCTAACTTAAAAATGTTAAAATGATTGAAAATCTTTTAGTCACTGGAGTTCCAGATACACCTAAATCATCAAAAGTTGATTAACCTTAAATATAAATACCAAATAACACATCTAAGTATTATTTTAAAATTTAATTAAGTAATCCTATTGATCTCTTCAATTAATAATTATTAACTCAAAAAGAATAAGGTAAGTAAGGTGGAGGTAAAACAGCTTATTTTCCTCCAGTGAAATTGTCGAAAAGATCATTAGAAACTAAAGCATATAAAGGATCCTTAGAATAATTGTAATTGAATTAAAATTAAATAGATATAAAATGCCAAGAGAAAGATTAGTTGCTTAAACTGGTAGGACTGCTACGAACTTTTATAAATAAAATTCAGATGGTATATATATATTCTTATAATTTCAGGAACAAAGAAAAATAGTAAATCTGTAAGTGATGGATTTATGTAAACATTTTATACAACTCACACAAAATTTAGTGAAAGACTAAGATAATGATATATATTATTAATCTTAATATCATCAGCGTTTCTATATCTAAAATCACTTAATTGTAATTATTATGTCATATAGTCAAATTAATTAACAGATCGAAGAATTTTGACAACAAGGATCTCGAGTTTGATGTTATATAACTAGATTTGAACTCATCTAAACTTCTGAACTACTCCGAATATCTGATTCCTACTATTACAAATCTTTAGGTTTTATTGTTGTTGACTATAATGGAGCAGAATCTAAGCCTTTGTAATAATTTTGATTGGATGATTAAAATTAGGAATCAGGAAACTATGAAGTTTATTTTATTTCTTACATATTCTATTAAGTTGTTCATTGAATCAGCAAATTCTATGAGGTGGCTCTCTGATAAAACAACTTCTTATTCTTCATTATAAACTTAAAGAAAAAGTTGACTATTAAGACTACTTTCAGGACGACTTCTTTGTAAGAACTTTTAAGATTTTGAAATATTTTCATCAGTGTAAGTCATTATAGTCTTTGCTTCTTCTTTTTTATCCTTTTTTTCTATTTTATTTGGTGAAAGATCTTTAGGAGGCCTAATTATATTTTGATCTATTTACCAAAAATTAGTTTGAATGTCTGGTTAATAACCTAAAAATTTAGATTCTAATTAATTTTCTTCAATTTAATTAGTTAATTGAGACAGATTTTTTTTTAAAAGAAAGACTATTTTATCTTATGATTCCGGTTTTAAGATTTAAAGTAATTGATTAAATTGTTAATTTAAAAATTCTTCGATTATATATATTTTATGAATTCTTCCATAATAATTGTATTCACTACTTTTCACGAAATTAATGAATTCATTTGTAATTAGATGTTATAATTAATTTAAATTGCCCATATCTACTAAAATTATTGTTGATTCAATATAATAAGATATCAAAACATCTCTAATTAGCATAGTGAATAAATAATCAAAACCCTCTCTAAATTCTTTTAGAGTGTACTATCATAATATATACTTTATATATTTTACTTTGAAAGCTTTAAATGTGTTAATTATAATTACTGGTCGAAAACGTTTATCATGTCCATGTATGTAAAGTGCCCCATTTAACTAATTAATCTAATTAAAAACATACTAAAACAGAATTTGGAGGATTTTATAAATTAATCTTATTTCTCCAATTTAGATGTTACTTTAAGACCTTAATGGTTATATCTATATATAGTACTTGGATGGTGTTTGTTATATCATAATCACAATATGCTAAGATTCTTAAGTAATCACTATCTTACCATCTATTCAAATATTAATGAATATTACTCTTTCGGTAATCTCAATGGTGAAAAGTTAATCAAGGCTAACTTTAAATTTTTTAGCTACTCTTTTTCTTAAGGCTCCATTTAAATATTCTCAAATATCTTTCTCTCAATCTTTTCTGAAACTATTACCTTATCAGCTTAAATTTTTTTTAAGATAAATACATCCTGGCTCAATTAGGTTTTCTTTTTTCAAATAGTCAATCATATTATTATGTAAATTAATTAAGCTCTCCCAATACATTGTGCTTATTGTTTTGATGTCCTTATTGCATCGTTACAAAAAAAAGAATTGCCTAAGCCAACTTTCTAAGAATTTGATGTCCCTGTCTTTGTTACTTTTTATGCAAATAAAGAAGATTTGAGAGGGTGTATAGGAACATTTTCGTCTGGTCCTTTGAGTCAACAATTAGCTAAATACACTTATTTATCTGCATTTAAGGATAGCAGGTTCCCTCCAATATAAACTAAAGAATTAAATTCATTAGATGTTGGAGTGAGTTTGTTAGTCAACTTTTAGAAAGGAAAAAAATGGAATTAATGGGAAGTAGGGAAACATGGAATTATTATTGATTTTTAAGAGGGGGGCAGAGGTATTTGAATCATTATATACTATATCTAATCCTTTTTAGAATATGGAGCTACATTTTTACCTGAAGTAGCAGCTGAAGAAGGTTGGGATATTAATACAACTTTGGAACATTTGATTGCAAAAGCAGGTTACAGAAAGAATTACTAAAACATATTAGATAAGATTTAATTGACTACTTATGAAACATCTAAAGCTAAAATGACTTATGCTGAATATTTAGAATTGAAGAAATGATCAATATATATAAATTATGAATGATGATTTCGATAATATTGCTTTCATACCAAATTAGATAGCAGAATAAGCATTTTAAAAAGGAGTGAAGGAAGGAAAAGCTAAAGTAGATGCAAATATATACAATGATTCATATATTAAAGGATGGAATAAAGGAGCTATTGTAGGTATGATTGAATCCTAGATCTCAATTTTGAAAATCATTGATCCTACTCTATAAACACAAAAATATGAAGAACAGCTAAAACATTTAGATTAAGTCGAGGACCTAATCAATTTAAGAAAAGCCCTAACAAAACTATATCCATTAAAAGGACTTATATAATTAAAAAAACAAAGTTTAGATTTCTGATAATTTATAAACAAATCATGGTTTTTTACGAGGGTTTCTTTTAGCTAAAGCTGCTTATGTTTCATCTTTTTTTAATCTTAGAAATTTCTCCAACACTACTTTATCATCTAATTTCAATTATTCAAAATGACTCTAAACTTTTTATTCTAATGTTTATGTGTTATTTTAATCTAAGAATGGCTACTCTTTCTAATAATATGTCTAATTATATCAAATTAGATAATAATTTTACTTGATATCTCTATAATGATCCTTTTGATAATTTTGATATGTTCAAAAGCATTGGTGTTTCTCTAGTAGGTTATTATTATTCATTCATTTTTATTTTATTTATTTAATACAATTCAATACAAATATGAATCAAATTTCCTCATGTTTATTCAAGATTTAATATTTACAATTTACATGATTCATTAAGGGATTATAATTTTAATTAATTATTTTATGCTCACTTATTCTTTTAACTATTATTTATTCCATAAGTATTTACAATGATATTGATAAAAAATAATAATTAAATTTAGATTAATAATTTAATAGTTTTTCTTAATTCTACATATATTCAACATCAATATCATAATAAGATAATTTAAAATGGATATTCAACTAAAATTATAAATAGTTTGATATTTCATTAAATTATTAAAAAACTATACAATATAAATTAAAAACTAATTTTATAATTCTAACCATTATGAAAATTGATTTCAAATATATTTTAAAGTGTAGAATAAGAATAATAATAAATTCTAATTCTTATATAATTATTATACTTAATTTCATGATCATATATTTAATATTTTTACAAAAGTAATTAACATGTAACTTTCTATTTGATGATAAAAATATTTAATAAAATAAGTTGATTTTTTATTTGTGAATTTGATAAGTAATGAATATAAAATTATTTATACTCATCATGCTATTCAAAAGATATCTATAACAAATTTGATTAAGGTTTAAATATATAGACTATATTTAGAACTTTATTACGATAATATAATATAAAATAATTAAGACTTAAATTATCCATGTAAAAATGATTAAATAACTGAACATCTATTTAATAATTATTATATTGAAGTATATTTAAGGAAGTAAATAAGGATTTAGATAAGATATAGATTTGCTTAAGAAATACAATTAAAATAAGTAAATGAGAGATATGTAGAAGTGAATTTATGATATAGAATCAAATGATGATACATCCGCATGATTATTTAGCATCTTATAAAGGTTCCTCAACATTATATATTTTCCAGTTCTCTACCTCATACACTTAGATTAGAGATTATTATTTGTCTATCTCATCTATGAATGCAATTCTATGTTTTTTTGATCCTTGAGCAATAATGTTCTTAAATTTATCACATCTTTATGAAGTCTGGATATCTTTTTTGGATGCTTTTAAAATACCAGATTTTTGGGTATTCATCAAATAATTAATATTAATATTGATCATATTTGTAATAAAAATACTCAGTTGAGTTATTGGTTTTCTTCCTAAACCTATTATTATTCTAGGACTGGTTATACTTATGGTTGATTTACATGAATTTCTGCTTCTTATTATTATTCTTATTATTATTATTCTTATTATTATTATTCTTATTATTATTATTCCTCTAAATTCTATTTTTCAGGTTCATCATTTGCTTTTTCCAAAAGAACTTCTTTAGGTTATTCTTCTTATTATTTCTATTCTTCCTGTTTAAGAGGAATTTATGGATCTTAAGCACCTTAGAATGGGAATGATGCTTATTATTATGGAACTTATTCCATTCTTTATTTCAATTCTTCATTACTCATTGGTCCTTGCATAATAAGTTATTCCATAATAGATTGATATTTCATATCCAATTATTTCATTTTAATATTGAAACTGCTATTTGCTTATTGACTATAAACTTAGGTGGCATATTATAAAATTTTGCTTCCTGGATCTTCAAATTTATTTAATCCATACTATTCTAAGATTTCCTTTCTAGTATGAGTTAAAGATTTTACTTAGAACTATCCATTTTGAGAGATTACATTATTTCCATCATTTTAGGACTTTAGAAATTGATTTATTCACCTCTATCTTGTAATTCTAACAATTTTTCATTCAATTTCAAGGCACTTTCAGTCATAACTTTCTCAAGAATTTCAAAAGTTGTATCAGCTGTAAGAAAGGCTGGTATATCTGTTTTAGGATCTGGAGATTAACCAGAAAATGATCTATCGAAAGAATCCTTCATTTATTTTTGTAATTCTTTGATAGTAGGATCATCACGATAGACATTTTGACAATAATGCTCTACTTATTATTTAGTCATTCTAAATTAGTTATAGACCATCTCTTCAACTTATTCTATTTCTCCTCTAAACATTGCTATATTAGATATTATTTTAAGTCTTACGTTATTCTAAAAGCATCATTTTAATATCTTCAGGTCTGGCTCTTCCCATTGATTATTGTTTAATATTAATAGCAACAGCTGCAAAATTTTGAAATACAGTGAAAAGCTCTTTCTTTAATTCCTTTAAAACTTTAATGATTGTTTCCCTATCAATAACTTAAGGTTCAATAATTGACTTCCTATTCCATAAATAAAGATACATACCCATCTGACTTCTTCAAAAATCTGTAAAGTAGAATGCTGGTCCCAGTTAAGACTGCTGCTCCTGTCATCAAAGCGAATATTTTTTTGTTATCTACTTTGCTCATTTCACCACAAATTTAATAATTAAATATTTTATTAAAATAAAGTTTGAATAAGTTGAATAAAAGCACAATGAAAAATTGAATATCTATAAGATATAAATAGAGTAAAGGTAATATTAAAGGATGAAAATCTATAATGAATTATTATATTGTAATTCTAATCTAAATTAATCAGTATTGATAGGTTATATTACAGTTATTTTGTATCTCATGTTGTTTTATTTATGCATTGCTTGAAATCTTCAACTATAAATATAGATTATTGGTTATACTGTTTAAGTAGAAGATGAAATATTATAGCCAAGAACACACAACAATAAGATGATGCAATATATTTGTATATATATCCAAAATCTTTTTAATATAGTATCTAATGTGAAGTCGATCTAATCATTAATATATGATAAGTATTGACTCTTTTATTATGGAATAATTAATGTAGTCATTAGTTGCACATTGATTATACTTTATTTCAATTATATAAACTTTATAGCTTATATTTAATGTATTTTTATGAATACTATCAAATTTAATACAATAGATTATTTATGGCATTGTAACAATTTAAAAATAAACGATATATTTAGATAATTGCTTACAAAAGTTGTATTTTTTATTATTTAATATTATATATCGTCCTTTTACCTTTTAACATATTTTCAAGTCTTGTTTTACATCTATTAGTTTAATAATTGTGTTAGTATTTTTAAATAATTAATATTGTGACATATTTGTCTTCATATCTTGCAATTAATTTCAACTTTTTAATAATTCAATAAAAATTCTATCTTATTCTCTGATTAGAATTAATAAATTGGGATATTAAGAAATGAATTTTGGAATATTAACCAATTAAGTACATACTCATAAGTATGAACATAAAAATTCTTATATTAATTTTAATTAATAATATGAATTAACAATTTAGTGTGGAGTATTTGGGGATTAAACCTACTCGTTACAATCGATTACCTAATCTTAATACCAATCACTATTTAAAGTACACAGAGAGTTTTAACTTAGTCTCTCTTAAGAATTACGTACTTCGCGAACGAAAAAGAATTTAGCTTAACAAAAACTGGTAATTAATTTTTGTTATTCTGATCCAAGCATGCCCTCTCCAATAAGAAAGATGATTCAAATAATTATTACAATCATACTACAATTTATAATGTCAAAGAAAATAAAGACAATTCAAAAACCTCTATGTACTACTACTATTATCAATCCATAGTAAATAAGAATTAAGCTTTTCAAAATATAATGAGCTTTAAACAAAACTTATGGTTTCCGATTTCAAAAAGAAAGTTGATGCCTTCCTCAAAAAAAACAATTAAAAATCTAATTTAATGAGCAATACTAAAATAGCATCTTCATTAAAAGAATTGGAATTACTTCAATAAATAAAAAATGAAGAATTATTGAATAAGTCTTTATGTTCTAACAAATACACTGTTAAGACGGAAAGTATACCTTTGAATTCATTAATCTTTAGAAAAATCAATGAAAGCCATGGAAATATTTATTCTTGGAAACAATAAGGTTGTTACTAAATAAGTAATATCAAGTGAACTCATTCAATCAAGATTATTGAAATAAATGGAAACATTTTTAAAAGATGACAGATTCAATTATGATTTAAAGTACATACTTATACTTATATTTAGAATGACAACAATGATAGAATAATATGCAGAAATTGTAAATAGAATTCATGAAAAAGCTTTTACTATTAAAATACCAGAAAAGTATATCATTTAAATGAGTGATTACAATGAATATTATTAAATCAAAGAAGATACAATAGAAAACTTTCTTGAAAATAAATTAGAAATCATAGCTGATTAGATCATTTAAGAAATTTAATAATCTAAAAGAACTACTCCAAAAATAATGAGCCATAAAACTAGTGAAATTTATGAACCCATCGAATAACCAACAACAATCTAATAAATTGAAGATTTAATCAAAACTGAACCAAATATTGTCCATTAATAAGAAATTATTAAATAAGATTCTCCAAAAATTGAATAAATTATCCCTGATAGGAAAGTTTCTAATAAAAAAAGTAGATAAAGAAAAAAAAATTAATAAACTAAAAATGATAAAAATCTATCAGAATAATCTAGTTTATCTGAAATAATGGATTCATCTTTAAAAAATTCTAATATTAAAGATAATGATGATATTAGAAGAAGAAGAAAAGAAAAATCTAAAATTACTGATTAAGCATAAATTGAAGAAGAAGAATAAGATCTCATACAAAAAGAAATTGAGAAGCAAAAAAAATAAAAAATTATTAAAAAACTTAGAGAATTCAATTAATTATTTAAACCCTAAATGTATTCAAGAAGATAATCTGAAGATACTATGTTATAAATTGAAGAACCAATTCTTCTTGCCTAACCAAAATAAAAAGTTCTTAAAACATTAAGTTTAAGACCTGCAGATGATACTATAATTATGAAAGAAGTTTATGAAATAATTAGAGTTAGAAAATAATAGTTGTATGAATATCAATCAGAATAACGAAGAAAATAAGAGCAGGCTCTTGAAAATTCCATATAAAATTAGAATAAAATTTAATAAAAACCTCTAAATTTAATTGTTAATGGCAAACATATTAGTGAATTAAAGGAGGCAGCTGAATTATGGGATTCTAAAAGAAATTCCCCAAGATCCTATACAAAGTAAAGATAAAATTAAAATAATTCAACTGTTGTAGAATAAAAATAAGAAGAAATAAATGTCAATGAATAGATGAATAATATGATGGAAGAATAAAACAATTAGACAAATTCTCAAAATATGTAGGATAATAATCCTGATAATAGTATTAATTACCAATAGATTATTAATGAAAAATTAATAAGTTTAGAAGAAAAATTGAAATAATAATGTCAAGATATATTTGATATTTTATTAGCCTCTGAATTTGTTTATGATGTAAAAATTGATGATTACAAAATTGGTAAACCTCATTCAAATAAAATAAACCATCCTAATTTTATATTCTAGCAAGAATAAGATGAAATAGTTTTTACTCATCAGTAATATAATTTATTTATTTAGGGTTTTATGGAGAAGAGAAATACAATAAGTGATTCCTAAACTTAATTCTGTTAATAAATAAATGTCAGTTTTGATAAACTCAGAAGATGAGTACGTTTAAGATAGTTAACAGATAATCAGTGAAGAAGAAGATGAAGATAAAAGTGATTAAAATGATGATTCTAAAATTTGACAAACTGTTTCCTTATAATATTCTAATTTTTATATATTTAATGATAATGTTATTTTATTATATAAATTATTCTATATTAATATGAAATATCTTAATGACATTTTTATATTATCTTTAATTTATGGATAATTTAATTTATCTTATTGATCTTAATACAATATAAATTATCAATCACTGTTACAAAGTTTGAATTTCTTTTTGCCAACACATTATCCACAATTTGGACAATAATGAACTCTATCCTTACAACTCTTCAATACAAAAGGCAGAAAAACAAGTGGCAAGAAAAATATAAATATGAAAAATGCTACAATCCAAGTTTATGGACCAGCTCTATGTTCCATAAGGGTAGTTCCAGATCTCTTACAAAATTTACACTAAATTGAAATAGGAATTATAGATCCTTGAGCATCATATGGTACATTAGTACCATTAGAATCTGTATTATACAGAGGTGTAACAAGAAACCCTGTTGGAAGTGGAATACCTAATTATATATAGAATTTATTACCACTTTAGATATAATGATTTTGAGTAGGAATACCTACAAATACTTTCTCTGTATTTTCCTCATATCTCACTTCTGCTAAATTTGGATAGGTTATTTTCTGTATTTCAGATTCATTCAGTTGAGAATGTGCTAAATGAGACATATAAATAATAAATTGGTTTTTCAAATAATATTCCACATATTTATATACATAATATGTACATTAAATGAACAGAATTACAAAATTTAAATATTTCTGAATTTCTTTATTTTATAAACTATATTTTATTACATTTTGTAAGATTTTAAATTAATAAAGGTATTGAGAATTGTCTTAAGTTAAGCTGGCTTTATTTGCAAATTTACAACACTCATTTAATAGAGAAATAAATTTTACTTTTTAAGTGTCGAGCCATAAATTCATATAGAACGTTGTTAAGATACCTTAAAATATTGCATTCTATTTGAGAAGAGAAGTATAAAATATTTTGATAATATTTCCATATTTATAATTTTTATGAAATTTTAATTGTCATAAAACGATAATTCTAAGCATTTTATATTCAAAATTCCTTGGAAATAAATTAATAAAATTAGAATATAATAGAGAATATAAAATTTACTCAAATGTTCAAAATTAATATAAAAATTCTTACCTTTTTATTTTCACTTTATTTATATAGGAGAACTTTTAAGAAATTTCTATTTATAAAAGAAATTAATATCTTTTATTTTTGTTCTTAAAATTCATTGTTGCTTTTTATAGCTAAGTAACTTTTTAATTGCAAATTCAAATAAGGATTAGATTTAATATTCAAAGATTTGAAATTTTAATATTGATATATGTTTGTTATATTTAATTAATTAAAATTATACTTTGGTTTTGTTGTGGTTTATATAACTCAAATTCAATCTTAAATGGGTAGAAAAATACGAAAATTATTTTTTACGAAATGCTAGAAATAGATTAATTTATTATTATATAAAAATATTATTATTAATAATACTGATCTCAATCCATATTATAATAAAAAATAGTAAGTATAATATGATTTTTATCAATTTTTTTTGATTATAGTTTAATGAATTATTTATTTAATAATATTTTATATATTCTTTAATAAATATATATCAAACTACTTGTGGTTTGAAAAAATTCAAAAGGAGTAATAAAAATATTAATTTCATAAGACTCTCCTAACTTAACATATTAGCCATGGTCCATTTATTAGATGCCAATTAATTTGCTTATTTGATAAATGGAATATTGGGTTAATATGGCTATGGATTAACTTCCATTTATTAATTAAGCATATAATCTATATTATTATTGAGAATAAATTATTTTTTTCTCTCTTCCTTAAGAGTTTCTTTATTTTACAAATACTATTAGACACATTTAACCATAGCAGGTTATAATTATTATTCATAAATATCCTTTTCTTCTTAATTTTAAAAGAAATCTAGTATTCCAAAGATATTAAACTTCAGTTCATGTTTATAATAGCCATAACTAAAATGAATAAATATAACAGTACTGTAAAGTGACTTCATTATTATTGGTTTAAATAATATGCATATATTTTCTGAGAGAGCAATATTGATTAGCATCATTAAATACTTCTTGTTCAACCATGATTTCAGCATCACTTATGAAGTAAACAAATTATTCACATTTACAATTAACAAATTCTGGACTAAATAATTTGAGTTTATCTCTATTAGGTTATTTATAAGTAATAACTCTTTTGCTGGCTTAACATTAATCAATCAATTCTTTAATATCGTAGTTTTCTTCATGAAGAAAGAAACTAGGTGGTGCAGGTTCATATTAAGTATATTTAACTTAGATTTCTTTCATCACATTAGTTTTAAATTAAGCAAAAAAGTTTTATTCATCATTGCTAAGAAACAAATTGAAAAATTCTTTGGCTGTTAATGGTAAATCTAAGGCAGATAGATTGATAACTTTTGGATTATTGCAAAATCTGCTTTGATCTTTTAAATAACTTTGTTTTCTGAATTATAAGACATTTGAATATTCTTTCAATTATTTTTCATAAATTTCCTTTTGCCTCATAAGCATATCGTTCCATTATTATTCTCCTCTCATTTAATGATGTAATTGTTAATCTTAAATAAGTAACACTATAACTACTCTTATTGTATTGTTGGACTGCTTCTTTTAAATTGTCATTTGCTTTGCAATTCAAATTATTAATTCTAAAATATATGAGTTCACTTAATTCAATAATAAAATTATTAAAACATCTATCTCTAACAATATTGGATTATACCATTCCTGATAAAGTTAGACTCATTTATTACATTAAATCTAAGAATTTATTAATATAATAATTTTACAATCATGGAAATGAGTTTAATTAGAAGTTGATTACATTTCTAATACTAATTACATATATTTAGTATATTTAGATTTTAGACTATCATTGGATTGTTCTGCAAATTTAATAAGTTAATTTAGGATATCTAAAATTTCTTAATGAATTTCAACATGAAAATTTATTGATTTCTATAATTCTAAAAACAATTAATCATGTTAAAGTGTTTAATCATTCTAAATCATATTAACCAAACCATTACTATTTCTTTGAATAATCACAGCTAATTTTTTTAATTATTCACCATTATATTTTGTAGCTTCAAAGTATTACACTCTTAATTTTGCATATTTTAAATAAAATTAATAAAGAAATCCTCTTTCTTTGTTATGTGATTTAAATAGGTCTAATAATAAATTGTTCTTATCCTCTAACTTTTATATTGCAGCTAATAATTAAGGATAATCTAATTAATATTCTTAACATGTTAAATATAACAATTAATATTCAACAAAGTCTCTTTACCATTCCTTCTTAAGACTATCAAATATTGTCAATAATATATATACTATTATTGATAATGAAAGAAACACTATTTCAAACTATTTAAGCGATTTAAATCCAATTTACAAATTTCTAAATATACACTTCTTTCTTATTAACCTATTGTATCATAACTCTTTTTTTGAGTCATGATTTAATCAGTAAAATGTTATCCCTTTTCTAATCTATCAACCATCCATTTATTTATTTATGTAAATATCTCTATCATAGGTTAATAAGTTTGAGTAATCTTCATCTTATCAGTATGTTTCTAAAATTCAGCACTAAGTTCATCGAACTCTTTCATTGAATGCAGTTATCTTCTAATAAGTTCCTTTAATGCATGATTTAAAGTTCCTGCAAATTATTCAATTATTACTCCTTACATATTAATATATAATAAAAAACAAAAAAATTAAGACAATTTCTCATGTTTATAATTTGAAAAGTACTTCACAAACCCAAAAAATATTAATCAAAATATTCTGATGAATTTATAAACTTAAAGTGAAATAGATTTAAAACTATCTGCATTTGATAAATTGGGAGACAATCCAGATGAAGTAGATATTAAATATGTGAGCTATATACTTAAAATCCCATTATAAACAATACGTCTATGGTTGGAAGAAAGAGTTGAATAAGATTTTCAAATTGATTTATCAACTATTGAAGAAACAGAATGTTAACTTATTGGAAGCAATATGAAAAACAAAGAATTAATAAATTAATAAAATTAAGTTAAGGAAGAAGATATTTAGTAAAAATAAATAAATACATCATTCAAGTAATCATCAATTGATTTAAAAGATAATTAGGTCTCAAAATAAAAGAAAATTATTGATAAAAATAAATAAAGTTACACAGATAAAATAATTGAAAAGAATTAAAAAAAGTAAATTAATTTAATTTTCAAATAATCATAATAAATATCATATGAAGATTGTATAACCTAAGAAAATAAGAATATAAATTAACTTATAAAAGAACTATCAAATATGTAAAATGATAATATTAGTATATCTTAAAATATGGATAATAATTAAGAATAATTAGAAATATTAAAATAATAAAATAAATAAAATAAAAATTTAATACGTTTGGAAAAAGAAAAAGATTAATAAGGAATAAGTTAAATAAAATTAATAGAATAACCAAATAATGAATAGCAAAGTAAATCCTTAATTTTTATTAATGATTAGGCTAATTAGTAAAATTAAATAATTAAAAATTCAAAAAAGGAAACAAATTAAAAATAAATAAAATTTAATATAAATGATAAACAATAAACTTTATAAGATCTGACTCATCTAAGAAAGAAAAAGATAAAGAATCCCATATAATAAAAATTATTTGAAATTGGATAAAATTAGAAATTCTAAAATGGAATTATAAAATAATCTGAGTAGAAATAGAATATTATATAAATGAATCTTACAAAATAAAATTAACTCTAATATAATGTTTAATAAAAATAGGATTAAAATTCTCTTTATATAAATTAATAATAATCAGAATCAAATTTATCAGAAGGGTATCAAAAAGATGGATAAATAATGAATTCTACTTCATAATCTCATGAATAGTCTAATAAATAAAAGTAATAGGTTGAAATTAAGACATCAAATAATTAACATTAATTTTAGACTTAACCACATGAAAATACAGATTATAATTCAGCTATAGAATCAATAAAATAATAACAGAAACATTCATATTCTATGGGTGTAAATTGTACTTCTCATTCAATGACACAAAATAATTTATCTAATTCTATTAATTAATCTTCATCAAAATATCAGAATAAAGAACTTTAATTTTAAAATGATTCTGAATTAAATCCCATTTATATACAATCTAATCATATAATTTAAGGTTCTGTATAATAAAAATACATGGATAAGATATAATAAATACCAAATTAATTCGAAATGATTCAAATGTTTAATAATAATTCATAGGCATTAGGATAAGTTATTAAACTTATTACAGCTGTTAGTAATTATTAGATTGCTTTGATTTAGAAACTTGATATGATTTATGAATGTGTTAATAAAAAATGATAAGATTATTTTTGATATATAATTAAAAATGAAAATAATAGGACCTAAGGGTTTAGAGGATGGAAGAGTATGTTTACTTCTACAACTAGGTTACAAATCTTTATTTTCTAAAATTTGAATTCATGGAGCAGGTTTGTTTTGTGTTCAACCTTGTTGGGATATTTTTAGGAGCAATCTAATATGAATTGGAATTTGAAGAATATGATTCAGATGATCCATTTAGAGATGTATAGAAAACATATAAATTAGATTTCATAATGGCTATTATGGATGATAGCTGGTTCAACTATTCTATTGATATACTTTACATTTTATCGTTATTAGACAAAAATCTAATGGTTAAAGTCAAGAGGAGTAATTGGACCAAGAGAAAAATTCTATGATATCAATGAAAACTTCTACATGATAATAGAGATTATAGTGTATTGTCTAATACCATTATCATTCACAGAGACTATGAGGATTTCATTTTATAATGTTGCTTAAGGAGCAGAAGCTTATTATCATATCAATGAAATGCTTACACTCTTAATGGTCATTAGAGTTGTCTATCTCTATAGGACTGTCTTAACATTGACATTTTGGTCCAGCAATAGAACATTAAGAGTTTGCGATTTCTATTCTTGTGAACATAACTATTTGTTTGTGATAAAATCTCTTTTAAAAACATCACCTTACCTAACCTAATTTTTAATGTTATTATCCCTTATTTTTGTATTTGGCTATCAATTAAGAATATGTGAAAGACCATTGACAAGAGTTAATGATATAATTGATAATTTAGGAGTATATTATAATAGTGTTTGGTGTATTATTATAACAATAACATTTGTTGGTTATGGAGACTACTATCCTAGAACAGATTTAGGCAGATTTGTAGTTATAATTGTGTGTATAGTGGGAATATTCTTATTGTCTGTCATGATTGTGACTTTCATAGAATCACTTAAAGCTACTCCAATCGAGAATTAGACTATGTCTCTTTTAGAAAGGATTCGTTTAAGATAAATAGTCAAAAACGAAGCAGCTTAAGTGATTAAATTAAGTATGTAACAAGCATATAGATGGAGGTAAATATAATATTAATAATTGTAGAAACGGTACATTGACAGAAAAAAAATAGCATTAAATTGAGATAGATTTAAGATTAGCTATGCATAATTTTAGATTTGCTTTACAACAATAAAGTAAATTTGGAATGGACAATTAAACTGAAAATATTATAAACCATATTGGATTGGATCTAAAGTAATTAAGAAATGAGTAAAATTTGGATGTGAGTTTATTAATGGAGAAATTGGAATAATAAGAGAAAATTTCAAAATAATTGATGGAAAAGATGAATTTGATTTTATCAGAAAAGAAGTGACATTTTTATGTAGGTTCCATTACTCAAAGAAAAGATAGTGACATTTGAATATTAAAATTGAGTTTGGAACTATATGAAATATAATAATAATATAAAAATATAATATCTATGAAAGGAAGAACTGGAGGTTTAACAGCCAAAATGAACAATGTATTATTAATGATTATTATTTTCATTAGTAAAACTAAAATAGAAGATAATAAGAGAATGATCAATTGGTACGGAAAGCAGATTAAAATAAAATATCACTTGCAGAAATTTTTATGGCAAATTCTTAATAATTAGGAGGATTGGAAGATGGAAAAGTATTATCTGGGAATATTTGATAGGTGACAAAAATGTATTTTCACAAATTTTTATTTATGGAGTAGGTTTGTTTTGCATTCAATTTAATGGGATTAGGAATTAGTGTTATCTAATATGATTTAGAATATGAAGAATTTACTAATGAAGATCCTATGAAAGATGTAATATTAAAGATAATTCTAGATTTCATTATGGTTATTATGGTTAGTATTTGTATCATCATGTCTATTGGTTTTTTTAACAGTTTATCGTTATTAAGCCCATATTGAATGGATGAAATCAAGAAAATCAATGGCTCCTGGAGATTAAATCTGGCATACTGATGATTGGTTACCAATGCTCATAGAATTAGCAGTTTATTGTATTGTTCCTCTACCATTTACTAAAGGAATTAGAGTTAACTTTTACAATCCAATTTAAGGGAGTGAAGCCTATTATCATGTGAATGAAATCTTAGCTTTAATTATGATTTGCAGAGTTATTTACTTATATAGAACTCTCTTAACTCTTACTTTCTGGTATAATAACAGAACACAAAGAGTTTGTAATTTATATGCTTGTGAATCTAATTATATGTTTGTGGCAAAATCTCTATTAAGAACAATGCCATACACTGCCTTATTTATTGCTTTAATATCTTTAATATGTATTTTTGGATATGCTGTAAGAATTTGTGAAAGACCACTCTCAAGAAATGATCCAACAAGCAATAATTTAGGAGTGTTTTAAAATGCTTTATGGAATATTATTATTACAATAACCACTGTAGGTTATGGTGATTTCTACACTAGAACTGATTTAGGCAGATTTGTAATCTTTATAGTTTGTGTTCTTGGTATCTTTGTAGTTTCAGTTATGGTTGTTACTTTAATAGAATCTCTAAAGGTTACTTCATTAGAAGGTCATGCAATTACAGTTTTAGAGAGAGTTGCTTTGAGAGAAAAACTTAAACATGAAGCTGCTTTAGTTATTATACTTACTGCAAAAGCTGCTCTTGGTTATAAGTAAAATATAAATTCAAATATTATTTTAGAAATGGAACTTTGACTAGAAAATAACATCATTAATTAATAGTTAGATTAAAATAAACCTTAATTAATTTTAAAATGACCCATAGATAACATAAAACTAAATAAGATGAGAATAGTTTGAATGAAGAAATCACTAATTAATTCAGTCTCTTAAAAAATGACTTTAAATAATTAATGGAAAGATAATAAGTGTTGATTTCAACCAATAATTTGATCTATTAGAAACTAGGATTTGATAATAACAAATCAATTGTCAATATTTGACACTTTATACAAATGAATTTAGCAATTTAATGTATGATAATTTTATGTGTATTTCATGATCAATGGATGTTCTTGCTCTTGCCAGCCTTTCTCTTAGCCAATCTTGTTTCAAGACTCTTATTCTTTTTGATGGATGGATCATTCTTAATAGCAAATCTTCTATTTTTTGCGAATCTTTAATTGCACTTTATTTTATAAGATTAATTACTCCATTCAATGATGTATATCTTTGATTTGGAAGCTTCTTAATACCATTTTTGTGATGTTTACGGGCATTATGATGACTTGTTGCATTCTTAGACTTGGCCATTGATGATTAATTATTTAAAATATTTATTTAGATTTTTCAATATTTTTAAATTCCTTAATTTTTTATACAAACCAATTATTCCATCTACAAAGCATCTTTTTGTAATGCTTCTTTCTATATTATACTTCTCTATAATTCTTTAAATAAACTCCAAACTCTTTACTATTAGAAGTCCTAAACCTCATTCTTTATTTTAATCTACTTTTTAAATTCACTCTTTAATTTTTCTTTTTATTCTTCTTTAAATTTTTATCTATTTTCTAAGAACTGTTTACTTTATTCTAATTATTCACTCAAATATTATTATTCATATTAGTCTCTAATTTTCTTACTCTAAAAATAAATGATAAATTATAACTTATCTTTAATCTTGCCATTCTAATTATTTTTTTGTGGCTTCTAATTTTTTTATTTATTTTTAAACCATATCTAATTCTTATTTTAATTATTTTTCAATATTAGGATCATTACTCTGTATTTATTCAACTATTTTATTTAAATTTGGAGCTTCTGGTAATTAAATAATATGTTTCTTCTAAATTTCTTTCTATCTAATAGCAACTACAGGAGATTTAGATTATGAAGATTTTTGTTAGACAGTTTTATTAGTTTAATTATTCTTTGGACTATTGAATTACTCTTAAGGTTAAGTTTAGAAACTCTTAACACTTACATTATCTTAAAAGCTCATATACTCATTTTTAGGGTTATTTACCTCCTACTGTTTATTATAACTTTATAAAGGGGATTTAGATTAGTAATATTACTTTTTTGAAGTAGTTGAATAACTTGGTAATTTTGGACTTTTTGATGTTTTTTAATCTTCAGTAATGCCTTTTTAATAAGAACTAAAATCTTTAAATCTACTCAACATTTTAAAGGGAGTAGGTTAATCCTTAGGAGTAGGTGGTATTTATTAAACTAATTCATTTTATATTTAAGTTTCTTCTTCAACTTTACTTTCTGATTCATCATCTTAAAAATTATTGTTTAATTTTGATAACATATAAGACTTTAATTCATCTGAACTCTTTTCTTGAGGTGTCTTTGATTGTAACTCATACTTTTAATTGAGTTTGATTATCTTATAGAATGAAGTATAATAATTAATTGACAAAGTCAAAATCTTTTCAAGTTTATCTGATACTGAATTAACTTAAACTTTTAATTCTTCTTTATAATACTTCTGAGCTTCTTTAATATTAGAAATATTGATCTTCTTTTTTATCAGATTATATTACACATTAGATAAAATTGCATTTATTTATTCATAACTTTTACAGAATTGACTCTAACTAGCTACCCAATCTCTCTATTATAAAAACAAATAGTCAGTTGTGATAGATTTATCAACTCCAGCTACAAAGCATAATAAACCACAAACAGAATTATAAAGTTGTTAAGTTGGTTTAAGTATATAAAATAGATCCTAAAACATCAAATTAGTGATTTTACTTAAATATCTTTGATTTAGATGTTTTGAAGAGTTTTAAGTATATTTACATATATTTGTTCAGTTTCCTCAATCAACCTTAAATATGATGGAACTCTGACATGATCTAATCGAATCTACAATTTTGATTATTCAACGTCTCCTTTCATAATAAAAATTATATAAACATTAATAAAAAATTCAATAAAATAGAGATTGTTTTATTTGAAAATAATTACAATATATGAAATAAATATAATTTTTAAAGAAAAATAAATAATTATATATATTTATTATCTAAATGAAGATTTACTTAAGAATACATTAATACAAGATTTTTGAAAATGAATAAATTAAAAATTTTAGTTTAATTTGAATTTTTAAACAACAATAATTTTTTTAAGATCTTACAGTAATAATATATTTATAAGGAGATTAGAATCAATTTAAGTGTGAAATTTTGGAATATAAATTGAATATATGAGTACTATAATATTATTATTAAATTAAAAAATGAAAGGTGAAGCTACTTAACTTAAAACTTAAACACAAGGATCTGCAATAAAAAATGATAAGCCCTTGAAATAAGTTAAATAATCAAGTCCAATAAAACATTAAATTGAACCAGAAGTTGTATGGCCATTTTTTGCTCCCTAACCTGCACTAGTCAATTAAACGAGATTTTGGGATAGAAAAAATTGCAAAAATGTTTATCCTAATAAAGAGGATCTAAGATTTTAGGCTATAATGTTAAGAGTGGGAAAAAAGAAAAAGTAAACCAAAGGTTATTTTTTCAAATTAAGTAAAGATGGAACACTTAGTTACTATAAAAAGGTTTCTCATTTAAATATAAATAAGGAATCTGATAAAGTAGCAAAAGGATATTTATAAATTACTATGGATTATGTAGTTCATCTCTTAGAATAAAAAAGCAAGAAAGATTCGTTACTTATTGTTTAAATCGAAAAGTATTAAGGACTCTCTATATCAATATTTGATGGAAAAATTTAATTAACTCTTGAATTTTTCAATCATCTCAAAGATTATTGCATAGTTTCTGGAATGGATAAATTATATACTTAAATGGAATTACTTGGAAAAGGTTCCTTTGCATCTGTAATTAATAAATATGATTAATAGGTGTATAAAGTTAAGAACTTATCTAATGAGTAAATGTTTGCAGCTAAAACATATTTTAAGGAGACATTTGAACAATCATAACATAAATCTAAATTTGTGGTACCATTTGTTCCTTATTAAAGCTGAGCTTATGATAAAAAATGAAATCATGGTTTTACGTAAAGTTATTCATCCTGGTATAATTCGATTATACGATGTTATTTAAGAAAAAGAGAAATTAATACTAATCATGGAATTAGTTTCAGATGGAGATTTGTATAATTTGATAAAGGAAAAGAAGAAAATCCCTGAAAAATATGCTGCTATTATGTTAAAAGGTGTATGTGAAGCATTGCATGAGATGCATATGTATAATAATAGAATAATTATTTAGAAATGAATTTGTACATAGAGATTTAAAATTAGAAAATATTATGATGAAATCAAGAGATCAATATATAATTAAATTAGTTGATTTTGGATTTGCAGAACCTATAAATCATAAAGAATTAGTATCTAAAGCAGGAACTCCTGGTTATATTCCCCCTGAGATTTTCAAATTATTCCCATATACAGATAAAGGAGATGTATTTTCAGTTGGAGTCATCTTTTATTCAGTATGAATCTTTTGTATTATTATTATAGTTAATATCTGGGATCTCATGTTTTAAAGGTAAAAATTATTAAGCAGTTTTGGAAGATAATAGAAAATGTGAAATCAGTTTTATGAAATCAGTATGGAATGATATTAGTAGTGAATGTAAACATTTGTTAAAGAAAATGTTGGCTAGAAAACCTGCTGATAGATATACTTGTGCTGATGTACTTAAAAATGAATGGATTCTAATTCATACTTCAAATGAATATGAATAATAAGCAGGTTATATATCCATTATATAATTTTAGATTCTGAATTAGAAAGAAGGAATTCCTATTAAACAATGAAGAAGTCTCATTATAGCCATTATAATTCAGTTGATGGATCATAACCTGATTTTAATAATGATTTCTCTTATCATACTAATGATTTAAAATCTTTTTATCATCGTAATAGTTAAAAAACAGTAAAAACTCAAAGATCCATTATGTCAATAAAATCAAACAGTAATACTATTAATTAAACAATTAGATGATAAAATGAAATAATCAATGAGAAATAAATCAGCTAATAGTAAATAATAATAATTTACAAACTTTAAGAGTCAAACTCTAAAAAATAGAAATAAAAGTGCAATACATTCGAATACTGGTGGTGAAGGAGGAGCAGATTAAAAAAGCGTAAGATGGGTTGATAAGAAAAATAAGAGTGATGAACCATCTTTTGGGGATAAAAAAGAAAGTTAAAATATATTAATAATTTAGATGATTCTATCAAGACATCCATTTCTCTTAAAATATTTGAAGATTTTGAAGCCATTAATTAAAATAATGTTGCATTTTTGAAGATGTCTCCTATGTTATTTAATCTATAAAAGAAACCTGATTCTGATGCTAAAATCAATGAAGCTATTAAAAAGAAAAAATAATAAGCTATTCATTTAATGAAAGTAAAATGATAAAAATACATATTTAATCATTATTCTGATAGTTTTTTTACATTTTTTTCACTATTTTAGAAATAGTCTAAATTCTCTATTAAAAATAAATGATATCTTACAAATTTCATCTATTAGAATAATTCCTTATTTTTTATATTCTCTAAATAATTATTATATATTTAAGTTATTTAATTATTTGCCCTTGATTAGTCTTATTATTGTATTTTAAGCCAATTTATTATACTAGATGATGCTTGAAATTTTTTTAAATGAAGAATCATTTGAATATAATTCTATTCATGTAATATTCTACCAAGAGTAATTGATGATTTGATTTAAAATAGTAAGAATGATTTTCTAATTATCAATCTATAGTATCAGAATTTAAATGCATATTATTTAAATGGTTCAAATTGAAAACGATATTAAAATTATGAATAATAATCATTATTATAGATTCATCTTAACAGGAAATAAGAATCGTTATAAATCAATTGAGTAAAATTTAGAACTCAATAAAGATGTATATTCAAATAAAAAGTCTAACCATAAAAAAATATCTCTCATTCCAGGTATAAACACTTTATAATAATCAATATTTCTTTAGAATCCTAGGTCTTTGACTATTCTCATAATTTTGACAATAATTCATTTGATGTCCACTAAATTAAAAATAAATCAGAATCAAACTAAAGAGTAAATACTGAATTAATAAGATCTAAATATCAATTAGAAATCTAAAGTCAAAAATCTGATTTAATGACTGCTTATTATTCAAAATTAAGATAAAGAGCTTAATCATATTAATAAAAAAAACTAGAAAAAGTAATATTAATATTGAATAGATAGCCCTTGTAGTTGACATAGGTGATTCACCAATTTTCATAAGAGATTTAAAGAAATCAATTGATTATAGCCAGAGTTAAAAAAATAAACAAAGAAATATGACTCATTTCTAATAAAAAACAATCGAAACATAAAAATTCATTAGTTAATTGAATCATTTTAATTAAGAACAAATAATGCAATTTACTTTTGGATTGTAAAATAATAAAATGAACAGATTGATATAAAAGTCTAAATTTCCTAAAGAAATCTTTCTTGGAGATGTAAGAAAGGTTAAAAGAATATTTTAGTAACAATGATTCTATAATATTCATTATATTGGAATTATGTTTTTAACTTATAAAGTATCTGCATTAATTTAGATGAATTCTATTTTTCTATCTTCAGAATTGATAAGGTATATTTATTATTTGAATATCTAAAATACATAATTTTATATACAATCGGTTATGTACAATTTAAATTTTATATTCTTTAAATACCATTACTATTCTTCTAAATAGTTTTCAAAAATAAATTAATTAATTAAGCATTTCCATCATTTCCAAATTGATTATAGCCACCCATAATAAAAATCTCTTAATTTGATATAGGAAATGAATATCCAAGGATTTAAGGTACATAAGACTAATAAAAATTAATAATTAAATTATACAAAAGAATTGACTAATTCAATTGGATCAAGAAATCTTTATTAGGTTGTACTAAATATTTCAATTAATGCATTTCCTTAATATTGATTCATCATTCCACCAGTAATACATATTTTTTCATCTAGTAAACAACACTACCCTTTAATTCTTGGATATTTCATTGATTCAATTTATTCCCACTTATTCCCATTAATTAAGTACCTAATCTAAAATTGGTTATTTCATACTTGAAACCTTTCTTGTTTCCAATCTATACATTATCAACCACAATATAGCCTCCCCAATAATATATAAATTAACCTTGTTTGATAGCCTATCCACCATAACTATTTATTGGTAATTCTGACATCATTTCTATTTTATTTTCTTATTTGTTGTATTTGGTTACCATTTGACTTATTTTGAATTATTTAGTATTAATATCTTAATAAAATTATCCTATAAAATACAAGCTTTAATTGGTATTTATTAAATTGCAATAATTAAGTCTATAATTATCATCGTTTAATATTAATTCTTACTATTTGATGTTATCAATGTAATCTATATGAGTATGATAAATAGTGTTATTCCTAAATGTGTATATACTATTTTATTATTCTTAAAACTTCAAATGTCCAGTCTTACTTTTCAATGTTAATAAATTCTTCTTTTATTATTTAAAACCACTAAAAGTACTTGGAACTATTTTAAATTAATCTTTTAATGAAGAAAGTGGATACCTTTAAATTTCAATGATATTAGCTTATATAATGAGTCTTTAATATCATATAATGATTAATTTGTAATTTATAGATTAATTTCTTTTGGTAATAGTGAGCGTAATTAATGCAAATCATCTTTAATTTATTCATGTCTTTCAAGAACTTCATTATATTGTGTTTCTTCATAATTTGGAATATCTTTTCTTAACTAGAAAATTTGTTATTTTATTGGCGCTAAATGAATTTATACTAATTCATTAGCTACAAAATTGTATTGATTCTTTAAATTAGCAAAATACTTGTCAACAATTTAAGTGATGACTTTTCTAACCTATTTTATTTTCTATAAGGTTGTTTAATAAAGGATAGAATCACATACCTACATGTTGGTAATTTGAATCATTAAATTTTCTAATTCTTTTTCAATCTCAGCTATCTTTTAACATTTATGTGGAGTAAATATTATTTTAATTTCTTCTGTTTATTCTTTTTATCTTTCAAATTGATCAATACTCAATTCATCTAAAATTTATTTCATATCATAATATGATTGATCTTGATCTTAATTTGATAAGGCAGACATAAATCTATCTAATATTTTCTAAGATCTTTGACTAGTTTCTAAAAAACTTGAATTGTTATGATTACTCATTTTTAATAATATTCAATAAATACTTCAAAAATATCAATAGAATATATAATAAATGAGAATATCTCGAATATCTAGATTATTGATATTAGAAATGGTATGTCATTAAAAAAGGTTCTCTCTACAACTTTAATATATATGCATAAACTTTTTATTTCTTTTACTTAACTAATCTTTCACTTAATCTTTGTTTTATTTTTTGAATAGAATAAATAGTTTTATCTACTTAAAAAATTTACAAACATACGAGTATTAAGGGGAACTTATGTTCTTAATTAATTATAAGTTCTATGAAATTTAATTATATATATAGATTTTGAAATTTAAAATATATAGATATAATATATAATATATTTAAGTTTCATTGAATAATCTTATAAATTAAGTGAAATTTAGTTTTAATAAATTGAAAATAAATGTTAATATTATTATAAATAATAATTTATAAAATATTAAATATACAAATCATAAATATATTTAGTATTGTATACACACTAAAAGTTTCACTAGATATTCTTTGTGTTGTAATTCATTTTTCTACAAATCCTTCATTAATTAATCACAACGTGTATTTCCATTTAATTAATTCAACTAATCCAAACATTACTCTCTTTGTTGAAATATTAACTTAATTTAATTTAATAGAATTTCATTTTCAGTCTGTCCTTTTTCATTATCAATTTGAATTTCATTATTTTATAACTTCTATAAGAATTCTGAAAATCTTGTATCATCTAATAATTCTTAATCATAATTATCAGAAATATCAATCTATAAATCATTCTTGTTAAAATTAATATATTTTAATAATTATGGAAAGGATCTTTCATTTTCTGATTCATATTATAAGAATATCTTAAATTTTTGTATAAGATCATTTAATTATTTAAGTTTCTTTGAATTATTATTTTAAAATATCTTCTCTCTTAATCGACATAACATAGTTCCTATCTTTAATAAATTTGTTCCATACTCTTTAAATTCATCTTCTGAATTCACACCTAAATCCATTATGAATTCAATCTATACTCCACAGATTTTGTAGATCTATTCCATCATTTATGAAAATTCAGTGTTCATATAAATTTCTTCAAGAACAACAAGATGTTTATGATAATTTTAAGTTAGCTTTTCTATATAATTTATAATAACTTAATCTGTATCTATTTATAAAATATAAGGGAAATGTGTCAAAACTTACCTATAAAAATATTCATATTTAGGTAAATTAGAAGTTAAATTTATTTTTTTGATTTTTAATAATTCAACCTAATTACTTATTTGTGGAATTTAACTCATCTATTCTAATAGTTTAACAGTAGGTTTGAGTACAATCATTCCAAAACTATATTAAACATTATAAACTTAACTATTTCTAATGATCTTCATAAATCTTAGTAATTCAGGTATGATGATATTCTAATACAACAATAATTAAAGTAAAACTCTAAATATTAGTTTTGTACACTTTTCTTATTTAGGTTTAATCATTTAACAATATGTTAAAAATAATTAATAAAAATCTGCAACTACACCTATTATAGATTGTGTATTCTTATCTAAATAATTAAAATCTAATTCTTAACATTTAAAATGTAATTCCTTAATTACTTAATAGTCCTTTGATGTATTAAAATATGCTAAAAAGTCTTATTGATTTGTAATTCTATGTTTTAAACACATCAAATGTATTAAAATAAGATTTTGATCAGTGTTTTCTTCAATCTTATTATTTACTTCTCTTCTTTCCTATTTCTCCTTATCATATTCGATTAATTCTCTTTCAAGTTCATTACAATATTTTATCTCAATACTCTAATTTTCCACTCTAATAAAGTGGATTATCTCAGGAAAAATTGAATTTGAACAATATAAATTTATTAAAGATTTTCTTATTCTCTCTTTATAATTATAATTATAATTATAATTATCTCTATCTAAAATCATATTCATTAATTTTTATCCTTTTAATATAGGATCATCCCCTAGAATTTCAACAGTTTTTCTATCAAAATTATTCTATGAATATGATTTATATAGATATTAAAGATCTTCCATATCATCTAATATATTTTATGTTAATTCTTAAAGTTCTGCCTTTTTAGATAGCTCATATAACATTTGTCTTCTTGATTCATATTTTGCATTTTTTCTTTAAATCATTATATTTATTATTAAATATAATATGTAAAATTAAAAGAAGGAAAAATATACCAAAATTAATGACCATTATCTTTGATTTCTTTTTATCAAATTTATAAAATGTTATCATAAAAAATCTAATTATGAGATAATACAGAATTATTAAAATATATAAAGATATAAAGGATTAATATTTAAACCAATATTTTAATTGAAGCCATAATAACATCAAACTCGTTATAAATGAAAATACATTAATAATTGAAAGATATTTATAAATTAATAATTAGTTTAATTATTAAAACTTTACAAAAAATAATAAAAGTATTTTCAATTTTTAAGAAAAAAGCAAACTTTAATTGATTTTATTGAAATAAATTAAAATTATTCAAATCCAAAATTAATAAGAATAAAGTAAGTTGAGAAGTGAGTGGAAAATATTTGATATTCAAAATATTGTTGTTAATGTTTTCAAAATTATAGATCATATCGCTACATATAATTTAACTTAAAAATTAGCTATCTAAAATATATCTATATAAACTAAATGGTTTGATTAAGGTTTAAATTAATTAATAATTGATATTTTAAATCATTTTGATAGTCAAAATTATCAAAGATAGAGAAATATTAAATATAATTTCTTCGCTTTTAATTTATGATTAAAAAAAGATTTTTTACATTGAAGAATAGTAATATTGAATTTATTAAACAAGATCTACAAAATTTGTGTGAATGTATGTTTAGATGATTGATATGGTCATAATAATATTTTAGAATACTTAACAAAACTTTTAAAGAAGAATATGTTAGAAATATGATATATGCTCTATTAAATACACATTAGAATCAATTAAGGAAATAATAATAATTAGACTAGAGTATCATATTCCAATTAAACCTTAGAAGTAGATAATTAATTTAAAAGGATTTAGTATCATTATCCTATTGTCATTATAATTTCTAAGTATATTATAAACTTATATAATCATTATTAACTCATTCTTTTTTATAATTTTCAAGAATAATGATAGAGTTTCCTTATATTCTCATAATAATAGAAAAATAGATTATTTTTTGAAGTAATCCTTCATATAAGAGATTTCTAAGAATTTATACATAAATATTATTTATTCCCATCTAAAAGTGTGTATACACGCTTACATAATTATAAAATAGAATATTATTTTGTAGATAATTAATTTCTATTATTTAGTAAAAAGATAATAGAAATCTAAAATGCATGAACAAAAATGCAGATATTGAATATATCATAAAAATAAATGACTGATTTAAATTGTATTTTATTGATTACTCAAATAAAAAATATTTATAAATTTTTATTTGTTTTGCTATCACGATGTGGTATAGTTTCCAGAATAGTGATTTGCTTATTATTTTTATCTTTATTTTTGACCCAACCACAAATAAAATGACCCATAGTATCAAATATATACAAGTGGTTATCTTAAATTGTAAATTAATCTTTTCTTATGTATTTGTCTTCCTTTGGATAATAGATAAAATAAGGTTAATCCTTAAAAGGAGTTTCATCTTAAATGATCCTTTCTCTCTCTTAATTTTAAGTTTTTTCAAAAAGATCTTAATGAAATAATCCTACATGCCTGAAAATATACACATTTTCAAGCTATAAAGTTTTCATATAATCACTTAATTCATAATTGGCAACCCAATCTCGACAATATTCTTTAATTTTTTCAATGTTTTTATCCCATTTTTACTTTGCATATAATAATCTAGATTCGAAAACATATTTCATCATATCTCCTACAAAAGTTTTAACAAAATTCATATCTTTCAATTTAATAAGTCCTTCTTATATTCCATACTGTTAAAGAATTCTTATATTAGCAGATGCTGTGTATGCACAAATATGATCTGCTGTTGAATAGGTTTTGATTAATGAATTAAAGATTTCTGAAAATTAATCATAGACTATTATTTGTTTAATTACTAACTTTGTATTTTAGTCAATTCTTAAATTGAGAGTAGTTTCTGGATTTAAATTCATCATATCAAAATAATATATTATTTAATTATATTTTAAATATTAGACTTAAGTGTATAATTTTATGTATTTCATATTTATATTATATATAATACTTCAATAAGTAATAATAGAATTCTTAAAATAAATACTGTATATAATGTAAATAATTTCAATGTTAAGTTCTCTATGAACCTCCTCTAGTACGAACTTCTCCTTGTCTAATGACTCTCTCTTCTCTTTGTTAATCTTTTGTATCTTAATTTTTCTATAAATTTATAAAATATTTATTTACTTCTACATATTAATTCTTCACTCTTGGAGGTTAGCCATCTCTATCATTTCTATTACTTCTTATATTTCCTCTAGTCATTAGATTTCGTTAATTTTATGTTTATTAGAATTGATTTCTATCTTTATTCCAATTTTCTGATTTATCTGGATTAGCATAAGATTATTTTGTTTATTAATAATTTTTAGTATTTTCTTGTCTTCTATCAAATTTATCATCTTAATTAGATTTAATTTGCTTATAATTTCTGTGATCATTATCTTTTCCTTCTTTAGCCTTTCCTTTCCAATAATAAAGATTTCTAATGTACATCATTACATAATCAAAAAGTTCTATATTTTTATCATCTCCTACTTCATTTTATATTTGAAATCCAGGCATTAATTTTTCTTCTTCAGTAGGATTCATACTAAATTATATAATTAAATTTACGTCAAAGTAATTCGGATTGCTGGAATGAAAAGATGGAATGATTATTCTTTATTATCTTGATCTTAGATGTCTTTTTCCATGCTTTCAAATTATGTGATTGAATTAACACCTTTAATTCTTGATCTAATAATTTCAGCCACCAAAATAGCATGAGGAATGGCTGCACCAGATCCTAAAAGTTTAACAGATTTTTATGTATTTTCTTTATCTCTAAGACCTAATACTACTTTTACTAAATAAGAAGCTATTTGATCTTAAGTTGATTTGCCTTTAATCATGATATCAAATGGATCTTTCTACATTTAATTATTTAATCAATATTTATTCTTTAATTATATTATTCATAAATTAATATTAATTTTTTTATAAGGGTATAAACATTAAATATATTTGAATTTTAATCAATAATACCCACCATGAACATTTGTTAAATGTTAATGGCATTCAGTTGAATTATTAAACACTTTCATACATGCTTTACTACTATTTGGTAAATTTTTCCAACAAATATATTTTTTACAACTAGAACAAGCCACAGACATACAACCTGATATTTTTTATGCTAAAGATCTACAAACAGGACAAAAACGTATATCTTCTTTTTTCATTAATTCTTCCATAATTTTTTAATCACCTGTTTAATATTCCCAGCATGTCATTCCATAATGCATTTACACTTTACATTTTAAACAATAAGTGACTTTACAATTTTCACAATAGACTGTATCTCCTTTGACTCTTAAAATATTTGAACATCCTGGATTAAAACAGAATATCAAAAGTCCTCTCATATCATTTACATATTTGTTTATTGATAATTCTACTAATTTTTCATATTTAGCCAAACCTAAAATATTCTAAATATCTTCTAATAAAATTAGATTTTAACATAAAGAACATTTGATAGGTAAAGAATTAATATCTTTAATTGAATTTGAGAAATCATAATTTAAACAATCATTACAGAATTTATGATTACAATTTGTTAAAATATAAGGTTGTTTCATTTAATTCAAACAATAACAACAAGTATTATCTTAATTTATTGATTGATTTTCTATATTTTCATCTTTTGATTCTAAAAAAGCTTCTAAATATTAAATAGCTTCTTCTAAATTTTTAGCTTGTCCTGATAATTTTAATTAATTATTTTTCTTAATTGGAACTACATCAGTTAATTTAAATTTTTATTATAGAAACAATAATCCTTAATAATCATCTCCCAATAATTTTTTCAATTTTTAAGGAGTCAATCTGACTGTTATTGTTGAATTGGATTCTAAAAATGATTTTATTATATCTTATAATTCTTAAAATTGTTCATCCAAACAATAAACTTTAATAATTTTCTTAAATTAATCAAGACTTATTATAACACTCTTTTGAATTTCTAATTCTTAAATAAATTGTTATCCAACATCACTAAATAGAATAGTATTCAATTCTCCAAAATTAATTATATAACCATCTATTATATTCTAGATAGTATCTCTTACTTTAGAGAATACCATATAATTATCAGAAACTAAATGTAATTCAATTTCAGAACCTGAATTATCAACTTATTCAATTCTAAAAAGATTATTAAATTTCTATTATATTGATTTTATATTATTCCTAACAAACTTTATAAAATCTTATTTCACTTTATATTGATGTTTGTATTAAGCTTCACAATATAATTTAACTTATTATAATCCTAATTATATAAGTAAATTATTAAAATTAGTTAAAGCAGAATTAACAAAATTAATAGATGGTACTCCTAATTTTAATACTCTTTTGTAATCTTTTCTTTAATTTCTAATTCTATAGAGTTATTAATGTTTAAATCCTATATGATGTTTTCTATTTTCATCAAATAATAGTGACTCTACTTTTTAGAATATATCAAATTTAGGTTCATATAAAACAGATTTAGATATATTTATAGATTTTATTTTTGTACTTAATCTGAATAAATCTAATTCTGTAATATATTAAGTTAAATTAGAGATATGTACAATGTCATTATTAACTTACATAATCATTTTCTTACCATCTAAAATAGTATCATTATATTGATTATAGAATTCTTGGGCAGCCATTTCATTGTTGAAAGTAATTTCAGCATTACCTTTACAATGATATATAAACCATGAGAGTTTGATGATATAAGGATGAAACTTTTTATTTTATTCTTTTTTAATATAAGTAGATGAAACTTTTATAGTGCATCCCTAAAATTCAGTCTCATCAAGATCATTAATAATTTCAAGAGTTGCATCTTTATCCCTTAAATCTATTTATGCAGTTTAAGATATTTTATATGGAATTAAAGTGATTGTGTTGATTAAAGAATAAGGTTCAATTAAACTTCTGATTTCTGCCTCTTTAGTTTCTAAACTAAGTTAACTAATTTCTAATATGGAATTATTAGAATAATAACATTTATCAATAACTCCTCCATTAGATATAATAAATCTAATATTTGAATTTTGATATTCATATTCTTTTATTTATTAACTTAATTATTATTTGAATTTAGAAATAATGCTGAGTAATTCATCTTCAACTTATTTACTATTATCAGAATAGATGACAAGATTATTTATATTAAATGGTTCTATGATGCATTTATATTTGTGTTCTAATTTTGATATTTCAGATTCTTCATCATTCCACAATAAATTCATAACAGCAGTACAAATATTTTATACTATATGTTCCTAAACTGAAATCTTCCTGAACTTATTTTCTGCTACTGCTGAATAAAGTACTTAATTTTCCTTAATTCCTAATATATATTATGGAAGATTAATAATCTTAAAAATTTTCTATAAGGAATATTTGTGCATTTTATAATCTCTAGAAATAGGAAATAATTATTCTAATTAATATTCATTATCAGTTTAGAAACCATCAATACTACTTGATTATTTCTTTAAATTCAATTATTGTAATCCATCTAAAACATCAAGATCATCAATTTCATACAGAGAAGAGAAATATTTAAGTTTTGCAATTATTAATAAAGCTTTAATTAAATTGATTTTGTTATCATTACAGAATTTTTTAATAATACTTGAAATCTTTTCATCTTCACATGAATTCAACAATATAATAATTTACATTATTATATTATACCATGAATGATAATCTCCTTATTTAGACCAATATGAACTAGTTTTGATACTTAATTATTTTTGTAAACTCTATTTATCAAATATTTATAATAATTAACCAGATGTAAATAAAGCAGCAATCATAATTCCAAATTTCTATAAATGTTTACAATCTTCTTATTTACTTAGATTACACAACAATTTTTCAAAATTATCACTCTCCAAATCAATATTTGATGATTTTTAAGCTTACATTGCTAATTATAGATATTATTATTCAGAAAAGGCATAATAAATCATAATTCCTTCACTATTAGATTTAGAGATTTCTCGAACTTACAAATCAACTTGACTCAAGATTTAATATGAATATTCAATTGTGTTATCATCCCTTCTTTTTATAATTTCTCTTTAATTTGTATGGATTATCAATGTTATATTATAGGATTCTAATTATTAAGGTTCCATTAATAAAAATACAGTGTTTGAGTAATTAGGTTAATGCATAACTCTATTGAATAATTAATTGAATTCATTATCAATCTTAACTATAACTCTTATTTAACTTTACTCAAATAAAACTCTAAGATATTCAATCTCATTAGCATCCATACAATATATCAAAATATCTCTTTCTTCATTTATTTATGAAATAACTGTCTTATGAATCAATTATAGTTTTTATTCTTAAGTATTATAATCACTCAAAAATCTCCTTTACTCTATTGGTAAAACAGGAGTCTAAATTTCTACCACTTGAAATCCATTAGTCTTAATTTAATCAATCAAAGCTGGATTAATAATAAGAATATCGTATTTATAATCTACATTGCTAATCTAAGAACAATATTTATAATTTTATTTGGTAAACTATTCAGGTATTTATTTCTCTATGTCAATGTTACTATAATCAATAACAATGGTTTTCCTCTCAAAATTATATCTATTCACATTATCATGAAAATTTTTCTATTGGGATGCATACTTTATCCTCACTTATCCTTGTCTAGTTAAAAACATTAATTTTATTCTTTAATAAGGGATTTTAAAAAAATAGCTTAAGAAGTATTTAGATACTAAAAATTAATTCAGAAAAGATCCTACAATACTTATACTACCTTTAGAAGCAAGTTTTAACTACTAAATTCTGATTTAAATATTACCTTAATATGAGTCAGGATCTGTTTGTCTTTAAGAATTTATCAACTTATTTGAATGCATAACAACCTTTAATCTTTTTAAAATATATGATGGGATAGAACAATCAATGAGAGATTATATAGCAAAGAAATAGAACAGAATAGTAATTCATTTCAAGTGTTATTATAACTTATTGTAATAAAAAAGAGAAATCTGATTAAAAATTAATATTAATTGAAGAAATAGAAAAAAATTAATTAGGAAGAGATCAAGAATCAGAAGTAACAGATTAAAACAAATGAAATAAACAAGAAAATGATTAATGTGAAGATTGAATAAAATAGGGTACTTTAAAATAAAATGGTTTTAAATATGAAACATAATAATTGAAGTAAGTTTGAATAATAAAAATAAAAAAGAATACATAGAATAAGAAGATTAAAATAATGATACTTTATTCCATTTTGATACCATCCTTTTATTTAATTTTCTTAACAATTTTTATACATCCAACAGATTTGAACACATTATTTTGAGTTGACTTATACACTTTTATTTAATATGAAAGAAGGAACTGAATAAACATAAATTATATAAGAATATTTTTGCTTATTAAATTAATTGCAAGAATTTTTAAATTTATTTAAATCTTCTTCATATATTAATATTAATAATAAATTAAAAATGAGAGAAAAGTGGCGAAAGAAGAGAATGCGAAGACTTAAGAGAAAGAGACGTAAGGCACGCAAGTGATTTAAATTATTTGCACAAAATCTAGATATATATATGTTTCATATCTCTTTTTCACATTATGATACAACATCCATCATCCCCTTATTATTTATCTCTCATAGGGTTTACTTTGTAATCCTTTATGGTATAATTTGAATTGAATTCATTAATTTTTTAATGAACTGGATGACTCTCAGTTGTTAATTCAAAATGTTTATTTCTTATTTCTGATATTTGATCATGAAGTGGCACTTACTTTGATTTATTGATTAGAGCAATGAAATTATGTTGAATATAACAAATGACTACTATTAAATCTTTTATTGCATATTTTCCACTCAATAATTATAATTCAGGGATTTATGATTTATTCACATACTCTTCAATTTAATCTTTTAAAAACTTGTTTTAGTATTTAAAGGCATGTGATTATATTTATTATGATTCTTTTGTAAAATCAATTTGATCAGCACACTTTTGAGCACATAATGCAATTATCAATTATATATTANCAAATACATTGCTGTTATGGATTATTCAAAGAAGTTTATTATGAAGGGTCAGAAAAAGCAAAATAAATAGAAACTGGAGTAATAAGAAAATGAATTAATTGATGAAGTAGAAAAAGTTAATTTGGATGATCAAGAATAGGAAGATACAGATTAAAACGTATAAATTAAGGAAGGAAATGTTTAAGGTGATGATTGTATTGAAGTTGGTACTGTAGAATCGAATGATTTTTAATAAGAATAAGAATAATAGTAGAAAGAAGAAGACTAATTAGAATAATAAGATGAATAATAATAAGAATAATAATTAGAATAAGATGAATCAAATAATGATAAATAAACTCAAAATAAAGTGGTTAAACCTGCTGGATGTATAAAAATTATTAAGAAAATTAAATAAATTACTCAAAATGGAGTCAAAATGAAATAGATTACATATGTTTTTAAAATGAAAGATGGAACTGAATAAACATAAATTATATTAGAATGATTTTGTTTATTAAATTAATTGTGAGAATTTTTAAATTTATTTAAATCTTCTTTATATATTAATATTAAAAATAAATTAAAAATGAGAGAAAAGTGGAGAAAGAAGAGAATGCGAAGACTCAAGAGAAAGAGACGTAAGGCACGCAAGTGATTTAAATTATTTGCACATAATCTAGATATATATGTTTCATATCTCTTTTTCACATTATTGTACAACATCCATCATCCCCTTATTATTTGTCTCTCATAGGGTTTACTTTGTAATCCTTTATTGTATAATTTGAATTGAATTCATTAATTTTTTAATGAACTGGATGACTCTCAGTTGTTAATTCAAAATGTTTATTTCTTATTTCTGATATTTGATCATGAAGTGGCACTTACTTTGATTTATTGATTAGAGCAATGAAATTATGTTGAATATAACAAATGACTACTATTACATCTTTTATTGCATATTTTCCACTCAATAATTATAATTCAGGGATTTATGATTTATTCACATACTCTTCAATTTAATCTTTTAAAAACTTGTTTTAGTATTTAAAGGCATGTGATTATATTTATTATGATTCTTTTGTAAAATCAATTTGATCAGCACACTTTTGAGCACATAATGCAATTATCAATTATATATTATTATCACATTTATTTGTTAATTAATTTTCTTTTATTACTTTTAACACAGATTTCATTCTATTATCATACTTAATCATTTTAATCATTGTGAATGAATTATCAATTATATCATCTAATATAACAAAACTATTTCCCAAAGATAACATTTTATATATATCTTCATTTTTATTAATTTTATCATTCTACACTTCTCCATAAGAATTCAAATGATTAATCATTAAATTGTAGAATACTAAAGAGTAATTATATTTATTCTAATCATTTTATTGTTTTTCTTAATTCCATTATTAAACTTAATTAATTAGATTTTCTTTGTTTATTGAATCCCAAATCTTCTATTCCTCAATTGAACACTCCTAAAATGTTTTATTATTTAGTTATTATTCATAAAATTATGTTTGTTATTTTTATTATATTTCTGACATTTACTTATATAAAATTTTCAATTTCTTTAATATATCTTCAGTAGAATCAACTTTAACATGACATATTGGATTCATTATACAATTTATCTTTTCATCACATAATTCCTCTTTTTATTTACACAACTATTCAAATTCCTATTTCTATTTATCCAAATTTTATCCATGTGAAATGACTTTCTGAATCACTCCTCCTCTATTTTCAAATTCCTAATTCAATTTTATTAAATCCTAACAATTATGAACAACTATAGGATTTATAGTTGCTTTATACATTTTCTTATGAATCACAATATCACTCAATTATTAAATCAAATCATAAATATCACTATTCTCTTTAATAATTTAAGCTTTACCTATAAATGATTAAATACTAAATTTATCAATCTACAAAATCTAATCATACAATTTCAATGCTTCTTCTTTTCTATCCAACTATCTCATACATAAAGCTTTCTATCTAAGAGCAAATACATTCTAATCATCTTTAATCAAATTGCATATCTAAATTGATTCTTCATACTTTTTTTAATCATACAAAATACTAGCTTTGACTATAAATAAGGGAGGCAATTAATCATCAATTATTAAACCTTATTCAATAGTTTTTAATGCTTCTTCATACTTTTATTAAGCTCTAAGAACTTTTGCTTTAGATGCATAAGCCATTACATATCTATTATTAATAGATTATTCAAACAATTAAATTGCTTAATCAAATTTATTTAATCTAAACAAGACTTTTCCTCTATACCATGTAATAACATAATTATCTGGATCTGATTTTTATACACCATCTAATAATTTTAGGATCTCATCCTATCTTTATTCTAGAATAGCCTTATTAATCTTAGCATAGAGACAATTAGGATTGACTTTCAATGATTCATTAAACCATGTATTTGCTTATACACTATTTCCTTTCATAATGTATGCTTAACCCAATAATACATAATATTAACATCCATGAGTACTCTTCTCTAATTCCTTAATGGCTTTGTCTGGTTAATTTTATTGAATAAATATCCAAGCTCTATTTGCATGACATTATTATTTGAATTCATCAATGTGATTTAAAACTTATAAAGATAGTTCAAGACATTCTTTATATTTCATCTGATCTTTTTTAATCAAACTTAAGAAATATTAACAAGTCCAGTATTAATGATTCTATTCAATACAATAATTAAATAAATGTTCTGATTATTTTAAGTCATTCAAATAATATTTACAAATAGCATCGAAATATTCCAATTGAACACAATCTCTTACTTATTTAATTTATTATATTAAATCTACTGCTCTTTAAATTTCCTTACCTTTAGGTTTACATGAGTATTCTCCCCAAGCATATGCAATTGAATTTTCAGAATGAATGATCAAGTATTTAACTAATGCCTATTTAGCACACATATTATAAGGATCATTTTTGATAAGTTATTCCAACAATAATATGCAATCATATTTGGCATCTTATGTACCCTTTTCAACTTTAGCATAAAAACAATTAGTATTTAATTTTAATGCTTCTTTTAACCATGTATCTGCTTAAACCTTATTTCCTTTTTAATAATATAGTCTACTAATTAATGTATAATTTTGAGCATTAGGTTGAACATACTCTAATTCTTTTAAAGCTTAATCCAATTCATTTAATTCAATATACATAACTACTCTCCAAAAATGACAGTCATCTTTTAATTATCCTGTAACATCTTAACTTAATTTCTTGAATTCTAAGACAGCTTCTTTGTATTTGAATTAATCTTTATGAATTAAAGCAATATAAAATTTAGAATCAAAGATTCTATAATTATTTTGAATACATTATTCAAAAGTAGCTAATGCTTCAATATTCTTATAATTAAAATAAAGGATTAATGCTTATAGATATTAAGTTGAATTGCATTTAGGTAATTTTTCAACATATTCTTATAATTTATTCATAAACTCTCCTCTTGGTCTACAAGCATATTCTCCCATCGACTTCATAACTTAAGTACTTCCTTTAATGATTAATGCATTAATATGTTCTCTAATTAATCTAGAATTAGTTGGATCTTTTTCTAAAAATTATGTGATAACTTTAATTTATTGATCAATATTATCATTTTTAGCCTGATTATTTAATGCATAATAGCAACCTTAATTAATTTTCAATGCTTCTTTCATCCATTATATTCCTTATTGTTATTAGTTCAATTTGAAATAACATTCTGACAACAAGGCATAGCAATAACTATTCTCTCCTGCATGTTCTAAAATTTTAGTAGCTTTTTAGTATTGATTTAAGTTAATATAACATTCAGCTATGACCTAAAGTTTGTGTTTCTGGTCATCTTTATTTTCAAGATCACCCAGAGAATTGAATATTTTGAGTGCCTCTTCGTATTCTTAAAGCTCTAATTATCGAAGTCCAAAATAGAACTTCTGTTCATCTGAACCTCCTAATTTGACATCTTTATCTAAAAAAAAATCTAGAATAGTTTATATTAACTCTTTGTCTTAGCCTGAAAGTTCATTTGAGAGTGTTTACACTTTTAAGAGTAGATCTGAAGAGGACTTAGAAATGCATGATCCCATTGGTATTGGACTCTTCATTTAGTGTAATTTGATGAGAGTCTTACACTCAATAAGTTTGTTTGGCTAGGAGTTCAAGTGTTGAAGCACTTGTTCATAATTTCCATTTTTATAAGATTCTATAGGCAAATCCATTAAAATTTTAATAATGATGTAATCGACAAATGGGATATAGTATTTAAATAATAAAATTGTATTGTTTATATTTTGAGGGGGATTTAAATAGTAAAGAGTTGGAAATCCCTAAAAAATTAATAATTACATCTTTAATGTTAATATAATGATTAAGGGTATTGAATTTTATAAAAGTATCATTTTTGAAAAGTGAAATTATTATCTTTGGATGTGCAAATAATAAATGGGATCAATTATTTAAGCAAGATTACTGTCAAGATAAAATATATAAGTTATAATCCTTTGTACTAAAGTCGATAAGATCCTTTATTTATGGAATGGAACATGACAAGAGAAGAGAAAAACTTCTATTTAAAATAAAAATTATAGGCTATTTATTACATAAAGTAAAAAAGAGTGAAAAACAAAAGATTAAAGTAAATAACACATAAGATAAAATTATAAATAAAATTATTTCTAAAAAATAAAAGTATAATTTAAAAGTAAGTTAATCGAATAGTTTAAATTAAATGATTAAAGGAATCCTTCATTTTTGAAGTTGAATTCTTTATAAAAATATTATGAGAATAATAAATTAAAACTATTTTTATAATTAAAGCAAGATATCATGAAAATAATTATTAATCACTAAAAGAATCTGATGATATATTGATTGATCTAATTATTTATATATATATAATAATAATTACTTCAATAATTCTTTAATTTAATTCGTAATAGTTTTAAGATGCAAGAAATGGGAAGTACTCTTTATTTGACATTATTGATAATTATATCAATATTATCATTGATTGGATGCTTTGTGTTATTAATTGATTATTTTCAACAAAAATAAAATGCCAACCTTGCAGCAAAATTATTAGTAATATTGTCAATAAGTGATGCAATTTATGTCGTCGCTGTTGTCACTAATCCTACTCCATGTAACCAATGAAATATAAATTAGAGACTGATGGAGCCTTTTGTGTAATTTAGGCTCTATTTAAGTAGTCGTCAAGTCTTTCTACATTCATTGTTAATTTTTTCTTTTGTTTAACTACATATCTCACGATAGTAGAAAACATAGATATTACAGATGATAAATATCATAAATACAAAAGGAATGCTAAAATATTTTCAATTTTATTTCCTTTTTTGATAGCTCTTATTCCTATTACTTATAATGGATATGGAATATAATATTATGCATGTAGTTTTAAAACTCAAAATGCTTATTGGATAGGAGAATTACTATTGTTCTTCCTTCCATTTGGATTGCTTTTTGGATCAAGTTTATATTTCCTTTTAAGAATACAAGGCTTTCTTAAAGAAATCTAAAAAAATAAATTAGGACATGATGATTTTATAATAAATAGAAGAACTTTAATGTCACAAAATAGTCAAATTACTGTTGGAGAACAATATACAAAATTCCTATTTTATTACACCCTTGTTCATCTTTTCTGCTGGCTTCCTATTATTGTGAGTTCTATTCTTGATATTATATTAGAAAGAGATTTCTTTTGGTTTGGAGGAATAAGTTATATATTGGCATGTTCATAAGGGTTTCTAGATTTTGTTTTATTTATGATTAGCAAAAGGGTTTCCTCTCAATCCTAGGTTTACGAAAGGAATAATAGCTTTTTAACCGCAGATCCTATAGATATATATAGAGGATCCGTTGTATACAATTCAAGTTTATGATTTTATGTTATGTTGTAAATTAAGTATTTATTAAACTAAAACAATTTAATTATTAATTTGAATAATAAAAATAGATGTTTTGAACTGATATTATAAGAGTTCAATAAAAAGATGTTAAGAATAATAGAAGTTTTGCAACTATTATACTATAAATAATTCATAAATTTATAAAAATTTATAAATTATTCATTTTCACTATCAATTTCAGAAAAAAATTGAGATAATAAATCTTATCTTTTTGATTTTGAATTGATTATAAGAAATTAAAATTTGGATTCAAAGAATTGAAATAGATGATGTGATATTTCATTATAGATAATCAATAATTAAGGTTATTTATATGTTTAAAATAAAGTAAAATATTCCAATCTTATAAAAAAACATGATGTCTATGATGTAATCATTAGATATTATAGATATTTAGTAGTTTTTGAAGAGATGGATTAAAAATTAATCAAAATTGATAAATAGTTATATTATTTCATTTTATGTTAATTGATGCATTCAATATAATAATCAAAAAATTTTAAGAATCTTTTTATTATTGAAATTGTAAATTAGTAAATTTTAACGAAATAAAAAATATTCAAAATTTTCAAAGATTTTCATGGCAGACTTCTTTACTTTACAAGTAGTTTATGATTTTCAATCCTAATAGAAATTGATTCCTATTCATCGACGTAATCATCTTCTAAATCATATACTGTTGAATCTAATTTAAAATTATGATTGTCTAGAATTTCTTAGATTGTTTTATCCCTTACATTAATTGCTTTAATATATAATCATTTATACTTATAGCAGCTAGATTCTCTGAAGAATCACCAATGCTTCTTAAGCTTTTATTAACCCATAGTGGAGTATTGCTAAACAAAAACTCTTTTTACCCTTTAAGATTTTATGGAATTCTGTTTATTGATATAGCATGAAGTGAAATATTATTATTATCAACTTTAAACCAAGGATGTTTAATTGCTGCTTCTGCAGTGAGTCGTTAATTTGAATTTATATTCAACATTTATCTACATAAATTTTTTGCATCCTAACTTACATGACAAGATTCAAGTTTGTAGTCATCTATCTTACCATAAGTATTATTTTATAAAACTTCTTAAGTACTTGATCCTTTAAATGCTTACTCCCCAGTTAATAATAAGAACATTACAATTCCTAAAGAATATATATCAACCTTAAAATCATAATGTTTATCTTGTAATATTTCAGGAGCTACATAACCTAATGAACCACATCTTTTAAATAAATATTATGCGTCCTTTTAATAATAATCTGCTAATCCAAAATCTGCTAGTACAATATTAGAAATATCATTTTCTTCTTTTAAAATTAAATTTTCTGGTTTAATATCTCTATGTATAATTTTTCTCTCATGTATATAAACCAAAGCATCTAATAAATTGTAAACTAGTTTTCTTACTAGAGATTCATCATATACTTTAATTTGTTTCTCAATATGTGATATTAAATCACCACCATTCAAAAGATCAATTACAACATAAACTTTATAATTATCTTCATATACTTCACGTAACTTAATAATATGTTTATGATTCATTTATCTCATAATATGAACTTCTTTCCATAAACTTTTCTTAAAAATTATATAAAATTATATACTTAATTTTCTTCTTCGTTTTCCTTCATTTTCATTTTATTAAATATTTTTACTGCATAAATTTTTTAATTTTCTATTTATTTGATTTTGAAAACTTTTGCAAATGATCCTCTACCCATCAACTACATAATCTAATAGTAATTCTCAAAATTATCTTAAATTGTATATAATTTACAATAGTTATATATTTCATTAACCAAATGCACTGAACCTATTATTTCAAAAGAATCGAAATTATTATTGAATTTCAGAAATGCCATACTTTATTATTAGTTTTATTGTAAAATCACCTTTTTCATTTAAATATTTTCTAAGTTTACAAACTTTTAATCCACTACTAAGTATTTATTTTGTAGATAAGCAAATTTAAATTAAAGAATATTTTTTTGACCATCTTTGATTTTAACACCATTTAATGTTACCAATTAAGAGCCATACTATATTTAGGGATAACCTTTTTTCCATAAAGTATCCAATCTATTGGTATGACTACTAAAACACGAGTCAGATTTTTATCTCATTTTTATTAATAAATAATTATTATCAATTAGATTTTAATATTAATAGGAGTTTGTTATTATTCATTTAAAATTAATCGTTGCCTAGTTAATTCTTTTCTAAAACTCAATAAACGTTAATTATATAAAAACAAAAATTTATTTTTCATTCATTTTTTTATATATTTTAAATTTCATGTCATATTAAATTAATAATGAGTTTATTTTACATTTTATATCTAATCTAATATAGGCTGTTAATTATTTCAAACTATTTTAGCTATGAATAATTTTTAAATAAACTACTAATAAATTTGATGATATTAAAATCTCACAATGTTATCGATTATCAAATTGTAATAACTAAATCTAATCTTTGGTCTCCTAAAAAATTACATTTTACAATAATTTATAATTTCTATATTAATAATATATAATTCAGTTTCAATGAATAAGTATGAAGTTAAAGGTGTAGTAGGTGAGGGAGCTTATGGGATTGTGTTAAAATGTGAAAATAAAGAGAATAACCAGATTGGTAGATGGATTTAATATTATTAGTTGCAATAAAGAAGTTCAAAGAGACAGAGGATAATGAGATTGTAAAAAAAAGTATATAGAGAGAAGTAAAGATGTTAAGATAATTGAAACATCCAAATATTATTGATTTATTCGAAGCATTCAAAAGGTATTTTTATCAATGATTTAAAAGAAAAGGAAGAATCTATTTAGTTTTTGAGTATGTCGAAAAGAATTTACTTGAAGTTTTACAAGCATCCCCTAATGGTTTAGATGTATTATATTTAATATTGTAAGTAAGGATACCTTAAGAAAATAGCTTTTTAATTGTTGAAGGCTATGGAATTTATTCATTACCATGATATTGTTCATAGAGATATCAAACCTGAAAATATTCTAATTGATAATGAAAATAACTTAAAACTTATAGATTTTGGATTTGCCAGAGTAAAGTTTTAAGTTAATTTATTGTAGAGTCTCAATATACCAGATACTTTAACAGATTATGTTGCAACAAGATGGTATAGATCTCCTGAACTTCTATTGAATTATCAAACCTATGGAAAAGGAGTAGATTTATGGGCTATAGGTTGTTTACTTTGTGAACTTACAGATGGTGAACCTATGTTTCCAGGAGAAAATGAAACTGATTAATTGTATTTGATCTAAAAGACTCTTGGTCCTTTAACACAGGAACAAATGGAAATATTTTAAAAGAATCCAAGATTTCTAGGAATGAAATTTCCTGAAATTGGTAAACCTGAGACTATAGAAAGAAGGTATTTATAATATAATAATAATTATAATAGATATCTAGGTAAATTACCTTAAAAGGCAATTGGATTGATGAAAGGATTATTGAGAATGGATCCTAAAGAACGTTTCACTTGTCTGGATGCATTAAAACATCCCTATTTTTCTGATTATCCAGAAGCATAAGAATATCTTAAACAAGTAGAGAATAGATAGAATAAAGTTTAAAATGATGTAAATCAAAAAAGAGATTCTGTTTTGAGTTAATAGAAATAACAAATTCAAATAGGACACAATAATTAAATAAGAGCAAAAGTAATTGATTTTATAATAGTAGAACATTAAACCAGTTCCTAATTTTTTGAGTAACCATGTTTTAATGTAGAGTACTGCTTATAATTATAAGATATCTGATTAACATACTGCTGAAAGAGAGTTACCAAATATGAAGAAGACTACTTCAGTAGATAAATTACCATAAACATAATATAATGGATTTAGTATTGGGAATGGTTTCTCATTTGCACCATCCAAAAATTAATAATTAAAAGCAACTCAACCTTTAAAACAATCTTAACCTTAAATAAAAATATAAAATTTAAACATTATTTATAATACCAATACTTATAATTACTAATAATAACAATAGCCTCAATAATAATAACGAAAAATAATAAAGAAAAAAAATTGATTAATTTAAAATTTCATTGAAACTAACTAATTAAACTTAAAATTCATTATAAGTTATAAAAAATCATTCCAAACCAAATTATCCTTCTAATGCTTCATGAATAGTTGCCTTTAAAAACATTTCCATTGTTTCTAATTCTTAATATCTAATTAATTTTATTACCAAATATATTTACTTAGGTAATTCTAATCTATTAAAACATGTATGAGCCTTAGGATAAGGATTTTCTTTATCAAAATTACTGGCTTAAATACAAAAGTATGAAATTTCTCCTCTATTACTTTCAAGTTTGCTATCATTATAGATATTTATGATTACCTAAATCCTTCAACAGGAACTCTAGTTGAACCAGTACAAAATCTCAAAAATTAAGATAGTTCATCTTAATTCCAATTACTCAAGATTTACCAAAACCATTAAATAAAGTAATCTTCTGCAGAACATTCTTTATATATTGTATATTTGGACCAATCTTAAAGATCAATAAAAGGAAGTCCAAATAATATCATTTCTAATTCTTATGGTTTGAATATTCTTAATAAAGATTTTGGAATAACTTAATAGAATCCTGTCAGAAAATCAGATAAATAAGGTTCTAAAAACTATTGAGTGTAGTAGAATATACTATTATGTTTATATAATTAAGATACTTTAAATTAACATATTCCTCAACATTGGAATTTGTAACTTTGATTTCACATCCATTCTCTTTTAAATTGATTGTCTTACCAATATATTCTAATTAAAAATATAAGTCTAATTAATCAATATTATTATTTAATAAATATTACCAAGAATAAAATAACTAAAGAATATATTATATAAATACATCTTCATCAAAATATTTGATATCTTCTAAGATTACTTTTTATCTTAAGATATGTTTAATAATTGTACGATCTAAAAAAGAACTAAGTGGAATTCTTTCAAAAAGACATTTACCAACTATGATTCCTAAAAAAGAGAAAAGTTATCGTTTATCAAGAGTATTTGATTAAATATTTGTATTAAATTTATATGTAAGTTCTTTTGTTTCTGTTTTTTATAAATATCCCTATTAAACTAATTATTAAAGAATAGAAGTAGACCATTCTCTTAGCAAACCTCCTGCATCTTAAACTTTTTGATCTTCCTGAAATTTAATTTTTAATTCCCCATGTAAAAGACGAGATTTTAATTTCATTATGCTCTCTACAGAAGATTCTAGCAAATTATTTTAAGAAACTGACAGAATTGTGCATCCATTCTAATGTATTTGTTGTCAAAATTACTTGCCAAGGAATTCTAAGTTTTTCTAATTTAGCTCTGAACCAAACTTGTTTTTAACCAAAAGGTTCTAGTTATATTTTCTTTGTTATTTAACGTAGTTACCTATTCATTGATTTAGAGACTAGGGTTGTATTCTTTTAAGACCCATTAAAATCCTTATTCAATTTAAACCTTTTCCCAATATTTAATTCCTCTATAATCTTCTATTTTATTTATATTTTATTATGAAGACAATAGGCAATTATCTAAATGATCATTAAACTTCAAATTAAATTTGTATATTATTACAGCATGATTTGTTGTATAAGATGGAAATACTTATTAACACTTTGGACACTCAACTTCTCTTCCAAGAGTTGTTTGACTTGGAGGTTTAATAGAACAGCAACACCCCATAAGATTAAATTATAAACTATAAAAATAATATCATTAATTTTCAGCTTATTGTTATAATTCTTATCTTAAAGCTTCAATATTTAAAAAGTTTATCCCTCTTTTTTTATTTATTAAAGTTCTTGCCTTATTCTATAAATAAATAATGGCTGTCATTTATCCACTATTATATGGAGTCTTTACAAATTAACGATAATAATCATGATTAAATTCATTTTCTTATTAATTTTTCTTTTCTAAGCTATAAAATAATAATAGTAATTACTCCTTCACTCCATATTTTAATTCAACACTAATCTTAGTAAGAGACACAATTACGTCATGAAACAAATATCCCATTAAACCATTCTTTTCCTCATATAAAGGTATGTTAAGTGCCTTTAAAAAGTTCTTCTTATTTGCTGGGTTCAACAAATCCTTTCCACTAACTCCAAAACAAATAGCTATTTAAGAAGAAAGCCTCCAAAATTATTTATAATTTAAAAACCCTGATCCATATGGATCATATTCTACCCAATAAGATAATACATCATTCAATTAGTATTTTGATATAGCATTCTGTTCCTATTTAGCATGTTCTTCATAAGCTCCTAAAATAGAAGCAATGAATAAATTAAGTAAAACCAAAGAAAATATCAAATGAAATGTTATAAAGTAAACATAAGCAATATTAGTACCACATCCATTATAACCATATACTAAAAAATCTTAGTAATCATCAATCTCTATACAGGCAAAATCAGGACTTCGAGTATGTAATGCATCTACCAATAATTCCCACCATAATTCTGAACTTGCAACTCTAACTAATGAAAACATTGCAGTTGTAAATTTTCTAAAATGTACATCAAAATCATCAATATATTTCTATGGTCTTAAATAACAAAACATATCAATTCCAAGACTCGTATAGATGAACAGAAATACAAACATAATATATAACATAGATAATGCATTAGGTATTACAGAGAATATTGAATGAAATAATCTTTCTATTCGATTGAAACGTCTTTAATTATATAATTTAATTTTTACTTAATAATTCTAAAATTTCTTAACATTTATATTGATACTGAAAAAGCCTTAAAACAACGCAAAAAATAAAATTCTCCAATACCATTTAAATCTATTATCTTTTCAGCTAAACATATCCAAATTCCAAATATTTCTATTATATTTATTAACTCTTTAAAATAGATTTTAAATTCTTTGGCTATAAATCTAGAAACAATTTCAAAAATAAAAATTAGAATACAAATTAAATTAATAATTTCCAAACTATTTTTATATTGAATTCCTTGATTAACATAACAAAGACTTAAAGATAAAGTATTTATAAAAATAACTACCAAGTATATTTTCTTTAAAAATTAATTCTTTACTAAAAAGAATGCTATCTTTCTAATAAATGTCTTTGGTTTTCTTGACTTTACTTTTGGTTATAATTTATGAATTGATTTTTTAATATCACACCATTCTCTTTGATTACCTTCCAATTCATAAGTACCTTCAGCTTTCAATTTAGATTCATCATAAGTGCTTACTACTAACCCTATAAACATATTAAGCATGCATGTATTTCCAATAAAAAAGAATACCTAAAAGTAAATCGCCCAATACCTATTATAATTTTCTTCAGGAGTTTGATTCTCTCCTCTTATTGACCATATTTATTCCATAATTGGTGACCAACCTTCTGATGTTACTATTACAAATAGAGTCAATGCACTATCCAATATATTATCAAAACCTAATCTATGTTTCTACCATGAACCTCCATAATCCATACAATCAATATTAGAATGAACTTGATATTCTTCTTGATCTACTTCTGTGCAATAATAATTATATCCTTTTAAAAGTTTCATTGCAAATGTTCCATATACTAAAAAAAGAATAAAGCAAAATATGCTTAATTAAACCATCTTGACTAATGCATTAATCAAAGCTATTTAGGCATATTTGATACTATGATTAATTTCAGCCCCTAATTTTATAAATTCAAAAACTCTAAGACTTGATATAAAATTAATAACATGATTTCGAATAGATGTTGTTACTACAACAATTTCAATAACAGTTATTACAAAATTTAAAACATTATAAAAGGATTATGTTAAAAAAGCATTTTAATTTCCATATAGTCCATGTGCTATAATATGAAGAAATATAAAAAGACAATATAAGCTTGTTATTATTATGTATAATATGTCTAAACTTAAATATAGCTGAGAATGAGGATCTAATAATGGAGTTACTAACATAGTTCTAACAGCAGATAATCCAACAGCAATAAATCCCAATATTTTAAATATTCTCGAATTTATTATCATCTGTACATGCAAGCGAAATTAATTATCCACATTAAATACATACAATGTCTTCATCACTTAAACTTTCGTTTAAATTTATTGTTAACTGGTTACAATATTTTAATCAACTTAAATACTTAAATCTCTTGATCTTTATAAAATTGCTTATGGTTGATGCAATAATTCATCATTCTCATTTTCATTAAATTAAGGTTTGTTTGTATTTAATTATTAATCTTTTAAAAAATCTAAATTATCCAATTCCAATTATGATTTCTATGGCACTATTATTTTTGTAATTTTTTTATTTAATTTCAAATTTCTTAGGATACCTTATCTTACATTTTATATTAAGGATTTATTACCTGGAAAATTAGATATACCCCTTGTTAATTAATGAGTTGATCTTAATTAACTTGAAGACTAAAACTATATATAATTATTTAATACTGTAAATTATTTAAATGTTGTCATTAAATCTATGGCAGCCTACTTATATTCAATTGGTTTAACATTCTATTCTTGGATTTTAACTTATTTAGTAAATTCATTTAAGAACACTGCTGATAATAATTTAATGAATATGACTTATCCTAATAATATAGATATTATATGGTAAATAAATGAAATAGGAGTGACTCTCCCATATCTATACATAGTTAGATGCCATTCTTCATTATAGAATATACTAAATGCTGCCATTAATGAATTACTAAAATCATTATAATGAATTGGAGTTTCATGATCAGATAATTATTATTTCAATAAGGCATTACCTACTAATGCTATAAATATAGCAAAGATAATCCATAAAGAAATTATTGATTTCAATTTAGCTATTGTTTGAATTGCTGCTCGAGTCAAAATACTAATATGATAAAAGATTTTAGCTGAATATGAAAATTTTATAATTCTTATCAACTTTATAGCCTTGAATACTTATATAATTCTATTTTGATTTATAATAACATTTTCATCCAAAATATACAGAATACAAAATAAAATTAATTAAGATATTATTGCAATAAAGTCTAGATAATTTACTGGTTTTTTAAAATAGTTCTTTATTCCTTTTGCAAAAAAGAAAATTAACAATTCAAAATAAAAATAAAGTGTACAAACAAACTCTATGATTTGTAATTTAATAAGCATGGTTTCATCTATACCATCATAATCTATAACAATTGATAAAGTACATAAAATAATTATAAGGTTATTAATAAATGCAAAGTAAATTGATTAAGATAATTCATTAGAAATATTAGTTAATGAGATTCCTTTTTTAAAACCAATTTATTAATGATCTTAAAAGAAAAGTGTAAAATTTGCATTTTATATTTATTCCTATTTCATACTTTTTCTTTTTTTACTCATAAGTGCAAGTCTATCAGTCATTTATTATTATTTTTTTTGATTGATTTCAGTCTCAATTTATTATTATTATTTCTTAACTTTTTAATGTGAATTTTTTATAGAAGATTTAACAATAAAAGATTCATAAAAAGTAGCAAGCAATAAATTTGAAAAGATAAAGGCTAAAAAAACTAATACTAAAAGAAAGAAACCAGCTGTAAAATATGTAGTCATAGCTTTCCAAAACTAAAACATAATCATAATAATAATTACCATATAATTAGTTTCTGACCATCCAATTAAACAAAAATAAGTAAAAATTACTAATAAAGAATTAGGTAAATTGTCAAATCTTAAAAAATTCCACATAAACTCTTCAGAATCATTTTCTTTATGATCCCATTCTAAACCATATTGATATGGACTCCCACATGTTAAGTGTTCAGGACATTCATAAATACCACATAAATATGGTACTTCTTCTGAAGCTTCCCATATGCCATCTTCAGGTTCAGGAGTTATTCTACATCTCATTGTTGTTAATCCCATAAAAAAATGTAATCCTATTACACTAAAGTAAAGCAAAAAAAAAATAAAAGGTATAATAACTATTCCTAATTTAGAAAAACTACTAATATATGCTTCCAATTAGATCTTTAGAGGTGATATTTCTTCAGACAATCTAATGACTCGTAATAATCTAATTGCCTTAAAAACTGTTAAGACAATATGATCAATATCAATTAGTATTAACCAACCAAAAATAAAGGATATAAAATGAATACAATTCCACTTATCTTTAAGATATGTATTTTCTTCAAATAACAACCCTTAAGAAATAACCCTCAGAATTATTTCAATCCCAAAGAATATATTACAAACAACTTCAATTCCAATAGATATTTTACTTTAAGGAATAGAATAGGCAACTATATTTAGTATTGTAATTACAATTATAAAATTACTCAAGGCTCTAATTATAGAACTTATTTTACTTATTGCTTAAAAATGAGGTAACGCTTCTTCTAAATGGATCATCAATTTTGAATAAAAACAATGTCTTCTTTGCACTGAATTGTCCAACCTATTTATTTTCATCTAGGTCTGGTTAAATCTATTCTAAATTCACACAATCAACTAACTCAGGCTTTTATAGTAAATTATTCCAATCAAATTATTCACTCTCTCCAACAAGTATTTATTCTAATCTCATAGACTGAATTTAAGCTATTGAGTCAGAAATTTGATCTTTAGTAAATGGTTTAAATTCAATTCCCAATTTTTTATAAGTGGACGACATAATGATAATTTGTTGTAATTAGACAATATTAATTATTATTATTATTATAATTCAAGATTTATCAAATTTGTCACCTTCATTCTAGTTTTAAAGTTCTTATTTTAATGCTCCTAAATCAAGAAACTTAATTCCTTTTCTTTTATTTATAAGCATTCTTGCTTTTCCTTATAAATAAATCATTGTTGACATTTAACCACTATAATAAGGACTTTTTTTGAATTTCTTGTAATAATGATGAACATATTCCTTACCTTTAAATGTTTCAGATTCCAAACTATGATAATTGAAAAATATTATACTCTCTAACACCATATTTTAATTCTACTGATAATCTTGTTAAACTCACTATTACATCATGAAAGAGATAACCAATCAACCCTTCTCCATCTTCATATAATGGAATATTTAAAGCTCTAAGAAAATTCTTCTTATTAGCAGGGTCTAATAGTTCCTTTACAGGTACACCAAAACAAATAGCAATTTCAGATGATAACTTCCAGAATTGTTTATAATTCAAAAATCCAGTGCCATTAGGATCATATTAAGCCCAATAATTTAATACATCATGCAATTAATATTTAGATATAGCACTTTATTCTTATTTAGCATGTTCTTCATAAGCTCCTAATATGGATGCAATAAATAAATTTAAAATCACAAGTGAAAATATCAAATGAAAAGACACATAAAATACATATGCCCAGTATGTACCACAACCATTATAGCCATATTCTTAAAACTCCTCATATCCATTTATATATATGCAAGCAAAATCAGGAGTACGTACATGTACAGAATCAATAAGAAGAGCCCACCATTCTTCAGAACTAGCCACTCTTATCAAAGAAAACATGGCAGTTGTAAATTTCTTAAAATGTAAATCAAATCCTTCCATTTTACTTTGAGGTCTCAGATAACCAAATAAATCCATTCCTAAACAAGCAAAAATGAATAAAAATATGAACATTATAAATAACATAGATAACGCTGATGGTACTACAGAGAATATAGTATGAAATAGCTTTTCCAATTCTGGAAATCGTCTATATATTAAAACAGTAAAATTACTTTATTATATAATAATTTCTCAATAATTAGAATGCAACAGAGAGTGCTTCAATTCCTCTTCGAAGATAAAATTCATCATCCATTTATGATATACTAAATTAGTTTACCAGATTGATTATAATTCCTATTACATCTACGATTATGAAAGGGTCTCTATCGTAAATATTAGGAAACTTAGCTATCACTCTTGATAATACTTCAACTGTGAAGGCTAAGGTACAAATAAGATTTATATAATCTAGAGCATTAGAAAATTACTTATCTTGTCTGTTGTAATATAAGGCAAGAGTAAATGTATTTAAAAATATTAGAGCATGCCAAAAATATTTTGTAACTCTACTTTCTGCTATACTAAATATAAATAAACCAAGTTTAGTCTTTGGTTTCTCATATAATCTTCTTGGTTTTAAATGATTAATGCTCTCTTTAATGGACAACCACTCTCTTTGATTACTATTCAATTCTGACATTCCTTAAGCCTTTATCTTAGTCTATTAGTAAGTTTCAACAACCAAACTTATAAACATATTAAGCATGCATATATTTCCAATAAAGAAAAATACTTAATAATAGACAGCCCACCATCTATTATGATTATTTACTGGAGTTAAATCTACTCCTCTGGCACTCCAAGTATTTACTAATAATTCTAACCATGCTTCAGTTGTTGCAGTTATAAATAATGTTAATGCACTATCAAATATGTTATCATATCCTAAAATTCTATTTACCCATGATCCTCCATAATCCATACAATCCCATTTATCATTTATCTCAAATTCGTCTTATAAACTTGAACAATAATACATTTATCCTTTAAGTAATTTAGTTGCAAATGTACCATATATTAGTAATATTATAAAACAAAAAATACTTAATTGTAACATAGTTTGAAATGCTTTTACTAATGCCTAAGAAATATAATTTATGCTTTAACTCAAAAATGCTCCTATTCTAATAAATTCTATAATTCTCAAACTAGAAAAAAAGTGAAAAACTGTGTGGTAAGGCAAAAATAAACTGATAACTTCTACTAGTGTCACTAATACATTTAGCACATTATAAGGGGATCTTTAAATGTAGGAATCTTCTCCTTATATAAATCCTCTTGCTATAACATTTAGAATGATCTAAATTATAAATAGTATAGTTGTAATTATATTGACTATTTTCAATATTTAGCTTGTAGTTGAATTTGGATCAAGAAATGGTGTTGTTAGTCCAATTCTAATTGTACTAGCTAGAACAACAAGCAAAGAGAATAATTAGAAAATAAATGAATCAACTATTGAACGAATTTTTGATGAATTATTATTGCTATTGGATGAATTTAGATTGGAAGGGTTTTCCTTTTCATTTTAATTATTGTTGTTACTTAAATTTGATTTTATTTCTTATTATTCTTATTTTTATTAATCAACTTATAGCCAATTTTATAATTCTTCAAGTTCTTATTGGGGAATATTTTAATTAATAATTGAGTTTGTCTTATTTTCTTTTCTCAATCCTTTTTTCTCTTTTTTATTAATTTATTCTGCTAATTAATTCTTTTCATCGGACTTTTAAGATTAATAATTGGTAATTCTTTTTTATTTTTATTTATCCTTAAAATTTAAACATTATACAATTTACTATATAAATTACTTAAAATCGATTGGTTTTAATTCATTTTCTACTTTTTATAATTATTAAACAAATTCATTCAAAAATATAGCCATAAGCAATCTAATGAAAAATATCTGTCCCAAAATAACACTCAAAATAGAATAAAAAAATGAAACATAGGTATGTCTAGCATATTTATACATAGTCACATGCCATTCTTCATTATAAAATATATTAACTGCTGCCATTAAGGCTGATCCAAAGTCATCATAATAAATAGTCATATTTTCTTCTCTTAATTTATTTTAAAGTAAACTTTTTCCTACTATTGCTATTAGAATTACAAGACAGGCCCAAAGAGCCAAAATGTTTTTGAGTCTTGTCAACGTGAATACCAATGATCTCATCAATAAAGTGATTGTATAAAAGATCTTAGCATTGTATACAAATCTAAAGATTCTCAATATTTTTAATGATTTAAAGAAAGTTACATATACATTATGATTTATTATCAAAGGTTCATCTACTACAACTAATACAAAAACTAGGATCCATTAACTTGAAATAATAAAGAAATCGAATTTGTTTATGTCTTTAGAAAAGTATCCTTTAAGTCCTCTCCCTGTAATTAATATAGCCATTTCCACAAAGGAATATATTATACAAAAAAAATCTACAATTTGCAATTATTCTAAAGCCTTTTTCGAAATATCCTTATAATCTATAATGATGGCTAAGCCTGATAATATTATACACAAATTGTTGATAAAGTTAAAATTTTTTGAATTTGAAAGAGAATCAAAAAATCTAATTTATTATGGTTATTATAAGGTTGTCTAATCAAACTAAAATTATTATTCAAAATTTAATTGACCATTAAATGATTAATTATGACTAACTAAATGTCCTTTTTACTTACTCATTAAAGCCAATCTATTCATTAATTATTCTTAATTTTTTTTTTTCAAATCCTCCTCAATTTCCTATTCTTATTTCTTAGCTTTACTTGATGAATTTTTTATTGAGGATTTTTCCATAAATGACTCATAAAACAAAGCTAATAATAAATTTGATAATATAAATGCTAATAAAACTATTAAAACTAAAAAATAGGTTGCTGTTACATATGTAGTCATGGCTTTCCAAAACTAAGATAAAAATTAATAATAAAAATACCATAAATGTTGTTCCAGACCATCCTGTAACATTTAGAAATGTAAAAACAACTAATAATGAATGAAAAAAATTATCAAATTTGATAAAGTCCCAACTAAATTCAGCTACATCATTTTCGGTAGCATTCTTTGGAAGTCCATAATCTACTGGACTACCACAATATAGTTCTTCTGGGCATTACCATATTCCACAAAGTTTTAAGACTTCATCATCAGCTAACCATACTCCATCTACTGGTTCTGGTGTTATTCTACATCTTCTTTCTGTCAATCCTATAAATAAATGTAATCCAATTATTGCAAAATAAATCATCACCAAAAATATTGGAATAAGAACTTATTTAAGTTTCAAGAAACTACTCACATAAGCTGTAAATTAAATTCTTAGAAGAGGTATTTCTTAAATCAATCTAAATAATCTCAAAAGTCTAATCGTTTTTATTACATCATTGACTTTATTATCTTCCAAAAATATAAACCAAGTAAAAATAAAAGCCAAAACATTAGCAATATTCCAACAATCTCTTAAATAACTTTTCTTATCCAAAATCACCCCATAGGCTATTATAAATAAAAGAATATCAAATCCAAATATTATATTACAAACTACTTCTATACTTATTGCTAATCTTTTCTCATTTATACAATATGGTATTAGACATAAGGCAGCTATTAGTGTTATAAAGTAGGTGTAATTTCTAAATTTATTCCAAATAATCTTACTAATTTTTAATAAGTTTTGTTATTCCCTTTCTTATTGGATTTTTATTGCTAAATATAAATAAAGTCTAATTTTAAGCTTTTTTTTATTCTTTCGTTGATTTATCTAAACTTTTTATTGTAATTAAATCATGCCTATTTATTAGATTTTGCCAACCAAAATTTTCGCACTCTCCAATCAAAACCTATTCTAGCCTCATAGATTTTATTGATTGTGTTGCTTCTTCAACTTGAGCTTAAGTGATCTCTTTATATTCAATTCCTAATTTATTCAAAGTTGATGACATGAAAATAATTATGAAATTATTGTTTTTTTTTTGAGAAACTTTTAGTAAATTATAATAATATTTATATTGTAATCCTTTTTATATATCATTTCATTAATTATAAACATTGTTTTTCAATCATGCTTTATACTTGAAATTAATTTATATAATTACATATTCAATACTTTCTATCAATATATATAAATTCTTTGTATTCATCTTTTGTTTACTTATTTTATTTCAAAATAAATGGTTTTGTTTAAAATATGTAAATTTCTTTTAAAAAAATAATTAATTAGCTCTTTATCTGAGCAACCCTAATTTTAATAAATATTCAACTAATTTAAATTTAAATTATTATTGCCATACATATTAGTCAATTTAATATTAAATAATTTCTTATCCAAAAAAAATTACCTTTGTTTAATTTATTCAAATATTTCAAAACTCTATGATAATAATTTAAAATTTATTTCATTATGGTATGGATATGAATTCCTAAATATTATTTTATTAATAAAATATCAGTCCAAAAGCTTTTCTGCAACTTTATTTTTTAAATAAATATGTTAATTTTATCATGCATTCTTTTATTATTCTCATCTAAATCTATTTGATAAAATATAGAGTTGATATTTATATCTTCATCTCTTCATGTGGTGAAAAATTTCTATAACTAAGAAACCATAGAGATTTAGCTGAAATTTTTATTATAAATATAATAAAATAATTTAGAATATTTGTTTGTAATAATAGTTAATAATTATATTATAATATATGATAAATTTATTATAGTAATAATAGATATAAATAATAGTAAAAATTGAAATATAAAAAAAATCGATGCCTGTGAGACTCGAACTCACGCGGGAAATCCCAACGGCTTAGCAGGCCGCCGCCTTAACCACTCGGCCAAAGCATCTAATCTATTAGGTTTATTAATGATAATTATTTATAGTATAAATAATAATCAATCTTTAATTTCTTCTAATTAATGTGTTTATTATATTTATTAATGATTATTTAATTCTATACGACTTTCATTAACACTTTCAATTTAATTTTTCATTCTAGATAAATAATTAGAATCAGTATTTTTGATTTATAAATTTCCAATATCTAACCATGGAAAATCTTAAATAATCTTTTTTCTAGTATATTCAGTTCTACAAAATGGACAATTTTTTTATCTTAATAACCATTCTTAAAGACATATATAATGAAAAATATGAAAACAAGGTGTTACAGAACAAATTCTTTATAATTTATTATTTGCTTTATTCATTTATTCTAAACAAACAGCACATTCTTAAAATTATGATAATCCAGGATATACTAATATAAATTTATCATAATAATGAGCTTTAAAATGATCTTTAATAAATCTAATTTAGAAACCTTATTAATTATATTAATATTACCTTTATATATAGCTGGATTAAATACTCTATTTGTTTATTATTAATCATTATTTAAATTTCTACGTATATCTTCTTATACTTATTTTCTAATTTATTTTTATTTTCTAGTTCTTAATGCAGATATACCAATAGCAAATAATAATAAAGTTGCAATTACACAAGCAGTTATTATAATAATTATTTTATTACGTTCAAACATAGATTCATTATTATCATCATTATAAGTAACTATTTTAAATTATAAATCTATTGTTTTTGATTAATTATTATAAAGTCCTATATAGATTACGTCAGCATTATTATTTGTTTGATTATTTATTAATTATTCTTAAATATTTGTTATAGACTTTAATTTCTAACTATTTTCTATTGTTGGAATTATCTTTTAAGGTGTTTTTTAAAAAACAAAGCTATAAACTACATTATTATCAAATATTTTACATACATCCTATACTTCATTTATACATTAAAATTCTATATTAGTTGTACTTAATTCATATTTTAAATATATCCATTTATAAGATTCTATTGTTAGTTTATAATATATATTGCTATATATTTTAGATGATTAAAATTGGCAATAAAGTCCAAAATTTAAATCTAAACAATTACAATACATAGATAAACAAACAGAATTTTATATTTCTGGATAATTATAACCATTACAATCATTATTACAAGTGTCTATAAATGGAGTTTCTGATATATATAAATCATAAGAACTTTTTTCACTATTTTAATGAGATTCTAAACATCTTATATAAATAATTGTTTAAAACTCTATTTCTACTAATTAATAAGCACTATTAGCTAAATAACTTTAATAATCATAACTAAAAGATTCACTTTTGGAATCAGTTAAATCTGTAAATAAAACTTAATCTAAATTAGTTTAGGATACTAAACACACAACATTTTATGAATATAGATAAAATTTGATTATTATACTGTTTGCTTTTGATGAGTAATCTAAATTTATTTAATATTCAATATTTGTCTCAAGTGTTCCTGATTAATTAGGTTTACCTTTAATTATAAAGATAAACAAAGTCATAAATAAAATCATTTAAATTATATTTATTAACTTTAGTAGCTTTTATTAATCACTCTTTTATTATAATATGTTACCAAAATATACTATATTATAGAAAAATAAATTCATATAATGATATTTAATATATATTCATTTAGATTTATATTACATATTTTTAAATGTATCCTCAAGAATAGAATTTAATTCATGTACTCCTAAATCTTAAAATTATATCTTAAATTTTACCATGAAAATATTCATTATAACTTTGAAAATATGATTTCTCATTAAATATAGTTGAGTCTCTTAAAGGTTTTTAATATCTGAGCACTACAAATATTACTAATTTACTTAAATCTTTAGAGAAATAGCTTAAAATACGAAAATTTGAGCATAGATTTTCTATTATTAAAAAATATTGATTGCAAATCTATTTTATGGATTTTATTTTATTTTTTTACAAAATAACATAATAAATTAAATTTCAAATATTAGTATAAGTTGAATTGTAAATGTTATTGAGCTAACATTTACATTTTTTTTTCAAAAAATAAAATTAGTAATTAAAAATTATTATATTAATTATACATTTTATTAATGATATTTAACTTTATTAAGTAAATATCTTTTGGATCAAGCCATTTATAAATAAATAATTTAATTTATCATTTATAATTTATAAACTCCTTTAATAATAACCTATATGGGAAACGAATGTACTTAATCTACAATAGAAATTGGATAGATAGATTTTATAATAAATGAAGAATAACAAAGGAATGAAAATTAGCCCTCCTCTTAGGACAATTTCAACATAAATTCCTCAAAAGTTTGGTTTTTCAATTTGCAAAATAACAATTCATATTTTTTAAATATAAATATTTAAATGGCAAATGAATATGGGATGTATGATTAGGGACTTAGGAATAGATAGATTGATCTAAATATACATGTGATTATTTAAATGGTAAGAAAAATGTTTAATAATAGAAAGATGGTTCAACTTGGATTTGGTATATATGATAGAAAAAGATATGAAAGAGAGTGAAGGAATAATAATACGTATGGTAAAGTAATCTAAAATTGAGAGGATGGAAAAAAATAAAAAGGAGAATATTAATTTGATAAAAAGCATAAATTATGTAAATTGACTTAATTAATAAATATAATAAATATATTATTAGCTTAAGAGAGTTTATGGAAAATAGCTAAGGAAAATATATAAATCTAAATGGAGCAGTAAGGTTAGGAATTTGCTAAAAATGCAATTGATTATCTTTGTTGGATGATGAATAAATTAAGTAGCTTTTTTAAATAAGAAAAATTATTTTGATAATTAATTTTACCATAACATTTCTTAATTTTCTCAGTTTGCTGTTTTTTAATAAAGACTTTATATTTTACAAAATATTCTAATCCTTCCTCTTTATGGTTTCAAGCTATAATTTGAAAAATAATGCTAAGTATTAGTTTCTAATTGATGAAAAATTGTAAGGAAAAAAAAAGAATTTAAGTAAGTCTCCTATAATTAATATATATTTTGATAGGTTTAGATATTAAATGAAATAATCTAAATAATGATTAATATAATAAACTCATATTTATTATTAGAAATTTTATTGAAATTAAGGACAGTAATTATACATGAAAGGTTGCTAATTATAAATTAACTAAGAATTCAAGATATTACATTCAGTTTATTTAAGTTAATTGAAGTAACAATATTACTAATACATCTAATAAATGAAATTAGTGTAATACATTTATTATTGGCTTTAATACAATTATTAATTTATTGAATTATGTTGATATACACCTCTATTTTCAAATTCTTCTTTTATTTTAACAGATTGTGATAATTACTCTATTTTTTATTTTTTCTCTTGAGTTTTGACAACCACTTTCTAATCTAAGATGTTTTGCAAAGTTTTAATTTCTAGATATTATTTCACATTGTCTTTAGTATTATCTTATTTTATTACTAGCTGAGATAATGAATTTAAGTTTTCTGACAGTTGATTATTTTTTTATAACAATTTAAGCTGAAATTTTTATCGTTTTTTTAATATCAAAGAAATAGAAGTAATTAAAATTTAGCATTCCTTTTTGTAATTGAGTTTATTTACAAGATTAGAAAGCATTTCTAAGTATTAATTGATTTGTTATTGCACAGATTTTGCTTTATTTAAACTAATTATTAGTTATTTTGATTTTTTATTCAATTTTATGTATTTAGGGCTCTTATCATTTTTCATTTCTATTAAACATTATTATAAGGTTTCTATTAATTCAAATGGCTTATTTGAAGAGTAAATTTAAGTTATATTAAGTTTAGTATCTGAATAATAGTTTATATTCTACAATTATATCTATGTTTTTTCCATAGTAGCTAAATATAATTCTTACAATTCATCTAATTGAAGTAAAAGTTTTTTTATTCCTGAAAATGATAACTTATTTTTAAGCAATATACCGTTTTTCATATTTTAATTTGCAATTATTTATAATTATCTAAATTTTATAATCCTATAATTTCTGTAAAATTGTTTTATGCTTAGGAGCTTAAGATGAATTTTTATATTTCAAAATTAGGATTTATAAAGAAATAATATAATAGTTTATAGTTTTTAAAACATCAAAATATCATATAGATAGAACAAAAAGAACCTATTTAATTAAAATTTTTTATAATATTATTAATAAATAAAATAGCAAATTCATGAATAATTAGGTGATTTATATAAAAATAGAATGATACCTGATAAATAAAAGAAGAAATATACTATTCCATATATTTATCTTATTTCGCAAGTAATTGTTAATTTAATTCTTGAATTTATGATCTAATTGTTAGAGATTATAAATTATAATATTAAAAAGCTATTTAATAAGATAATATAATATCATTTTGATTTATGCACCTAAATTTATCATAGATTAAAAAATTTATAGGATTAAAGTATTGAAAATTAAGAATTGAAAAATTCTTAGAAATATTTTAAAATGAATAATAAATACAATTTTTGCCTATAATAGTCAATTATCAAAATAATTTTTATAATTTATACAAACATGGTTGAATAAGATGAGAAAGTAAATTTTTAATTAAAAGAGTATTTAGAAATCTAAATCTTCATTTATGGTTAATTTATTAATTTGAGAAGTAAATAATGCTAAATAAAAGATAAAAATAAATAATTAAAGCTTTATATTTGGAAATTTAGATAAATATAGAATAATGATATAAATTTTTAGAGAGATTTTAGAATAATGATTACATAAATAATTTATTAGTTGAATAAAGTGAGATTGAATATTTTGAATTATAATTATTAATTTTATTATATCGTTAATGCTAAGTCAAAAAAATGTATTAGCTGGGGAGGAAGATTTTAATTTAAACAAATTTCGAGATTCTTTGTATCTTAGAATGTAAAGTCCAAGCTAATCAAAATAAAGTAGTGTAATTAAAGAGGATAATTCAATTAAGAAATCAGCCAAAAATTCATTAAATGCAGATATTCAACGTCGAAAAAGGTGGTTTAAATAAATATTCATAGTGTACCATCATTTGATGAGTTATTAAAAACAATGAATATTAGTAATGGATTTGGTTAATAACAAAATGTGTCTAATCATAAAAGAAATATCACTGATTCATCTCGAAAGATGAGTGGTATTTATAATAAGATAGAATGTTTGGGAAATAATGAAGTTAATTAAATAACAAAATTATCATAACCGTAAATATATATTTAACATATTTAGATTTATTTCCAATACACCTTTATCAATATCAAATAATTAATAACACAAAAGGACAACCTTCTCGAGCAGCATTACAGAAAAACCAGTATTTTCAAAAGGAAATGGAAAATCACTAATTGATAAATTATCTTTAAAAGAATTGATGGAAATTCGTAGTAAAATAGATAATAGTACATAATCTGAGGTGCAAGAATTATCTGCAAATTATGTTTAAGAACTATTAAAATTATCCTAAATCATTATAAAACAAGTTAGACATATAAAGAATTGAAAAATTTCTATATATTTATAATATAATAGATTAATATTTATATTAAGGAATTTATATCAATAAAAGTAGGTGAATAATTTACAAAAAAAATATTATTTTGTAAAATAGAATTAAAAGGACAACTTACCTATCATAAAATTATTATGCACAGATATACAAATTTAAGAATTAAAGAATTGGAAATAATTTTGTGAAGATGATCTTAGAAATTAGTTCCTATCATTAGCTACATAGATTTAATTTAGATACTTTTTGAAATCTTAGATTTTTATACGATTGAAAATTATAATCTACTACTTTACTTGAAAGTGGTTGACAAAGAGCAATTGAAGTATGTGTATGAAATTATTCACTGATATGTATGATATTAGATTACTATTAATTATATAGATTATTAAATAATAAAAATAAATTAATGTTCAAGAACAACTTCTACTCTTATGTAGGTGGTACTAGATCAGATATAGCCATGAGCATTGAATCTTATTTTGAAGTTATGGAAGTCTTATTGGATTAATATATGAGTAGAGAAGTATAGAATATGATATTATCAACAACAAGATGCTTTTCAATTTCAAGAATTGCAGTTAAGTACTCAATGATATTGTGGTCTCTGCACCATTAGCCTTTTTGCCTTTCTCGCTTCTTGGAACACAATGGCTATTTGCTGGTGCTAATAGAAAAGGAGCTAATAAAGCCTATGGACCTATACTTGCATCTGTACATATGTTAGTATTATGGAGAGCTTACACTGCTCCTATTCCAAATAAATTGTTCACTAAAATAGTTGCAGATCCAACAGTCGATGGATAATATATTAGGTATTAAATTATTATTAATTTAGAACCTAATTATCTGTTATGAAACCAGGTTTATGGTAAGTTTTAAGTAGGGAATTATATCATAAAGGATATAGATTTCCAGAAATGTTAGAGTTCAAGACAGCTACAGAATTCCCAACTGGATTTGTCAAACCTTATTGATGGTACATCATAATAATATATATATATACAATATTTAAAACAATTTTTTATTAAATTTTTAATACAAAAGTATATGGAGACAGATTAACTATTGGTGACTAATTTTTTTATAGAATAATAAATAAAAATATTAAAACCCTAACCTCTAGCTGTTAAATAAAGTGTTGAAATTTTATAGAATTACTATAAATTATAAGCAGTAATAATTTGAATATATTATCACTTTAATTAGAAAGAATAAGTCAAAATCATCGAAACATCTTTACTCAGCATTTATTCATTTTTTCAATAAGACAATTTTGAAAGTTATTAAGAAATCAACACTAAGATAAATAATTTACTTGAAGATATTTCTAAAATTGATGATAATACAATAAAAAAGGGATAATATAGAAGATCAATTGGTAGAAAGTCATTATAAAAGTATTCCATTTTGATTTTATACATAAAAATAGATCATTTAAAATTTTATCCTTAAAACTTCGAATAACTTTGGACATTATCAGTAAAAAGTGGATAAATAAATAAAATAAAAAAAATTAATTAAGATGGTCTAACATATGCATTCGAAACATACAAAAGTATATTGATATATTTTACAATAAAGTTCTTTGAATTTAGATTTAGTATTGGTTTCTAAAAAGTTTTATAAAATGTTTATATGTAGAATTTGTGAAAAACCAGTCTAAGCAACATAAATGGCATAACATTGTATAATGTGTGAATAGCAAGCAGAAAGCAAAAAAAGATTATTAGAATTAAATTTGGAATTAGCAAACATTTGTGATTAAGCTTATTTAGAAAAGAGGAATGTACAAGTAAAGTTAGCTATTAAAAAGTACTATTATTATAATTATATTATAAGATTGAGGAGTAAAACAAGAAAAAGATAATATCATAATACTATATCTATTTATAGAAGAGTCTAGACTTTAGATGATTAAGATGAAGATGAGGATAATTAAAATGAATATCAATAAGAACTGAACAACATAGTCAACATTATGACATAAATTATTAACTTTGCTGAAAAAACATTAAATAATGCTGCTGAAGTTGAAGATACTAAATGTAATTACTTTTCATGAGCTTTATTAATAGAAACTTTAGTACTGTTAAATGACATTGTTAATGCAATTTAATATATTGAAAGCCAAGAAACTTTGTCGATTATGAATGCAACTCATAAATCTTTATTAGATAGACTTGATTATTAAAAAAAAAAAGAGAATATTATCAATAATTCAATTTAAGGATCTGCTAATCAAAATTAAGATAATATTAATAAGATTAAAAGAGCATTTACTAAATCTAATTCAATATCTTTTAGAATGCCAAAATTTTAGAATTCTCCTTCTCCTTCTTAAAGAATATCTACAGATCCTATTTAAGAAGAAGATGATTCACCATCATCACCATAAATTTCATCACCTTAAAAACTTACATCTTAAAGAAAAACATTTAAAATGAATTCTTCCATTTTTAAATTAAGTGATGGATCTGAATCACCAAAATCAATTAAGTAATCATCTATATTAACTTAAATGAAAACAAGTTATTTTTGTTAAACAGAAAATAATTAATCAATTAATTCTTCAATTAATGATCTTAAATTAGAATAAGTGAAAAAATAATCAAATAATGAAATCAATTAATCAAAAGAAAAAATTTAAAATTCTTTATAAAAACTTTCATAATTTAAAGCATCTATCCAACCTCTTTTAATGAAAAATTTAAAAGAACAAAATTTAGAAGAAATTAAAGAAGAAAAATCAAAATATCCAAAAACATTTGAAATTCAAAAATAATCTATAAAAGATAGTGAAAATTCATCAAATATATCTAGTATGGAATCTCCTAGTTCTAATACAAATAATAACGAAATAAATAATTTAGCACCTACTAAAAAATAAAAAAAAAAGAAAAAATTAAGTTTTTAATCTTAAGAAATTGAAAAAATGCAATTAGTTTCTAAAAATTAATAAAGAAAAAGCAAATTCTTTGAAAATCAAATATGTAAATCTCCTATGGTTGTTTAAGAAAATACAATGGATGAAATTTTGGTAGATAAAGGTTATCATTCTGATTCCAACTTAGTTAAAACTGTTTCTCCATAATTAAATGAAACTTTAAAAGTAGGAATAAAGGATTTTGAATTCATAAAATTATTAGGAAAAGGAGCTTATGGATGGGTGTTTTTAGTAAAGAAGAAAGGATCAGGTGATCTTTATGCTTTGAAAATAATTGACTGTGCTTAAAGAGTAATTTTTAATTTTATTATAGAATTTAGAAGCATTTTTGGAATAATTAAAAGCTGAAAGAAACATTTTCGAAATTTTAAATAGTAATTTTGTTGTCAAAGCTTACTTTTCGTTTGTTCATGAACAATACCTTTGTTTTGTATAAGAATATATGATGGGAGGAGATTTAGCCAGTATTTTGAAACAATATACGGTAGATTCTATTATTAATCCAAATAGGCACTTGATGAATTTTATGTTTAACATTATATGGCTGAAATTGTATTAGCTTTAGAATATTTAAGATAATAAAATATAGTACATAGAGATTTAAAACCAGAAAATATATTATTAGATTGCTAAGGACATTCTAAACTTGCTGATTTTGGTTTATCAGAATAAGGAATGAATAGTAGATTAAAATTAAAAGAAAAATTAAATTCATAAAATTTTATTGAAATACCTACTTGTGTAGAACAAATCAGTGATCAATAAGGTTATTAGCCTATTTATAAATAACTCAAAAAAGTAGAATCAATTTTAGTTGAGAAATAAGGAAGTAAGACAAAAAAGTAATTAATTAAATTCAATATAAAAGGATTGTTGGAACTCCAGATTATATTGCCCCTGAAATCATATTAGGAACTTCAGTAAGCAATTTTAGTTCAGATTATTGGAGTTTGGGTATAATAATGTATGAATTACTTTGTGGTATTGCACCTTTCAATGATGATACCGTTGATAAAATATTTGATAATATTTTGAATATGAGAATTGAATGGCCTTAAATTGGAGATGGAGAAGATTGTATTTCAGAATAAGCATATGATCTAATAATAAAATTATTGGAACCTGACTTTAATAAGAGAATAGGGCATAAATCTATCGAAGAAATAAAAAGTCATAAATTTTTTAAAGGTATTACTAAATTATAAGTATTAGGTATTTAATGGAACAAATTATTGAGTAAACCAGGATTAATTATTCCGGAGTTGAAATGTGAATCAAAAGATAATGAAAAGATGTAATAGTTTTTAAAAAAGTTGGAGAAAACTAATAAGGATTAAGAAAATTAAAAATTAGCTTAATAATTGAAAGCCTAACTTTAAAACTTAGAAAGAATTGATTTACTAAAATAAAGAAGCACATAAGAATCCGATAAATATTTGTATAACTATTTATTAATTAGATTGTAAGTGTAAAATGAATAGAAAAAAATATAACATTAAATTGAGTTACTTACACAACTTTATGCCAAACTTTACTAATGCTACTCAAAGATGTAGTGAGAAGATTTTTGTTCGAATATATTATTATTTATGTTTTTATTAAAAAAATTAAATGTTTTTAATTTATTATTATATTAAAATTATAGATATATATATAATTATTATAAATATCTATGTATACAAAAGATGGTAATTAATTGTTTTATGAACAAAAATATGAATAGGAAGTTCTTTCAACTTAGATAGATGACTAGAAATCTTGATGATACTTTTAAAGAAGACTTAGAACTCTATAATAAATTATTGTAAAAGAAATATCAACCTAATCCTTAAAGATTAAATAATGATAAATAAATGCTATAACAATGGGATTCATTTAAATAATTTAGATTATCTAATATAATAGATACAACTTTGGATTCGGACATATTTAAAATATGTATTTGCGATTTCTTAAAAAAAAAAAGAGTTAGTATGGAATTTTGGATTAAAGTTGCATATGATGTTTTTCATGATGAATCTAAAGGGAAATAAGTAAGAATGAAGTTTTGGAGATCAATGAGAAAGAAATCAAGTAGTTTAGAATTGGATTTAAAAAATAAGAAATGGCCTGTAGCATGGAGATATTTAGAAAGAGAACCATGTTTGAATCTAGAAATACTAAAATTATATGAATAATATATGCCAATACGACCATTTTTTGCTTAAACTCTAAATACAATGACAAATATTACATGCGATTTAAGGAGAATGCCAATGCTAAAAGAAGAAAAATCAATTGAATTTGATCTATCAAAAACTACTTGGTTTCCTAAAATAGATATGTGTGGTCCATCTATTTTAGAATAATTATCTAGTTCAGATAACTATTTTTGTGAATAATTAGTCAAATATACAACAGAAATGAAATCAATAATGTTCCCAATTTTAGATTTTTTTAGATTAGATAAAAAAAAAGGAAGAATTATTAATTTATTTGGTGAATAACATGATTTTGTATTAGAAGTAATTTATTCATTAAAAGCTTTTTGTGGATAAGCTATTAATTATACTTAAGGATCATTAAAAAAGAAAAAGAATTATAAATGTACAAATTCATATAAAATTAATGAAATGCAATGCAGTATAATGTTAACTACTTTATCAGAAAATGATTTAAATTAAGATGTAATGAATGACATTTAAAATAATATAGAAGGAGGTTATTCTGCATTTATTTAAGAGAATTAAATGTATTATCATAGTGAAAAGAATCAAAGATTAGTTCTTATATTTAGCTAAAAAAAATTATAGTTTGGAAGACTCAAAAAAGGAATTAAATTCTACTAAATTCCTGACTAATAAATTTCTACATTGAAAAATAAAGTAGATTATGAATTTCTGATTTATTATGCAAACATTTTGTTTAACAAATGTATGATAGTATAGCAGAATTGCAGTTCAAGGAAACCTTTCTATTAAGTTATGATTTGTATGTGGACATATGTATTAGCAGTTTATCTTTCAGGAGAAATACCAAATTTAGAAGGAATTAATGTTTTTCAAGATAATGATAGGGCAGATTCTTTAGTAGACATTTAAATTGATTTAGGATTAAGTTCTCATGAATAAACTTATGAAGAACCAGAATTTGATTAAGATTAATTTTAAAAAACAAGCTTTGAATTTACCAATCATGTTGGAGGTGTCAGTTTAGATCCAAGTGAAGAAGAAGATTGCATGATTGTAGATTAAATATAGAAGAAAAAGAAAATAATCTTAGTATGATTTAATAATATATATCAAAAATTAAAAGGATAATTATAATCTTTTCCATAGTATCAAAATATTATAAGGAAACTAGACTAATAATTTAAATATAATGTAATCAGATTATTCCATTAGTAACTTAACTTTGAATCTTGATAAATTTTTAGCAGATAATTGATTATAAAGAGTTTTAAAAAAAAGCACATAAACTTAAATTGATTAAAAATTAATTAAATATGAAACATAACTACTAAAAATTGGGATGAATATAAATCCTATAAATTAATTTAGATTGGTAATGATTTGTTAAAAAAAGGAAAGCATAAATTAGTTTATGTGAATTTAAAAAAAAGCAGATAAACTACTAAGGAATTTTGGATTAAATTTGCTTTCAACTTAATGTCTCATGAGAAAATAAGTAAGTTAACAAGAGAGAGAGTTATTAAAATGCTCTTACATAAACAAGATTATTAGATTGTAGATTTTACTAATAAGAAATGGCCTTAATTATGGAACCAGCATAATTGAAGATTCATGTCTTATTTTAGAAATTATAATGCTTTATCTAGAATATATACCTTTAAGAATTTTCTTAGTAGATAATATAAAATAGAGAACAAATATACTAATTAATATTAACTAAAAATGAAGGTAAAATTCATTTATAAATTGATTCTTTCATTAAAAATCATAGGAGTTTGAAAATTTGAAAACACAAAATAATCAATTACATCTAAGAAAAAAATTAAAAAAATAAATAATATAAATCAAAAAATGTAAAAAATAAAATTATAATTACAATGCTTGAATAGAAAGACATAAAATATCATGTCTTAATAGATATTAAAGAGAATTAATAAAAGGGATATGTTGTTCATGTTTCAGAAATACAAGAATGCGATAAAATTATAAAAGACTAATAATAATATGGAGTTCTTAAAAACTAAGTTTTTGTTCTTTAAATCCTAAAATTAACTTATATACATTACGAGATGAATAGATATTAGAAATATTAAATCAAATTGATATCACTTTTTTAGTTTACTTCATAAATATGCTTGTCAATTATCGTGAGTTAAAAAATCGCGTTTAAGGAATAAGATAAAATATTCATAAATAATGATTTATATATGGTCATTTGTACTAGCTTAATATTATATTAAAAATCCTAATATTTTGATCACAAATAATCAAAATAACTCTTAAATCGAAGTATCCTAAAATTCTGAATTAACAGATAATCTAGAAATTAAATTTTCAGATCAGTCTAACAATGAGATTATTCTTCCATTAAAATTATAAAAGCCTATCAATTTATCAAATTTAAATAAATGAATGATAGTATTTATATTATTTATTTTATATCAAAAATGACTATAATTTATTTAAATTGAAAATGAGAGTAGTTAATGTATTTTGATTTAATTGAAATTGAATAAAAATGAAAAGCAAATTTTATGGAGAAGTTAAAGTTTATAATTGAGTATTTAATAGTAACCAATATAAATTAAAGAATAATAGTTTATTTTATTTATATATTTAATACTAGGATGTTCCTTAATTCTGAAAGAATAAATGAAGTGAAAGACCAATCAATTTAGAATTCATAATTTAGTTCGAAGCAACAACAAAAGGGAAGGTCAAATAATATGAATCGATTTTAAGTTAAAAAGAAAGATGAACCTAAATAAGATAATTAATCTCTGAGTAGAATTTAATAAGTAAATTATAATTATATGGCTTAAGAGAGAAATAGAAATTTAAAAGAAATAAGCTGAATCTTAGAATCGAGATGATAATGATATGGTTGAGAGTCTTGTACAATTTGATTCAGAAGATGAATAAAATGGATCAAATTAGATTATTAACCCTTTAATTCTTAACCATTAGGAATTTGAAGAGTAAAATGTAAATATATATCTTATTTTAAGAAATAATAACATGTAATTTAATCGAAACCAAAGACCTTTAATTCAATCAGTACATTATAAAATAATGTTTAATATAAAAAGAAACTTGGTGAAAATGAGTCTTCTTATGATTAAGAGTTTGATTTTAATTGGAATTAAGTAAGATAATTATAACATTTTTAGTTAACCATCATTGGAAACAATCATAATTAGTATTTTGAACCAGGATAATAATTCGTTTAAACCAATGATCTTCCTCAACTTACTAAATAAAACAATAAGAATAATTTTGATTATATAAAAAAAATTTAGGATAATTAAAATTAGTAAAATAATAATGAAGATTAAATTTTAAATGATTTATCAAAAAATCAATAATTAGATTAATAAAATGAAAAATTTTATGACATTATTTAAATAGATGGTGGTCAATCTGATAATTGTATTTAAAATACTGATGAAAATAAAGAAAATTCAAATCATAATATTTTTTAAAATATAAAAAATGAAGAAGAGAAATAGGAAAATAAAGTTATAGAAGAAAATACTTCTAAATAAATAGTTGAAGAATAATTACCTTAATAATAAGTGGAGTAGTAATAATAATAAGAATAAGTAATTTAGCAAAATTAAACATGCCCATATCCAAAACCAATAGCTTCAATATCAATGCCATATGGTAAAAAACATTTTGTGTTGAATCCAGCATAAAAAGGTGGTATGATTTAATGTACAATAAAAAGAGATAGAAGTGGAATGTGTAGATTTTATCCAAAATATCATATGCATTTTTCTAATGGATTTTTGTATTTAATGAGTGCAAAAAAGAGGGCATGTAATAATACAAGCAATTATATTATTTCATAATCGAGAGATGATATGGAAAAAAGTGATAATTTCATAGGTAAAGTAAGAAGCAATTTTATGGGAACTGAGTTTATTCTGTATGATTCAGGGTTAAATCCTGAAAAAACAAAAGATCCATAAAAATTTAGACAATAATTAGGTGTAGTTCAATATGAAAGTAATTTACTTGGGGCAAAAGGACCTCGGAAAATGGTGGTAATCATTTGAGTTAATGAAGGTCTTATTACCAAATTTAAATGATTAAGATTAATTATATGAATTCAAACCTTCTAATTCAAAGGATGGAATGATAAAGGAATATTTAAACAACAACAGAGACTAAATTGTTACTTATGTTAATAGACCTCCTTAATGGAATAGCAGGCATAAAGCATTTGTTTTAAATTTTTATTAAAGAGTTGATAAACCTAGCGTTAAAAACTTTCAACTCATTGTAGATAAAAAGGAGGATAATATATTACTATAATTTGGTAGGGTTGGTGAAGATCTTTTCAATTTAGATTTCTAATATCCTATCACTCCACTATAGGCATTTTAAATTGCATTAACTAGTTTTGATTACAAAATTGCATGTGAATGAAATGTTTTGTCATTTAAAAAAACAAATTATATATATTTATATTATACAAAGATAAATGTAAAATAAACCATTAGACTGGATCTGTATTGGATGCAAAAACTTGAATTACTCATTTCGTAAATACTGTAATCGATGTCAAACTTTCACTAGAGATGCCCCAGGCACTAAATTCATTCCATTAGAACAACCAAATATAATCAATTCATTGAAACTCTCAGAACCTGATCTAACAGGTAGTGGACATAGTACAACAGATAGTGTAGGGAGTAAAGCTCAGGATCAAACTGTCTTTCATTAAGCTCTTTTCTTAGAAAATTTAACATAAAGTAAATAAGAAACGGTTAACAAGAACTTTAATTTTATGAAGATATGTACAATCTGCAGAACAGAAAATTATTTTTATCAATAAAAATGTAAGTAATGTGGATTTAGAATTTCAATATGACCAAAGAATAACTATGTTTTGATTTTAATTATTATTCATAACTCATTCTTATACTATTAAAATAAACAAAATAGATATATTAAACTTCTATCAATTTCATTATCGATCCATTATAAAACTTATTTGAGGGGTTTGAATTATATTGCAATATTAAAAATCTATATATCCATTTCTATTAGTTTATGTAGTAGTTCTTAGTGATTTATAAAGCAAAAATATGTTTTATGTTGATTAACACATAATTAACAAAAGAAACTTACAAAAATAATGACTTTAAAAACGTTTAATTTACAATAAATATTATCTAAAACATTCAAATTCTGATAGAAACTATATTTAACAATATACTATAGTACTTTAGTCTGGAAATTGATGTGTTGTAATTCTTTAGATAATTATTTAAGAATTAAATTATTACCTTTTTCATAATAGAGTAAGTAATTCAATTTATAATTCCAACATTTATAATCAATTTAATTGTAAAGAGATTTCTTACTATTATTAGAATTTATTAATATAATTAATAGTTTAAGTAATTTAATTAAATTAATGAAGAAAAATTTAGTGATTGAACCTGATTAATCAAATTCAATTCAATAGACTATATTTCGTAATGGTGTCTCTGTTCTACCTATGCTAGTAAAGAAGAATANATACAAAGATAAATGTAAAATAAACCATTAGACTGGATCTGTATTGGATGCAAAAACTTGAATTACTCATTTCGTAAATACTGTAATCGATGTCAAACTTTCACTAGAGATGCCCCAGGCACTAAATTCATTCCATTAGAACAACCAAATATAATCAATTCATTGAAACTCTCAGAACCTGATCTAACAGGTAGTGGACATAGTACAACAGATAGTGTAGGGAGTAAAGCTCAGGATCAAACTGTCTTTCATTAAGCTCTTTTCTTAGAAAATTTAACATAAAGTAAATAAGAAACGGTTAACAAGAACTTTAATTTTATGAAGATATGTACAATCTGCAGAACAGAAAATTATTTTTATCAATAAAAATGTAAGTAATGTGGATTTAGAATTTCAATATGACCAAAGAATAACTATGTTTTGATTTTAATTATTATTCATAACTCATTCTTATACTATTAAAATAAACAAAATAGATATATTAAACTTCTATCAATTTCATTATCGATCCATTATAAAACTTATTTGAGGGGTTTGAATTATATTGCAATATTAAAAATCTATATATCCATTTCTATTAGTTTATGTAGTAGTTCTTAGTGATTTATAAAGCAAAAATATGTTTTATGTTGATTAACACATAATTAACAAAAGAAACTTACAAAAATAATGACTTTAAAAACGTTTAATTTACAATAAATATTATCTAAAACATTCAAATTCTGATAGAAACTATATTTAACAATATACTATAGTACTTTAGTCTGGAAATTGATGTGTTGTAATTCTTTAGATAATTATTTAAGAATTAAATTATTACCTTTTTCATAATAGAGTAAGTAATTCAATTTATAATTCCAACATTTATAATCAATTTAATTGTAAAGAGATTTCTTACTATTATTAGAATTTATTAATATAATTAATAGTTTAAGTAATTTAATTAAATTAATGAAGAAAAATTTAGTGATTGAACCTGATTAATCAAATTCAATTCAATAGACTATATTTCGTAATGGTGTCTCTGTTCTACCTATGCTAGTAAAGAAGAATAGCATTGGTTTGGCATTAGAGAACATCCCAAGAACATAAACTTTTTCAAGATAAATGCAGCAATCATGCCATAATGATAGTGTATAATAATCTCGAACACCAACAATGAAAAATGATTCATTTTATGGTAATATTTTTAAGAAACCAACTGTTATAAAAAAACCAACTTTTAATTTAACAAAGCCCAATAGTGATTTTAATTGGCCACTTTTCAAAATAAAGAATGATCCATTAACAAAATAATTTTGGGATAGAAGAACAAATAAGGATTTGGAAAAGAATTGGGTATTTGAAGACTACATTTTTGCAAGCAATATGCTAAGAATAGGAAAAAAGAAAAAGATAGTCAAAGGTTATTTTTATAGATTGACAAGTTCTGGCTTATTAATGTACTATAAAAAAGTATAAAATTGCTTTATTTAAAAGGAGTCAGACACATTACCAAAAGGCTTTATATAATTGGATATGTAGATTAGAATAGTTGTAAGTTTTCAAAAGACAAAAAGAAATTTATAGTTACCTGTATTGTATTTAGAAAGAAATCAAGGTATAGGAATAACTATTTTTGATCATCTTATTGATTAAACATTAAAATTAGGAGAGTAGATTCAATAATTTTGTTTAATGAGAGGATTTAATGTTTTATACGAATAATTAGAATTACTTGGTAGTGGTGCTTTTGCATCAGTTTTTAAGGTAACTAGGAAAAGAGATGAAAAGTATTTTGCTGCAAAAACATATTTCAAATAATTTTATGATGATCATCCACATAAAGATAGATTGCTTGTAAAAATATTTATTTAAATATAGGTTAGTCAATGGTTTACAATGAAATTACAACTCTTAAAAATGTTGATCATTAAAATATAATGAAACTTTATGAAGTAATATAAGAAAAAGATAAATTGATATTAATAATGGAATATTGTGCTGGAGGAACTTTATATTCTTATGTGAAATAAAAAGTTAAATTTAATGATAAACACTATGCTTATATATTAAAGTAATTATGTGATGCTCTATATGAGATGCATAGATTAAATTTTGTACATAGAGATTTAAAATTAGAAAATATTATGTTAGAATCAAAAGACTATTTATAATTAAAATTAGTTGATTTTGGTTTCTCTGAAATTATTAATGAAAAATAATTAGTTAGTTAGGCAGGAACCCCTGGTTTTCTTCCTCCAGAAATATTTAGATAAATACCTTATACTGCTAAAAGTGATATCTTTAGTTTGGGCGTAATTATGTATTTGGTATGCATTAATGTTTATTAAGATTGTTGCTGGATATATGCCATTTAAAGCACCTACTGCCACATAAATCTTAGAGTTAAATCGAAAATGCTAAGTTAATTTTGATAAATCTCCTTGGTAGGATGTTAATCCAGATTTAAAATATTTAATTAAAAAGATGCTTGAATTTAAAATCGAAGATAGAATAAGTTGCTAAGAAATTTTAGAGAGCCCTTACATTTTATATCATTCACGTTAGACTTCAGAAACTAATTATAAGTCTAACTAAATCTTAAGTGGACTAGAATTGGATAAATGTAACAGGCAATCAATGAAAAGTATTAAATAAAGTGAATAATCTAATGATAGAAGCAAAGAATTTTAATTAGATTTTTCAATTCATACAAATGATATTAAATCTCTCTATTAAAGGAATTCTTAAAAAACTAATAAATCTAATCGATCAATAAATTCCTTAGCTAAAAATTCATCATAAAAAAAAATATCACGATCAGTGCCTAAAGAATGCTAGCTCTCAAAATTTTAAAGTACAAAAAAAATGGAAGATTAGGAATCACATAAAAGTTAAAGCAAAAAATAGAGTTCTTTTGGAGATGTTTTGATATGTAAATCATATGATTATGATTTAAATAGAATAAGATCAAAAGATAATAACATTTGAAGACACAGACTCTTTAAAATTGGAATAGATTCTATATTTAAAAAGATCTGGAGTAGTATTTAATAAAGTTAAAAAACCATTCATTTAACCTTCCAACCAAGACAACTGAACTATTAATTTTGATATATTTTGTTTTTTAATTCTAATAAAGAAATTTTATAAAAAAATATATAATGTTAATTAACCTTTTATTCCTTTGATGTGTAATTCTTTTTATTCTTTTATTTTTATTAATTTTTTGATAGGATAATTTTTAAGGATGTTACTGTTTATTGTATAAATTCAATAAAAATTTAAATTAAAGCCTACCAAATTAAATTATTATTTCCATTAGTAAATCCTTTTTGAGAATCCCATTTTCAAAATTAATGTTGAGTCTTATTTAATTAGGACAAATTATATGATAAGACTTCCAACCCATATTTTGCTGGATCAATGTTTTATGAAAATGATATATATTTATAATAAGACTAGGATCAGTAGAATCAAATTCAGTTTTATTCATAAGATTGTTTGCAAAAAAATGATTAATTTAGGTCCATTCTATGAAACTTGTTCTTTATTCTTCTTTAATTAAAATGATAACTTGATGGCACAATAAAAAGTTAATCTCTATTAAATACACAAGATTATTGAAATTATATATAATTCTAATAATTATAAAATAATCCAATAATTTTATTGATGATTACACAGTAGATTATTGCAATAATGACATATTCACTTAATCGCTTTAAACTTAATATTAGTGCTTATAATGACTCATTTTAATTTATTATAATAAGTTATTGAATAGATTCTTCTAATCCATAAATTTAATAATGGCTGAATAAATTGATATTCTAGATTTTAATGAAGCTCATAGGAACAGAAACTCATAAAATTAAGAGACTGATAGATTTTCAGCTCGTAAAATAAAACAATTACTAACTCTTGAAGACGTAGATTCATGGGTGGAATAGATTAATATGCCTCATACCCGAAATTTTGAATTCCCATCTTCAATAGAAAAAGCAACAATTCATTCTTAGAGTTTTTATATCCACCCAAATAAAAAATTTCTTAAAGAAAACCCTAAAATAATTAATTGTGATTGTTGTGGATAAATGATTAGGAGAAAGAGATATAATATATTTACTTGTGATATGTATAGCATTTTTGCAGGAGAATATGGAATAAGTATACCCTTATATTTCTCAATTATTAAACTGCATTTTTTCATTCTATTAGCAATAGGCTGCATTTTCGGAATTTATTATTGCTATTTATCAGATAAATATTGTTCATAACTTAATCAAAACAATCACACTCAAAAGGAGCTTTATGAATAATACTGTGCTTCCCTTTTGGCTGCTTAACATTTCTTATTATATAATTTTAATCAGTAAGAGATTATCAACAAGAATTATGGGGAACAGTATACCTTTTATATTTTAGGATATATTGCTTATCTTATTATGATGATGACACCTTTAATGCATGAAGTTTTATTGAGATTGTAATAAATCAAATATTGGAATTATGATTCATTGAATCATATTCGTATTCCTAAATTAACTCTTTATATTAAACATATCCCAAAAAAGTTTAATGAATAAGAATTATAATTATATATTTAGAATGCCATTGCAAGTAAATACAAAGATAAAATTGGAGGAAAATTTATTGAAGAAATTGTATATATATATGACATTCATCCAATTAAGGTTTTAAATGAAAAAAGAAAGGAAACTTATCTAAAAAGTTTATAAATAGTGAATGAACTTAAAATTAATCCAAAATTAGAATTAAAAGGATAATTGATAGATTTAGTATTTTAATTAATAAAATAAACAAGGGATATTTAAAAAACATTATAATATGGCTTACCTTTTACTTAAAAAGTGATTTTGAAATTTAATTCAGAATCAGTAACTAATTTGGTTTATAAATTTTACGATAAATCATTTTTCAATAATGTACTATAAAAAATAGAAACCATAAAAGAATCTGCATAAAACTATTAAGAATTTTAAAAGGATAAATTTGAATTATAAGCATAATTACTAGAATAATCTCAAACCAATAGTTCAAAATCATCAATTATATCTCAATAATCTGATCTCTAAGAAATGGTAAGAAGTTAATCTGAAATATTCAACTAACCATCAGAATTAAAGGCAAGGATGAAATAGAGTATAATAGATCTTTTAAGACTACCTGAGAATGATGAAAAATAGGAATAAACTATGTAATAATCAACTATAGATGAGAAAAAAGGGTTACATTTACAGAGAGGATTTCGATAGGATGATATATTTTGGGAGCATATCGGCATGCATACATTAAAAAGATTTTTTTTAAGGCTTATAACTACATGTATAACTTTACTTGTTGGGATCATAATTATGGCTCTATTTGAAATACTTTTTATCTTGGAATAGCATTTGAAAAGATAAGTTGGTTGGGTTAGTAGTTTGATTGTGATTGTAATGACATTATTTACAGTTTTCCTTTCTGTCTTTTCAACAATATTAGTTATCTTTATGACTAAAAGATCATAAAGATCTACATATTCTTTATAAGAGAAGAATATTATTACATTTATGTCACCAATTTAGTAAGTCTGTATTTTAGCTTTTCCATTCATTTTTGTGTTAAGTATCCTACAAAAACATTCTGCTTTGAATAGCATAGCTGTTGTATTGGCAGTAAGCAAATTAGCTTAAGTGAGACTTATTTCTAAAGGATTAATTCACTTTTTTCATTTAAGATCTGTTAAATTCAACTCTATAAAGAAGAAAACTATGAAGAATTTTATGCCAACTTCATATTTTTAAAAATAATTAAACTAATTACTAACTCCTCCTCTCTTTCCTATAAGAAGCAGATTATTTTATATTTTATTTATTTATAGCACAGGCATGATGATGATATTTTTTAATCCTATTATGATTATATGGTGTTTAGTATTATAAATTATTTTCTTCTACTATGATAAATATAGTGTGTTAAATGAATATCATTATGACAAACTATTTACCTTTTAACTTTAAAAATATTTAATCCTAACTTATTAGGTAATTATGATCCCTATATATTGTTACATATACGTAGTTACCTTCACAAATACAACATCTCATATAGGATCAGATGGTTCAGTATTAAATAATTATTTATTTTTAGCTAATAAATGAATACTCGACTGTTTCCTCTTTGTGGACATTCCTGGGATATGGAACCTGTGTTTTATCATTTACCAGTTTCTTGTTTTTCCGATAACAAATTGCCAATTTCTTTGTATTTGTAGTGCTCAGATATTAAAAACCTTTAAGAGACTCAACTATATTTAATGAGAAATCATATTTTCAAAGTTATAATGAATATTTTCATGGTAAAATTTAAGATATAATTTTAAGATTTAGGAGTACATGAATTAAATTCTATTCTTGAGGATACATTTAAAAATATGTAATATAAATCTAAATGAATATATATTAAATATCATTATATGAATTTATTTTTCTATAATATAGTATATTTTGGTAACATATTATAATAAAAGAGTGATTAATAAAAGCTACTAAAGTTAATAAATATAATTTAAATGATTTTATTTATGACTTTGTTTATCTTTATAATTAAAGGTAAACCTAATTAATCAGGAACACTTGAGACAAATATTGAATATTAAATAAATTTAGATTACTCATCAAAAGCAAACAGTATAATAATCAAATTTTATCTATATTCATAAAATGTTGTGTGTTTAGTATCCTAAACTAATTTAGATTAAGTTTTATTTACAGATTTAACTGATTCCAAAAGTGAATCTTTTAGTTATGATTATTAAAGTTATTTAGCTAATAGTGCTTATTAATTAGTAGAAATAGAGTTTTAAACAATTATTTATATAAGATGTTTAGAATCTCATTAAAATAGTGAAAAAAGTTCTTATGAATTATATATATCAGAAACTCCATTTATAGACACTTGTAATAATGATTGTAATGGTTATAATTATCCAGAAATATAAAATTCTGTTTGTTTATCTATGTATTGTAATTGTTTAGATTTAAATTTTGGACTTTATTGCCAATTTTAATCATCTAAAATATATAGCAATATATATTATAAACTAACAATAGAATCTTATAAATGGATATATTTAAAATATGAATTAAGTACAACTAATATAGAATTTTAATGTATAAATGAAGTATAGGATGTATGTAAAATATTTGATAATAATGTAGTTTATAGCTTTGTTTTTTAAAAAACACCTTAAAAGATAATTCCAACAATAGAAAATAGTTAGAAATTAAAGTCTATAACAAATATTTAAGAATAATTAATAAATAATCAAACAAATAATAATGCTGACGTAATCTATATAGGACTTTATAATAATTAATCAAAAACAATAGATTTATAATTTAAAATAGTTACTTATAATGATGATAATAATGAATCTATGTTTGAACGTAATAAAATAATTATTATAATAACTGCTTGTGTAATTGCAACTTTATTATTATTTGCTATTGGTATATCTGCATTAAGAACTAGAAAATAAAAATAAATTAGAAAATAAGTATAAGAAGATATACGTAGAAATTTAAATAATGATTAATAATAAACAAATAGAGTATTTAATCCAGCTATATATAAAGGTAATATTAATATAATTAATAAGGTTTCTAAATTAGATTTATTAAAGATCATTTTAAAGCTCATTATTATGATAAATTTATATTAGTATATCCTGGATTATCATAATTTTAAGAATGTGCTGTTTGTTTAGAATAAATGAATAAAGCAAATAATAAATTATAAAGAATTTGTTCTGTAACACCTTGTTTTCATATTTTTCATTATATATGTCTTTAAGAATGGTTATTAAGATAAAAAAATTGTCCATTTTGTAGAACTGAATATACTAGAAAAAAGATTATTTAAGATTTTCCATGGTTAGATATTGGAAATTTATAAATCAAAAATACTGATTCTAATTATTTATCTAGAATGAAAAATTAAATTGAAAGTGTTAATGAAAGTCGTATAGAATTAAATAATCATTAATAAATATAATAAACACATTAATTAGAAGAAATTAAAGATTGATTATTATTTATACTATAAATAATTATCATTAATAAACCTAATAGATTAGATGCTTTGGCCGAGTGGTTAAGGCGGCGGCCTGCTAAGCCGTTGGGATTTCCCGCGTGAGTTCGAGTCTCACAGGCATCGATTTTTTTTATATTTCAATTTTTACTATTATTTATATCTATTATTACTATAATAAATTTATCATATATTATAATATAATTATTAACTATTATTACAAACAAATATTCTAAATTATTTTATTATATTTATAATAAAAATTTCAGCTAAATCTNGTAATTGTTTAGATTTAAATTTTGGACTTTATTGCCAATTTTAATCATCTAAAATATATAGCAATATATATTATAAACTAACAATAGAATCTTATAAATGGATATATTTAAAATATGAATTAAGTACAACTAATATAGAATTTTAATGTATAAATGAAGTATAGGATGTATGTAAAATATTTGATAATAATGTAGTTTATAGCTTTGTTTTTTAAAAAACACCTTAAAAGATAATTCCAACAATAGAAAATAGTTAGAAATTAAAGTCTATAACAAATATTTAAGAATAATTAATAAATAATCAAACAAATAATAATGCTGACGTAATCTATATAGGACTTTATAATAATTAATCAAAAACAATAGATTTATAATTTAAAATAGTTACTTATAATGATGATAATAATGAATCTATGTTTGAACGTAATAAAATAATTATTATAATAACTGCTTGTGTAATTGCAACTTTATTATTATTTGCTATTGGTATATCTGCATTAAGAACTAGAAAATAAAAATAAATTAGAAAATAAGTATAAGAAGATATACGTAGAAATTTAAATAATGATTAATAATAAACAAATAGAGTATTTAATCCAGCTATATATAAAGGTAATATTAATATAATTAATAAGGTTTCTAAATTAGATTTATTAAAGATCATTTTAAAGCTCATTATTATGATAAATTTATATTAGTATATCCTGGATTATCATAATTTTAAGAATGTGCTGTTTGTTTAGAATAAATGAATAAAGCAAATAATAAATTATAAAGAATTTGTTCTGTAACACCTTGTTTTCATATTTTTCATTATATATGTCTTTAAGAATGGTTATTAAGATAAAAAAATTGTCCATTTTGTAGAACTGAATATACTAGAAAAAAGATTATTTAAGATTTTCCATGGTTAGATATTGGAAATTTATAAATCAAAAATACTGATTCTAATTATTTATCTAGAATGAAAAATTAAATTGAAAGTGTTAATGAAAGTCGTATAGAATTAAATAATCATTAATAAATATAATAAACACATTAATTAGAAGAAATTAAAGATTGATTATTATTTATACTATAAATAATTATCATTAATAAACCTAATAGATTAGATGCTTTGGCCGAGTGGTTAAGGCGGCGGCCTGCTAAGCCGTTGGGATTTCCCGCGTGAGTTCGAGTCTCACAGGCATCGATTTTTTTTATATTTCAATTTTTACTATTATTTATATCTATTATTACTATAATAAATTTATCATATATTATAATATAATTATTAACTATTATTACAAACAAATATTCTAAATTATTTTATTATATTTATAATAAAAATTTCAGCTAAATCTATTTATTTAACTTAATTTATGAATTGGGTTATTACTACAAAGAAAGATAATTAATGCTGAAATTGATCACTTTAGCATTTTCAATACAATGAATATGCTATTCCGATAAAGTTTAATTTTGTGCATCATGATTTCAAAATAGACAATGTGTTATTATATTTTAGATTTGAGCTCAATAATAATTTTGAATATACATTGATATAATATTTGATAGGTTATAATAAAAGAAAAAGTTCAATTTTAGTTAACCATTATATAGAATTGTCATCTTACAATATTCTTAAATCAAATTGAAGTTTTCTTTATTATTTCTTACTTAAATTAATAGGATGCAGATTATTCATAAATCTTATTAAAATTAATTAAGACTTTTATCATAAATTCTTTTACTATATTTTTATTTTCAAGATAAAAAATAATTATAATCATTTTTTTCATCTAATTTTAGATCACCTATTAGAATTATAACCTATCATATTATAAATTCATGAGTATAATTAATGAATCACAAATTTAAATTGTAAATTATCAATTTGAAAATTAATAAAATTATTTTAAATAAAAAAAACAACCCGTCACATGGATTCAATTCAATCCTTTTTTAACTCAAATTCATCTTTTACTCCTTCTTCTCCTTAAAAGACTAGGTAATTATGCATTTTTTATAAAGACCTCTTCCAAGTCCTTCCTTAGTTAGCCTAGAGGAATTCAATTTAAACGACATTTTCCCAGAAGAACTAAACTCAAGAAAGTCTTCAGGCTAGAGGTTTGATAAACCTATTTTAGTAATTGAGTATTTAGTAGAAAAACTCAAACTCTATGAATGAATTTTATTGGAATAAAAAAACTTAAGAAAAAACAAAGAAAGAAAAATAGTATAATCACTAATTTGTATAAATAATATTTTTTTCTTTAAATCTCATTAAAATAAGTAAATTAAAGTTCCTTGTATACCAAATTGAACTGGATTTCCAGTCTAAAATCAAATATAAATATTTTGGTTTTTGCATTATTTAATTTTTATTTTTTATACATAATCTTACTTTATCTGAAGAGCTTAAAGTCTTATCTTAATGAAAATTAAATTAAAATTTGATTTAAATTGCTGAATTTAACCGAATAGAATGTGTATAAATATATAACTAATCTATGGTTAATTATAAAATTATTTGATAGTTTAATGATACAAACATTTCATATAAAATAAAAGCTAATATATTATTTGTTAATAATTATTGCATCACTTGTTCTAAGACTATTAACTTCATACTCTTTAGTAATTATATCAATTCTACAATAAGCAATATGTTTAAACTCAAAAAATCTTGAAAAAATTCATTGTAAAAATATTATTTGATAATTCTGGAATTCATTATAAAATTATAAAATTAACAAAAATAAGGAAAAAATTATTCTTAAATTATCTATTAGGTCAAATGAAATAAATTGAAGAAGATGTACTTAAAGAAAATATATTTTGTTATTCAAATAGTGCAATATAAAAATTATAAGATTTAAATTAAATAGATAATAACAATCTATATAGTGAATTCTTCCAATATAATAATTAAATGAATTAATATTTTTCATAAAAATAAAAGTCAAACAAAGTAAAATTCTTAAATAATATGACCATATAAAAATTATAATAATGCCTATGATCCTTGATGTTTTTCGTGATTTTATACTTTCCTAAAATAATGTATTTTGTTTATGTAAGCATTCTCATAAAAATAAGTCAAAATACTAATATTTTTTGTAAATATTGTTTATATTGATACTGAAAAATATATGAGTAAAATCTTAAAAATATATAAATTAAAAGCTTAACAATATTATATTAACTATAATTCTAATGCTTAAATGAATTATTAATTTACTTATCTTTGATTGAATTCATAAAACTTATCTAAATAGATATTTTTTCTAAATTAAAACCTTGTATATATCATAATTTTTAATAAGAATTAAATAAATTTTCTGAAAACTGAAATGATTTATTGAAACAATTGGCTAAGATGAATGCAATAAATTTTTGGAATATATATAGAACTATTTAAGATAAAATGAGATGAAGAATAGGTTTTCTTCTATAAAATAAAATATTCTTAAAAATAGAAACTGATTGAATATTAAGATTTAAATTGAAAAATTTATGATATTTTTTAATTATCTTGAAATTGCTATAAATAATAATATCAAAAAAGGAGGTTTGTACTTGTTTCTAAAATCAAATCATTTCTCATTAAGTTAAAATAGGATATAAAATTGATGGATAGAATTAATATATTAAAACAAAATAGGTCTATAAAACAATTTTCATAGAATAAAGAGGATAAGGTAATGCAGGCATCAATTAGATAAGAATATTTCAAATTTAATGATTAAAGAAAATGATTGATTGTAAATGGGATTAGATGTGTGATTTTCTATTTGAATGAATTTGAATATGAAAAACTTCAGATTAGTACATGATATTGACAGAATATCTATATGAAATGCTAAATCTAATATCTTTTGATAACTAATTATATCTTATTCTGGCCAAAATTCCTTGTTCATTTGTACATATAATATTTTCAATGTTTTTGATGGATAACATTTCATTTTTGAATGAGTTTTAAGTATATGGATTTGTTTAAAAAAATTGAGTCTAAAGAAAGATTAAGTGGTTAATGATAATTCAAAATAAATTTTGCTTTTTGTATTGTTGAAATATTCTAAGAAGAATGATGAAAAATTAAAAAATGATAAGATTTGTATTCGTTATGGGTTTATCTTTATATTTGTGCTTTAATAATAATACTCATGATGTTTATGATAAAATCAAGGACACAATAAGTCCATACAATGCCAAAGCCTCTGCAAAAATCAAAATCAAAATCATTCCTACGAAAATTCTGTCTTATTAAGCATTAGCTCTGACTCCTGCATCACCAACTATTCCAATTGATAATCCTGCAGCCTAAAATCTGTAAAATAAATATATCTTACTAAAGAGCTTAATCCACAACATAATCCAGCAGATAAATAAGCATATCCTTATTTTGATGCTGATGCTGCTGTTATTGATGAAACTATTTATTATATAAAATATCAATACCTTTTCCTTATAAAATAACACCAACAATCATCCCATAAATTCCCAAAATACCAGCCATGACAACTGGAATAACAGACTTCATAATTAAATCTGGTTTTAAAACACCCATAGAACAGATTCCGACTCCAGATTTTGTGGCACCATATGATGATCCCAAATCTACAATAAAATATAGAATTACTGGCAAAAACAACTGCAGATGCAACACCAATATATCCAAAGAAGTAAGCAGAAGGTTCAATAGTCTCAGCCATTTTTTAATATTTATTTTATTTAATGGAAATTAAAGATTTAATATATACATAAAAATGCAAATTAATCACTTAAATAATTCCATATTATGTTCCAAAATGTCGATTCGTATTTTCTTATCTTTTTAAATGACAAGAAGTTCAAGCATTATAACAAAGTTAACAAATAAATTTAACACTTTATTAGAAAATTATACAAAANATATTTCAAATTTAATGATTAAAGAAAATGATTGATTGTAAATGGGATTAGATGTGTGATTTTCTATTTGAATGAATTTGAATATGAAAAACTTCAGATTAGTACATGATATTGACAGAATATCTATATGAAATGCTAAATCTAATATCTTTTGATAACTAATTATATCTTATTCTGGCCAAAATTCCTTGTTCATTTGTACATATAATATTTTCAATGTTTTTGATGGATAACATTTCATTTTTGAATGAGTTTTAAGTATATGGATTTGTTTAAAAAAATTGAGTCTAAAGAAAGATTAAGTGGTTAATGATAATTCAAAATAAATTTTGCTTTTTGTATTGTTGAAATATTCTAAGAAGAATGATGAAAAATTAAAAAATGATAAGATTTGTATTCGTTATGGGTTTATCTTTATATTTGTGCTTTAATAATAATACTCATGATGTTTATGATAAAATCAAGGACACAATAAGTCCATACAATGCCAAAGCCTCTGCAAAAATCAAAATCAAAATCATTCCTACGAAAATTCTGTCTTATTAAGCATTAGCTCTGACTCCTGCATCACCAACTATTCCAATTGATAATCCTGCAGCCTAAAATCTGTAAAATAAATATATCTTACTAAAGAGCTTAATCCACAACATAATCCAGCAGATAAATAAGCATATCCTTATTTTGATGCTGATGCTGCTGTTATTGATGAAACTATTTATTATATAAAATATCAATACCTTTTCCTTATAAAATAACACCAACAATCATCCCATAAATTCCCAAAATACCAGCCATGACAACTGGAATAACAGACTTCATAATTAAATCTGGTTTTAAAACACCCATAGAACAGATTCCGACTCCAGATTTTGTGGCACCATATGATGATCCCAAATCTACAATAAAATATAGAATTACTGGCAAAAACAACTGCAGATGCAACACCAATATATCCAAAGAAGTAAGCAGAAGGTTCAATAGTCTCAGCCATTTTTTAATATTTATTTTATTTAATGGAAATTAAAGATTTAATATATACATAAAAATGCAAATTAATCACTTAAATAATTCCATATTATGTTCCAAAATGTCGATTCGTATTTTCTTATCTTTTTAAATGACAAGAAGTTCAAGCATTATAACAAAGTTAACAAATAAATTTAACACTTTATTAGAAAATTATACAAAATATAAGAAAAATAAATTAAAGTTATAATATGAATTAACTGAAAATATCATATATATTATAAGAATTCTGTAATAATTCCTAATAAATATTGTCTATTGATATATAACTTGCTTGAAAGAAAATTATTGATTATATAATATTTTCTATTTACAAGATATTATCAATATCAACTTATTTTATATTATTTCTTAGGATTTATAATTTTTACTTTAATTATGGTATACTGATGATTATTTAATATTAAAAATGAATTAGAATATTAATATTTAACTTGATAATTCCCTAAGATTAATGCCTAGTGTTATTTTTATTAATTAATTCTTGAAATTGGATTCGATTATAAATTTTAATTGAAAAATTTATAGAGAGATAGATGTTCTATATTATTGACTTGTTTGTTTATACCTCAAGTTAATAATGATTTTTTAATTATCATATAACTATATATAATAAATAAATACATTAATATAATAATATTTTGTAATGAGTGTTAAAGTATAATTAATACATTCACAATGGGATGATATTAGGAAAGTATTAAGAGCCACTTAAAGAAAACTTACTAATAGTAATAATCTTTCACTTACTAATTGCGTTCCTATAAATAACAGTTAAGATTAAGTCTAAAGGGAAGCAAACTATTCAGATAATGAATTAGAATTTTATAACAGCAACCCTCATGCATTATTATTAATCAAAGATACTTGTCGAAGTGTATTAATTTAATTAATTTTTAGACACAAGGCGAAAATTTTATTTGAGCTAAAAAAGAAGAGAACTTTCTTCATAAAATGACTAAGAGTTTTATAGTTAACTATAAAGTAGAAGAGAATAAGTAAAAAAACAAAGAATTCTTTACAGTAATGTTGCCAATTTTGAAAAAGCAATCAAATAAATAACTACTCCAAAATTAGGCATGACAAGACTTTCAACCAGAATGAGATAACATAGTCAAGAGATCTAACCAAATAAGACAAACCAAATTAAATTAAATTAATTGGATACAAATAAAATAAATAAAGTAATTCCAAATGAAACTCATTATGGTTATTCAAGTAGTCATTAAAAACAAATTAAAATGAACTCTAACAATCTATGGCATAGAATAAAATCTCCTGCTCTAGAAAATAAGGATAATTTTACTTAGATATTGAAAAAAAGATTCAAAAAATAAAATGATTTATTCCTTGACATCTCTTGCTTCAATTATGAATCGTTATCGCTATTAAATTAAGCAAAGACACCTACTTTATATTATTAATGATTTTCTATAAATATTTTTATTTTAATGAAATAAAGACCTTAATTAGCATGTGATGCAGTTTGTTTTAGAAAACTTGAAAATGATGTCAAAAAAGTTTTATTAATAACAAGAGGACGTGAACCATTTTTAGGAAAATACGCTTTTCCAGGAGGACATTTAGATTATGGAGAAGATCCAATTTAATGTTGTTTAAGGGAACTTAATGAAGAAACTGGAATATTAGGGCTAAGTGTTGATTTGATTGATGTAAAAGGATCTCCAGATAGAGATCCAAGAGGACATTATGTTTCTATAGTTTATAAAATTGAAGTCCCAAATGATGCTGAACCTGTGGCAGCAGATGATGCTAAAACTGCATAATGGGTTAGTGTTGAAGAAATGCTTAAATTGGGTAAGGAGGCATTTGCATTTGATCATTATGAAATCTTAGAATAAGCTCATAAAAAATTTCCATGAATAATAATATTTTAAATAAATATATCAGATTATTTATAATAAATATATAATGAAGCAGTTTCTTTAATAATTTCTTTTATTCTAATTAAATTATAAATTGATGAATTTTATTGGCATAAATGAGAAAAAGTTTGCATTAGCAGTTTTAAGGCTCCTTCATTTTCTTTTTCTTTTTTTTATAATTCATTGATTTTATTAAGAAGTTATGGAGATAATTATACAGATTAATATAAATAATATTGTTTTTTAGAGCCTTTATTCATAATTCTTCTAATAATTTAGAATGATATTTAAGTTTATATTGTTTTAATATTGAGTTTAAAGTCACAATACCAAATTGTATAATTTATTAGAATGACTGAGTATGTGTAGATTAAAAATTTATAAATTAAATATATTAACCTAGTTAGTATTAAATTTTTATTATATTATCCTTAATCTTCTTAGAATTCTTCCATGTGATGGTATACTTTATAATTTTTTCTAAATAAGTATATCTCTGGTTTTATAGACTTATAATTAATTAAATTGTACTTGAATAAGATTGCTTTCTGTAATATAAGTATGATTAAATGATTAACAATCAACCTTTTTTGAACTTATATAAAATATAACTTTACTTATTGTTTATTTTCGAGGTAACTAGTAACCCTAAGATTAATTATCAAAAATGAGATTGTACATTATTAATTTATAAAAATTAACTAGATTCTTTATAATTAATCTCATATCTAAATAGGTACTCTCTATAAATTAGGACTTTGATGTTAAGATTAAGAATCTGTGAGTGGAGATGAATTTGGGGAATTGAGTCTCAAGGGTGATTATAAAGGAGAAGCATATTAGGCAAATCTTCTTTTTAAATCTTATTTATATCTTTATGGTGATAATTATAGAGAATGTGTCTATAAATCTGATTTATTTTTTAGGCTTTCTAAACTTATTTAATGACTTATTGGATGATTAGCAAAATTGTGTTTTTTAAAGAAAGGGCTTAGCTTAACTTGATCAAGAGTGAATCTATTTTGAGGGTTTGGATCCAACATACCTCTTAAAAGATCAAGGCACTCATTGGTAAAACTGAATTAAGTCATATCTACATGACCATTCTAATTTGCCTTCACCGTTGTATCATAATTATTAGAATCAAAAGGTCCCTTTCCAACAAGAAGATAATATAAGAGTATACCACAACTATATACATCAACTTTATGATCATAAATTTTATCTTATAATAATTCTGGAGCAACATAACCTGGTGTTCCACATCTAGTAAACATGTATTTACAATCTTTTCTGTAATAATCTGCCAATCCAAAATCTGCCAGGATAACCTAATCAATTATTCCTTCTTCTCTCAAAATTATATTTTCAGGTTTAATGTCTCTATGAAGTATGCCATGAAAATGAACATAATGTAATGCCTCAACAACTTATTAAATTATTATAAATGCTTTTCTCTCTGTGAATGTTTTGTTTTTCATTACTTCCTTATGCAATTCTCCTCCTTAATATAATTCTTGGACTAAATAGATGTAATAGTCGTTTTCATAAATTTCTTAAATACTGACAACATTTTTATGATTCATCAGTCGTAAAAGTTCAATTTCTTTTAAAAGAGCTAACTTATCTTTGCATTACAATATCGTTTTATCAAACACTTTCACAGCTAATTCTTTTCTATCGCTAATTCTTTGAATTTTAAAAACCTTAAAATGTTTAAGTTATAGTACTTTAGCAAAACCCCCTTTGCCAATTAAACTAATTATGCTATATTCATTAGAAAAATGAGACTAGATACACCATTTTTTCATGTAAACAAACCATTATTCAACAAGTCCATAAAACCTAAAGTTTACTCCATTTTTAGTTAGAGATACCCCAAGTCCCATTTTAGGATGATTAACAATCTCTAAAAAAGCATTAGTTATGTTAAAATATTTTTAGAAAGTGTGCTAGATATTAGTTTTATATGATACTTTCTCATTTTATATGATAAGATAATTCCTCTAAAGAACAAGGATCTTCGTTTTAAACTTGTCATTTTTTGGAATAAAGAACTACTCTTTGAGGGATTTTGGAAAAATCTCAATTTGTCTCTCCAATTCAAAAGGGGATGTAAAATCAAAATAGAACTTTTTGTCTTAACTCATAAATTTCAATTTATTATTATTAAAATCTTACATTTTTTAATTTATATTAAATGAAAATGAGCCCAATAAACGCAATAAATCTTTAATACTAAAAGAACATTAGTTAGAAATATCAATACTATAAAGTACTAGAATTCTAATTGATCATTTTAATTATTTAATGAATAAGATTATAAGTGTTAAATTTATAAAGTAGTAAATAATTTTAATGGAGAGTAAGACACAATCAAAGTATTTGATTATATTATTTGACTTATCAAATAATTAATTAATGGATTCTCCAAATATTATTTAAATATGTAAGTGAGTTCTATCATAATAAAGAATTTATATCATAGCTGTATATTATAATTAATATTGGAGTATGAATTATTTTTGTAAACAAGCGACTTAATATAAATCATTATGAATAAAGATTTTTTGTAACCGACTTAATTTTACAAATAAATTTTAAATAGTTTTTGGATAGAATAACCTTCGGTAAACTTAATTAGGGATATCAAATGTGCAATATTTTTATTAATATATTGTTTTATATTTTTAGTACCCCTATTTAATTCCCCAAAAAAGTAGTTAATGTCTCTAAATATTAAAGATTTCATTATAAAAATATTTTCAAGTAAACATAAATAAAAAATAATCTACTAAATCATTGATTTTTTATATAAAATCAAGATTACTTTAAGTGGATCCTTTAAAATCTCAAGAATTCATATTTGATATAATAAAAATAAAAAGATAATGAAAGGAAGTGAATGTTAAGTATTTCTTTTTATGTTAAAGTAATGATTGAGGAACAACTTATTAATATTAAAATATATTAGAATTTCAGTTTCTTATTTCTAATGATATATCCATAATATAGAATTTAAAATTTGAATATCAGAATCTAAAATATTTATATACATAGATATTAAATTTTATTTTAATAAACTAAAAATTCACAATTAATTATGTGAATAAATAAATTAATATTAATGAATATAAAAAATCATTCTTTAATATACAATTATACTTTTGATCTGAAAACATCGATAGCTTATAACATTATTTCTTTAGCTTCATATTATCCTACACTTTCAATAGAGACTACACTTAAAATCTATGATGATTACAAATAAAATGATTATCTATTTTATTTAATTCAACATCTTTGTCAAATCCATTGGCTTCTCTTATACATTCTCTACAAGTAGTGCAATTTCTTGGATTCACAACTTTTATTTAATTTCCTTTTATTCCAAATACTTTCATAGGACATATGGATGCCAACTTCTCTTATCTTTTATTATCTAATTAATTTTTAATAGTAATTGATGGCATTAATTTATAGAAGGCAGTGCATACAGGAGACCTAAAAATTAATTTTATAAGATACCATTTTGCATGCCTTTTACCTAATCCTTTCTCACAAATTAATCTTAAGTTGAGTTCTTAATTTTCCCTCAATTTAGCAATAATAATATTTGAATGAACTGGACGAATTGGATTAGCAGAAAATAATTTAGCTTATTGTCCTTTTGGTTACCAAATTAAACTGCTAGAATATACTGTTGTATTTGTATATTATTATTCTATAGGGTCATCCTATTTGCTATTTGGTTTTTTCTCACATTTTGCAACTAATGTAAAATCTATTGAATTCAATTCATTATATTCTTCTTAATCATCTTTTTCAATAAATTATAAAGGATCTGCAATTATAGGTATTAATCTAATATTTTTTCTATTTAATTACCCTAATCTATGAGCTAATACTTCATCTGGTATTACACTGGTGTTTTGGATTACTTAAACTTTATGAATTGCCATTGTAGGGATCTTTGTTTACATAAGAATTTACTTCAGCAATCATTATTCTTCTTAAAGAATTAGCTATTGGAGCATCAATATTTATTATCTCAAATACTATTTTCTCATCTGTTTTTGACAGAATATTAATTTCTAAATCTCTTTAAAATTATTTAATATTAAATCTTTCTTATTTAAAAGGCTACACTTTATCGTAAATTAAATATACTTTCATTATTTGATCTTCTTTGAATTATAGTTTATGCTAATCCATTAATTTATTTTTAATTAAAAACTAAAATATTTTTATATATATAAACAACTTTCATGTTTCATTTGAGAAAGTCTGTTCTAACAGTTTAGAATAATCAGGAATTAAATCTAATATCTCTTACAATCCTGGTCTTCCTATATCATTTAATTAAAATTGAGAAGTTCCACCTCTTGGAACTGGAGACTTGTCTGAAGATACATCTACATATTCAAACATTGGGTATTCAATTACAAAATTATATTGGTCAGACATTCTAATCATTAAAATTATAAATACTAAATGTATGGTTAATACTTGGTCCATATTAATGTATAGAGTTTAATTTAATCAAGGAATGCATTCTTTAATTCTTATGATACTCCTATTTCATTAATATTGATTTTAGATGGAGTTGTCATACTATTGAAATCTTTCTAGACTTGTCCATGCTATAATCTTTTATATTATTTTATATTACTCTCTTTCAAGAAGATAATTCACACTATTTTTATCTAAAGCAGTTTCAATTGAACTAAATTATAAAGCAGGCCTATTAAAAATCAAAAATTATTACACTGAATCTAAATCGAAATTCTTTTAGAGAGGACATTAAAATCCTTAACATAATTCATTGTATAAATGATCAATTTATTATTTATTAACAGAAGACACTCTCTAAATATTGAATAATAATTTACCTAATTTAGATTATTAGTTTAATCATTTTCCTCCTTAATTTGAGTTGTATTATCCTCTTATTCTTCAATTACTTCACCTTCTTCAAATTCATCATCATCATCATCATTATTTTATATTTATTTAACTTCTTAATTATCATTTTATATTTCAATCTCTTCTCCACTCACAAAGTCATCTTCATCAATTTTTTATTGTTCTTCTTCAACTAATTTATCCTCTTTATCTAATACAATAATTTCTTCTTCTGATTCTGTATCGCTATTATGATTTAATTATTATTATTATTATTATTATTATTATTATTATTATTATTATTATTATTATTCTACTTATTCTACTTAATTATCTTCAATCTAATTAATTTACTCTTATATTTTTATAATATTTTCTTCTGTGTTCTAAATTTATATTTCTTCTCCTTCCTCAAAATCTTCATCTTCATTTTATTATTCATTTTCTTCTCCATGTATACTTTATTATTAAATATCATTATTTTTGGCTATTATTTGTTATTCTATCTCAGAATTTTAAATAATTTCTTCTAAATGATTTTCCTATTATTATTCAATAATTTATTAATTTTCAATACTCTTTGAACTCTGATATTCTTGGTTTTAAGTTTGCTCAATGAATTGTACTTGAATTTCATCATTTTAAATATTTTATTATATTTGAATTGGTTAATTATCATCTGTAATAATTATTTATTCTTCATCATCATCATCCATTTCCTCAACTTTTTTAGATTGAATTTATTGATCAGTGTTAATTTATACTTAATTGCTTGGATTATTATTTTAGATTTCTTCTCCATCCACAAAATCATCATCATCAAATTGATCACTCATCAATAATTAAAATTTATGAATTAATAAATGTATATTATCTCATATATTGATAATCCATTCAATCAATTTAAATTTTAGATAGTAAATTGTGAATATAATAGTAAGGAGAAATAAAATTAGAAAGAATTTAGATAATTAATTTTAAATATCTAAAATTGAATTTAATCTATTTATGTATTCTAGAATGATAATATCATCTATAGTAATTAAAAAATCAATATAAAATTTGAATGAGGAATACTTTAATTTAAATTCTCTATGCTTTGATAATTCTTATAATATTTTTCTTTTTTTTATTTAATTTAATTGTAATCTAAATAAATTTAATATACATTTGTAATTTGATTTTAACTATCACTTTTACTTCAAATTTAATATTATATTTAAGAATTTAATATAAATATATATTAAAAATAAAAATAATAGAATCAATTATTGGGCAAAAATTTTATTCTACTGTTGCTGCTCTAGTGTAAATTTAAATTTCTAGTAGATTAAGATTATTATAATGGTTGAAATTAACTTTATTATAAATTGTTTATTTATTATGGGGAGTTTAAATCCAAAGGATTTTAATAGTTGGTTTGTATTCTTTAATATTGTTGATAATTAGTTGATGTTAATTATTATTCTTAAAATGCTTAATTATTTGTACTTTACATTATAGTAATAGTATTAGACCTTTATATTTAATGGTTTGATTATTAATTTTAATCATTTTTTTAGATTGATTATTATTATTCATTTGTTTAATCTTATTACTTAATTATACTTTTTCTAATTATTTTCATTTTCTCATTGTTTTTGAATTGTCCTAATAAATTACAAATAGTTCCAATATCAGGTCTTCTATTTGGATCTCTGTGCAGGCATTAAGCAATAATATTGATGAAATTGATATCATAATTAGTAGATTATAAACTTCTTTAGATAGCCTCTTAACTATAATATTAAACAAATTAATCATCTTTTAAATGTCTTGGTCCTATTTTATAATCACCAATATATTTTCCTTTATTTGCAATAGTTAAAAAAATTAAACCTAATTAGAATATATCATATTTAAAAGATTAATATGTTTCTGGGGGATCATAGTTTTGAGTATAAGAGCTATCTACATTGGTTTATGTGACATTGATTTCTCCTTAAATTTACTTAGAACAGTCAAAATCAGCAACATAACTAACGGAATGAGATAAATTTTCATTGTCAATAAATACATTCTCAGGTTTTAGATCTCTATGAATTACTTATTTTTCATGCAGAATTTTTAATGCTATTTTAAAAAAAATATTATACAATCTGCAGTTCTTGATGCAATAACATATACATCTTTTCTTATTTATTCTTCAGTTTAGTCTCTTTTTGGCCAAGTCTTAAATTGATTTGCTAATGTTCCAAAAAATTTCCTAAATAGTAAAAATGCATATTATTAAATTCTAATATATGCAAAGCAGGTTGCTACATTTTCATTATTTGAGAACAACTCCATTAATTCAATGTCTCTCTAAATTTATTATAAGATAGATTTTTAAGAATCCTCATTACTTCTAATTTCAGTTGATTTATATACAATATCATCAGTTAAATTAGGATAAATAGAAAAGACTTCATTTTTCTTAAATTATTTGACAACACAATTTCCTTAATATAGTTAATCCAATTTATCAATTTTCAACAGATATTGTAATACTTTTTCATATTTTGGATCCAATCCACTTTATTAATGAATATTACCATTTTTTATAAACAAATATTCAAGTATCTAATCAAAACTTTATTAATTCTTTAAATATGCCATTTCTTAAAATTTTTATTCATGAATGAAATATTAGGTGAAAAATTTCCAGAAGTTATCTAAATAATTTAATGGTTAATTAAATTTGGTAAAATCATATTCCAATAATGAAATATAAATTATGCCATCAATAAAATAAATTTGATTAATAGAATTAAGTGGCCAATAAAATTTTCTTCTCTAAAATTCAGCAAATACTAATATAATAATATATTTTATACTTAAGACAAGTTAGAGTAAGATTTTAAATCCTTCTTATTAAATGATGTTTTTTAATTTCTATTCATTTAAAAGATGTTAATAAAGATTTTAATAGATAAGAAAGTGTTCATCCTGGGTGCAACAATACTTTTCTGGTTGTAATACATTTAAGTATTTTAGGATTCTGTATCTATAAAGATCTTTCTCATCAATATTTTATTTTGGAATTCCAATAGAAACTAATTAAGTGTAATTCTATTAAGAAAACTTAGACACAATACGGCTAACATTATTTTGTATTCCAAACTACTGTGCATATCCTTATTCTATTATTGAGTAGTTGTAGTAGAAATCCATGTAAGTCTATTAAAATATATTATTAAAAATTTTAATAAACTTAAAATGAATAAAGGAGATTTAAATATGAAGTTCTATTTATATACTTATTTAAAATTACCAATCAAATTTTTACTTGGAAGAAAGATACAAAATTATATTGATAATTTAGATTATGAATCCTTTAATATATGTATATCATTATGATGATGAAGTTCTTAATTTTTTAGTTTTTAAAAGTTTAATAAGAGTTTGAAATATATTTAGGATTGATTTAAAAATGAGAATATGATTAATCTAAAATAATTTATTATGAAAATTGAAACACAAAAACAATAGAAGTGATAAAAACATAGATTATAATTTAATGATGATTGATAAACTCTAGAAAACAATAATATATATTTAAGTTAAATAATAATTTTAATTTTAACTAATATCTTAAATTGAATATATTATTAAATATAAAATTCTTTGTTTTTTCTAATATCTTGTTAATCTTATTGAGCAAATTATGAAATCATATTTATCAATCAAATATATTTAATAGAAATAAAAAAAGTTTATCAATCTAATTAATTAATAGAAATACAAAATTAATTAATTAATTAGAAAATGAAATATAAAATATATATAATTACTAAGACTGAATATAAGTATGATAAATATTAATAAATGAATTTTCTTAGCATATAGGATTTATTAAATAGGTAATTAAATAAATAAATATATTAATTATTTGATGTAAAATAAATATATACCTATAACAAAAAATATACCTAAAACAATTTTAAATAGAAGGTTTAAAAAGCTATAAGAATTAATAGATAATGAAGAATATTTTAGTGAAGAATAAATTAGAATGAGAGATGTACTATAATTTACAATTTTAGATTATAGCCATTATTATATTTTATTTATGTCGGATAGTATATTCGTAATTAGAACAAAAAACCAGATTCTAATTTTAATTTATCAGAAATATTAATCGATTAAATTTAGAAATAAGAATATGAAATTCGTTTATAAGAAATGTATGATAAATTAGGTCCAAATCATGATTATCCAAGTATATATTAAATAAAGATTAGATTTAATGATTGAGGCAAGAATAAAAGATACAGATTTAGAGGATTAAGAGGATATATTAATACGTTTAATGCATGATAGATTCATTAATGGATTAGACAAAGATTTCATTAATTATGAATAGATTGATTTAAATGAGTACATTTAAATCTAATTTTAGAGATTATGATGATTAAAAATAAATGAATTTAGATATAGAAGAGGAATATTTTGAGAATTAAAACATAGATTTAAGAGAAGAAGAAGTTAAATAATCAGAATATACAGGAATTCAGGATTATTGAAATTAATTAATATAAAAATATATAATCATTCATGAAATGTTTCTTTCATACTTTTAGGTTAATTATTGAAATTATCAATAATGTGTTTCATTCTATCTTATATTTTTTCTAGTGAATCATTCATAACCTTCATTTTAATTTCAATTGCTTCTTGAATTTCATTCCCTTTTTGTTGATCATCCATATCTTCTTCAGCAAACCTTGCTCTAATATAATAGAATATTTATATATTACCGTTTTATAGGCATCCAACTGATATCTTTCATATCAATTTTTTCCTTTATATAAGATTCATTGCCATTGTAATCATTTTCATCCTTATGTTTTAGATATGCATAATAATAAATGTAATTCCACATATAATGTTCTTATTCTATATGTTCTTAAAATCCTACACCTCCACCTTCATCATTCTTTTCAAACTTCTCTCTTGTTATACCACAAATAAAACATTTCATTGTCTAATCTTTTATTCTTTCTTAAAGTTTTTCTCTTAATGAACCAAAAGTATCTACTATAATACCTTAAATCATATTTAACATAATCATCACTAATACTATATTCACAGCATTATCAAATATAAATCGACTAACATAATTAGATGTAAATGAATGATCTACTCCATCATATTCATTTTATGATTAATTAACTCTAGCCCATGGATTACTAATCATATCAAAATTTTGTGTTAAAGTATTAATTGTATCATAATCCTTTATTCCTGAACCCAATGCTCCTGTAAATTTAAATGTTAAATCGAAACTCATAAAAACACATTACCACATTGTACTACATCCTCTTTCACAATTTATATTATCATTATCTGATTATAATTAACAACCTAAACCATCTACAATTGGATAATCATTAAAGAATATTACAAATCCTAATATCCCAACATAATATTCAATAACTGCTAATAGAAGTAATGCTAATCCTATTTCTTCTCTAGGACCCCATATTGCATCTAATACAGTCTTTAATTATTCCAATTTTAAAAAATCCATTAAATGAAATGCAAAGAAAAAAGGATGAACTGTTAAACCTACTATTCCTGCTATAATATAAATACAATAATATAATATATCAGGATCCTACAATAAAATAAAAAAGCTTTTAATACTTCTAACACTTACATCAAATATAGTATTAATTAATTTTTTTTATTTTTGATAATCCTCCCAAATATGATCCACTTTAAGAGGAGCTCTTTTAACCAAAAAAAAGAATACAATTAATGAACTGAAAACAAGCATTGTTATTCCTAATCCTTAAATCATAAGAGGAGTCCATGTTGATTATTTATATCCAAATATTCTTGGATCTTGAAGTCTTTCATATATTAAATCTCCTGTAACTCCTTAATCACCTTCATTATAAAAGTCTTATGAATAACTCAATAGCACAATGAAATTGATTACTAAAGTAGTCACAAAAGCCAAATTTTCCCATAATTTCCCTTATGAAGCAAAAAATGCAAATATAGGATTTTTTGCAAAGATTTAATTTAATTTTTCTTCATAAACCATTACTTTTATTAGAAAATTAGCTCTCTCCATTAAATATGTTAATTTAGTTTTACTGCTGGTTCTATTGACTGAATCATGAAATTCTAGTCTAGCAGTCTTTGGCAAATTACAAATTGGTAATTTAGGAAAATAAATAGTATATAATTTTTAATCTCTTATCATATCAATAGAGCATGTATTCTATCTAAAAAATCTGATTGCATCTTTAGTTAATCTTTTTTATTCAATTTTTTCTTAAAGTAATTTTTCTTATATTACTTTGTCTTATTTTTATTCTTCTTCAGATTTTTAAGTTAAAGCAATCTATCCTATAAAGTTTCCTCCCAATTTGGCTATATTTTCTAAACCTGAAAATATGTTGGCTATTGCATTTTCTTCAACCTTACTTTTTTCAGAAAATTCATTCAATACATCATTCATTTCAGTATCTTCATATAATAATTATTTAGCTTTTTAATTGTCTAAAAATTATTACATTAATAGTAAAATAAAAAAGCCATTTTCAATAATAAATTCATAATATTATGCTGGTTATTCATTTGTAATTTTCATTTCAGCCCTTTAAAATAATTCTTCATTATATGTTCCTCCAAAGTTTTTAAATAATTTATATACTCTTGTTAAATTGTTTGTTAATACATTTAAAGGTATTACTCTTACTAATCTGGCTATATCTGAATTCTATGGTTCACAACATTCCAATAAAGAAACCAAACAATTTAAACATTTAAACTTTAGTCTTGCCAATTAACCAGGATGAATAGATATACGATACTATTTCTCTCCATCATATTTAAAATATTCATTAGATTACTCAAAGATTTTTTCATCTTCTGATATTATTAAAACTACATATTCTAATAAATTGCTTTTTATTAGAGTTTATTAATTCTATTTACAAGGTCCTTATATTAATTCTGTCAATGTCTCAAAACATTATAAAACACTTTCATAATTACCCTTAGATATTTGAAATGTATAAAGCAATAATATAATCTATGAAACTAAATCATATGAATTTTTCTAATTAAATTGTGATCTCATATAATTTTGTAGATCTTAATTATGCCCTTCACAAAATAGCTATATAAGTTTTAGGGCTTTGCAGACTAATTTATTTTCTTAATCATTTAGTTTATGTGCTCTACTCATTGATAATATTTGCATATCAAAAACATCCTTAAATTATTTGAAGAATTTTTCACATTAAGAATTCGATAAGAAATATTCATATGCTGTCCTTTAAACATGTTAATTACCATTTTTTAAGAGTAAAATCATAAACGACATTAATTTACCCATATAAACAGGTTCAAGTTCTGATTCACACAATAATACTATTAGTATCTAAGTAACATTCATTCTATTAAATAAAACTTATCTTTCAAATAATTCATTTTCTGTATCTTTTAAGATGGCTGATAACACCTTTAAAATAAATATAATATTTTCTCTACTAGCTCCATTGGTCCTCCAAAATTCCAAGTAAGTCAGAATCTTCACTATAATATCAGAATTTGTTAACAAAAGATCTTTAGCTTCTTTTCTTTTGTCATCTTTAAACATTTTTTAGATTGTCCAAATAGAATTGGATAATTTTAAAGATTCCTTTTTGACTAAATCCTTAACAAATTCTTATCCAAAATATTATCTTCTAAATTAACTTATTTATGAATTATCTTATTGAGATTAGCCTTAGGTTTATAAATCAGAAGTCTTTTCTTCTTAAACATTATTATTGAGATCAGATTATATAAATTTAATTGGTACTTAAATATTAAAACTTTATCCTAAATCTGAAATTGTCTATAATCTTTATTTATTATTAGTCAATTCTGATGGTGCTAAGAAAAACATTCTATCGAGATTGCTTAGAAAAAAATTAACAAATTGGCTTATTTGAATCTAATCTTTTTCTGAAGACATTAAAGCATTTTAAAGAAGTTCATTATATCTATTTACTACTGGTAATAAGGAATCAAATAAATAATTTAAATTTGATGGTACAAATTAATCTTTTTATATAATAGCTTGATGTTCAAATTCTAAAATCTTATTTAAAATATCAGAATTTGATCTGAGCATTAAATCATCTAAAGTTTCAGGTTTATGAAAAATCATAAATTTTATAATATTCCAATAATCACTCTATAATTGAGTATCTTCAAAATTAGGTTTCTCCTTTTATTTAATACATTCCAATATTCTATGTGTCACTTTCAATGTATTCTCTAAAATATCTTATAATTTTAAAAATTCTATTGCTTAATTTATTAATGATGCTTTAATTTTCTTTGATAAACACTTAGATAATATATTAATGAATAGATAACTATATTTAGTTTTATTAGGCAAATAATCAAAAAAGCTTGAAAGTCTGTTATTATCTTAAAATGGATATAATGGATGAATGAAACCTGATTCATTTGATATGATTGGTTCTGTAAGTTTTTCAATAACAATTTCAAACATATCTACAGATTTTTTAGAATGTATTTCTGTAACTTCTAAAATTTCATAATAAAATTATAAAAATTCAGGATATCTTCCATGTTGTTTAATCAAAATAATAAAATAATCATATTCCTATTATCCAAGCTGACCATACAAAGTTGGCTTTTTTTCAAATAAAGAACATAATAAACTAATTTATCCAATATTTTAATTTGTGTTCTCTATAACTTTTTTTACAACTTTTCTATAAACCGTCAATACATTTCTTTCGTTATCCTTTGCAAATAAACCCATAATATTTAAAGTATGCTTTAATAAAGCTATTAAATCAGGATGAAAAGACTTTTAATCTATCACAACTAAGGACTTATATATTAATTCTAATAAAACTTCATATCCACCTATATGTTCAAAAATTTATTGTTTTAATTTTAATGAAACACTTTCAGTTTATTAAAATATACTATCAATTTTCCATAAACATTATAGAGTTTAATCCATGATTCTATTTTTCTCTGTAATCCATGTCTGGCTTCTTTGTACATTATTCTTTAATGATGCTATCATTTTTACCCAAACCTTAAATAATTATTATGATTCATTAGTATCTAATATTTATATGTTATCGAAGTGTTACAAAAACTCTTTTTTTTATCTTGCAAATCTTTATATTAATTCTACTATTTAATTTTCTAATTGTGGATTTCTTGCAAAATATAAGGAAATCAATAAAACTTCAATAAATGGTCTTTTAAGAACTTCATCAAAGCTTTTTAATGTAGGTCCTGATTATCTAATAGGCTTTTTCTCTAATTCAGGTTTATCTACCCATTGTTCTCCTGACATTAAAATTTCTTGAGGAAACAATTTTATTAAGTCTTCCTCATTGACTTCTTCATTCATTTATTTATTTTGTATATGGGATTTATAAAATTCTATTGCACTATCTATCCAATGATCTTATGAAACATCCATTAAATATGAAAATATTTAACAGATCTATATTTTTATTAATAC